CATATATTATAAATTAGTCCCTCTCGTTTCAAGAAGCAGACTAATTAGCTCCTCTTATTTTATAAACTAATAATTTTATCCTTATATGTTTAAATTTACTTTGAACTTAATTTTTTTTTACTTCTTTTTAATTTATTTTATTTTGTAAGAAATAAAAAATTGATGAGAAAAAATATTTTATAGAGTAATTAATATTAGATTAAATATGATTAACATCGGTAAAGTAATTAAATAATAAATTTTAAAATAAAAAAATTGATAATTTATTTCTAAAAACTAGAATGACTAATTTATAATTTACTCGTCGCTAAGATCTCGAGAAACCTATCACAAGCTCAATCATTCTAGGGCAATTGAGACGACAATAAAACATAAACTCATGACTCATGGGCAATCGAGACCACTCGTTCAAATTCATTTATTTGTAACATTCACTGTACATTTCCACATTGCTTTCCATCCACGTGTCATCATAAAATTCCTAAAAATAATGCACTAACCATTCACTTTTGTCTTAGCATATGCTGGAGATTTCTCAAGTGCAAAAGCTTACAAATGGCAATGCCATGACCAAGGGGGAAAAATCCATAATGGGTTACTTTTAAATTGCCCCACATTACACATATGCCTACCTTATCATGGCTAAATCATAAATTAATCCTTTTAGTTTTTCTAAACGAATTAAATAATCTCTCTGATTTTAAAAATTAATTAATTAATTAATTTCTATGTTTTTAAATTTGTTTGTGACATAATTATTTTTATTTTTTTATTTTAGAGATAGAAAACAAAGTAAAAAAATTAGAAAAATTGATAAGAAAGAAAATATTTTTAAAAATAAAATATTATAAATTATCCATTATCAATATCGATCAATGAACTAATTAATTAATTTTTAAAACAAAAGAAATTATTTAATTTATTTTGTAAAACTAAAAGGATTTATTTATAGTTTACTCAACTTATAATCAACTCAAATAGGAAAACATAAATTCAAACAATTATTATTCAGTTTTAACAAGAATGTTTGTTCCTTTTTCTTGGCCTAACAAAGCATCTGGCCAGCATCGACTAGCATTTTTTTGGCCAACCTCGAGCAGCAGCCACTAATTGTTTTTTAGGAAACTATGGAGTAAAGTAGAGACCAAGATTTCTTCAAGAACATATATATAAGTTTCACATATTTCTGCATATTTTATTGTTGTAGAGTTTCATGATACAAAAATAATCTGTCTTGCAGGGCATTTTTGTTGAAATCTGGGAAGTTGTCTCACTGATATTCTTGTCCTGTTCTAAGAGAGAGACAGCATAAGATATATATTATTCTTTTGAATATGTTAACCTTAATCCATGCATGCACAAGGCGTTTAGAAACTTAATTAATGTTCTTTTGTTCGTGCATGATCTAAACCTTTTTTTTTTTTTTTTTGCTCAAGAGCCCTACTTAATTCTACCATGCACTAACTAAACTTTTCTTCCGCCGAAAGTTATAGATATAATGATCAGAAGAATATTTTTTCTTCATTAGACTAAAAATTCGATTTTTTATTAATGAAATGCTCTTTCTTTCCTTCCATATAGCACTATATATAAACTGCTAGAGAGTTTAAAGAATCCATCAAATTAAATATTATCCAATACTATTTCAAATGAAAAAACGATAAATTTAATCTCGATTAACGTAAGAGTTATTTTGAAAAATATAAATACCCGCTATCTATGAATAGCGGTGGGCCGGATTGGTTGATAATGACCTTATAATTAAATCACTTGGAGAATGATATCATTTAAATAATTATTGACAAAATTATTATGAACATAAACATCTGCTTTTCATGGAATACTGTATATATTAAGCTTTTTAGTATAAATTATTGCAATCTAGTTGAAAAATGGCCCAAGCCCCTAAAATAATTGAAGGAAATCATACTGACCACTAACATAATGTGACATGGGGCCTCAAATTCAAACAAAGAATCTTCAAAAAGTTCAAAAATTCAAATGAAAAGGGTATCCTGAAATAATTCCAAGATTCTCTATTTCACTTAATGATGTATTGGATAAACTTGTTTGGTTGTTTAATTAATGCAGATTGGAATCCACTAATTAGTGAATTCATAATTAGTTTACTAAATAGATCACTGGCTTTTTTTATACATTTAATTAAAGGAGCATTTAATTATTCATGAGCAAATCAGCCTTGTCCAATTACCAGCCAAGGATCTAAATGGAATAGTAATAAAAGTACCTAACTGATCGGATTAAGAGTTCGATTCCTACTTGAAAAATTCTTATATCTTTTTTATGATTCTGGACAAAGACAGCAAATAAATTTACAGAGACTGACTTTTAGAATGGTCCAAAGACTAATCGTGATTAGATACTAATTTAACTTTAAAAATAATGAATTTAATAATTTTTTAATGAAAATTCTGATTCTAGAATATCTTAGTACCCTCCTTACCAGTATATATATATATATAAAACCTTGTTTGTTCAACGAGTAGATAAATGATTGTTTGATCAAATTGCATGTAGAAGTGTTCCCTTATAATTGGGTTGATGGGGTCCATGAGAAGACAGGCTCAAGCCCAATTTTCAATGGGCAGTCTAGGCCTTTCTAAGGGCAGGTCTGGACCGTCTGCGTCTGGTGCATAGTCCAATACGTGGATGAATTCAGACCTATTTAGTTAACATTAGTAATAAGGCATACAAAGTGAATACAAATCTCATAAGCTAGATTAATTTTCCTGCATTCCCAGTCCTAACTTGTATAGCTCCCTGGCAATCTCAGGTGACCATTACAAGGTCTTTCCAAGTTACATATACGAGTAATTGGTGTCGTTGGGATTGGAAAGCATTCAATTCTAGCTAGCTTGATCTGCTAAACCGTCTGCCAAAAAGAGCGGTACTTTTCCATTTCTTTGGCTCATAATTTTCCCATTTCTTGATCTAAAGCCGAAAATAAAATAAAATGAAGATGGAAATCCTATAGAGAAGGTTGATAGCTCCATCATCTCCAACATTTCAATCCAAAGGATAAATTGTTTGACGAATCTCCTTTAATTTCTTTTTCATTTTGAATCAATCACAGGCAAGGAGTTAACTGCAGTAAGTTTTGTTGTCCACTGTGGACTCCTAATTTCTTACTCTTGACTTTTGGTTCAATGTCAATCACTCCAATCCTTAAAGTCTTCGACCAACGTTCCTTTGACATTTAATCAGACAAAACATGTCCCAGTAGTTTGTTTTAACTATAACAACTCATATTTAGCTATGTCTTGCCATGGTTTCAATTCCTTTTCCTTTTCCTTTTCTTGGCTTCTGTTTCTTTTGTAGGAATCTGCAGTCTGGCGTGATCTTGAACTGTGGTGAAGAAATAGTGCAGTCTCCATGTCGGTGTCCTGCACTTGATTCATTAGCAAACTGAATCTGCTGCTCACTCAAGATATACTATTTGCAATATTTTGTTTGAGAACAAAAACACTTATTTTATGATTTATGATCTTGGAGGGATGGTAGTGTATTTTATCTGATCGCTGCTGTGGATTCATAGTCTGCCAGCATATATATTACACCAGCTGCTGCATTTGAGCGAGGGACCAGTCCTCGGCAATGCAAGGTGTGATCCTGATCATATTTGGAAAGTTGAGTGCAGGGAGCCCCATAACAAAGCTTGAAGTTACAATAAAAGTGATCCTGAACATAATCGTCATTTACTATTTTGTAAACTTCGTTTTGAAGGCAAGGTTCTGGTGATGTCTGTCACAATAAATTATATAGTGGATGTGGTGACGGTGGAAAATTGAATTCACATAGCTGGTATTTATGAATAAAAGGATGGATGCATAAGAAAACCATTGGGTTCAATTAGATTCCGACAGCAGAGTTTATCCTAGGTTTACGCTTATAAGAAATTAATGAAGCTAATATCGTGGAATGTTGTCTGAAGGCGGTGATCTTTTTCGTCTATTTCTCAGAATAAATTGTTTTTACATTGGCGTAGAACATGTGAGAGATCACATAATTTAAAACCTGTGTTACTGTGTTTTATACCTGGGCTAGATGGACGCGGAGCTGATGAACACTTGTTACAGCCAAGCTAGAATAAGAGAAACTGAAAAAAGTATTCCATTTTAATTTCACCCTCTAATTAAAAAAGGTCAAATCTCCAAGTTAATATCAAGAATATTTTATTTTTCAATTCCACTTGCTTTCTGCACCTCGGTTTCCCTCAGATAAGCTTACAAAGCTATGCAAAGAGCCAAGCTTGGCTCCAGCTCTGCTGGTCCGAAAGAGATCGAAGATGGCATGGTTTGTAACTTTCCATACTATTCCTTAAATTTCCATGTTCAATCTTTACTTTTTCTTAATTCTTTTCCTTTGTATTGGAGTTTTGCTCTTTGCATTGATATTTGGTTGCTTTGCACAATGTTTAGTGTTTACTGAATCTCTTTTGCCAATGGATTAACAGTACTATTGTTTCTGTTGTAAAATTTCTAGTATGGATTTGTAAGCGTCATTATTGGATTATTGAAATTCATAAGATGCCACTGAAAAGTTGGGTGGATTTTTCTTATATTTGAATCTTATATTCTTTAAATTTTTTATCAATTTTTTTTACTTTTTTTGGATTTAATTGAGATTTTCTATTCTTTAGATTTTAGATTTTTTACTTTTAATTCTCTATCATAATGTCATCAATCAATAATCAACATGAAACATTGTAAAAATATTGTGTGTCGATCATCAATTGTGACGTTATAACGAAGGCTTTGAAACAAGAAATCTATAAAAGATTTTAATAAAGTCTAAAAATAATAAAAAGTTTCAATAAAAGGTTCAAAGATTACAAGATCCAAATGTAGAGTAAACTCGAAATTGGATGCTTTAGGGCATCTAAGAACCTGATTTTTCTAAGCTTCTAGGTTAATTTTATTTTAATTGTATATTTTTTTGGGGGGGGGGGGGGGGGGGGTTTTGGTTTATAGCAGAAAAAAATGAAGACGGAGATCCTATCGAGCAAGTTGATAGCTCCATCATCTCCAACATCGCCCCACCTTCAAAAATCACCAATATCATGTTTAGAACAACTTGCTTTGTCAGTGTATGTGCCCCGTATTTTCTTCTATCAAGCCGAAGGTGAAGAGCATGGTGTCAGCGATATTGAAGAAGAGAGCAAACAGTTGCAAAAATCACTATCCGAAATCTTAACCCTTTTCTATCCACTAGGTGGCAGATACATAAAAGATGATGCTTCAATTCATTGTAATGATAAGGGGGCAGAATATTTGGAAGTCAAAGTGAACAGCAACCTCTCTCAATTCCTCGAGAGAAAAGAGCACCACGAAACCGAGCTGCTCAATCAACTGGTCAATCTTCCGTCTGAATCGGACGACACCCCCTTGGTAACAGTCCAATTCAATATGTTTAAATGTGGTGGAGTCGCCATTGGTATGGGTGTTTCTCACAGGATACTTGATGCATTCTCGGCGTTTGGTTTTATCAATGCTTTTGCTACCGCATGTCGAATGGGCGTTGATAAAGTAGGGTATCGTCCGACTTTCCAACTGGCTTCCCTCTGCCCGCCAAGAGACATGACTGGTCCGACTCCTAGAGTTCCAGCTCAAGAGAACCAATTTAAATCTAGTAATGTTGTGATGAAAAGGTTTGTTTTTAGTGGCGCAGCAATATCAAAGCTGAAAGCAGCAGTCAGTGCTGGTCTTCGTGGTTCAGAATTGCTGAAACGCCAACCAACAAGAGTAGAGGTCGTGATAGGACTAATATGGCTTGCGCTCATCAAGGTGGCTAAAGCTAGGTGTGGCCATTGGAGGCCTTCCATCTTGAGGTTTCCGGTTAACATTCGTGGGAAAACAACACTACCAGTACCTGAGAACTCTTTCGGAAACTTCATAGGCCCGGTGTTTGCGAAATTCACGCCAAATGCTGAGAACAATGTCCAGCTTCATGAATTGGTAGTCCAAGTTCGTGATGGATTGAGTAGAACCATCGCAGATATTGCAAATGCTTCCAGTGGTGATGATTTAGCTTTGATGTTATGCAATGCCATAAAGGAGGAAAGTGAAGCACGAGAAAATAGTGAGGTAGATCTCTTTCACTTCACTAGCTGGTGTCGGTTCCCAATGTATGAAGCAGATTTTGGTTGGGGAAAGCCTACATGGGTGACTACTGCCATTAGTTCGAAGAAGAGAATTTCTACGCTTATGGACACTAAAGATGGAGATGGAATTGAAGCATGGATAAGCTTGGATGAAAATAACATGCTTCTTTTCGAGCAAGATCCAGACATTATAACATTCACCGCTCGCTAAGAAAACCTGCTCTACTGTTTAATGAGTCTGGGTTCATGATGAGATGGTTTCTTTATTTTGTATTGTTGTTTAATTTCTGCAATAATACTGCTTTGCTGTTATTGCATCTTGGATAATTGGTTTTTTAGTATTCTGAATTTTTATTCAAACGGAGTAAAGAAAAAAAAAATGGAGGTGAAAGGAAAGGGGAGGAAAAAAAAGAAAGAGAAATAATGAAGGAGAAGAATGAAATCAAACTTTAATACAGAAGAATGAAATCCCATGCTATATAGATCAGCATAAAGTAAGCCATAATTGAAAGAATTTGATCTAAATGTCACTAGTTCATCAAAAGCATTTTTTGCGCAACGTCATTGCTTGATTACTTGGAGTAAATCACCAAGCAACATCTAATCCGCCATTGGTTTCAAATTTTCTTGAACAGAACAGTATTCCCTGTCCATAAAATGCGCATATTTTTACACAGCTTCCATCAAATAGGATGCCTATTTATAGGAAAGTGGCCAGAGAGGTGAAAGCACAATATCCTTCGCCGGGATAATCTGTGCGGTGAAACTAACTCCAGTACTCCACCATAATTCTATCTTCACTCTCGGAGATGCCCCGTTCAGACATAAACTTTCGTTGAGAACTTGTTGGTTTTGAGTGGTATCATTCAATTATAATTGGTTTTTTTTTTCTTTCCAATTTCCATTACTTTGCTTCTCCTAATTATAATTCCTGGCAGAATGTAAATTGGAAATTTCGGATTCCTAGATTACAGATTTTCTCTTTCTATTTGCTAACTAAGTTTTTGAAGTGACTTCTGATCATCCCACATGATATATAATTGTTTTTGAAGATGTAACAAGATAGGCATTGTTTATGGGGTGTTAATGTTGTTCCTTTCTTGTTTCGTCGAGCCATTTAAAATATTCTGTCAAAGTGCAAATGCATCAAAACGCTGCTTTGTGATCATAAAAAGTGTTAGAGAATCTATTCCATATCAAACAGCATGGTCCTGCTTTAAAATTACGGCATGCCACCAAATCTGTTCACTAAATTCATTGTTAAGCATGGTCCTGCTTTAAAATTCCGACATGCTGAATTTTTTGGAATCTTAACTAAATTAAATTCATTGTTAAGCATGGTCATTCCGACATGCCAAATCTGTTGGATGGTAATATTGTTAACTAAATTCATTGTTAAGCATGGTCAATCTTGCAAGAAAAAGGATTTTCTTTTAGGTGAATATCGAAGCTGGAAAATGGAAGGCAAGTTCCTGTGTGTAGACATTAATATATGTAAGATTTGCCGATATTTAAGATTTACCATTCTGGAAAGCTGCCTCTTGCTGCTGGTGAAGGATTTATCAAAATTTGTATACCTGTGAGAGGCATTAAAAGAATGTCTTGCAGAATAAATGAACAAATATCACACGAGATTTCAGTACATGACAGCAGGAATTCTTCCTCTTTAGGCTAGCATGGGTCAGAATATTTATTATTTGAAAATATTTTAGGAATCAAAATCACTCTAGTAAAAAGGTAAGGGGAACCAAAATCATATATTAAATAGACAAGCTTTCCTTTTAGACAACTATTAATGAGATGCGTTGGTAATATTTATTGTTGCACAGAATATTTTAGGAATCAAAATCACTTGATAAAAAGGCAAGACAGATGCATAGTTAATACTAGTGACTGGTAATAAAAGAAAAGATTTTTATTAACAAAAACTAGGTTTAGGGTTTTGTATATATTGCATGGCTAACCTCAAAAGTTCTACAGACACGCTAAAATTGTTACAGTACCTTACCAAATATCATAACTTCTGAAAAACAATGCCTCACACCAATTTGTTTCTTTCCTTTTTACTTCTCTTTGTCACCCAACCATATTGTCAGATCCTAACACTTGCTGCTGATGTTAGAGGCCAATGGAAACTACTGCAGAAAAGCATTGGCATATCAGCTATGCACATGCAACTCCTCAACAATGACCATGTCATAATGTTTGATCGAACAGACTTTGGCTATTCGAATCTGTCGCTACCGAAGGGAAAGTGCCGCTATGATCCTGGGGAAGAAGTTCACAAAATTGATTGCACTGCGCATTCCATAGAGTATGATGTTTTGACAAACAAATTTAGGCCACTTATGGTTCAAACTGATGTTTGGTGCTCTGCAGGTGCTGCCATGCCTAATGGTACTCTGATCCAAACCGGTGGCTATAGAGATGGTGCATTTAGGGTCAGGATTTTCACCCCATGTAATAGTACTATTGGCTGTGACTGGGTAGAAGTTCCAAATGGGCTTAAGATGAGTAGATGGTATGCCACTAATCACATCCTACCGGATGGCCGACAAATTATTATTGGTGGAAGAAGACACTTCAACTATGAATTTTATCCAAAAAATAATGCCCCAGAAGCGTATAGTTTTCCCTTTCTATTGCAAACCTATGATCCTTACATTGAGAACAATCTGTACCCGTTTGTTTTTCTCAATGTAGATGGAAATCTATTCATTTTTGCCAATAATCGAGCTATTCTGTTCGATTATAAGCAGAAAAAGGTGGTCAAGACTTATCCTACAATACCTGGAGGTGAACCACGAAACTATCCTAGCACAGGTTCTGCAGTGCTGCTTCCTTTGATGTTACAAGCTGGAACAAATAATATTGTAGCTGCTGAAGTTTTGGTGTGTGGAGGTGCACCCAAAGGCTCTTTTATGCAGGCGAAAACGGGTAACCATGTCAAGGCTTTAGATACATGCGGCCGAATCGTGATAACTGATGAGAATCCACAGTGGTCTATGGAAACTATGCCTCAAGGCAGGGTAATGAATGACATGATACTGCTTCCTAATGGCAACGTTTTGATCATAAATGGTGCAAAAGCTGGTACTGCTGGGTGGGAATATGGGCGGAATCCAGCCTCGAAACCTATCCTATACCAACCTAACAACCCAAGAGGGTCAAGATTTGAGTTACAGAATCCAAGCACAATACCAAGAATGTATCATTCCACAGCAATTTTGGTTCGGGATGGTAGGGTTCTTGTTGGTGGTAGCAATCCTCATCGCTTTTACAATTTTACAGGAGTCCTATTCCCAACGGAATTGAGTCTAGAGGCATTTCATCCTTCATATTTGGAAGCTCAATTTGACAATTTAAGACCGAAAATAATCTGGCCAGATGCTACATCCAACATTGGTTATGGACAAAAATTATGGTTAAGGTTCAGGGTCATAGGTACGCTTGCTGAAGATAAGGTCTCGGTAACTATGGTGGCACCGCCATTTAACACGCATTCCTTCTCTATGAATCAGAGACTTCTGCTACTTGGGATCGAGAAGGTGACAAATGTGGATACATGGACATATGACATTCAGGTTAAGACACCTTTTTCCGGCAATCTTGCACCCTCAGGATATTACATGCTGTTTGTTGTTCATCAAGAAATTCCAAGTGAAGGCATCTGGGTCAAACTCATGTGATTAATTGCTTAATTAATCATACATAACTAGTACTGGTAGTTGGTAACCTTTATATTTTCTTTGAATTATTGTTTTCATCTTGTGAAGATATATGATATTTCTATGTTATTCTATAGTAAGTTCCAAGAAAGATTTTTTTTTTTTTTCCTAGCAAAAGAATTTTTGGGTTCTTTAGGATCGCTCTAGCAATGGCTATTCTCTGCTTCTGCCCACCAGAAAGCTGAACTCCTCGTTCTCCTACTGAAGTGTCATAGCTTTGCGGTAAGGAACTAATGAAGTTGTGTGCATTTGCTGCTTTTATAGCTGCATTTATCTTTTCCTCTGTAACATCTCCATGCTTTCCATAAGCTATATTTCCACAGAGAGTTTCGTTAAACAGTATTGGTTTTTGACTGACCAAACCCATTTGTTGTCTCAACCAGTTTAGTTTGAACTTTCTGATTTCCACACTATCCAAACATACACGACCCAAATCAGAATCGTAAAAATAGTTTTGATTTCCTAAATTCAAACTCTGATATTAACAAAAAAAAATAATAATACATATATATTCTCATAAATACACCGGATCAATATGAAGATACGTTTTTTAGATGGTCGGAGTTTTGATTTCCTAAATTCAAACTCCGGGATTAACAATATATATATATATATTCTCATAAATACACCGGATCAATATGGAGATACGTTTTTTAGATGGTCGGAGGAAAAACTTAATCTCAATTGTTAAAGTAATACATTAATCTATTTTCTTTTTTCAGCTACTACAATTTACTACTAATTAAGCAAGCATTAATAGTTTAGGGTTTTTTTTTTCATGAAATTGAGCAAAAACTTAATCTCAATTGACAAATTAGTGTTATAAAAGAAATAAAAATAATAAGAGAATTGAAGAAAAGAATGACAAGAAAATAAAATCACTATAATATGAATACAAGTGATAAGAGCTTCAAAGTTTCCCTTATTCGCTCTAGAAAACTTGTACACCAATTAATGAACAATCAAGCCTATTTATAGGCTTCAAAATTAAGGAGAGAATTGAAAATGACTATGAATAATCAATTGCATCACCTTTTTAACTTCTCAAATTGAATTATAAATTGAATCATATTAAGAATCATGAATAGTGAGAATATGAAAAGTGGATGAATACGATGATGGTTATTTATTATTTCAAACAATTAATACATTAATCTATTGTTTTTTAATTTTTAATTTCATTGTTTAATGATTTTGAATTCATATTTAAGGAGATTGTAAGAAAATAATTTCTTATAAATGCATCAATCAAACCAAACCATAGGCCTATTTAAAACCATTCGCAAAAACATTTAATTTCGATGCATCAAAACTTGACTTTATTTTTGGGCTTGCTATACAAATCAGGCCCAACAAACCATAGGCCATGAGTTTGAATACCAGGGATAATCCAACCATTTGAGAACTTTGGATTTGTTTAGATTTTTGACTAAAATTTTCTATGCGTATAATATTATCTTATCTTATACCAACAACATATAAGAAAAACAAAATAAATTTGTTAAGAAATTAATGGCTCGATTTTTTTTGAATAATAAGTTAATTATTTAATATGTCTTTATACTTCTAATTGAACCAATTCTATCTTTAGACATTAAGTTTTTAATCTCTTTTTTTTTTAACAAGATTTTTATGTTGAATTATCAAAATTAATCACGTGATTTGCATATAATTATTTTTTATTTTTAAAATTTCCTTTCAAGCCAACCAAATAAGAGGTTTTTCTATACAAATTATGTGATTAATTTTAGTGATTTAACTTGAAAATTTTGCTAGAAAAATATATTAGAAACTTGATGCATATTTAAGGATAAAAACTGTCAAAATTATTTTTTATGTCAGCCTTAATGTATAAGATTTTCATGTCAAACTATAAGAATTAATCACGTAATTTACACATAATTATTTTTTATTTTCAAAATGCTCTTATATGCCAAACAAATAAAAGGTTTTTGAATGCAATCATATGAATAATTCTAATGATTTAACTTGAAAATCTCGTTAAAAGAATATATTATAAACTTAATGTGTATTTAAAAATAAAATTAAGTCAAATTAAATATATAAAAACAGATCAAAGAATTATCATATTAAATAAAAACAAATTGAGGCATTAATCCTTTATTAGAATTTCAAAAATTAATACTTTATTAATTTTAGCTATCTTTGCCCTTTTATTTATTTATTTAATTTTTTTTTCTATTTGAAGATTTCACCTCTTCTCTCTTAATAAATCCAAACTTCAACCTCAGTTCTAGATACCCGTGATAAAACCCAAATGTAACCTGTTATTTTTTTTCTTTCTTAATCATCAATGTATTATTGGATGATCAATCATAACCAGCTTTTTTTATAATTATTATTTTATAATTTCAAGAAATTGGTGCTATATATATATAAACTTAATATATTAAGAATAAAATTAGCTCAAATTAGATATATAAGAACATATTGAAGAATTATTCTATTAAATAAAAACAAATTCAATCATCAATCCGTTGTTTAAATTAAAAAATTACCATCCCTTCCAAAAAAAATAAATTTATTAATTTTTTGCTGAACTAATGATTATTCCACATTCCCATATTTGAAAATTACTAATTTGGGTTAAGCTTCATTAATTTTAACTATCTTTGCCCTTATATCTATTTTGAAGATTTTTAGTTTAATTCACACACTCAAGACTTTAAGTAGAACTAATTAATTAGAATTTGAATCCGTGACCTCTTATTATAAGAGATCATTATCACGAACTACAATTTTTTTTGTTTTATTTGAAGATTTCACCTCTTCTGTCTTAACAAATTCAAACTTTAACCTCGGCTCTAATTAGATACCCACGATAAAACCCAAATGCAACCTCGTTATTTTTTTCTTTCTTAATCATCAAATCAATGTATTATTGGATCAATTGTAACCAGCTTTTTTTATAATTTCAAGAAATTAGTGGGATGATCAATGATATTTGTTTTTTTTGTTTTTTTTTATTTTTTGAATTTGACTATTGAAATTAATATTTAGAAAAATTTATTCTTCTAAATATATACCAAATAAAAAATGATATTCTTTAATGTTGTTCGAAAAAAGATTAATCCCGATAATATTCCGACATAGCGAAAACTTATAGAAAGGGGGATAAATATTGTTGATATGAAATTCGATATCGATCCATTATAACTCGTTGAATTGCACACAAATATTAGGAAATAGACTTCAATTTTGTTGATTCAAAGAATGTCGAAATTAAAAAAAAATTGAGATACTCTCTCATAAAAGTTATTAGTCAAACAAAAGCAATGTTTTTCAACTTAAAAGTCATACATAAATAATAAATTTCGGATAAAACCCTAAAGCAATTTAAAAAAGAAACAAATATTAAAAATCTAAAATTGTTAAAGAAAAATCTTGAAAATAGTAAAAAGTAATTTTAGGGGTTTAAACAATATTGTTTTTAATCAAAATCACCCCTAAATCATGGCAAAACCAATGCGTTTTAATTATTGATCCATTTAACGTTAAAATAGGTCCAAAAAACTTCAAAATTAGATCGATAATTTTTTTTCATTTTTTACTGTGCTCACACGGTTATATAAATTTCAAAATCGATTGTTCCGCATTATTTTCTAAGTGAACTCGACATAATTTTTTACGGTTGAACAAAAAATAATTATTGTTTTATGATAAATTAAGAAAAAATTCTTTAGGATGATCTCATGATGTGATGCTTGTCTGGCGATAATCGTCTAAATAATTCTGGGCCTTAATTACTTACGACAACACCCACATACCCATCTTTTTGACTTCTACTAAAACACCTTCACATCCCCTTGCCTTTTGTCTCTCTCTCTCTTGGGTTTTGGACCGTTGATAATACCCTAATCAAATCTCTCTCAACAATCCTCTTGATTCTCTTTCTGGGTCTTAAAATTGTCTTAAAAATTCAAACTTTATTGCAATTCCCCTTGTTTTCTCATCTGGGTTTTTCTCAGATTTCTCAAAATGGGTAAAAATCAAGCTTACAAAGCTATGCAAAGAGCCAGGCTTGGCTCGAGTTCTGGCGGTCCTGAAGAGATCGAAGATGGCATGGTTTGTACCTTTTCATACTATTCCTTGAAATTCCCATATTCAATTTTACTTTTTCTTTAACTTTTTCCTTTGTATTGAAGTTTTGTTCTTTGCATTGATTTTGGTGGCTTTGCATAATGTTTAGTGTTTATTGAATCTCTTTTGCCAATGGATTAACAATACTGTTTCTATTCTACAGTTTTTAGTATGGATTCTGAGTGTCATTATTGGCTTATTGAAATTCATAAGATGCCATCCAAAAGTTGGATGCTTTGAGGCAGCTAAGAACCAGAGTTTTCTAAACTTCTAGGTTAATTTTATTTAATTGCACATTCTTTTTGGGTTTTGATTGGTAGTTAATTGATATGTTAAACATATATGGTGGGATCATTTAACTACTTTATCCTTTTGGTGGGTGGTTAAGGGTAAAAGTGTGTTTTCACCATTGTACCTGAAATGGTGTTTAATGGTGAGCTGCTCTGATGCAATGCTAATATGCTAAGCAGGTCGCCTTTTGCTTGTTGAACAGTGGTTCCAAGCACTTCTTACACTTTGTTGTTTCCTTCTCGTTGTAAGATCTTTTATCTTGCCACTGGTTTCTTGCTTTGTTCATGGATTTCTTCGATTTCGTTGTTATGAGGCTTTTGCAAAGATGATCCTTAGACTTTGATTTCATTAGACATAGGCCATCACTGTTGGTAATATGTCATCGATGCTTATATGTTGAAGAAAAATTTTTATTGAGACATGACAGTATGACTAAACATTTTTATTTTCTGTATCTTTTGCAGCATGCTTGTTTATAGTCTTAAGTGCATGAATTCTTCTTTTTTTGTTTTTGGGTGATGTAATTGGGTGTGCGTGTGAAGGAATATAGAGATATAGATTTACAAGTTTAGTTTTTGTATGTTGGATGCTTTTTTACTTTTTATTTTTATTTTCATGGAACATTTCTGATGAGGCGAGTCGCAGGTGGATGGTTCTTTTCATTCACCAGAGTGGCATGCTGCTCGTTTGGCCAGCCTTAATACATCTCACACAATAACCTGGGAGGAGTTCAAACAAAAGCAAAAGGTAATTATGTGGTTATGCTACACTCTCTCTCCAATGTCTTGCAGTTCGTGCAACTATTAGTTGTGCATCATATTTGTTTGTGCAATGATTCCACATGCATGTTAAACATATTGATGCAGTTTTAAATGATGATTTGATATGTTTGCCCTGTATTTGATTTACTAGGAGGATGAAATAAGAAAGGGGGAACTAGAAGCAGATAAGGATAGAATGATGCGGGAATACAGAGCTCAGTTGGATGCTGAAAGGGCACGCAAACTTGCTCATGGCCGGAATTACTCTGGTAGCAAGTCTGATCGTAAAAAGGGTATGTATATGGATATATCTTGTCTTTTTGTAAGCATTACTGGAATCTTTTCCCCTTCTGAATGTAAGATTTGTCCTTGCAGATAGAAAGGACAGAGATTCAAAGAAACGCAGCAGTAAAAAAAGAAAGGTGCCTGGATTTTCTAATAGTTTGCTTTCTAATTGAATTGCATTGTCTAGACTCTAGAATATTAAATTTTCTGACACTCAAAAACTATGATGTTTAACTTGATTTACAAGTTTTTCCATATTGACAATGAAATCCATGTTACTTTTTTAGCCTAGTTTTTTCTCTATGAAATTAAAGACGTCTTGAATAATATCTCCTTATACAAAATAGGTAGTCCTCCTTGTGCCATGGATGATCGGATAAGATGACTTCTTGTCATCTGATCAAGATATCATGACTCCTGGTAGACTAATTTTCATTCAAGGATTTTTGGATGTTCATCATCTGGAGAGAAGTTGCAATACGAAGCTATCTCATATCTGAGTATCAAGTTTGGAGAGTTTGGCTGGTTAACCTATTTTATATTTCTAATTCTAAAACCGTATTGTGAGACAACAGTGGTCTACAAACAGAAAAAAATTTACTCAATTTATTTGCTCATGTCTTCATTTTGTCTGTGATGCATTGACTGAGACACTGGTTATAAGATGGCATGTCAAAAACCATGTGAGGGAGTAAGAAAATTCTGGGAAATTTGGGACTAAGATCAGCTTTTCCTTTCAAGAGTGTGAAGTTCTCTCTGGGTAATTATTGTTAGTAGAGGGTACTTGGTACTTGGTACTTGGTTTTCCTGTCTTGCAGTTGCATGCTTTAGTTTTTGTTTCTTGTCTCTGTCATGAGCGTGTTCTTTTAACAAGTGAAAAGGCCATTAAGCCTGTAAAAATTGTCAAGTGGTTCTGCCAAAGGAAGCTTTTGATAGGCTAATCTGGAAACTGTCACACTTGACCCTTTGGTTCTTTCAAAAGTCGTATCCTTTACAATCCTTTACAATTGTGTTTCGTAAGAAATTGCCCAGGGGTTGCTACCATTTTGGTTGGGATGAAAAAGGCATTTTACTTGAAGAGAGTATATTATTATCGGGCAAGGGTCAGAGAACATAGGAAGATAAACTCGGTATTTTGTGGTTTTATTATTTTTAATATGTTCTTGTTTTGGATTGTGCTTCTTCATTCTTAGAATGTATGCATAAGCTTTGATTAGTATATTTTTGAGTCCATAATTGGTACTTTAAATTTCATATGTCTGTACATGAAAGCATTACATTTATTTTGTCAATACGACAGCTTTTGAACGACACCAAGTCCAAGGTTGAAATTTAAACTGTATAGGCTTCTTGATTGATCATTACCATCTTTCTACTTTCAACTCTATCGCAATGAATTATTCATTCCCTTGGTGTATAAACTCAAAACAGATCCTGATCTTGCATTGCCTTTGCAGCATTCAAGGCGGAGATCTGATGATTCTAGTTCCTCAAGTTCATCCTCGGATTCTTCAAGTAGTGAGGATGAGAGAGAATCCAAAAGATCAAAGTCAAGGTCTAGGAAAACAAAGAAGGAAAAGAAGCGTAAGTCAAGAACCAAGCACTCCAGTCGTGATGATGAAGAGGCTGGTGGGCCGGTGCCACTTTCTAAATTCTTTGGAAGCTTGAAGAACTAATGGCGTGATCAAAGATGATCCTAGGGTACCCTACAAATGTTTCTTCCTATAAGAGAATATCAATAGCCTTGTTCTTTATTGCAATTTTTTCCAGTCATTTGCTTCGAGCAAATATGTATCCAATTACTTCTTCCTTTTCAAGTTACTGAGCTTGTGATGTTATTAGTTTGATTCCAAATTTTTCTTCTTAAAAACTCAGTTCCACCATTTCTTTTCAGAATATGATAATGGTACACTCTTTATCAAGTATGTGAGCCCTATCATATAAATTAAGCAGTTATGTTATAAATTTGAGCACAGAAATTGAGATCATGCTGCAATGTTCCTGCTGTTGGTTCAACCAAGCAAAGAACACTAGTTTATTTTATTGCAGTCACTACTTTTGTTATGTTGTAATATGAAAAATGAACATTCCAGGATAGCGAATAATTAATTGTAAGACGAGGGATAATTAAAAGCTGGCACGCTGGCCAGTTATGCAAGGAAAAAAGTTGGCTCAATTCAATAGAAAGAACAATACAAAGACAGCCGATACAAACACCATTTCAATTGTTTTGCCACCCTGAATTCTGACCACAATATATTTCAATTCAGGAACCACCCGGTTTTGGATGGAAAATATTTACACCATGAAAGAAATCACTAGAAAACATATAAATCAAAGATATCATGCTGATCGGAGGGTCAATGATTAAATGACTCATTGTCACTAATTCTGGTATTCAGGGTTGAATGCAAGAGCTTCCCTATAAATAAGCTCCTTCATCTGTTCTTCGGTCAGCGCATGCTGCTCAAAGTCAAAGCTGAAGGGGGTCGTGCAGACCGGTTCATCGCTGATGTCGTGGAGCGATGTTAGGTATGGATGAGCAAGTGCATCCTCAACTGTAACAAAATAAAGGAATGGATATTATCTGGAGTGCATATCAGAAATCTAAAATAACAGTTTTATGAGAAGAGGAGATATCATATGCAGGGTATCAAGATAATGAAATAGCACAGGTAAAAATATCGTGTTCAACCAAAAACAAAAATAAGAAATTATTATAATCATATAATGCTGGATATTCTGTTAAGGAAAAGATAACGGGTGCCATTATGGTAGTTATTGATGGTTAATGAAAGTTAAATGTTGTAATAATTAAACAATTTATGATTTTTATCCACTATCATTATCTACTCATGAATTATCAGTCACTGGATCTTTGATTCAACAACCATAAGCAAGACATTTTCTTTGGATGTAAGATTTGATTAGTTATAATTAGATATTGCCTAATTAATACAATATCTAACTAATATTGACTACTAATAACTAATATCTTAACGGGTGCCCTCAGGGAATTCGTTAGCCGGACCCTTCTGTTATCCAGTTTAAATTGGAGTCGAGTTCCAGCTAGTATGGATGATCAGTCCAAGTGAAATCTAGATTATTGCATATATACCTCGTCAAGAGAAGAATTTCTTATTCAGTTAACCTAAAGATTGTGGGGCGTCTATTTTATGTTCACAATTTCTCCTAACTGAACATTACCCCCCAGTTTATTTTTTTTTCTTTTCTGATGAGTTGGAATAATTGGTGGACTGGTGCACTCAGGATTCCATATTGCACACATAAACTTTCTACATGGAGGCAATATGACATAGAATCAGCAACCCCACATGCAAGAAAATCAGCATGCTAATTCCCGTTTTTAAAAGGCAAGCAAAGCACGAGTTGAAAGCTGCACAGAAGACTCAGACTTGCATGGTTACATGGTCAAGAGGCAATCCAAAAAGTAAAGTTGACCATAATAACAAACAGAAGGTAAGTTGACACATGCCCTAGACAACTTCACAAAGGGTACCTGGTAATATTCCTTTCCTAGACAGGACACTGAAAATCCTCGAAGGAAACTAGAACGGTAACACAATTTGGGGTCTAATGCCACAAAAATCCGTTCTGCTTCCTAAAAATTGCAACCAACAAAATAGATATCTGCTCTCCCAAATGCTAAGCACAAAAATCTATGAGATTCACAGTTTTTGGCAGATAATAATGTAATGATATCTTCTCATCCTCCCCACCTCCAAGACCTACACCCATTTACATGCCTCAATTGCATGATCTGCCACTTATCTAAGTGAGATGAACCATATGAGCTATAAACTACCGCCGCATACAAGGGAATTCAGTAACAAAGGTGCAGGGGCAGGTAGGCTTCACCAATTGGTACCAAAACCACTGCAGGCTAGAATACCATTGAATACCATGTATCAATGAGTTTTATAGTCAAAACAAAGAAACTGAAATTGCCAAGGGTGAAATGGATGCAGGGCTGTATTTCCCAATACCCATAATTAAAATAAGGCAACGGCTAAAATGTAAAACTAAGGGTTTTAATACTCAAATTCACACATGACCATCAATTGCTAAATAAAAAGTCTGAAAAACTATAAAATAACAATCAAAGCACCGCATGATCCCATTTCCAATCTCCTAAGAGAAAACACATAAACTAAGCACTGGGAAACAATTATGCCAGACCAAAGACCATGAAAAAGAAAAAAAAATGAACATGATTAATTCAAATTGTGTTGACGCACACTGAAGATCAAGGAAACAAACTCACCAGTAATCCTCTGTCTGGGATCAAAAGTTAACATCTTTTCTACAAGATCAATTGCTGCTGGGTGGACTGTAGGAAACTTTTCAGTGAATGACTGACGGTGATAAAGTGGGAGCTGTCGAATGTATCTCTTTGCATTTTCATTCAAAAACCCCAACTCAGCTTCTGATGGAGTGCCAATCAGCTGCAAGGATCTCAAATGATTAATCATAAATTGCAAAATTGCATTCAGAAGATGACATGTGGATACTACTTATCCATATGCCTATTGGAAACATATAATACTAACTCATTGCTGCACACATTTTACTAAATTTATAATTATTATAATACTCAAGAACCGGAGAAATATAAATAACGGGCACATAAAGTTATCTATCTAGAAATGCAGCCAACATACAAAGTTTCAGGTCAAGATAACCAAACTGCACTACATATTCTTTGGAAGATTGTGATAAAAAGGAGAAGAGAACGCCCCCTTTCGCTTTTCAGAATGAAAAAGGCATGACATTTGAAGGATTATCATTAAACTCAAGTCAGATGTTATCCTATAACTTCTTCAGCAGGTAGGAACACAGCAACAGAAATTTAACAATTAAAGTACCTCCATAAGCAAACGAAGCTGATGCACATGATCTCTACCAGGAAATAGGGGCTTTCGATCCATCAACTCCATGAATATACAACCTACTGACCACACATCAATAGCTGCAGTGTAATCTGAGGAGTTCAAGAGCAGCTCTGGTGCTCGATACCATCTTGTAACAACATATTCCGTCATAAAATCAGTTTCGGAGGTAACACGAGCCAGACCGAAATCACATATCTTCAAGTCACAATTGGCATTCAAAAGGAGATTGCTAGGTTTTAAATCTCTGTGCAGGACATTTGCAGAATGTATATATTTCAATCCACGGAGGATCTGATACAGGAAATACTGCACAAAACAAAAATAGAAGAATAGTTTGGTTCTTAGCTCTTCAACTTAGTTTAATAAAGTAAAAATTGAACAAAAGTAAATTACAGAGCCAAAGGAAATATAAAAATATCAGTAAAGTAAGAAGCAGACAATTGTTTTAAGTTGTCAACAAACAAACAAGCTATTGTCCTACCATTTTATCATGCAAGGCTCAAGGCAAATTCAATGCTGATTAGACTTCTCAAAACTCAGGTCAACTCTCATTTAACAATATGCCAAAGAATATGAAAAGGCCATATTGACCACAGAAATCATTTATTTGGAAAAGCTGTATTGAGTGACAAAAAAAAAAAAAAATACATAAGAGCTCTCAATCAGCTATAAAAAAAGTGGTCCCAAAGGAATCCCTATTAAGACCAAGGAAATGAGAAAATTTCAAATAGCTCGCATAAAGCTTTGGCTTGTTTGCTCTCTTTGCGTTCAGTACTTATCTCTAAGCAAAGCAAATATTGATTACTGACCTGACAGTGCTCTTCTGATAACACTTGATTGGAGCGAATGATCTGATGCAGGTCAGTGTCCATTAGCTCATATGCAATATAAACATCATTAAATGATTCCCTCTGGGGTGGAGGAATTATATCCCTGATTGCCACAACCTGCACGACAAATGCAAGTGAAGTAAGTAACACTTAGATGTCAGAATAGTCATAGCATTGACTTGTTTCTCCCATATAATTTTCCTTTTGTTGGTTATTTTTTCAAATGGAAGTGATCAACAAGGACTTTTGTTCAAGGTAAAGGTTATACTGACATAATTGCGAGAGCTTAAAACCCTTTGTTTTACGGTAAGCGATGGCCATTTGAGGCCACCTCAGATTGTCTTAAACTAAATCTAGGATAATGGCTAAAGGAAATCATTAACAGCTTCAACCAAAGTAACGGCCATAACTCCATTTCCAATAACCTGGTTAAGAATATCCAGTCATGCATTTTCATTGGAGTTCCATTGAGACACTGGTTAAGAAAAGAAAAGGTGTCATGAATGGGCTGCCAGCTATGACTATTTGTGATTCAATGATCATGATAACTGTCATTGCAAATTTTACTATTCGGAATGAAATCTCTATTATCTCTAAATGGCAGCTAGACTAATCGTATCCACCGTGGCTTCATATCGACCAATGCAAAAATAATTCAATCATTCACATTTGGATACTTTTATTGATTGGTCACAAACTTTACCAAATTCCCACTCTCATCATTTCATCAAAAACCTTGGAAACTACAACACATTGGCACAAAACATAACGAACATCAACAAAACTAATCAATTACTCACTGACGTTTTCATGATCCATGTGGCGAAGCAGCTTGATCTCACGAAGTGTCCTCTTTGCATCAATCTTATTATCAAAAGCATTCGCTATCTTCTTTATTGCCACATGCTCATTTGTCTCTGAATTCAACGACGAACTAACAAACAAACAAACAAACAAACAACAATACCAAAATCAACAAAAGCTCCAACTCATTCCTTTAGAACCCACAACAAATAAGTCCATAAAAAAAACATCACCTCAACTTTATCCAAAACAAACACTAAAAATCACAAATTATCACAAAAACACCTCAAAACACACAAATTTTGCATAAAACAGCCAAACTTTGCCTCAACAAACACCAAAAAAAAAAAAAAAAAAAGCAACTTTCATAAAGAAAAAAAGTGGGTTTTATCCATTAATAACAAAAATTTCAACTTATACAAAACCAAACAAAAAAGCACAAATATAAATGAAGAAACAAAGTGGGTTTTCTTTAACGAGAAAGATAAGTTACCAGACGATGCCATAAGCCCCTTTACCAATAGGCATAATAGGAGGTTTATACTTAGCAGTAACTTCAAATATATTTCCAAATATATTATATTGTATAAACCTCCCTCCATGACTCAACGTTGCAGGTATATTCTCCACCCCTCCACCTCCCATAGGCGGTGGCTGCTGTGGAGGAGGCTGCTGCTGTTGTGGGGCATCCGCCATCTCTGTATCCGCCGGACCTCCGCCGTCCATATCTGGAATTTCTTGCTGAAATTGCCTGTGTTTTGGGCTTCTGTTGTTGTCAAAATCAAAATCAGATCTAACAAAACTGTTTTTTATTATAAAACTTTTTTAGAGAGAGAAAGAAATGGAAAAATGTGCTTTTTTTTCTTTTTTTCCCTCTGTTGTTGTCTACTTGTCTTTGCTTTTGTCTCTCTGTTTTTGTTAATGTTGTTGTTGGCTAACAGAAAATCTACACGTGGGCGACTAAAGATTTTCTTACTTTCTTTTTTAATTTTTTCCTTTTTTTCACATTATCTTAACTTATAATAAATCGAAATTAAATTTATCTTTCTGGATCAAGTAACATGTAAATTAAGCTTCTTTTTTTTTTAAAAAAAAAGAATATAATTGAACTTGTTTTTTGATTTATTTTTTGGGTTTTTTTTTTAATTCGAGAGGGATATAATAATATAAAAAATGAAAAAATTTATGATATGAAATAATATCTTACGTGTTCTAATAGCATGATCATTTATGTAAGAATAAAACTAATTTTAATTGAAATTTTTGAATTATAAATAGCTGGATTTGTGAAATCTTTTAGAAGATTTTTTGGAAAATATATTTGGGAAAAATTAGTATAATTTTGTAGATAAAAGTATTTATGTTGGAAACCTAATGCAGCTTAATCAAAGTATGTCATTTTTTTGTGTGTGTTTTTTTTTTCTTGTTTACTTAGTATTTTGTAATTGTTGATATTGTTATTTCTAGCTTGTGCAATTTCATGGTAGGAAGATTGAATGATTGATAGTTTTTTACTGGATAGGGTATCTCAAGAGTAAAATATAAATTAATTTTTTCAAAACAAATTAAATAATATTTTTAGTTTCAAAAAATAATTAATTAATCTTTATATTGTTAAGTCTACATGTAATTTAATTTTTTTTGTTTCCTTTCAATTTATTTGATTTTTAAAAAAATAGAAAAAAGTATAAAAATATAAAACGTGGAAAGATAAATGAAAAAAATTATTTTTTTCAAACAAAGTAATGTTAAATTAATTATAATTAACACTAAGCAAGAAATTAATTAATTAGTTTTGAAGCAAAAAAAATTATTTAATTTGTTTTGTAGAACCAAAGAAGTTAATATATAATTTACTCGTATTTATATTGGTATTTTTGGTTTGTGAAACGAGTAAAATAAAAATCAATTCCGTTAATTTAAAAAAAAGAGATTAATTAGTTATTTTTATTTTAAAAATTAATTATTTAATTTTCATATTTTAAATTTTTTTATAATTTAATCCTTCTATTTATTTTGATTTTTTCTTTTAAAAATAGAAAAAGGCAACGACAGATGAAAAAAATATGAAAGAACTAATGAAAAATATCATATTTTATGAAATAATATTAAATTAGATTTGATCAACAACAATCAAAATATTAAATAATTAATTTTTTCAAAAAAACTAACTTAAAAATAGAGAAACTAACTTATAATTTACTTTTTTTTTTTCCTGGTGAAATTTCATGGTAGGAAGGAAGATTGCAGAGTGTTTGACTAGATGTGGTCTTTCAACCACTAGTCGAAAAGAAAGGCAAGACCAGAAAATTCTTGTATATTTTATTGGTAGTGGACCCTTGCATGGGCAAGAAAACTAGGAAACCTCTAGAAAGTCTGCATTGATCACAATCTTGGAGTTAATTTCAACAAATTTAATCTGCAAATCAAGAGGAAAAGGAATGTTAGTCAGTCTCCACCAGTTAACCTAAAATTCTTTTTTTATTATAAAAAAATAATATATTTTTTTAACTCACACGGTCAAAACTCATAACAAAACTAATATATTAAAATTAAAATTTATAATTTTTTATTATAAAAGATCACTGTTATTGATAAGCTCGTTGAAAAAGAAAAAAAATGACATCAGGACAATGAGAAATGGTTTCTTTTTCCCATTTGACGTTATGTATAGAATTCTTTGTGCCACGTGTTTAATTGGGAAAATAGGAAAATTAAAGTTTATATATATATATATACATATATATATATGTATACCTATTATAGCTGACTGAATCTATTAAAGAATAATCCTGATCTTATTGAAAAATGGTTTTAGAAACCATTTTCTAAAAACTTTCAACCAAAATATTTTTCGAGAAGAATATTCGATAAAATTTGCATTTATTAATTACTCATTGTTTATTTACTAATGATAGTTAGAAGGGATATTATTTCTTAATTCGGATAAAGGTTTAAAATAGGAGTTGTAATGTTAAAACTTTTGCACGTAAAGAAATTGGTACAAAGAGAGAGTAATAATTGATGAATTTTTTATTGTCTTTTATTAAATAACTTTACTTAATGAGATGGATTTTTTCATCACAAAATTTTAAATTGTTTGTATTATATCTTTCGCCATTCAAGTGAGGAAAAAAATATAATTAAATCTGATTACAAGAGAGTTAAAAGATCATCATCGGATGTGGTATAATGATAAAGAGATTGTTGATCCGATTAAAAACTCGATTCAATTCACATTACTAAGAAATAATTAATAATAATTATTTCTTAGTGGTACTAGGACGGATGGATTAGTTTGGCTTAAAAGACAGTTTAGTATTTGAATAAAAACTAAACGTGCTTTAATATTAACTTATTTCAAACAGTGATGGATTTATTTTCAGTTAATACAAAAACGGATTCAATAGTTGAACAAAAACTAAATATGTTCTGATAGTTTAGATTAATGCAAAAATCGATATAAAAATATCTCATTATATGTAAATATATATTGAAAAAAGGGAGGGAGAGAGAAGTAAGGAAATACATACTTCTCCCATAATCACCTTTTTACCAGTTTTATGTGATAATACGAGGTTTTTTCTAAAAGCAAACTATTTACCAAACTTTTTTATTTTAAAAAATTAGATATAAAATAGTTTAACTTATAAACATTATAGGGACAAAATGAACCTTCTAGTTGTAATCTTTTTAATAATAATAATAATAATAATAATAGCTACAAATAACTATGGGGTAGCAAGGGAAGGACCTTATTTAAAATTTTGTATAACGTTCTTGAAAATATTGCTTTTGTGACCCTATGATCTTATTTGGTGATAACAAGAATTCCTAAATCCCAAGATACAGTGTTATTTAGGAAACAAAAGTTTGATGTTCAATTGAAATAACTATTTTGATCTGTCAGGCAGATAATGTTTCTGATTGACAAGAAATTAAATGGAGAATGAAATCAGTACTAACCATATATGCATTAACATCAATTTATGAGAGGTGTCCAAAATCTGAATTGGACAGACTCTCCAGAAAAAAAGATAGGTTCTGCTTGATTTCCTGCAAAACTCTGGAGAAACCTTGGGACTGAAGGCATGCCAATTTCAGAAACTCCCTCGAGAATTTGAACAACCTGTTTCATACTTGGCTTATCCTTCTCATCATCCTGAATGCACCAACAAGCAACTTTACAAGCTCTATTCAGCTCTTCTGTGCTGGCATCACCTTCCAACCTCCCATCTAAGAGAGCAAGAACGTCTTCTCCTTTGTTAACCCTACTTGCAAGCTAGAAAGGGAAGTAATCTGCTGCCCCATCATCAAAAGATTCACTGTTTCTCCTTCCAGATATGGTTTCACATAGCAGCATTCCATAGCTAAAAACATCTGCTTTCGGAGTGACGGCTTCGCCGGAAATCCATTCTAGAGCTAGATCGCCTCTAGTTCCTCTCAGGGTTGTCAGGACTCGGCTAAATTCTTGGCCCAAGATCTTTGCAAGGCCTAAATCAGCTACCTTGGGGTTGTATTCTGCATCCAATAAAATGTTCTGAGGTTTGATGTCGCAATGGATGATGCAGTTTCTGCAGCCTTCATGAAGGTAAGCCAATCCTCTAGCAGTTCCAACTGCTATATGATGTCTGCTATTCCAATCTAAAGTCTTCGCACTGTTTCGAAATATAAGTGTTTCCAAAGAACCATTCGGCATGTAATCGTAAACCAAGAATCTTGTTGCAGCTTCAACGCAAAGTCCCCGGAGGCGGACAACATTGTTGTGTTGGATTGTTCCAATGGTTTTCACTTCTGTGATGAATTGTTTCTCACCTTGCTGAAGACTTCTGAGTTGCTTCACTGCTATTGCAGTTGAATTGGACAATGTTCCTATGAAAACAGAACCAAAACCTCCTTCCCCAAGTTTCTCAGAAAAGTTCTTTGTTGCTTTTCTCAATTCTTTGTACTTGAACAGCATCAAAGAATCCTTCACTGCCTCATTTGCACCAGCAGACTGTCTCCCCCATATAATTAGCCAGACAAGGCCAAGAAGAGAGAAGAATCCTGCTACTCATACTGCAATAATCCAAGTGGTATTATAGAAGTCCTGATGACATTTTACAAAAATAACAGCAAATAGCAATGTTATCCTTACGTGATACTGTTATTTGTAGTTATAAAATGGCGTTATATTAAAAAAAAAATCAAAATTTGTTTTTGTACTTTGCAGCCTACCCACATGATGTTATCACTATGCTTAATTAGTAATATTATTAAAAATATATAAATTAGAATAAATTTATTGACAACGATTAATGTATTAATAGTATAGATTGCCGTGATCGTTATTTTACTACTGCAATAAACCACGACTCACGATCTTTATAAATACTATTTTTTCAACTATGTCTGTTATTTAAAAATATGGACTGGAACCTCTAAAGGTGATATGACTGTTTAATGATTGCTGTCAAGATGATGATCCTTGCTAATAGACAGTGGTCATGCTAAGTGAAATATCTGCAAAACAAGTCCTCCTTATTAGAGTGATACTTATCGCGGGTATATCACCAATTGTCTCTAGCATGATTTGTGAGTGGACCGAAATACATCCAATATTAGTAGCATCTTCATTCACAAAATTCAAAAGGAAAGACCCAATGAAGTCATAAATAAATGCAAAAAAAATAATTCAACCGTAACTCGATATATCAATCTCAAATGTGGTCCTTTATTTGAAGTAATGAAACTATTTAAAGTCAAGATGTGATTTACAAAATAGTTCTGGCCTCAATACTCTTTTGGATCCTTGAACTTATCACTATTTTATTCTTGTTTGATCTTGACAGGAAAAGTTCTGATAAAACATTGGTTTCTATCGGTAAGGGAGAGGAATACATTAGCTGAAATTTACTCATAATCAAGCAGCATCGTAATTTAAACCTCAGATCAACTTCTGCAGTTGGTTGTCCGACGAGTATAAACCCTTAAAAACAATAATAATTGCGATTATCATTGTATAATACTGTTATTTTCATTATTTGTGTGAATCATAGTTATGCCGTGAAAAATAATAATAATCTTAATCGATTCCATTAAATACCCTTATTTGAAACTATTTTTATTATTTATGTTAATCGAAGTTATGCCGTGAAAAACAACAACGATCTTGGTCGATTCAGCTAAATACTGTTGTTTGAAACTATGCATACAACCACTGAAGCAGCAAAACTTCCATAAGGGTTTTTGATTATGCTCTTCATGGTTTTGATGATTGCACCAAATAAATTAAGATTTATCATTGTTTAATCTCATACACAATACGTTAGAGGAACATTCGAGGAAATTCAGAGGCAGCATTGAGGTTATTCTACATGATCTGCAAACCATTATTTGACTTTGAAAAGACGACTTATTCAAAAATTGATAGTCATAGTTTCCAGTCTTCCTTAATTTCCACTCTCTGTTGCTTTCATAAGCAAAAAATGGTCAACCAAATAAAATAAAGCATCCCACTTTACGTGCATAATTTACAAGAAATCATCGACGACAAGAATTTAGTGAAAAAGAAACCCTTGACTTGGTTGACTTGAGTGCCATTGCTGGAATGTGGCGTTTGGTACGAGGTTAAGAAGATGTGAGAGAACTATTAAAGGAGTAAATTATAAATTAGTTTCTTTAGTTTTGAAAAATAAATTAATTATTTTTTCTTGTTTCAAAAACTAATTATTTAATTCTTATATTTTTAAATTTTCTTATAACTTGATCATTTTCGTTCATATTCAATTTATTTTGATTTTTTTTTTGTTTAAGAAAAGAAATAAAAAAATGAAAGAAAAATAAGTAAAAATTTTGAAAGAATTGACAAGAAAATATGACTTTTTTTAAAATAAATTAATATTAAATTAAACATGATTGATCATTAGTCAATGAAGTAAATCATTAGTGTTTAAAACAAGGATAACTGATTGATTAATTTGTTTTTTGAAAATAAAGGTACTAATTTATAATTTACTCATTATTACAGGAGTAATTATTGCAATAACACCTTTTAAAAATGTTTGACAGAAGTAGGAATAAGCTGAAAATCTTCAGTGCATCATCCCTTGCTTCTCAAATTTACAGAACATTTGCAGGCCTATGAATTAGCAACATCATAATATCGCACACCTTCATCCATTGATTGTGTATAGTTTTAAGAACATTTCCAATTGGCGGCTTGTTTCTAATTATTACATGAAAACAAAATTGCAGAAGCTAAAAATCTGCAAACCGATCCACACATATCCAGTAAGATAAATAAGTGGACAAAAGGAGAAGCATAATTAATTTCTCCCACTGCAAGGTGTAAATCAAATGGAAGATGGTTGCCACTCAAGTGTTTCGCCTGCAGACATTGGAACAATATCTCCAAATGAAAACGAGAAAGACTGAGGAACCTTCCATGGAGTCCTAGTCAGTTTGATCTTCGATTTGTTCCTTGGAAGCCCATAGAAATCTGGTCCATTAAAGCTTGTAAAAGCCTCCAGCTTGTCAAGTGCACCAGCCTTAAAGTAACATAACCGCTAATTTAGTTAGCATGAACGCAGCATGTTTAGGGCAAGTCATTAAATGGATACTAAGTAGTGGACAAGCATCAAGCATTTCACCAATTACATGCAAAATCTCATCACAAGATGTGCCAAACTTATAGCCCAAATATGGAATTTACAGAGTCCAAATAATAGACATTTGCCTGTCCCCTTACCATCGCAAAGCTCATGTCCAAAGGGCAGTCTAAGGAAAATAGATACTGCAAAAACTTACCTCTTCAAAAACCTTGGCATATAGTGATATAGCAACAGGGGCATTATAAATTCCAGCACATCCACAAGCACATTCTTTCCTTCGTTTCTCATGTGGTGCGCTATCAGTTCCGAGAAAGAACTTTTTATTTCCGCTAGTCACAGCTGAAACAATAGCCTGCCCTGGACGAGTAAAAACCACATTAGACTTGTGGGAAAACAATCACACAGAAACATGGTATCAATGAATGCTTATATTATCTTCTCTTTATTAATCTTTACCAAATGAAGTACACTCCCTACAAAGAGAACTATCATGTTGATATTAAAATAAAATACAGGGCTAATTGGAATGACATATAATGGTGCTATAACAATACCATCTCTTTTTGACACTACAACAAGTGCATTTCCAAAAGCAATTATTTGCTAAATCTTTAAACGATGTAAGAGGATATACTGTGAATTTCTCGTTTGAGTACTGGAAGGCAGTAATTGTGCGGTTGCAATCCTCCTTGAAAGATAGCATTTCTATTGAGAAGAAGATGCTGTGGAGTAACAGTTGCCGCCACAGATCCTAAAGATTTAAATAAAAATTCGGATGATCACCTTCACTAAGTGTTAACAAATCAATAACTAAATCATGGAAAAAATAGAAAAACTAATCTATGAATGTGAGCAAGCATACCATAACTACAAGACTCAACAAACCTAACAGCTTCCAATGTAGTGATATGCTCCATTACAACCTTTAGCTGTGGTAGCCTTTGGATTAAAGGTTGTAAAATAGTGTCAATGAAGACCTTTTCACGATCAAAGATATCAACATTAGGATCTGTAACCTCCCCATGAACCTGTGAGTGCATTGCACAATCACATTAAAGTCAATTATAAAATTACAATCATGGATAAGCTAAAATCAACTATAAACGATTATAATCTTAAGCTACATCTCAAACAAGTGCTAAGTATACCCTGCAACCACTAAGCATGAAAGAAAATAACTTCATGAAATTTTAATCTCGTCCAATGCTCACATTAGCAGAAAGGCAATTAAAAAAAAAAAAAAAAAAAAAAAAACCCAAAAAGAGAACCTACTAAAACATGGGTACCAGTCAATATAATAAAATTACCAGCAAAGGGATATTCTGCTCCGCCATCTCCTCAAGCACAGGGAGACATTTTCCAAAAAGATCAGTAACACCATCTTGAGAATTTGTTGTAGCTCCAGCAGGATACAACTTCACAGCAGAAACTACCCCACTTTCTCCTGCCAATGTAATCAGATCCTTATCAATGAAACAACAAACTCCACGTTAAAATTATTAAAGCCTAAAAGCAAAGAAACAAAAAAATTTGAAGTTAAAAACAAAAATTTAACTAGCCTACATATATGGCTCTAAAAAACCAAATTAAATGGATATTGTAAGATCAAAATTCTTCTAAATAGTTTCTCAACCAGTATCATCATTCTATAAAACTAGAAATTGCTAATTCTACAACCAACGCTGTACTAAATTTGCAAATGCAATCAAAATAAACTTACTTGCAAGCTTAATCTCATTAGGACTTGTAGTATCTGTCAAATACAGAGTCATTAACGGACTAAAATTACTATCAGCAGGCAATGCTTTCAAGATAGATTCACGGTAAGCAACAGCAGCAGCCGTGGTAGTAATAGGAGGCTTCAAATTTGGCATCACAATTGCCCTCCCAAAACAACTAGCACTGAATAGCAACATATCATAACAATCATCAAAATCCAGCTAAAACAAATAAAAAATAACATTAACCAAAGTGAAAGAACAACGCATTTAAGATAAGAAAACAATAACCTGTGAGGGACAACAGCTTGAAGAAGGTCACCATCACGTAAATGAAGATGCCAATCATCAGGTTGAGTTATAGTAAGCTCCATCTTTAAAGCTTTGCACTTTAACAGCCTAGACCCTTCAACTTTTAAAGATGGGCAATTCAGTACCTGTATTACATTTAAGAAACCAACATCAAAACATCAAGATTAGTAAAAACATTCATCTGGGCAAAATTAAAAAATTCTCAAAATCAATAAAGTGAAGTTCTTGCAGAAAAAAGATACAAACTTGGAATGGTAAAACTGAAGTCTTTAGCATCCCAAATGCCATCATTTAATCAAATGTACTCTCTAGAACTCAGAAACTTTATTCTATCAGAGAAACGAAGGAAGAAAGACCAAAGTTTGCATTGCAGATTTATATCAGGCAATTAATCAAACAGGTTATGCGCATGAATTACAGCAACAAACAGAAAAAACGAACAGTCTTGGTGGTTCTGTCTGGTCAAAGACCAAATTCTTTATGCCCAGGCATGACAGAACAGTGAGGAGCCAATATGTAACGACAAGTCGTTGAATTTTCCAGTAGGAAAGACATGTCGTTTTCTTTGTTAAGAAATTGTTTTGTACGGTTGGGAAGCAGAAGCTAGAAAACTCACCAGTGATGTTGCTGTAACTTTCTTTCAAGCAGTCCAAACTCCAAACTCCAAATGATCTGAATTGCTTGATTTTTTTTGGAGATGTGATGGTGTAATTATCATTTGGTAGAGAGAATATTATATGTTATGCAAAGTTTCCTGCAGTGTCACATAGAATAAAGATAGTGGGAATATCTGATTAAATAATTTTGGTATGGATCTTGCATCTTTTTTTTTTTTTTATAAAGAAACATTATCTAGATCATTATTATTATTATTTTTTCTTGTATACATTAAGACAATATTCAAACAGTCTTTAAGGTCATATCAAGATACGATCTTAAAATATGTCTTTAAGATCATTTGAAGAGTAATTAGTTTAAATGATGATATATATATATATATATATATATATATATATATATATATATATATATATATATATATATGTATGTATATTGTTAAATAAAAAAATATATAGCCGTATTAGTAAGTAGGTTTTGCTCCCCTATTATAGTTCATGGTTTGAACTAATAGAGTAATTTTATTGTTTCTTCATGTTATATATATATAATCAAAACTTAAAAAAAAAATCAAATTAAAAAAAAAAACCGACAAAAACAAAAACCAAACCGATATCGTTAATTCGATCAGAATAATGCTCACTCCAGTTCCAAAACATACTGTCTAACAATCATTCAGCAATCAAATCAGAAACGAAAATCCTTCTCACACACAGCAACCTCTCGTACTGTATCAGAAGTGTCCTAAGATTTTCTTGATTCATCATCTTGACTGCTTTAAACATGCAGAAAACAAGCTACGAACAAGTTATTTATAGAAGAAAAATCGAAGGTAATTAACACCCGAAAAAAAGTCCAAAATCAAAGAAGGCTAAAGCATGTTAGTCTCATCGTTTATCAAATCAATGGTAAGCTCATCAAATCCAAAGAAAACGGAGCTAAGAAAACAAGAGAGAACAAAGAAGCAGATAGGCAACAGTTGGCCTGTTAATATTGAGATGCAACCAAAAAAAAAAAAAAAGGTTTACTTTAGGTGCTTGTTCCATTCCATGACATGTGGTTAGGTAAGACTTCGTATTCTTGGAGTAAATTATTAATTAGTCCCTCTATTTTTTCAAAAGGAATTGAAAAGTCCCTTTAATTTTAATAATTAATTAATTAGTTTTAATATTTTTAAATCTATTCGTAATTTAAAAAAATATATAAAAATATAAAATATAAACAAATGGATGAAAAAAATATTTTTAAAATAAAATAATATTAAATTAATTATAGTTAAAATTGCTCAAAAGATTAATAAAATGGATTACTTGCAACATCTTTACATTACTCAACCTATAAGAACTATATATAAATAAATAAATAAATAAATAAAGGAAAACCAATACATCTTCATCTACATTTTAGTGCTGGTTTTATCCAATTTTAAACCATACCAAACTGAAAAAAAAAAAAAAAACAAAAAATAAAATAAATTATTTTACACATAAAATTTGTGAAAAGTTGAAAATTTTGAATCTATATGTCATACTAACAATAATTCAGCAATCAAATCAGAATCGAAAATCCATCTCACACACAGAAATCTCTTGTACTGTGTCAGAAGTCAGAGGTTTGCTAAGATTCATCATCTTGATTGCTTTAAACAAGCTACAAACAAGTTATTTGAAGAACAAAAATCATAGGTAATTAATAAAAGAAAAGAAAAGAAAAGAGTCCAGATGAAAGAAAGCTAAAAAATACATAAAATTAAGAAAGAACGTCCGACGGATCGTTGAGCTCACCAAATCCAAAGAAAACTGAGATAAGAGAACGAGAGAGAACACAGAAGCAGATGGAAAAACACTTGGCCTGGTAATTATTGAGCTAAAAAAGGTTTATATATTGGGTTGAAAATCAAGCTTGCCCCTCGTTTTAATGATTAATTACCACCCTTTAGATTGTCCTTTGTTGTAGTTTTACGAAATTAGAAGTCCAAATACAAACTAATAGAAAGAGATTGGAAAGAAGGGGAAAGTTCGAGTCCATGACATGTGGTTACGTATGACTTCATCCTCTTGGTGTAAATTATAACTCAGTTTCTTTAGTTTTGAGAAATAAATGAATTAGTCCATTTGTTTGAGAACCTAATTATTTAGTTTTTTTTTCTATTTTATGCTCTTTTTATTTTTTATAAATAAAAAATAAGCACACATTATGAAAAAAGAAGAAGATATTTTTAAAATAATATAATATTAAATTAAGTATAGTCAACACTAATTAAAGGACTAAATTCTTAATTTTTTAAATAAGAGGATTAATCAACTCTTTTATTGAAACTAAAGAGACTAGTTTATAATTTACTGAAAAAACCAATGGTAAACTGCTTTTTTTTTTTTTTTTTTTGGAATATGCTATCATAAGCTTGTCCTACCATTTTATTAATAAAAAATGAGTAATTATATTATTGTTTTATGATATTCTCTTCTCTTTTCAACTAATGAAAATCTTTTCTTTTGTACTTAGGGATAATCTAGATGCTTATACATTCCCTGAACTATAAAATCTATTCTGATGAATTATTTTTTTCTCTATTGTTTTATTTTTCCCTTAAATAACACAAGAATTGCATATGTTTCTTTCTAAAATATCAAACTCTCATAAAATTGGTAAAAAAAAAAATTTTAAAAAACAATTTACAATACAATAAAATCATCCTTAAGAAACTAACACTCAATAGTTTATTCCTTTCATGATTTTTTTGGTTTTTTTTTTTTTTTTTTTTTAAGAAAAATATGTGATTTGTGACTTAGGAAATATTAATCAAAACAATTTATAGTTTTGAGGATTGAAAGAAAAATAATAAGAGTGACAATCAAAGTGACTTAAATAGTTTAGAGGAATTTATATATGTTTAGCCTTGTTTTTTATAATCATCTAAAAGAATGCCTTATAAGTAAGACAAGATCAAATATATCCTTAGATTCTTATATTAAAATTAATACATAAAACAAGCACTTTATAAGAGTTTGCTTCTATTGAGATTATATATAATTCTTTTTTTTTTAATTAAAACTCTAAATTTTTTTTTCTATTTAATTTTAAAATTTAATTTTTATATTGTTATGATTTCAAAGCTTAATATATCAAATTTCACGAATTTTAAACAATAATAGCTTGACACATGTTATGATGATCTTAAATTAAATTTTAATAAAAATAAAACTTACCATATGTTTATATAACACATTAGAATTTATCATATGCTTACATAAATATTAGAGTTTAAAACATCAATATAAAAGTACATAAAAGTAGAACTGGGTCTCCATATGGATAAAACCCGCAATTTATACATCCGGACTTGATTCTTTGCTTCAATTTGGGTAGAAAATAATCAATTACATGGTCAAAATCCATGTTGAGGGAAATCTCCTTCTGGGTTTCCCTTTTCTTACCAGTCTTACAATGTGGGCAAATCTGATACGACAACCATCTAGCCCACTAGTTCCAGTCCGATATGTTAAGGTTTCCTCATGCTCCATTTTGAGCTCGAAGGTAGAGAATATCCTAAGTTGCATTTACATTCTTAAAGTCGCTCCCAAATTTGATGAATCTCAGACAAATATATATATATATATTGTTTTAGTTCAATTTGCTGGCCTTAAACATGCCAAATTAAGCCTGATATTGAAGCTAAACCCAGTAATTTATTCATATAAGTATCAATTTTTAATGATATTAATAAAATCAACTGACAGGAAGATGTAAAAACGACGAAAATGTAAAGAATTGCATTGATGTTAAGACGAAAAATGTAGTTCAAGGAGGAAGATAAGCAGAAAACCAAAACGGATTTATAGTTGGCTATGTTGAATTTCTGAAATTTGGTTCATTGAGGAATTTAAAACCAAGGAATTTAAAAGAGAAAAAATTGTATTTGAGATTTTGTCGAAGTATGAAAAAAAATTCGAAAACTCAATCACAATAATGGATAAAAATAATCGATCATAAAGCTATCAGAAACGAAAATCTTTCTCATACACAGTACAACATCGTACTGTGTCAGAAGGTGTCCTAAGATTTTCTGATTTCATCATCTCTTTTGTTTTCGATTAATGTAATAAACTCCTAAAAGACCAAAACCCACCAAATAAAACAAGAAAAAAGAAAAAAGAAGAAGAAGAAGAAGAAGAAACACAGGTCAGAGTGAATGTGACAAACCTAATTAAAGAAACATGAATCAGAAAGAACGTAGCGATAAAGTAGATTTTTCTTGATCATGTGAAACTGATCATCACTCACATACATTACTTTCATCATCTTCAACTTTATAAACCAAAAAAAATGTTAAGAAAATATAACAGACGATAACAGAGTGGAAGACACAGCTTTAGTTTCTGAGAATAGGGGATAGAAACAAGCCGTCTTGAAGAGGTGAGGGGAACAGCACGTATGATTTTATAGGGTTGCGACTCAAAACCCTAGAGGACTACCTATGGAAGATTTTGTTCTCGGCCCATTTCACATTAGCTTCCTAACTCAACCCATAAAAGCCCATCTTTGCTTTGGGTTACACACAAAGGCCCACTTTAAATCTTGTACCCAAACTTCCACAATGTTTTTGATAAAGTAGGTTAATATTAATCTTAGTCTTCTTTATTTTTTTTAGTAAATGATAAGGTATTAGCGTATTACCTTTCATGTATTAAGGTTAAGCCTTTTCTCGAATAGATTTTAGATTTCAAATTGATGCATTTATTGAAAATATTTCTGGTAAATTTGCTTTAATCTTTTTTTTTTCCTTATCAAATAAAGTATGGTGTTATATCTGTAAACTTGAGTAAAATATAAATTAGTCTCTTTATTTCTATCATTATTTAATATCTTGATCAGTATTGACAATGCTTAATTTAATATTATTTTATTTTAAAAAATCTTTTTTCATCAATCTTTTCATAATATTTATTTATTTATTTTCTATTTTTCAAAAGAAAAAAAAAAGAAAAAAAGAAAGAATATAAATGAACAAAAACAAAAAAGCTTAAATAATTAGAGTTTAAAACATGAGATATTGAATAATTCTTTTTTCAAAACTAGAGAGAATAATTTATAATCTGGTCCGCTAAACTTCCTAATTAAAAGTTTCAAACTAAGCTAATGTTATTGGGTTATTTTAATTTCATGGAGAATTTAGGTATTGAGTAGGTAAGAATGATCTGAATAGTACAAGAAAGAAGAAATGAAAAGAAAAAAAAAAAAACCGGGAAGAGTACTGTTTGCTTTATTTTAATATTTTTGAAGTGATCATACAAGAATGATTTGTCCTTGATAGATCTAAAAAACCGAATTTATTCTCCATTCACAAATAATATGATACATAACATGTGAAAATAACTCTAAAAATAAAATAAATTGTAGGGTTTCATAACAATGACATGCAATTTTTCTTTTTTCAACAATAATGATATGCATTGAATATATTATCTCTATCAACCATTTTTGGCAATGAGGAAATTAGCAAATTTTCCTTTTACAACGATAATGACATGCATTTGTATAGTATCTAGCTATCAACCATTTTTGGCAATGAGGAAGTTAACAATTTGGGTTGCTGGGATCTTTAATCGGCCGGTGGAGTACTTCCTTCACATGCAGCTTTGAAAATCATGTCAAATGCATTTTCTATGTCCGACTTGAGCTTTTTTGGATCAATGAAGTCTTTTTCTACTAGCAAAGCAACTCTAAGCTTTCCCACGTAGCTCATTATTCCTGCCATAAGGCTCTGCATTTGCATAAAAACAAACCATTTCATCGTTACAACGATAAGGACTCAAAAAAATCAAAATTATTTTCTCAAAAAAATAAAAATCAAATGCATTTTTCCTGTGAAAAATTACTTGAATTTACATGTACCTGAGGTGACCCTGTCACCACAAAGTATAGTCCACTAATTGGATGATTGGCGACGGCTATCTGCTCCATTGGCCCCATTACATTTGTGATTCCCATGCTTGTATTCTCCAGCGTTCTATGTATGTATTTAGATGCTCCCTACAAGAACAAAATCCCAAAAATCATAGCGTCTATGTATAACAATCCCCACCCATCAAGAAGGGAAAAAAAAAGGAAAAAAGAAGAGAATAGTATACCAGTAAAAATTATGTATCAAATCCATACCACTAAAAATTGTTTCGATAAATTCATCGATAGAGTCTTGCATGTGTGAGTTAAAAAAATAAAATAAAATAAAAAATAAATTCATCGATGTATTTTTATAGTATTGGTTTGATCCTGAATTTTGGATGAGATCCGTAATAGTTTATGGTAAATAAGTATTGCACCGTAAGAAGAAAAGGCCAATAACGTACCTTTGGACCACGAAATTTCTCAACAAGTTGAAGATATTTGGCAGTGAGGTAAACACCAAAAGAGCTTCTCTTGTTCTGGATGATTTTTCTTGCATTGAAGACAAATTGTAGGGGATTATTCTTGGCCTCAGCATCTCTTAACTTGGGAATTGGCGTGTTCAAGAAGGCAAAATGGTTCCCCCAAGGCAACTCAGCGTCAGGTTTTACCATTTCTTCAACTGAGGTGTAGCCTCCATACATTCTTGTGTTAAGCAGAACCAATGATGTACTACATGCATTGCCTGATCCTTGACTCATTGTTTCCATGTACAATCTAGTTCCCAAGAATATTGCTCCAGTAATCACATCATTTAATGTCTGTAATTACCGAGAAACAATTCGACAAGAAAATTAAATATTGCCATTAATTTTGAAGAAGAGAATTGAAGTGGTGAGGATCTTACCACTCCAAGCTTGGCCTTGATTTGCTTAATATGGTCAAGAGAGAAAGTCATTGTTGCTATGGAAACAGGAAGAAACTCTACCCCAGAACGCCCAGATCTTATTGGTGTCTTGTCATCCTCAACCAAAGAACTCTTTACAATGCTTGAACAAAAATCCGATACAGTGTTGGAAACTGAAGAGAAAAATCTAAGCACATTCCTGAACATGCTAAAATTTGTGCCATTTTTATTGGTGTGCAATTTAACAGAAGGAAATGTTAACGGAATAGAAGGATTATCAGCTCTTTGTAAACAAGAAAGGAGAGCTCCCATTAAAGAGAAGCCATCTCCAAGCGAGTGGTGAAGCTTGAACACTATGTTACTAGCTGCATGACTTGTGGGGTATTTTATTAAATGACATTCCCATAATGGCTGGCTTTGAGGTAATTGTTCCATTGCCATTTTCGAAAGATAATCATCAAGACATTCATCGTAAAATTGTGTTGACATTCCGGAGGCGAAAACCGGAACATGGACATGATCTTTGATCCTCACTTCGACCCTCTTCCATCGCTTTACTCCGTCTTTATCTGTAACCTGTAGTTTCCAAATTCTCATCGGTCAATGCTATATATATACTGATGAAAAGTAAGAAGAAGAAGAAAGATACAAAAGGTAGAAAGAGTACCATAATGGAGGAGAAACGAGTGTTCAAAGGGAGGAAAAGATCCCTGAGCAATGGAGCAGCTAGAGAGTCATCTAAAGGCACTTCCAATTCCAGAACAGCAATGATAGAGAGTGATAGAACAGAGTTGCTAAGAAATTGTCCTGAAGGGCTCACAGGTTGTGATATTTCTTGATCTTGTGTAACCTCCATTTGTATTTTTAAGATCTATCTCTGCTTCTCTATCTGCCAAAGCTTATTATTTGCAAGGCGTGAATGGTACAAACAGTTCTGCCTAGTACATATATACCTATGCAAATTGCTATTGTCTCACATATTTAATGCAGAATTGAAAATATATATATAAATCCAATCACAAAGTCATATTTTTCTCATCCGATACCAACTCTCATTGATTAGTCATGTAATAATGACTTTCTACTCTATGTTTGAAGAATAAAATACGTACCCTGAGGCTCATGTAACTCATCTGTCACGTATCAAATCTTATCATGGAACAAAATAATAATAATTTGCGGTTTCAAACTGTTTGGTTGACAAGAACAGCTTTCAGTGATTTTGTCTTCTTTTTTAGAACTTTCCCTCTTCGTCGAATCCAAAAAGAAAAAAATCCAAAATTGGGAGGGATTTTTATTTATTTATTTATTATTATTTTTTAAAAGATGTCTGAAGGTATGGATTCATTTATGCTGCAACTGTTAACACCCAACTGTTGGGAATTGTTACGAGTACAGCAGGAATGTAGTCTTAGATGAGCTAAATCCCAACTGTAATTGAGAGGCTCAAGGAAATGTCTTGAGTGTACTAAATCCTAGACAACAATGGATTGCATGTTTTGGTTTTGGTGTGTTCTGATAAATTTAGGTGTCACGTACCTTTTAGCTGTTGTCAGAATGTGGTTGGAAAATGGTAAATAATAAGCAACGATCTTGAAGAAAAAATGCACTATGATTTGGAGTGTACTACAAGTTTGGATACAACTTCTTAATTAACAGATAAACCAACTTCCTACTTAAACAATCCAATCCAATTAATTTTCTGGGAAAATTACAGTAACCCAATTCAAATATATATTATGAAATAAAAAGAACTACGTAAATGTTTCAAAATATAACAGAAACTCCCTCTACTTTCAAAAAAGATTACAAAAATCCCTATTTATGCCAAAAATGCTATTAATATTTATAAAATCATTATTTTTTTATAGTAAGAATTTTTTTAAAAAGAAAATATTAAAAGCATTTTGAGCATAAAAGAATTTTTTTGTAATATCTTCTTCTAAGTTTTTGTAATATCTTCTAAGTTTAGGTGACCATTAGAAGAAAAATCCTTCAATAGATCTCAAATTGACGGGTTAGCCAGGCTGTTATGCATTTTTTAAATAGTAATTCATTTTCTCAAAACGCATGAAATCAGAAAGTTCTATTTTTCAATCTTTCTGACTTTTTCCTATGGAATCAATGCTTGAAGGTGGTTAACTTTTTAACTACTTTTATCCTGTCCATGAAATTAGAATTTTTTTTTTTTTTTTGAGATGGGGTCCAAAAATCTCAATTTTCCAATAATAGTAGTTAGTTAATTGTGTTGCTAATGGCACCTATTCAATGGACTACTCAGAAAATCTTGTGTCGTGCTACCTTGTAGTTGATGTATAGGTGCAAGTAGGTGACCCATAAGTTTTTCAGCAGAATCATGGTAATGAATCGTAGAAATGATCGATAGTACAAATGACAAGAAGGTTTGGTCAAGTAGGTTTTTTATCTCATGGTAACTGTGACCAAGTAAACATGTTTGTGTCATCCTGTATTTGAGGAAGTTGGGTTATCTAATTTGTAGGAAAAAACTTATTTTTGGGCTTCAGATTCGAGTTTTTTTTACTAGTTTCTTAAAAAGAGATTATATAATTTTAAAAAAAATACTTAGTGACATTACGGTGATAGACACTATTTTTTAAAATAGATAAGGTTTAAGAGTAAATTTAAAAAGCAAAAATATTAAATGACATAATATTCATTAAAATAAAGTATCTTTTTTTATATTTCTCTAAAAAAACACTACCTATATAAAATTATGATGATATATATATATATATATATATATATATATATATATATATATAAATGAAACCTAGGTTTGCGTGTATCTTAGGGTGGAATGAGGATTGGGTTGGATTTTTGGGATGCAAAAAACAGCCCCACCTCGTGCACGTCAAGTTGAATAAAGAAGCTATTTTGTTGGACTCGATGAATTGACAATTCCTTATGTTCACGATTATTCATTTCACTGTTTATACACATTCTTTAATACTGTTCACACACATTTTTTAGTACTGTTCATCCGTATTTAATTTCACTGTCTATGAATAAATTTGTAAAAAAAAAAAAATTACACTTTGATTTCTCATTGTTTTAAAAATTTTTATTTCAATCTTGAATTTTATTTATCTTGCAATCTGATTCTTAAATGTTTGTAATAATACTAAATAAAAAACCTAATAATAATATCAATTCAGACAACAAAAGAGCATGAATGTCGGCTTAAATGGATCCATATTGAAAGTTTACCCCACGTTCATAAAGATTTATATCAAAATCTAATAACCAAAAAGGGTGCCTTTCTCCTACATTATAATTATACAAGTGTGTGTGCAGATATATATACGATAATTGTATTTTTTTTTTTTTTTTTGGTAAGAATCCTTTTACCTCTCTCTCGCGCTCTCTCTCCCTCTCTCCCCTAGAACTCACATTGTAAATGCACTAGCTAGTAAAATATTCAGTGGGAGCGTCATGTGCTTTCTTAGATGATCCAAAGTGCCTTAACCGATAAACTCCAGAGCTAGCCTACTTTGGCACCTCTCAATCTTACCTTTCGAAGTTTCTTGGACGGGGAGCAATTTGGGACTAGCTAGTAAAACATTCAATGGGAGGTATTTATAGACTTCTAATCATGAAGTTTAAAATTTTCAACAAATTTTAAAGATTTTACTCGCCCGATCTTACCTTTTTGAAGTTTCTTGGATGGGGTTGGGGAGCAATTTTGGATGGATCCAAATTTTCTCTGCCCATCACTCATTAGCACAGTTCTTACTGACGCGGTTTAAGTCGGACCACATAAAAATTGGGTCCATGGGAGTGGAAGGATGGCAATAATATGAGAATGGTTAGGTTTTTGGGTGGCTCAAAGCTAATGAAACCGTACTTCGGATTTGAACAAGTTATGACCCTCTCTCTCAATTATTTGACAGATTAATAGCATCCTGAAAGTTTCATTAAATCTGTACTTTACATTTGAACAAGTTGTATTTTCTCTAAAATGAGGGTCTTCCATTGACCTATGAATTAGGTTAACGTAATTCTATCAATCATTTGGTTCAAGTAATTAGAAAGTGAGGAGTTATGAGCTCACAAGCAATCGATTACAAAGAATTAACGACTCCTGTTAACATCAACTGGGCTTTTGCAAAAGTTTGCAACAAAAGTGAGACAACTTCATGCATGAAAATATCAGTTAGGTTATGCTACTTCGCTTTTAGTCCTATATGTCAATTGGATTCTAGAGACAGATTTGAATATTGATATTGTATGGATAAACAACTATTCAGCTTATAGATCTTGGAAACTTCAGAGTAATTTTAGTGTTAAAATTAGTTTATTTCACTCGTGTTCTTAAGGAAAGGAATTCTGTAACTGATGTCTTGGCGAAATATAATCTCCATAGGTGTAACAACTTCTTAGCTTAATTGTAATCTCTCGTATTTGCTAGCTTCTTTCTGGCACATTTCACTAATCAATCTAATCATCGAAAAAAAAAAAAAAGAAGTCAATGAGATAAAGTTATATTGTAAGTGTCCTAATCTACCATAATATTTTTGCAGAATTCATAGGCATACATTAGCATTTAATACAACATAAAATTTGAAGAAGTACATGTTGGAAAATTTTGCAAGGTGAAAGTTTTGCCATGTATTGCTAAAAATACTCTTTAATGACAGCTCTTTTTCCATGCCTTTATAATTACAATAATATTTATGGTAAGATATTAAACTATTAGAAATATTATTAACTTTTTTTATTAAACATTAAATTATTATTGTATGATATTAAATTATTAAAAATGATATTATTATATTTCATTAGTAAAATTATTAATATATGTGAATGATAATAAATTTATTAATAGATATCAATACATTTACAATATACATTGACATGATTATTATTTATTATCATAATAAATCGTTATCCGCGGTTGCAATCAGAATAGTTATTACAGCTGCTTTTACCATTTAAAACTATACTTTGCTTGCTGGGATCTTTAATTGGCTGGTGGAGTACTTGCTGAATGCATCTTTGAAAATCATGTCAAACGCATTTTCTATGTCGGACTTGAGCTTTTTCGGATCAATAAAGTCTTTTTCTACTAGCAAAGCAACTCTAAGCTTTCCCACGTAGCTTATTATTCCAGCCATAAGGCTCTGCATTTGCATCAAACCAAACCGTGTCATAAACTCATGATTACAATGATATAAAATTTTGGAAAAGAAAAGAAAAAGCATGATTTTCAATTGTTTTTTGTATTATATAAGGACTCAAAAATCATTCTCAAAAAAAAAAAAAAAAGAATCAAAATTATTGTCTTGTGAAAATTACTTGAATGTACATGTACCTGAGGTGACCCTGTTACCACAAAGTATAGCCCGTTAATTGGATGATTAGCCACGGCCATCTGCTCCATTGGCCCCATTACATTTGTGATTCCCATGCTTGTATTCTCCAGCGTGCTATGTATGTATTTAGATGCTCCCTGCAAGAGCAAAATCCCAAAAATCATAAATTGTATCTATAATAATTCCCATCCATCAAAAAAGAAAAAAGGGGAAAAGGAAAAAGAATAAAAAAGGTTTTAAATAAGGAGAAATTAGTATACCGATTTGATATACCACTAAAAATCATGAATTAAACTCATAATATAATTTTATTTTGATAAATTTATCGACTTATAAATGTATTATTGGTTTGATTCATAATTTTGGACCGGATCCGTGATAATTTATGGTAAAGAAGTAATTCATCGTAGAAAAAGGCAAATATCATGCCTTTGAACCTCTAAATTTCTCAACAAGTTGAAGATATTTGGCTGTGAGGTAGACACCAAAAGTGCTTCTCTTCCTCTGGATGATTTTTCTTGCATTGAAGACAAATTGTAGGGGATCTTTCTCTTCCTCAGCATCTCTTAACTTGGGAATTGGTATGTTCAAGAAGGCAAAATGGTTGCCCCAAGGCAACTCAGCATCAGGTTTTAGCATTTCTTGAACTGACTTGTAGCCTCCATACATTCTTGTGTTAAGCAGAACCAGTGATGTACTACATGCGTTGCCTGATCCTTGACTCGTTGTTTCCATGTACATCCTAGTTCCCAAGAATATTGCTCCGGTAATCACATCATTTAATGTCTGTAATTACCAAGAAACGATCCAAGAAAAAGATTAAATATTGTCATTAATTTTGAAGAAGAAAATTGAAGTGGTGAGGATCTTACCACTCCAAGCTTGGCCTTGATTTGCTGAATACGATCAATAGAGAAAGTCATTGTTGCTATGGAAACAGGAAGAAACTCTACTCCAGAATGCCCGGATCTTATTGGTGTCTTGTCATCTTCAACCAAAGAACTCTTTACAACGCTTGAACAAAAATCTGATACAGTGTTGGAAACTAAAGAGAAAATTCTAAGCACATTCCTGAACATGCTAAAATTTCTGCCATTCTTATTGGTGTGCAATTGAACAGAAGGAAATGTCAAGGGTAGAGAAGGATTGTCAGCTCTTTTTAAACAAGAAAGGAGTGCTCCCATTAAAGAGAAGCCATCTCCAAGTGAGTGGTGAAACTTGAATATTATGTTACTAGCTGCATGACTTGTGGGGTATTTTATTACGTGACATTCCCATAATGGTTGGCTTTGAGGCAGTTGTTCCATTGCCATTTTTGAAAGATAATTATCAAGACATTCATCATAAAATTGTGTTGACATTCCGCTGGCGAAAACCGGAACATGGACATGATCTTTGAGCCTCACTTCGACCCTCTTCCATCGCTTTACTCCATCTTCATCTGTAACCTGTAGTTTACAAATCCTCATCGGTCAAGGCTATATATTGATGAAAAGTAAGGAGAAGAAGGAAGATACAAGGTAGAAAGAGTACCATAATGGAGGAGAAACGAGTGTTCAAAGGAAGGAAAAGATCCTTGAGCAATGGAGCAGCTAGAGAGTCATCAAAAGGCACTTCCAATTCGAATACGGCAATGATAGAGAGTGACAGAATAGAGTTGCTAAGAAATTGTCCTGAAGGGCTCACAGGTTCTAATATTTCTTGATCTTGTACAACCTCCATTTGTAGTGTCAAGATCTATCTCCACTTCTCTATCTACCAAAGCTTATTGTTTCCGAGATGTGAAGGGAATAGTTTTGCCTAGTATTGAGCACAAAACCAAAGAAGAAACTCTGACATTTGGCTTTAGAAATGTGGAGGGTTACTTATACTTGTATGTAGCTGTACTGTCTCATCCTAGAAATTAATTATTGTATATCAAATCAATCATTTCATAAGGATTAAATAATAATACTCGAACCTTTTGTGCAATCAAATTAAACAGCTTTAATTAGTCATGCAAATAATCTGTCATCATGACGTAAAAAATGGACGGGCATGATCTAGGGATAGAGTCCACGGCCATATTTCTTTATGAATGGACGAGCATGCATGCCTCCACAAAAACTGCGGCCACATCTCCGAGGGGCGTACAACCAAATTCTATAAAAAAATAATTTTACAATCATATCCTTGGAATGGCTGAAGGCCAAACCTAGGTAGAAAAAGATGAATTTAAAAATAAAATTAAAAAATCGTATGAAATAGTTCAAAAAATAAAAATTTAATCTTAATTAATGTAAAAATTAATTCATATATATATATATATATATATATATAGACAACAAAAACAACATGAAGGATCCAGTATTAATAAGTTTACCCATACATTGATAAAGATTGATGAGCTTATTTATTAGTGTCCTAAATTGTATTAAGATTAACAATCATCAAGGTAAAATAACCTTTTTCAGTTTTATTACCATAAGACCCAAAGATTGATGAGCATACCTTTCTACTAGCAGAGCAACTTTTCCTACGTAACTTGTTATTCCTACCATCACATTCTCCAATTCCATAAAGACCATGTCATAAAGATGCACAATGGCATCGCAACTTTAAAAAAAAATCTGGTTAGAATGGTAACAAATTAGATGCAAAGTTGTATGATCTTGGCATACTTGAGGTGCCCTTGTGACCACATAGGATAATCCTTTAACAGGACCATTAGCTATGGCCATACCAAATATAGTAGCATCCATAGAATAATATTGACATGGAAAAGTCTTTTTCTTTCTAAAAGTTGTGTAGTTGGGTTAGATGAGATTCTAATTATTATCATAAGATAAGATCTTTCTCCATCTCCTGGATCTCAAATTTTAAATTATTAGAAAAAATTTTAAAAATAATTTTATATTATTCTTAAATATATTATATCAAATGAAAACTCTTTAAAATTTGTAACTTACACAGATTCATTGCTTCTATTTTGTATTCGATTTTAAGTCCAATTAAGATTCGAATTTATAACGTTTGATCATTAAAATTTTGATACAATATCAAAAAGTTATTTCAATTCAAAAACATAAATAGATAGATAAAATTCTATAAATATTTTTATATTTATTTCTAAAAATAAGAAAGCAACATTCTAAAAATAAATAAATCATACCTTGCCACCTCTAAATACATTAACATATGTCTTATGTGTATTCTAACTAGGCCTCTACATTTTGTCTTATTTGATAATTAAAAAAATTATTTTTTTATATTTACAGATAATGAGATATTTTTTGATTCATTTTTTATCAATACTAAAAAATCTTTTGTTATGAAAAGAAAATTACTTTAAGATAAATTAATTCTTAATTAATATATGCAAAAAAATCCTTTTGATATTATTGACCAGTACCAAACAAGCAGCTGCGACATTTCTAAAAGTTTCTCCTTTACAAAACGAAATATTCATAAATAATGTCGACAGCGGAACTACGCAAGACGTTACCTTTCATTCCTTTTCATTTGGTCCATCGAATCTCCAAATTTTTGACACTTGTCTTCCAGTTTTAATGGGATGCTATAGAGCTTATCAAAAACAGTTGGATGTTAGAGCTAATCAAATACTAGTTGGTTGAGGCATTAATACATTATTTGTCCTAACAAAAAATCTAATACATTATTTGAATAAATTATAAATTAGTCCTTTTAATTTTCAAATATGAATGAATGGATTTTTTTTTTCAAAAACTAAATATTTAATCTCTATATTTTTAAATTTTCTTATAGCTTAATCCTTTTTGTTCTTTTTTAATTTATTTCGATTTTTTGTCTTAAGAATTAAAAATAATAATAAGTAAAAAAAAGGAAAAACTAATGAGAAAAAATGACATATTTTGAAATAAAATAATATTATATTAAGCACGGTTAATACTTGTTAAGGAACTAAATAATTAAGTTTTAAAACCAGCACTAATTAATTCTTTTTTTTTTTTTTTTGAGAATAAAGGGACTAATTTATAAGTTACTCTAAATTATTCACTTCTAATAGTAATTTAAAAAAATAATTTCAAGCCATACTCATTTTATATGTATGGGATTTTTAAAAAAACATTTGGCAAGCAAAGAAGTAGTGGAGAAATAGAAAAGCAAAGGCAACAAAAGTTGTGTCTGACTAGGTACAAATAAATCTATGTATGATTTTTTTTTCATTTTAATAAAGACTATTTGATAACACAATTTGTTCATGGTTAAAAAATTTGATCGAAATAACAAATTGAATATTTAAAAAAAATTAGAGAAAAATTTAATGTAATTAGAAACCTAAAAATATATGAAAGACTCAAGATATTATAATAAAAAGATTAATCTATTTATCTTATTTATAATTATAACTAGTATGAAAACATTCACATTCTAAATGTTATGTATTAGAACGATTATTGAACAAATTCAATTATTTATAATAATTTTATTGGGCTTTTCCATAAGGTATAATTGTAGACCAAGAGTCAAGTCCGTATAATAATTCTTTGATAAAGAGGAAGACATTCTTGAACAAAGACATAGTTTGGGAGTCATCAATCGGCACTTCGGATTCCGAAACACCAATAATAGAGAGGGATAAAACAGAGCTGCTTAAAAATTGTCCTGCTGGCTGACAGGTTCTGATATTTGCTTCTTGTACTATATTCTCCATAATTTGTAGTTGTATGATTTCTCTTTAGCTATACTTGTGAACTCTGAAACGTTTTGTTTTGCAAATTATTGAGCAAAACTATAAGAATGAAAGACTAACTTGTGAAATAAATTAATAAGATCATGATGGGATGATATCTAAAAAATAATTAAGAACAGAGAAAATAAAAATGACCAAGGGATATTGTTGTTTAACGGTAAAGAGTTGTCTTAATTTGACAAAAATTAAAGTTCAATAGATAATTAGTAATAATTATCCTTTAATGATATTAGGTTTGAGTTGATTTAGTTTAAAAAATAACACAAGTAACTAATTAAAAGTTAAATATGTTCTGACACTAGTTTAAATTAAATAGTGATAAATTTAATTTCGATTGATATAAAAGATAGTCCGATAACATCCCACTTATTGCAAATATTATTAAAATAATTATAATATAATAAAATAAAAATCCTTTGAAGGACTAACATCGTTTATGTAAGGACAAAGTCAACAAGAGACATTCGAGTGTATAAAGAAGATACTCACGTCTTCATCCATGATGATTATGCCGATTAAGAGACAACCTATGCTTCTGTATTTGATATCAACTAAAGATCCATTGGCTCGTTACTTGCGCAAGAAATGAGCCAATATTTTAGCCAAATTTCAACTAAAGAATTGTCAATCCCTATATGTCTTCTTCTTCTTCTTGAACTTGATGTCACCATAGTCACTCCGAAGACAAGGAGGTCACAAGCTTTGACCAATATTTTAGCCATGTCTCTTTCTCTTGGTGATGAAGTCATATATGAAAAGATACCAATCGAATTTTATGACGAGTCTTTGCTCATAACATTGAAGATGGCGAATGGTTATTACAATTTAATGATTCTTCAATTATTTATAGTAGTGACATGGGCATAATCCTTGCTTCATGTTGTGGAGAATCTATATCGTTAGCTTTTAAATTTGATTTTACATGTTCTAATAATCAAACTGAATATGAATTTTTTTTTAACCGTAAGTGTGTTTTCGGATCAATTTCATGCATCTCGAGACTAATTTTTCTACTCGGATATGATTAAGAGACACTTCTCAATGTATGATTTTAGATATTCTCAGAATAAATTTTTAAAAATACCGGCTACATCGATTCGAAGTCAAAACCTAATTTATAAGTCAAAACTTATTTATCAATAGGCTACCACCTTGTGGTTACAAAATACGAAGTTTTCATGTTGAGATTAATTGCTTCTAACAATCTTAGGGTAAAATCCTTATGCATTCAAGAAAATTCAAATCTTATAGTCAAACAAGCAGATGATATGCTAAAACAACTCTAACCCATTAACATGTCAATCCTTTACAAGGCTTTCTCAAAATAGAAGAGTGACCTTTACCACAAAGGTGCTAAAAGGATTTTTGTTAGATGTATCTCAAGAATAAGTAAAAGAAAGGTTAGAACATATTTATAAACATTTAATGACAAATTTTGCTCCCATTTTATTATAGTTCGACAATTTCAAGATTATCATACCAAATAGTGTAATTTGAACCCTAAAGTATTGGAGATTGAGTAAATGTGATTCAAATTATCCAATTTTTTTTTTTAATATGTAACAATCAACCCATTTGATCGTTACTTGGAATGCCAAAACAACGTCATTTTGACATTTTACCGTTAATTATATTTAAAAAAAATATTTTAAAAATATTTTTAACCCACTAATCTTGAATTTTTTTGTAACTTTTTTCTTATAAAATATTATAAACATTTTATAAATTATACAAAAAAATTATGTAAATATTTTAAAACCCCGTAATTTTGAACTTTTTTTTATAAAATATTATAAACATTTTAAAATTATAAAATTAGGAGGGTCAACCCTTAATTATGCCCGTTTTAATTTATAAAATTAGGAGGATCAATCCTTAATTATGTTTATTTTAATTTATAATTTTTTTTAATATATGAAATTGTGTATTGTTAATTATGTTTTTTTATAATAAAATTTTATATAAAAAAAGTTCAAAATTAGGGGCTAAAAATATTTATAAAATTTTTTTATATATAATTTATAAAATTTTATAATAAATTTTTTTTTTAAAAAAAATTCAAGATTAGGAGGGTTAAAAATATTTTTAAAATATATTTAAAAAATAATAATTAATAGCTGAATGTCAAAATGATGTTGTTTTGTCATTCTAAGCAATTAACCGTTATGCATGATGAAGATTAAATAATTTGGATCACATTTGTCCTATCTCTAATATTTTGATGTTTAAATTACAGAATTTGATATTATGGATCTAAAATTGTAAAATCACAATAAAGTATGAGCAAAATTTGCCTTCAAACCTATTTGTAAATGGTGTTTATGAAAAAAAAAATCCCTTCTTGAATCATATTAATTTGTTTTGATATAAACTGTCTATTTAATGATTTTTTGTTTTTATTCGTTGCAAAGAAAAGGTTCGAATTCGAGATTTTTTAAAAGGAAGAATGACATTAAAGTTAGTTGAGCTTCTAATTTAAATTTTATTTATTCTTTTAGTTTTCATTTTTTTTAAGTGATATTAAGATATTTCATAAATTTTAGAAGAGAAATAAAAAGCTCCTTTTATTTATTTTATTTATTTATTTATTTATTTATTTTTATGGATTAGAACATACATAAATTGACAGAGGGAGGAGTTGAAACTACAATAAAAGTTGAAACGGCTGATAAATATAAACCGACTTTTAGGATTAAAATTTCCCCCAAATGATCTTATTTGTTTGTGCTCAAGCAACTTATATTGCCAAGGAGATGAATAGATACAAAAGTTGCTGCAATTTCTCCATAGAAATGAGAGGAGAAAGTACATAAAGAATTGGAATACATTAAACTGGTATAAGAGCAATAAATCAATTGGGTATCTTATATAAATAGACTGCTACAAGAAGTTCAACTAATGTTAGTTCAGGCAATATTCTGGGCCAGTACCGAACAAACAGCTGAGATATTTCTAAAAGTTTCTCCTATATTCATTAATGTCGACCTATATGGGATACATTAGCCATTTTCATTCTTTTTAATTTTGTTTTTTAATGCTAAAGAAAACATGATTTTCTCCATTCAATCCCCTGTTTTTTGACATTTGCGTTCCATTTTTACAGATCCTGTAGCTTGTCAAAACAGCTGGATGTTAGAGTTTACTTACATACATGCTGCCTTAACCACTAGTTAGCTGACGCATTAAAAAAAAGTATCTAACGGAGATGGAGACAATAATTAACAATTACTATTCATTTCCTGCACGAATCCCTACTCATTGGTAATTTTATGGTGGTATTTTTGTGATTTTTTAGCTATTTTTGGGCATTTTTATGCAAATTTTAAGTTGTATTTCATTTTGATCTTTGATGTTTTTAAAAAATATTTTTGTTCCTTGATTTTTTAAATATATTTTTGGCAATATCGTGTTCTCACTATATTTCATTTTGATCCTTCAATTTTCAAAAGATATTTTTGTGTTTTCAAAACATATTTTTAGCATCTCATATTTTCAAAATTTAAAATTAACATATATATCGAATTATATTATTTTCACTATTTAAAATGTGATCTCTTTAATCTAACATTTCTTATGAAAATTCTCATAAAATAAATTTCTTATTTTTCTATTATATGTAATTTTATTTGTTAATAAATATAATTTATATTTCTCTATATATGGATTTTTGAAAAAGAATTTTTTTTAAAAATAAATTATCAATTAATAATAAAATTCACGTGTTTTATTTGTTTATTCTTGATATAATCAAATTCTATCGAAATAATTGTTTAAGTTACTTTTATTTCACCCTGTTAACTTCAATATATTTCTTATAGCTTAATTCTTAAAAAATATATTTTTTGATTTATACTGCATATTCTAACCCATTGAGTATGACCATAATGTATAAAAAAATTGAGATTATTAGTTTTATTAGAAATTAACTATGTATCTACACACATAATACCAACTATTTCCTATCTTTTTAATGTTATAAAATAATTTTTTCAAATAAAATAATTAAAATAATATTTTAGAAGAACTATCTAACAATTCAAATACATTTTTTTATACTAATATTATTGATGTTTTGTAAATAAATATAATAAATCAAAAGTATATATTTTCAAAAAGTTAAAAAAGATTTGTTACTTAATTTGTATACAAGTTTTTATATTGATTGTTGTTTTATTTCTTTGATGTAATTTTATGGAAAAAAATATTAAGATATTTTTAAAAATTTTTTATTTATATTATTACAAATTTTTATTTAAGAATGAATGTATAATGAATAATAAGTTTTTTTTTAACAATAAAATTTATAAAAAAACATAAAGAAGAATAAAAAAATAAAAAAATTGATTAAAAATTATTAAATTAGATGAAATTTTATCTTTTACTTTAAATTTAATATACTTTAGTTGACCAATAGTATGGTATAAGCTATTAATTTGAAATAAATATATTTAATTCAGCCATTTGCATAGCGTGGGAAGCCGATCGACTTGTTTTTTCTAATAAAAAATCTAATACATTATTCAGTTAAAGGAGTATTGCTTGTCCAAAAAAAAAAATCAAATTATACTCATGAAAAAGTAAAATTTAAATTAGTTTCTTTATTTTTGAGAAACAAATTAATTAATTATTTTTATCTTAAAAACTAATTATTTAGTCTATTAATTAGTGTTGATCATGCTTAATTTAATATTATTTTATTTCATAAAATGTCACATTTTCATATAATTCTCCATATTTTTTACTTAATTTTTTACGTTTTCCATTACTTAAAACAAAAAATTAAAATAATTTACTTCATTTTAGATGTTTGGAAATAGTACATGTTTTTCTTTCAAATCAACTTTAGCTCCTCTTGTTTGTCGCCACACTTGACTTAGAATTTTTTATTTTTTATTTTTTCCAAGACCTTACACTTTTAATACAAGATTTAATATTTGTAGTAGATTAAAAGCAAACCAGGTGATTTTAAGGAAAAAAGTCTTATGACTTAATCACTTGCTTGAGATTTAATATTTCCATAAACTATCTTTTTTTAGTGTGTTTTTATTTTTTTAATTTTTTTCCGTGTTATGAAGATAAAGTTCGAATTCGAGATCGCTTGAAAAGCTTCCGGATACTAATACCAATTGAGCTTCTAATTTAAATTCATTTATTCTTTTAGTTTTCAATATTTTTTAGGTGATATTAAAATATTTCATAAATTTTAAGAGAGAAATAAACGTACATAAATCGAGAGAGGGCTAATAAATATAAAAACTAACTTGTAGAATGAAATTGAAACACCATACTATCGGAGGACAAAATAATCTTTTAGATGAATAGATACAAAAGTTGCTGCAATTTCTCCATAGAAAAGTGAGGAGAAAGTGCATAAAGAATTTGAATACATTAAACTGGTATAAGATATGTGATTGCAAGAGCCAATAGGAGAAGGGCGTAAGCAATTCCTTGATCGATTGCCTTACCATCATTGGATGGAGCTTCTGGTGCAGGAGAAGGAGCCATGCCTTGACCAAAAACAAGCTGCAACAGTGCAAAAAACAAGAAGCCAATTATTGGAAGAATATATAATCTCATGGAACTCATCTTCAAAACTGAGTTGAATGTTTATATGAATGTTTGTGAAACTTTGGAGGCAATGAAGGGCAAGGAGAATCAGAGTTAAAGTAGGATGGAAGGAAGGAAGGAAGGAAAGAAGGAACTCGGAGTCAACACGGAGAGATTTGACTCGGTTGGCGGCTTACCTCTTTGACTCGTACAAGAAAGCGACCTCTATGAAGGGTAAATTATAAATTAGTCTCTTTAGTTTTAAAAAATGAGTCGATTAGTTCTCTTTATTTAAAAAATTAAATATTTAGTCATTTGATAATGTTGACTATACTTAATTTAATATTATTATTTATTTATTTTTAATTGAAAAAAACATAAAAAATAATTTTTAAACAATAGTGACTGATTTATAATTTAACCCGAGAATGGGAACTTTACGGAGTATGCAATCAAAAGTCCATTTAATTATTTATTTATTTTTTTACTATTTTCGTATTTTGAATTTTATTAACATGTACTGAAATACATTTAGGCGGTCAATAGTAAAAAAAGAAGAAGAAGAAGTTAAAAATAGAGTTACCAAAAGTTAGCTGAGTAACTTGTAAATTAGTCCCTCTAGATTTTGGAAGAATTAATAGTCTCTCTAATTTCGATAAATATTTAATTAGTCCTTATATTCTTATATCTATTAGTAACTTAATGTCTTTTTTAAAATTTTTTTAATAAATAAAAAAAATATAAAAATCAATGGGAAAAAAATTAAAAAATAATATTAAATTAACCATAATTAATACTATCCAGAGATTAATTAATTAGTTTTTAAAATAAAAATAATTATTTAATGTTATGGCAAAGTTGGCACGTGGTGCGGGTCGGATTTCAGTTAATCCGGTTTCGGACCCGGTGGGCTTTTTGGGTCCGAGAGACCCGCACCGATCTGATGGAGCGACGAGGGAGTTTTTTCGGCTGGGAGAAAGGGTTCGAACCGTCTGGTCAGGTGGTTGGTAAGGTTGTCAACAAGTGGTTTAATGTGACGGATGAGTGGCTCTAGTTTGACCACGTTTGAGGCTTAGGTGCATCATGTGGATTATGGCGGGCCAAGTAAGTCATTTTGGTAGTTCATGCACAATGCTAACATTTTTTCTTTTTTAATTCTAGAGTTTAAAATATTTTCAAGCTAGTTTGGGTTTTAAAAAAATTGGATCAACATTTCAAAAATTAAAAAAGAAATTACAAATTGGTTACTTAAAAAAAAATTTAGACAAAATCTTTTTATAATAATGATGAATAATAACATTTCAAATAGTAAATAATTAATCTCTTTATATTCGCCAATAAAAATTCATTGAAAATATTTTCAATGATAACTATTAAGATGAAAAAAACAAATTAAAAACACTTATCGATTGCCTTTAGGGATTCGATGAATTGTTTCTTTTAAATTTTGAGTACCATTAAATATTTTGAAGGCTTAGTTGGGCAATGTTTGTGGTTTGATGGGGCCTTGGTTGCTAGTTCATGTGTGGTATCATCTTATACACGTTAATTGGATGATTAGCTAAAGACATCTTTTCAATTGGGCCAATCATATTTGTTATTGGCATGCTTGTGTTCAGCAATGTTTTGAGAGCCCATTGGGCTGCTACCTTAAACACACACATGCTTATAATTAATGTAGCAAACGTCCTGCAATCTTGTCTTAACTCAAAACATTACTGCTAGTTTTACTGAAAAAAAATTTACGTTTCTAAACATCTCACGTTAAGCAATGAGATAAATAGCTAAAGAGCGTCTCTTTTGCTTGATGGTTTGCTGAGCTTTCTTGATAAATTCCATTCGATTGAAACATTCTGGTGTAAGCAACACTATGGCTGTAGAATTTGCATGACCGTTTGCTCATTTCTTGATAATCTGTTATATATCAAGAAACGTATAATTATAGGGTTTTACATGTTTGTGAAAGAAAGATAAGAGGGGAGAATTTGTATAATTTAGGTCTATAAGTATAAGTATACATTTTCTTTATGACTTTATCGTAATGCTTTTACATGTTTATGAAAGTTTCAAAACAATGTAACTTCTGACTTGAAACCATGCCTCTTGACCCACCAATTATAGGCAGCTAAACAGAGACTTTGAAAAGCCTTATGAAAGCGAATTATCGGCATGTTTGATGTCTCAATATTTAATTTGCCGGCGGAGAAGTCCTGCTGCAGGCAGCCTTGAAAATCATGTCAAATGCATGTTCTATGTGTGACTTGAGCTTTCTAGGATCAATGAAGTCCTTCTCTACCAGCAAAGCAACTCTAAGCTTTCCCACATAGCTCAATACTCCCACCATCAGACTCTGCAATTCCATAAAGCCCATGTTAAAGATGTGCATTGGTATATATCAAAATCTCTGTCTTCATCCATGGTGATAATCCTGGCATACCTGAGGTGCTCCTGTGACCACAAAGTATAGTCCTTTAACAGGATGATTAGCTAGGGCCATCTGTTCAATTGGTCCCATGACATTTGTGATCCCCATGCTTGTGTTCTTCATTGTGCCATAGATGTATTTTGATGCTCCCTGCGTCAAGAGTAATTGTGTGTTCGTGCGTTATATGGGACTCCAAGCATCGGAAAAATTATTATGGATTTGTCAAATTTAGACTTACAAGCAAGTAAGATTCTAAAGAATGAATAAATAAACCATACCTTTGGACCTTTGATTTTCTTAACAAGTTGAAGGTACTTAGCGGTGAGGTAAACAGCAAAAGAGCTCATCCTCTTCCTCTTGATAATTTGCCTTGCTTTGAGTACAAATTGGAGAGGATTTTTAGCCTCAGCATCTGTTAACTTGGGAATAGATACATTCAAGAATGCAAAATGGTTGCCCCATGGCAACTCAGCGTTAGGTTTCACCATTTCTTGGATTGACTTGTAGCCTACAAACATCCTTGTGTTTAGCAGCACCAACGATGTAGTGCTTGCTTTACCGGATCCTGGGCTCAATGCTTCCATGTACAATCGAGTTCCCAAGAAGATTGTCCCAGTAATTACATCATTTAGTGTCTGTTAATCGAGAAATAAAATTCAACAAGAAAGTTTAAGTGTTAATATACTGCCAGATTTTTTGGCATAAAGCTTGACTGAAAGCACAGAAGAGACTGTACTTTTACCATGAATGTTGAACCCTTCACAAAAATCATGTTAAAAAAAAAAAACCTTAGTTTCAAAAATATTTAGCCCTTGCAAAAATCAAAACCTTGAAATTAATAATTGATTAGAGAATGGTAAATTGTATACTAAATGTGTTTTCTTCATCCCTGATTTTTCTTCTTTAACAGTTTGGGAATAGAAGCTGAACTTCTTTTTGTTCTCGAAAAAAAAAAAAAAATCATTTTTTAACCTATCTTTAAAAAGCTAAAAAAAAAAAAGAGGTTAAAAAAAAGATTTTCTAAGCCTAACAATTTTAAAAGAAAAAAAAACTATTTCTACATTTATTAAAAAAAGTTTGGTTTAATATTTTTTCTCTGAAATATTAAATTGTATGAAAAGAATCCAAAGTCCAAAAGGGTATAGATATTTAAGAAAAATGAGCATAGATAATGATTCAAAAAAAAAAAAAAAAACTTAGATGTGCTTTATCCCATATAAATATTACAGGTAGGAGGGGTCTCACAGGAGGTGACGAGACAAAAATTCTGACATCAACTCCAAGACAAAAACCATCTTTTGTCCTGTGATTATGTCTTATTTGTGTATTAAATATCTGTACAGATGATATTGTAACCATCTATCATGTATATGATACGTGTCTTAAAAGCATTTATGTGCAAAAGTCTTCTCATTAAGACCTCTATATACCAAACAAAACAGCCGAGACATTTCCAGAAGTTTCTCCTGTATGAAACGAAATATCCACAAAAGTGGTTTGAAAAAGTTTCATAATTAATGTTCATCAGAGACTATGAGAGACATTACCTTTCATTTTGTTTCCTAATGACAAAGAATATGGAAAAGAAAACATGATTTTGTCCATCCAACCCTCAAATATTTGACATTTGTGTTCCATTTTAATGAGCTGGTAGCTTGTCAAAACTGCTAGATGTTGAGTTTACATGTCTTCACCGCTGGTTGGTTGAGGCATTAATGCAATTATATTTTTCCTAACAAAAAATCTAAGACATTATTCTGTTCAAACTATGGGTGCTCATATTATCTTAATGGTGTTTTTTTTTAAAAAAAAAAATTTTTTTTGGAAAGCAAAGAAGTAGTGGAGATCGAAAGAGAAAAACAAGGGCATAAAAAAGATGTTTATGTCTTGGTCCAAATAAGTCTACGTCCTTGGGCTAAACGATGCCAAGTTTCATTTTCGTGTTTGAAAATTGCAGAGGTGTTTCTTTCAAATTGGCTTTAGCTCACCTGTTTCTTGCCGCACACGACTAAGATTTTTTTTTCTTTTGGAAACACCTTAACGCTTTTAATGCAATATTTAATATTTATAATATATTTATAGCGAATCAAATAAACTTTTAAGAAAAAACTTTTATGATTTTTTTTATGATAATAACATTTTTAAATTAGATTGCATGTTATCGAGACTAAATTTTTTTCGAACGATTTGAAAAATATTTTTTTATATCAATCTAATATATTTAGAAGGATTTAATAAATTATACTAAATTTTGATCCCAAAACTTTAGTCTAAAAAGTCAAGAAACAGAGTAAAGATCACGTCGAAAAATCTTAAATTAAAAATGAAAATCTTATGGTTTAATTATGTGCTTTAGGATTGAAAACAAAACCAATAACTTTCTTCTATTGTGGTAAAAATGTCATTTCCAACCGTATTTGATTCCACTTGTCCAATTTGCATTTGTAAATGTGTGTATGCATGTTCTAATGTTGATATGTTATCGTGCTAATTGAAATGATAGTCCAAGGTTTGATTATCATGGCCTTTTTATAGATTCATCAATGTTCTATCCCTTATCTCATCCTTTTACTTTCCAGGAAGTTACAATGTTAGCCCTATCCATTAAAGATTCTATTTTTTCTATTTTCCTTTTCGATTTTTTTTTATTTGCATGTTTTTTTATCAGATATTATAACATATATGCTGATTTGAAGGGAAAAATGATAGAAAAATACGAAAAAGTCAGTTTTTTGTTAGTTATTTAGCAGTCAAGGGAGAAATTGAAACTATTAAACAACTATAGGGATAACACATGGAAATTATAAACTATAGGAGTTTAAGTATAGCACTGGTAAATTTATAAGGACAAAAATATAGTTTACCCCAGATAAAAAGCATCATAAGCGGCGCAGAAGACATGCAGATCAGAAAAGTTGTTGATCTTACCACTCCAAGCTTGCTCTTGATTTGCTTAATATCATCAAGAGAGAAAGTCATTGTTGCTATAGAAACAGGCAGAAACTCTACTCCAGATTGCGAGGATCGGATTGGTGTTTTGTCATCCTCAATCAAGCAACTCGTTGTAATGCTTGAAAAAAAATCTGAAACAGTGTAGAGAACTGAAGAGAAAAATTTCGGCACAATCCTGCACATGCTAAATTTTTTGCCATCCTTTTTGGTATGCAATTGAATAGAAGGAAATGTCAAGGGAAGAGAAGGGTTATCAGCTCTTTGTAAACAAGAAAGAAGAGCTCCCATTAGAGAGAAACCATCACCAAGTGAGTGATGGAGCTTAAATATCACGTTACCAGCTGCATGACTTGTGGGGTATTTTATTATATGAATTTCCCACTTTGGTCTGCTCTCTGGAAAATTTTCCATTGCAATCTTTGATAGATAATCATCAAGGCATTCGTCGTAAAATTCCGGTGACATTCCGGAGGCGAAAATCGGAACATTTATGTGGTCTTCGAGCCTCACTTCAACCCTTTTCCATCTCTTTTCTCCATCTTCATTTGTAACCTGTGACCAAATTCTGATCGCTTAATGCAATTTATAAGAAGCAAAGGATTTGCATACAAACAAGGGAAAAGGAAAGAAAGGGTACCATGATGGAGGAGAAACGTGGGTTGATAGGGAGGAAGACGGTCTTGAGCAAAGGCATAGTTTGAGAGTCATCAATTGGCACTTCAGATTCCAAAACACCAATTACACAGAGTGATAAAACAGAGCTGCTCAAAAATTGTCCTGTTGGGCTGACAGGTTCTGAGATTGCCTCTTCTATAATATTCTCCATTATTTGGAGTTGTATGATCTCTCTCTAGGCTTTAGCTATACTCGTAAACTGAAGAATATTGTTTTGGAAAGTGTTGAGCACAAAACTATAAAATGAAAGACTAACCCTGCGGACTAAATATGATCTTGATGGGCTTATGTATATAAAAGTGCAAGTTAAATACAATAAAGCTATGTAAAAATCTAGAAAATCTAGCTGACCACCGACTAATTAATAAAACTAGCCACAAGTGTCAAGGGGTTAGACTTAGAGTTCAAGTGGATACAAATTTTATATTGGTTGTTGATAGATATTGGTACAAATTGTAAGTGGGAAAAAAAAATTGTGATAGAAAAATTCTCATAAATATATTTATTGTTAATACTTAAAAAATATTATCATATATGATAACACATATTTAATGTTTATAATCAATCATTTTCATTTTCATTCAAATATTTGATCTTACTCCTCTTTTTTTTTCTAATTATAAATATAATACAATAAATATATCTAGATAAAACTCACAAGATGTTTTAAAAACACTCGTGGATTATTCATCAACATAAAACTGGTCTCTTTTTTTTTTTTTTTGATAAGCAATGTCTTAATTGCGTCTTGTGATATCATTTAATAGAAATAAGCATGTCATGCTTTAAAATCACGATAGATGTTTTGGATTTAATTAGAAATAAGCATGTGATTTTTTAAAATCACTATAGATATTGTTTTAGAGGAGACACTCCAAAACACGCGATTTAAATTATTTAAATATATATATTTTTTAAATTGCAATAGTTATGAATTAGGTTTATTGTGATTAGAATTAATATAAGGGACGGGCTGATGGTTCTTTTTTTCTAAAAACTAATTATGTCTGGAAATGTATGTATATATATATATATATATATTAAAGATTTATGCGTTTTTTATGTGATGTCAACGTGGTTGGAGATTGGTCATTTAGATTGAAGGATCGATGATGTTGTTGATAATTTAAAAAAAAAATCTAAAAAAAAAAAAAAGGTTAGTTTCTTGTTGACAAATCTCATTCATGATAGGTTTTAACCAATTAGCTTCTAAAATGTTTAGCCATGGCTCCCATGACAATTTAAGAATCTTATGACCTTTATTTCAGTTTAACGTCAATGAAGGCATCATCAATATCATAATCAATCTTGTTGGAGACGTGGATTATTCTTGTTCCGAAAAGAATGGCAATTGTGTGAACATTCCCATTTAGTCAAACGATGGCTATCTTTCTTCTCACTGAATCAAGCTTATTTTTCTTTTAACATTATATATTATTAATAATACGTGGATCCATGCATAACTGTACTTTGAAATTAAACCCCTAAAATAATTGAACGGCAGAGGAATAGAATTATCGAACATAACATTAAATGCGTCAAGGCCCATCTTCATCATATTTTTATGAGTTTTTGGCTTCTTTTGATTTAATTTATGACAGATTCGTTGAAGTATTACTTTGGGTATGGTCATTGACTCCCATTAATCCCTATCCTCAATTTTTCAGTTCAAAGCTATTGGTAAAAGCATATTTGATTTGCATAATATATAGAGAAAGCAATTGAAGCACACCGATATTAAACAACTTTGTAACTTTGTTTGTATTTTTCTATGTCATTTTCTGGCTTTTAATCTAAACTTATTGATTTTTGTTTTTTTAAAAAAACTTAAATTTTCGAATTTATGGTTTTTTATTTAGAAAAAAGAATGAAAAAATTATAATAATTTTTTAATGGTACTTCGTTTGGCATTTTAACTTATCTATTGCCTTTTGGGATCCTTTGAAGTGTTCTCTTGTTTTTGGGTTTCAATGTGAGTTTGCTGAGTTGTTCGGCGTGATCCATTAGTTTGATGGCTTTGTTGGGCAATGTTTGTGTTTTGATGGGCCTTTGGTTGCAAGTTCATGCTGTGATTTTTTATCCTCTCTTTATTTCTGTTCCTACTGTCGTAGACTTGTAGTCATCCTCCCTCCCCCGGCCTCGAGTAAATTATAAACTAGTCCCTCTTATGTTTAAAAAATGAACAATTAGTTCTTTTTGTTTTACAAACTATTTTTTAGTCGTTTTTGTACATTTTATTTTCTTTTTCAGTTTATTTTATTTTAGTGTTGTTTTAAAAAATAAAAAATAAAAATAAAAATCAAATATTTTGGAAAGATTGATGAAAAAATATTTTTTTTTGGGTATAAAGTAATATTAAATTAACTATGGTCATTACTGATCAAGAAATTAAATAGTTAGTTTTTTTAAAAAAAAATTAATTATTTTTTTCTTAAAAATAAAAAACTAATTTATAATTAACTCCCCTGCCCCTTCTCTCTCTTTCTTTTTTCTCTTCCTTTGACATCAAATTAGAGTTTAAGTTCCCAAATATAGTATTGTTAAATGTAAATGAGCTTTGCCCATTATATGACCTTTCTATTATTTGAATTGTTTTGATTAAGATTTTATATTTTTTTTGTATTAATTGAATTTTTTTACTCTTTATTTTTTTTCATTACTCTATTTAACACCGTTAGTTGTGAACTAACATATTATGTCTATTCTTGAATGCGTGACACTAATCATATTTAGATTCTAATAGAAAAATTCAAACAAAATAATTCAAAAAGCATGAGACTTCAAACAAAATAAGTCAAAAAGTGTAAAAATTAAATTATTATTCTTCTTTTTAAAATTTTCACTATATTATATTTTTAAGACCTCATCGTGAATGCCATGAAACGTATCATATGTTAAATTCTATCATAGTAAAAATCTAAAGAGTATTTAAAAAAATGTTATTATAATAATTTAAAAATAATAAAATACATACAAAACAAACCTAACACTCATTAAGAAAAAAACAGAGTACACATTTGTTTGTTAAAATTAAAATGAAAACACTAATAATGCTAGGTAGTAGCTAATTATCTATATCAAAGAAGAAACTGTGGTGCAATCTCAAGTTTTTTTAAGAAAACAATCTCATTTTTTACTTAAAATTAGTAAAATATTTGGTTTTTTTTTTTAATGGAGGATTAGACCCATTAATTAGAAATTTGTGAATAATGAATATTGCACATCAAAATATTTTTATTTTAATAGTTGCATGTTAGGTTTTTTAAAAAATATTTTATTATTTTAAAATTATTATAACAATATTTGTTAAAAAAAAAACACTCTAGAGTTTTACTAGGGTCTCACATATGATACATTTCGTGAATTTAGGATGAAATTTTGAAAAACAATAACATAAAAAAAATTAATTTGGTCCTTGCATTTTTTGAAATGATTTTATTGAAATTTTATATTTTTTGAATTGTATTGATTGGATTCTTCTATTGAGATTCCATATATGACATGTGTTGCACATTCAAAAGTAGACATACCATGTTAACTCTAATCAGCTCAACACTAATAACATTATAATGAAAGGGACAAAAACAAAATAAAATAAAGAGTAGAGGAACTCAGTTAAAACTAAAAAGAATACAAGATCTCAATAAAAAAATTTAAAAAGTAAATATAACGTGTATGGATAAAATCTAAATTTAATAGCTATTTTGATTCCAATTCTAAACTTTTTACAACCTCTGTGGTTAAGAACAAATAATTTTGGATTACACGTGGAATGAAACCATCCATATAACCTCATATATACATAAGCTCATCATCTAAATTAACAAAGAGATATGAGTTATATATAATTAACTTGCTAGCTAGCTAGGCAAATGTTCGTCTATAATCAAACTAGCTATATATATAGCTCCAATACTAGTATAGTTTAATTTAATTTTACATAAATTCGTAAAACAATTAAGGAAATTAAAGAGAAAAATTTGGAAAGGCATACGGTCCACGACCTGATTCCACTCTTAAAACTTTTGCTGAATTTCACAGGCACCTAGCAGATTTGGGTATCATCTGGAAAGCTTCCTCTATGCATGACTACAACTTTTGGGCATTTATGAAGCCCTTTTCAGCTCCCACTGTACCCCTCAGTTTATTCATGTAGCTCGCCGTTGTTATGATAAGACTCTGCATGCAATTGTGAAGCCAGTTGTACGAATTGATGGGCTGAACAGCAGAAGTAACAATCAAGTAGTGCAGTCTGGAGTGACTTCCTCAATGAAGTTTTCTGGATTTTATGACACTGCTATTGAAAAATTGACACCTCCTATTTTGTAGGAAAAGAACACATACTTCAACCTTCCATCTTTTTTCTCCATTCTCATCCATAAACTTTGTCCAAATTTTCACAGTTTAAATCGAAGAACATCAATCCCACAATGGACAAAAAAAAAAAGAGCACAGTTTTCTTATAAATATATCAGAGGCATAATGCTTTAATTTCTCCAACTCTCTATATGGTATAAACCAAAGTAATAGCTAGCTAGGCAGTGTTTGGATTCTAATGCAGGGAATGTCGCGATGGGAAGTCCAAAACTATCATTTTGTGATAACCTTTTATTGCCATGTTTAATGAAACAACAACTTCCAGCTGCATTAATTGTAGGATACTGATCTCATATTATATATAATGAAATTCATAAAACATGCAAGAGAGAATGATCAAACTAAAAGGACTTGAAGTCCAGTACGAGAACCACGAATTATAGTTCCATTTCTTGTACAAATTCAACATAAGAACTCAAACTTCTCAGAAACAAAAGAACCCAAAAAGAAAAGCTTCCCAACTTCAGAAAAAAAGAAGAAGAAAAAAGAGAGAGAGAGACGAGGAAATAAAGCTCATATGGTTGGACAGAAAGAAGCATAGGCTAAAATGTCAGGTTTTTGTTCAAACTTGACCATTTCTTCTTTGGATAACGTCACCCATGCTTCTATTCCCTCGCAATCTCTTGTATCTAGGAGGATCGCACCATTTGGAGTAACCCATATCGCAGTGCCTACCCAAATGGGCTTTCCCCATCCAAAATCAACCTCATAAAGTGGAAATCTACACCAACTAGTAAACATAAATGTACTACAGTTGTTGGGATCCTTTGCAATCTTCTCCATTCTCTGTCTTATAAGATTGAAGTACGCACCATCTGCATAAACCTCATTAACATAGTCATTATTGATCATGCTTATTGAATCGTGAATTTTTCCTGCTAAACCGTTATAGTCGACCTCTTTTGTTGGCCAGTTTGCCACAGCCGCATGGATTATATTTCCCATAGAATGCTTTGGCAGGGGTGGATCCAATCTCTTCCGCAAATCCACGGCATGCATTGCCATTTTATTTACCTTTTTAGACTCATTTTCTTCTCCAACAAAAGCACCCCAAATAAGGGCAGATACAACCTCAATCCGGGTTGGACGATCTAAATATGGTCCGTTGCTCAACTTTCCTCTTAGTGCAGCTATCTTAGGACCATCAAACACGAACCTTTTCACAGTTTTACTGTCCGAATTCTCTGTTATGAAATCCCGCACTAATGATAAGCCTGACAAATCTTGTGGAGGGAAGATTGAGGCGCAATCGACAACCACTCCATCAACATTATTATCATCAACACCACAAGAAATTGCACCCCAACATTTAACAAAGCTTGCCAAAGATGAGGCATCACCTATTCGATGGCGAATGCAAGCTCCGATTGCTATCCCACCACAATCAAAATAATTCACTTGGGCTGCTAGCATTACCCTGCTGGTTTGATGAAGTAAGTTTTCATCAGGCTTGCATGGCAGCAGCTGCTCTAATTGATGAATGTCTGGCTGTTCAACTATCTCGGACATGTTGCCTGCTACGTGGGCTTCAATATAAGTGGCTCCATCATCGTTACAATCAATGGATAATTCATCTTTTATTCGTCCGGCAAAAGGGTAGAAGAGGGTTAATGCTTTAGAGAAGGATTTCTTTAGGTGGTCAGAATTTTTGCTGGAAATTTCTTTGGTTGGCGAGTAAAAAAGAATGACAGGGACATCCGCTAAAAAAGCAGAAATCTGGTCGTTCGCAGAGAGCTTATAGGTTTTTCGGTGCTGAGGTGTTGGATCAATGGGCTTGATGATTTCTTCAGAAATAATTTGGATTTTCATGTTGTTCACTTCCTAATTTGATTTATTACAAGACATCCAACATGAGATTTATAGAGTGAGGGACAGATCCATACCCATGCCAATCAACAAAATAAAATAAAAAATAAAAATCTAAATATCAATCATTGTTCTAAATAACTTCAAAAAATTAAAAATTATAGTTCTTGATTCTTTTTGCGGGTTTATGTAGTCAAAATGGGTCGCTCGAAAAGACTGTATTTAATAGTGCTTTTTTTTTTTTTTTTAATGAGAAATCTTTTTCTAGGACAGTCTAACAGAAAGGTAATAGGCCGGCTTTTAATACCAATTATTGTATATTTATTATTTTGTCAAGAATATTATTGAAGTAGCTAGAGACCACATAGTATTACCTCATACATATACATAAACAAGATTCCAAGCCCAAAGTCAGATCTTCGTATTTGATCTATGAGAAAAAAATGACAATAATTTTCAGGATAAATGTAAATATATATATAAGATTAAGTAGAAGGTAACAGATAGGTACTTGGGTTGAGAATCGAAAACTACTTGTTTAGGCAATGATCTTTTCAGAACAAATCATGTAATAAGGTTATTAGACAATGAATAAAGCTTAAGTAAGCTTCTAATATATTATTAGAACATCGACGTGTATATAGAAACTATTAATTAAGTGCGAAGTCAAAAGTTATTTATTAAAAAATTTTGGTACTAGTAATAATATAATTAAGATGATAGGAATACAAGCTTTAAATAAAGTCTTTAAAGTAGCCAAGAAAACCGAAGCATCCTCTTCAAATTTTAAGATAAAATGAAAATTTCCAGCCTTAGTTTGATCGAGTTAGGCTGAAAATTCTTCAAGCAAAGCAACCTCCGGTTTGATTGATTTTGACGAGATACTTGAAATTCCATTACAACCTAACTAAGGATTTTGACAAGATTTAGAATCTTAATACATCCTTAATCAGTTGTGATCGATAGCACCACCTTGATTGTACTTTGAAATTGGTTCTTGAATTTTTTGTAGTTTCATATAGCCAATATGGCTAGCTCTGAATGATTGTGTTTTTAATGATGCAATTTCTTTTTGGGACAGCATCTTCTATTTCATCTTTCATTCAAAAAAAAAAAAAAAAGAGAGAGACTTGTAATACGAGTTATTGTACATAGATTCTTTTGCCAAGAATATTATTGTAGTAGATACAACATAGTAGCATCTCATACTTATATATAAACAAGATTCCAAGCCCAAAGTCAGACCTTTGTATTTGATCTAAGACAAAAGAAAAAAATAACAATAATTTTCAGGATATATAAATGTAAACATAAATATTATCATCCACATGTGCAACCTATATTAAGTAGAACGTAACAGATATATAGGTACTTTGGTTGAAAATCTAAAACTGCTTGTTTAGGCAATGATCATTTTGAGAACAAATCATATAGTGATATAAGTTTTAAATAATCCCAATGAGTTATTAGTTGGGCAGTTAAGAAGGTGGGTCTGTCTTTTTTTTTTCTTTTTTGTTTTTCAAGAGAGAGAGTTCGAGCCTTATGATGAACATTTATTAAAATTTAAAATAACTCAGAAAAAAAAAACTTAATTTTAATTGATATAAACTTTATGTAATCAAATATGATTTGTCAGAGAGATAGAAAAGTTACATACAAGCACTTGATTTTTCAAGTTCAAATCTTAAGATCAGCACAAAATTTTATTTAATCACATATGATTTATTAGTATAATTGATATTCTAAATATTTATGGTAAGGATACGGATCATACCATAAATATTCAATTTATTGATGTATTTTTAATTTAATGTTATTTCATCATTTGATATACTTTAAATTTTTAATTTATCATTTTAAAAAAATTTTTAAGTTAAATTATCGAAATTAATCACATAATTTTCACATAATTATTTTTATTTTCAAAATTCTCTAGTAATCCAAGTAAATTGAAGGTTTTTCTGTGTAAATTATATGATTAATTCTAGTAATTTAATATAAAAACATTGATAAAATAAAATATTAAAAACTTAATATCTACTTAAAAATAAAATTGACTCAATTAAAAATATAAAATAAACTACAAAATTAACCTATTATAGAAGGATAGATTGAGCCACTAACCACGAACACATATATATATATATATATATATAGCAGGCCATTGAGAAGATCAAGGTAAAAAGGGCTTAAAGTCCATTACAAGGGGATCAGGGATTTATTCTTTATCATGAAATTCAAGAAAGCAAAAGCCCACATGCATGGGCCCAGTAGTACAATCTCAAACCAGGACAATCGTTCAGGACAGTACCTTCTTCCTTTACAGGTCCCATTCAACGTCCCAAACCAAATTTCTCAGAGAAATAAATAAATAATAAAGAAAACCTTGCCAACTTTTTTATTTTTCTTCTGGAAAACGAGACGGCAATTTAAAGCTCATATGCTAGGACTGGAAGAAGCATAGGCTAAGATGTCAGGATTTTTTTCAAACTTGACCATTGCTTCCTCGGATAATGTCACCCATGCTTCTACTCCCTCACCATCTCTTGTATCCAAGAAAAAAGCACCTCTGGGCATAAACTTCATGGCAGCGCCTACCCAAGTGGGCTTTCCCCAGCCAAAATCAGTCTCATAAAATGGAAATTTACACCAACTACTGAAGCAAAATAAACTCCAGTTGTTGGGATCTTTTGCAATCTCTGACAATAATCCTTGGTCTGTGCCGTCTGCAGAAACCTTCCTAACGAAGTCATTATTTATCATGCTTATTGACTCATGAATTTTTCCAGCTAAACCATTGAAATCTACAACCTTTTCTGGCCAGTTTGCCACAGTCGTATGGACTATATTTCCAATACAATGTTGTGGTAGGGGTGGATCCAATCTCTTCCGCAAATCCACAACATGCATTGCGACTTTGTTTACCTTCTTAGACTCACTTTCTTCTCCAACAAAAGCACCCCACATAAGGGCAGACACAGCCTCGACCCGGGTTGGACGATCTAAATATGGCCCATTGCTTAACTTTTCTCTTAATACAGCTACCTTAGGACCATCGAGAACGAACCTTTTCGTCACTGTTTTAGTAGACGAATTGTCATTTCTGAAATTCTCATGTAATTTTATGACTGAAAAATCTTGTGGAGGGAAGAGTGAGGTACAATCAATAACCACTCCATCGACAATATTAAGGTCACCACCACAAGAAATTGCACTCCAACGTTTAACAAAGCTTGCCAATGACGACCCATCAGCTACTCGATGGGAAATGAAAATACTGACCGCTATCCCACCACAATCAAAGTAATTCACTTGGACTGCTAGCATCACCCTGGTGCTTAGCTCAAGTAAGTTTTCTTCAAGCTTGCATGGCATTAGCTGCTCCAATTGGTGTATGTCTGGCTGTTGAACTATCACAGACATGTTGCCTGTTACATGGGCTTCAATATAACAGGCTCCCTCGTCACTGCAATCAATGGATGAATGATCTTTTATTCGTCCAGCAAAAGGGTAGAAGAGGGTTAATGTTTTAGAGAAGGATTTCTTCAGGTGGTCAGAATTTTTGCTGGAAATTTCATTGGTTGGCGAGTAAAAAAGAATGATAGGGAAATACGCTAAATCAGCAATCTGGTCCTTTCCAGAGAGCTTATAGGTTTTTACGTGGTGTGGTGTTGAAGCTGAGGGCTTGATGATTTCTTTAGAAATTATTTGAATTTCCATGTTGTTCCCTTCCTAATTTGAAAGAAAAAGAGTTGTACAAGGTATTGGAGTGTTTGATTTGGTACGAGACAATCCAAAATGAATGAGATTTATAAACGAAGGAAATGATACATCTAATCTCGATTTATATAAAAAAATTGATTCAAATATATCCATTACTCGTAAATATAGGGAAAAAAATTCATATCAAGCATAATTCGTATTCTATTTTTTTTTATAAAAAAAAAAATCAGATCATGATTATGCTAGTCAAATAAAAAAAAATTCTAATATGAATCATTCATATTCCAATCAATTTATTGAAAAGAACCAAAAAAAAAAAAAAAAGAGAAATGGCCTCATAGGTTGAATATTTAATCTATTCTTATATATATAGCTAATTATATTTCTGTTATTTAAATAAAATTTCAATTTATTATTCTCACCAATTTTTTTTCCAAAAAAACCAGTTTTTTCTTTTTTTAAATCATTATTTATCATGCTTATTGACTCATCAATTTTTATCATGATGAACAAACCAGTGTTTTTTCGGCCAGTTTCCCATGTTAATCACATGGGCTATGTTTCTATCACAGGGCTGTGGTAGGGACGATTCAAATATATATGGTCCATTTCTCAACTGTCCTTTCAATCAAGCTACTTCACGACCATCAAATCTGGTAATTAAAGACATGCAACAACCACATTCATTTATATGAGAATCAAAATGGAATTAATACCCTAATTTATCTTTATACAATGAATCAGATTTTTAATTTGTATTTATTTAAAAAAAAACGTTTTTTATATGTTTTTATAATTTATACTGATTTCTAATCTATCATTTTAATTATAATTTGATAAAATTTTTGATCAAATTAAGTATGTAATTTACACATAATATGTGATTTAAAAATTTATTTTTGTTATTTATTGTAAGTAATTTATATATGTTAATATAAAGATTAATTTTTAAAAATTAATTGAAAATTTTGATAAAAAAAAAAGATTAGAAACCAACTCAAAATATAAAATTAACAGATTAATGATATTTTTTTAAAGACAAATTAAAAAATTGACATGTTATATAAAGAAAAATAAGAGAATTAATCGATTAAAATATATATAAAAAAGGCAAGTCTTATGAAATTAAAGATGACACCGACCCATTAATTATGAGTTGATCTACTCATCCATGATCCATTAATTGCCTTCCTATTAATTAAGATCGATCCTAAATGACCTATCAAACTGCCAATCGTAAATAATTTTTGGTACATAAATAATTGGAGGTTGCATGTGCTGTGAGGTCATCACTAGTGATCGTTCCTTTCGCCCAATATCTAAATAGTCATCTTGCATTATGAGCAACGAGAAGGTGAATACGAATATTTTCTGTTGAAACCTTACAAGAAATAGAACTCTATACTTATCTTTCAATAATATTTTTGTTTTCTCATAACTAGAAGTCTCTTGTAAGGAAAAATTAAAGCACTGAAGGATGCAATTTAATTTAATATGGTTTGAAAAGAAAAAAATCAATATTATGTATACTTTTCTAGTGTAAAATGATTTTTTTAAAACCAATTTGCATATCAGCAGAAACTATATCTCTTAAAAATTTATCCTCGATATCAACTTGGTATATTTAAAAAAATTTAATAAATTTTCTTAAATATTTTCTCTAAATTAAATTTAAACCTAAAAAAATAAACAAATACGCAAACTTTTAACTGCCAAAACTATCTTGTGAAGTTGTTGTATGGCTTAATGAAAACCCAAATCTAAAAACTCTCCAAGTCCAAAACTATCTGTTAGATTAGCAGTAAAGCTCTTAAAACCCAAAGAACTTGTTGGGCTTCTCTCTTAAGCTTTAGACCCACGAAACTGCCTACGGTCCCAAATCCAAAAGCACAAATACTCTCAAATCCCAAGTATAATGACTCTAGAAGAAAAGGCCTACACCCAAGTCCACAAGCATTATTTTATTGTTAAACATCCAAAAAAGCACGTGTATCGAACATGCCTCCGGTCCTCTTGCTTTGAGGAATCATGCACACTTAATTTATTAAAAAAAAAAAATGCATACTTAACCGAACCGAATCGTCATACCTTTTTTTTTTTTTCAAAAAACATATTAGTTAAATATCGAATTTATTTTAAACCTGGAGAAAGTTAATATATTAAAAAATTATTAAATTATTAAAATGATTTTTATTTAAAAATAATCCTTATCAAATAGAAGATTTTATTAATTTTTCTGAGCATTTTTTTTTCTTGCTTAAACATTTTTTCTCCTTGTTTTTTCCTTCTCTTTTTTTTTCTTCTTTTTTTATAGTATTTTCTTTTTATTTTCCTAATATTTCTTTCTTTTTTCAATAATATTTTTTTCTCCTAACTAGAAGTCTGTCGTAAGTTGAAGTTAAATAATTGAAAGATGCAACTTAAGTTAATATATATATATATATATATATATGTCACTCATACTTTTCTAGTGTAAAATGATATTTTTATGTATCAATAGGAATTATTTTTTTTCCGAGTGATTTTAGATTAAGTAGTATTTCTTATATCACTAGAGAAATTCAATAATTTTTTTAGATGCTAACCCCAAACTAATTTTGAACTAAATCATCATTTTTTGAGATGGATCAGTACCAGATCACATTTAATATTATCATTTGATTTTTATTTTTTATCAACCTAATTGTCAAATGGAAAAGCAAAGTATGACTATTTTCCATAACTTAATTTTCTTTTGAATTGTACAAAAAATATAACTCGTATATATACTTATCTATTATTTATTTATTTTTTAATATTTATATATAATGTGTTATTTTTAAATTAGCTTTCACATCAATAAAAAATATATCGATCACTTTTTGAGTTAGCTTAATGTCAAATCACACCTATCATTCAATCGATTCTATTTGTTGCATTTTTTGAGTTTAACAACAGTTCATATTTAGTAACACATAAAAGAAATGAAATGATTTTTTAAAGATAAAAAATGAAAATTTAGATATATTTTTCTTATTATTCTATTTATAACTTTCAAGCATCATATACTTATCTATTATACTGATTTTTATTTTTTCTCCGGTAGCTAAAAAGTCTTCATCTTTTTTTTTTTTTCGTTGTACCTGAAAGTCTCATAAAGGTGGAAACTTTATTTTTATTTTTTTGTTGTAACTAACAGTCTCAATTTACTATCTTAGGGAGATGCATGATTTGATCTTAGAATTCTTTTTTTTTTTTATGGATATTTACAAATAATGAAATAGTTTTGAGTTAATTTTTCCATTAATTAAAACTAAATCATCACTTTCTCATGTTTTATCCAAATGAGAAGCTGAAGAAGACTTTTTGCCATAACTTTAATTTTCTTTGCAGTTGTACGAGAAATATAATTCGTATACTCATCCTTCGCCATCATAACTAGAAGTCTCTCTCTTTTTTTTTTGGTTGCACTAAACCTGCACAAATTCATCATTTAATTATACTGAAATTCATCATTTTTTTTTGTGCACTAAACTTGATGATTGTTTGATTATTAATACTTTGATATCAAGTTAAATAATTTCTTAACTAAAAATATTAAGCTATCTTAAATAAGATTCCTTGAAGATTTTCTATTAATTTCATAGCAAAATCATTGAAGGTTGCAAAAGATTCCATGAAGATTTTCTACTAATTTCACAACAAAATCATTGAAGGTTGCAACTTTAAGGTAGCTTGAAAAACCGAAATATCATTTAATGGACAACCTAACTCCATATAATGAATAAACCATATCCAAGGAAGACATGGTCAAGTTTGAACAAAATCCCGAGATCCTAGCCTATGCTTCTTTCTGTCCTAGCATATAGTAATTTCGTACAATAAAGGCACCTTTTTAAGGAACACGGCCATATGCTTTGGCATTGACCTGATTGGTTTGTTCCTGGTCCTCCTAAAGCTCTGTCCTGGTTTAAGCTTGTGCTTTAGGCCTTTGCTTTCTTGAATTTCGTTGTAAGGAGTAATTCTTGGGTGTGTATTATGAATTTTAATCACGTACTTTTTATTCAATGGGAGTGGATTGTTATCCGAAAACTCTTGAAGTTTAATTATTGGCAATATATATATATATATACACACACCACGAATTAAATTGAGAAAATTGCTTGAATGTGAGCTAGAAGGCAAGGAAATTGGGAGCCGGGGACTGGCCAAGCACTTAAGTTCAGAAAATTAAGAAAATGTAGTTAATGATCTATCAATCCTTTTTTTTTTTTTTTTGTTCAATCGTAATCGAATGACTTTATTAATGGCGAAAAGAAAAAGTAGCCACCAGGCACCAACTAAGTGGCTCTACAGAACAAGGGAAATATGCCACATTAAATATGAGTGGAAAAATCCAACCAAACAGCAGCAATAAAGTAGCCATGGTTTTTCCTTTTCTTAGCTTCTGTTTCTTCTGTAGGAATCGGCACACTGGCTTGATCTTGAACAGAGATGAAGAAACAGTGCAGTCTCCAAGTTGGTGTCCTGCTTTTTACTTCGATAGCAGACTGAATGTCCTGCCAGCTCAAGATGTATGTACTTGCAATTTTTTTGTTTGAGAACATACACTAATTTTATGTCTTACTTGTTCATTAGCTTTTCTTTCCCATTTTGAGAGACAAGAAGGAGCTAATTGCACTACGGGGGAGTGTCTCGAAAGCATTGGTATGTTCTAGCGTTGTATGTTTTCATCTTCAAGTAGATGCCCTCCTAGACATATCTATGTTGGAATCTTATTGCTTGTGTGTAGGGATTCTGCAATCCTTGCTAATTGTGATTTATGTGAATCATCATAGAACTGGTTTATGTGATGCCCTCTTTATATATAATCTGTGCTTCAATTTGTCCAGGATATGTCGAGAAAGCGACACAGAATGCTAGCTGTAATTGGAATTCCATATTGTAATCTTTGTTTTGCAGGCATTCAGGCATTATTCTTTTTTCCCTTTATTATCCAACCTTGCTTCTTCTCACTCGATGCTTTCTTGATTTAGGAAGTAAAAAAATAAGTGTGGATGGTAGTATGTTTTCTCTGCTCACTTCTGTGGATTCAAGTCTGCCAGCATATATATTACACCACCTGCTACATTTGAGCAAGGGACCACTCCCCAGCAATGCAAGTATTATCCTGATCATATTTGGAAAGTTGAGTGCAGGAGCCCAGTAACAGAACTTGAAGTTTCAATAAAAGTGAACCTGATCACGATCGTCATTTACTACGTAAACTTCGTTTCCCAGGCAAAGTTCTGGTTGATCTTGGACAGAGATGGTAGGTGAAGGTTCAGTTCCCTTGACAAAAAATAAGTTCTCTGTGCCCTGCACTTAATTTCGATAGCTCACAGTAGAGATGTATTTGTGATATTCTCTTTTGAGGTCAAGAATAATTCTTTCTTTGCTTCAGTTTATTTTCTTATTGGCTTTTCTTTTCCATTCTGAATCACGGGCAAGGAGCTAGCTAACTGCAGTATGGGGTAAGAATCTTGAAGGCATTGCGCTGTTTATACTAATTTAGTGAGGAAACACTTCAATAATTTAAACTAATTGTCTTCAGTTTCTTGAAGACTTCTATTTACTTTTGTTTCAACTCAGTGGCAGGACTTGATTTTCTGAGCATGAGCTCGCATAAGAAGATAATAAAATCAATCTGCCTTTCACATGTTCTACTTTCCAGAACTTCTAGACTTTCATTTCATTTTAGTACCCAGAAGCAGGAGGTATGGTTAACAATATGATTTCTCTGCTCATTCCTCTGCAGGCATCACTCTGCTTCAGGGATCGGGGCAGAGCTGGGATTCCATTAACTCACTGAGATGTTGGCAGGCAGAACTAAATGCCAAAGAAGCCCAAAAATCAGAGTTTCATTCTAATAAATGTGAGCTTGGAAAAGTTCAAGGGGCCAAAATCTTCTTGAGTTCGAAAAGCTTTGATTTAGTATTCTGTTTAACTGTGCAAAACTCTGTTCAGTAATCTGGCATTGAGTTTTCGCAGAAGGAGATACTGCTCTTAAGTTCTTCTGAGGCTGAGCTACTGCTGTGAGACTTGAAGGAGGTGAGCCTCTGGTGAGTTTCAACGCAATCACACACGCATAGTAGAGTTTTTCTCTGGGTTGACGTTTTCCTGATTTTAAATTCTGTCAGGAGAAGCAATCGATCAAGATACCTTCAACTTGCGCATCTCTCTGACATTTTAAAAAATGTCTCTGCCTTCGCAAGGGTTTATTCAACTGTGGATGTTAGGCAGTTATATCTTTTTGAAGATGTGCATCAGTTCTACAGGTTATTGAATTACTAATTTTTATCAGTTGTCCTTCGTTGTAATACCAGAGTTTTGCACATAGATGAAGGAAGTTATTTTGTATAATAGCTAGATATCTTGGTTTTTACAGACTAAAATTTTCGAATTTCAAAAGAGAAGCTTACTCAAATTTGAGAAAGCAGGTTCACCATGGACGGACGTGGGCTACACTTGGCCAGTACAGGTTGAGCCTTGGGCACAGTAAGTCCAATCCCTTCTGTCATGTCCACCATTTCCTTGCTAGACCTGTCCCATTCGAAACACTGAAGCAGTGATCCCAAAGTCAACCCAACCATGCGCATGGCCAAACCGTCTCCAGGACAGCTTCTCCTTCCTGACCCGAATGGCATCAATTTGAAGCCATCTCTGACGCCTTCAAAACCTTCAAACCTTTCTGGTTTAAATTTTGTAGGGTTCTCCCAGATTCTAGGATCATTGTGTATTGCCCAAATGTTTACTAACAACATGGTGCCTCGTGGTATTCGGAACCCTCCAACGACACAGTCCTCTGATGACTCGTGAGGCACTAGCAGTGGTCCAGCTGGGTACATACGCATGGTTTCAGTGATGATGCAATGTAGATATGGAAGTTTTCCCAGATCAGCTTCATCGATTAGGCGATCATGTCCAGCGACATGATCAATTTCATTTTGTGCTTTCTTCAGAGTTTCAGGATTGTTCAACAGAAGTGACATTGCCCACTCCAATGTGCCAGCTGAAGTATCAGTTCCTGCTGCCAGTAAAGCCTGTTTACACATGAAGTGAAAATACTGTCAAAGGATTGCCAGTAAAACCTATTTAACCAAAAGAGTTACAAGAACTGGATCTTACCACTGTAAAACTTTTAATAATTTCATCGTTGTAGTATTCAGGCTCTGATTCTTGCAGGCTCAATAAAACTTCAATCATTGTCATCGTTCTCTCCCCAGAAAAAGAACTCTCCCCTCTCATCTTTTTCCTCTGCTCTTCAACCAAAGCTTGTATAAACCCATCTCGCTTTTTGTGCAACTCCGCCAACCTCTTTTCCATCCCTCCTATCACAGCAAGCACAGGTAAAAAGTCCCCCATCGCTGATGCACCACTCAAACGGAAAGTCTCTGTGACAAGAGCTCGAAACCGCCTTGCCTCTTCCACTTCTGTCGAGTTATCTCCATAATATCTCTTTCCAGCTATCATTCTCATCATCACGTTTAACATGAGTTCAAAGAACAAAGATTTCAGATCTACAATCGCTCCTTTATTTCGAAAAAGATGTTGGATCAGCAACTTGACCTCATCCGTGCGTATGCTAGATAGCAACTGGAGACGGTTAGAAGATAAGATTTCAATGGAGGAGATTTTACGAAGATTGCGCCAATGCTCCCCATAAGGTGCCCAAGCAAGGCTCGTGTAGTTGTATCCCAAGTGTTTCCCTGCGAGGAGGTGTGGGCGGTTGGCAAAGATTAGGTCATTCTTTGTAAAACATTCTTCAGTTGTGGAAGGGGAGGAGACCAAGAGGACACGGCGGAAGCCAAACTGAAGGAGTACCACCGGGCCATATCGATTTGATATGTTGGATAGAGATCGGTGGAGGGGTTTTCTGAGGAGATGAAGATGGCCTATTATAGGCAGAGTAGGAAACGGACTTGGTGGAAGATTTCGGATCTTGTTAAGGAAGTGATTGGTAAGTGCATAGAGAATTAGAAAAAGGAGGAGGAGGTGGAAGAACATGGTGTTGCAGATGTAATTAGCACGTTGGTTCTTGACCTGGACTTCTGGTGGGTTTGAAGACAAGAAGATAAGATGATAAGGATTCTGCTTTAGTTAGGCAGATTATCCAAAAAACAAAAAAAAAAAAAAAAAAAGGTACTCCTGTTGGAAGACTTGACTCGGTCTTAGAAAGTTGTGCCAACATAAGAAAGAAAATACTCTCTCTTTCTGAAAAAAATAAAAATAAAAATTTATGTATATTTTTATTTATATCTTATTTTATAAAAAAAATTTAAGTACAATCCTTTGCAGAAGCTCATACATCTTTTCGAATACAGACGGCTTTCTAAAAACTTTCTAACAAGGCAAATAAAGTGGCTTTGTACAGGTGGACCCCATCCGGATACAAACCTATACATCTTATCGAACGCAGAAAGCTCTCTACTAAGACAAATAAAATCACAGCACATACTGTGAATTTGCGGAAGATAATGGATGCTGGCCAACAAAAGCGATAGACTACGAAAAATTCATGAGTCAGTAAACATGATAAACAATGACCATGTTAGGATCAGACAAGGATATGGGCCGAATAACTAGAGTATATAGATATATTTTTTAATCCTCCAACGTATTTTAGACTAAAGATCTAAATTAATCCATAGTTGGTCTGTTTGATGAACAAAACGAAGACAGCAATTTAAAATTTTTTTTTATATACATAAGGATTCAAACTTAAAATTATTTGGTTAAACGATTAAAATACTTCTCACTCAAACTAATATTATCGAATAATAATTGAATTACATTTTAAGTAGTTGGTGTAGATTTCCATTCTGCGAGGTTGATTTTAGACGGGGAAAGTCCATTTGGATAGGCACTACCTTGATGTTTAAAGCCAATGGTAAGCTAGATGGACAGAAATAGACTTGTCAAGTGCATCATTTCTCTGGTTTATTAATTAACAGATGTTCTTGGCAAGTCCCTTTCTTGCCACCTAGTTTACAGTCATGCATTTGTACACTAGCTCAGTGTGTGCATGCAGCATGTATTCTCCTCTCCCATTAACTAGAAGACATGGGAAAAGTAGTTGATCTCAATTAATGAAATTAAAATGTTGGGAAACACACCAAATTAAGAATTTTATTCCTTACAATTATATTCTAAAAGCAAAATAATTGCAATACTGCAACTAAGATTCTTAATCAATGTCCACCTGAAATGCATTTAACAGGTCATTATATGGTAATGCCTTGCAAGTACTCTATTAAATATAATGAATAAGGTTTGGAGAAACGTTAGTTTTCTTGGCTGACAAAAAATGTGAAAAGAAACAGAAGAAGATTCACAAGGCAAATTTCCTTTGGCCCTTTAAATTAATTGGTCCCTGGAGATTTCTCGGATGCGGACTTGGATATCATCTCAAAGGCTGTTTCTATGCAGGATTTGAATTTATGAGGATCCAAGAACCCTTTTTCTGTTCCCATAGCTAGTGTTAGCTTTCCTGTATAACTTACCATTGTTATGGTAAGACTCTGCATGCAATACCATAAAAAAAAAAAAAGCCTTTAAATTAATTGAAATATTTCTTTAAAAAATCTCATTTATTAAATAAATGGATTTCGTTACTGGATCCCATAAATCTGATGATTCAAATTTTGTAGTAAAATAATGTTATGATTAAATTAATTGAAAGGAAAAGTATAAACATTTATGTACCTGTGGCACGCCAACTACCATAAAATACAAGCCTTTAATTGGATGATTAGCCAAAGCCATTTGTTCCACAGGGCCAATGATATTTGAGATTGTCATGCTCGAGTTGAATAATGTTTTTCGGATGTGCCTGGCTGTTGCCTGCAATGTTAAACACTAAATGTTCTTCAAATCCATTTTTACTCGATCAAAAATAAAAAAAAAAAGATCAATTTTCTTAAGCTTGTCTGATAATCTTGAGCTTCTGTTTTATTAATTTTTATGAAATCATATTAGATTAAAAAAAAGTGTCCACTGGTAACTGACTAAATTACAGAATTTTGAGATATAAGTATAGAAACCACAAATAAAAATAAAAGAACAACTTGCAACAACACTGTCACTAAAAGAATCTGAGTGGTTGTTTTAGCATTAATCCCTTTAATGGAGGGACATGGGTAGCTGGGAAAATGAGATTTCACGGGACTGAAAAAGCATAAGTAATGCAAGGCATGTGCAAGAATAAATGAGTTCTCAACTTGAATTTTAGTTAAGAAGCAACATGAATTTACTGATAGGTATTAGGTAAGACCTAGTTGTTTTTTTTTTTTTTTTTTTTCAACATGATTAAATTAGAAATTAGTCCTTCTTGTTTAGAGAAATGAACTAATTAGTCTCTTTTTTTAAATAAAAAAACTAATTATCTAATTTTTATGTTTTAATTTTATTAATAACTTAGTTCTTTCATCAGTTTTCTGTTAGATTAATGAGTGATTTCTATTTCTAAATGTTAGATTAATGAGTGATTTCTATTTTTAAATTATCCTTTCTTTGATTTTTAGTTGAAAAGAGATAAAAGAAGTAAGTGAACGAATAAATAAAGCATCAATAGAAGAATAAATTTGGGAAAAAAAGGATGAATAATCTAACAAAAAAAACTAATGAAATGACAAAGTTCTTGTTGGAATTAAGATGTGAAAAACTTAATAATTAATTTTTAAAATAAAAAAATAATCAATTCGCTTTTTAAAACAAGAGGGACTAATTTATAAATTACTCTTTTCAACATGGATTTTGTTCTTTCAGCAAAGGCTGTAAAAGATTGTTTGTCTTCGAAACAAGGTTAAAAAAATTCATGACTCTAAGAAGCATCAGGCAGAGTAATTTCATATGTTCAATGTCAAGCACATACCTCAGGGCCTCTAAACTTCCTCAGAACCTCCAGGAGCCTACCAGTGAGGTTAACAGCAAGAGAACTTCTCTTCCTCTGGATGATTTCCTGTGCTTTCGCTACGAATTCAAGAGGTTTAGAAACCTTGGAATCGTTTAATTCAGGTACCGAAACATGCAGGAATCCAAACTGGTTTCCCCATGGGGATTCAGCATCAGGCTTGACCATTTCCTTCACAGATTTGTACCCACCAATGCTTCTAGTATTGAGCAACACCAGTGCCGTGGAATGTGCATTGGTTGATTTATCATCAACAGTTTGCATGTATAATCGTGTTCCGTAGAAGATAATGCCAGTAATGACATCGTTTATCGTCTGTCAAAAAGAAAAAAGAAATGAAACTGAACCTGTCTGTAGCTTCTGTAGAATGTCTCGTTTCTTGTTTGTATATTTGTAAATGGAATCCATGACAGCTACCAAGCTGACTACAAGACCAGCTGCTGAAATTGCTGAGACAATTCACACAGGCACTAACTACATTTTGCAACCAAATCTGCATTCAATGATCTTATTTCATGTAAACAGTCACATTGGCATGCTCAATCTTTGGCACACATTTTTCGAAGTTGGTCAAAATCAGCCATTAAGCCTATCAATACGCCTAGTTTACCTCAGATAACAAGATTTTTAGTTTTAATTTTCAAAATCTTTAAAATAGTCCAGTAATCCTAGCTAATTACTTGTAAAATGTTTACTGACCATAGCTTTTCTGGGTGACTGTGAAGATGATATAGAAATTGGAATTGATAGACTACACTACAAAAGCTTAAATTGTTGTATGATTTATATCGTTTTCTAACAATATTAATCAAATTCTGAAGTATAAAGGAGAGACTTTAAAATAGTGATGAAAAATGAGCCAGATATTAAACGGATAATTGCTCTATCCAGCGCAATAAATATATATCCATTAAAAAAATATTTAATAAGCATTGAGGTGTATAAAGTTTTTCTCTAAAAAAATACATACCAGTCAATATAGCTTTGGTTATGGATATTCATTTTATACCTTACTAATACCCACTTTTTTTTAAAAAAGAAAATTAACATGCAAGAACTTAATTGTACAAACTTTAAAAAGCAAGGACCAAAATATTTTTTATACAAGCTTTAAAGACCAAAAAAACTAATGAATAATGAACTAAATTGTAAAATATATTAATTTTAATGATCAAAATATCTTTTTTTTGATCAATTATTTTTAGCAAGTATTAAATAATTACTAAGTGAAGGAATTTAAAAAATAATTTTTTTTAATAAATATAGACAGAGTATTTTTTTTAATAAATAAAATAAATGATTGAGTTAATTGGTCACATACCCAACCTATTTTCAGACACTACCTTAACCAATCCAACCACCTAAAAAAGAGTAGTTACTATATTAACCAATCCAACCACCTCCCAACTTCGTTTTCACATTGTAAAGATCGGCAAGATGCATGCAGTTTCCTTTAGAAGAGAAGCTTGTGGAGAACACAGGAATAGGATCCCGCACTTCCTTAAAAGCAGCCCCATATCCTTAGAACTAAATGGATGTGGAGTGATCTTTTGTAGGCAACATGTAATAAAATTGTTGGTCTAACCTTTGTCTGTGTGCTCTGTACAGTTAATGCAGTTGGATGCCTCTTACTGGTTAAGACATAGTTATGGAAGAAACATTTCACCTGAAAACCTTAAAGTTTGTAAACTAGAGATCCTACAGTATTGAAATCTAATCCCATTTCATTATGTTTAATTTTTAAAGCATTAAATACTTCAACATTGCTTTTTATGGATGAGAACATTGATTAGATGCTTTAAGGATGTAAGAAAGGAAACTGGTTCAACTTACCACTCCAAGTCTGGACTTAATTTGTTTGATGCGATCAAGAGAGAATGTCGTTGTTGAAATCACAATTGGCTTAAACTGGACTCCTTCATCCCCAGATCGTATCGGTGACCGAGCATCCTCAACAAAGCTACTCTTCAAAAGGCTCCATCCGAAATCAGAAATGGTATTCATGATGGAACTAATACCTTTAGGAACATTAGAGCTCAAAGTACTAAGGCTTTCTGGTTTAGAAGGAAGTTGAAGTGAAGGAAATGTTAAGGAAAGAGAAGGATTATCAGCTCTTTGTAGACAAGAAAGAAGAGCTCCCATGAGAGAAAAGCCATCACCAAGTGCATGATGAAGCTTGAAAATGACGTTTCCAGCTGCATTGCTGGTGTGGTATTTTACTATATGAATTTCCCATAATGGTTGGCTTTGTGGAAATGGCTTCAATGCTACTTTCGATACATAGTCATTGAAGTAAGTGTCATAAGACGTTGGTGACAGTCCATTGGGAAATATGGGAACGTTAACATGGTTTTTGAGCTTCACCTCAACTTGCTTCCATTGATTTTCACCATTTTTATCAAGAACCTGTTTTCAGGAAAAAAAAAAAAAAAATTTATCATACAAGTTACAAAAAGAGAGGTTTTCAAGTTTTCATAGGAGTTTGTGTGGTGAAAATGCAAGAAGAGAAGAAATCATTCCTCCTATTTTGAGATATTGTCCATTGCAACAACAGCCAACATTGATGTAAGGGAAATGAAGACTGGAAACTAATTTGGAAATATGCAGTACAAATTAGTTTCTCCTCAACTGCAATTTTTTCACGAATAAAAAACCTATAAAAGAAAAGGTAAATTACAAAAACTTTTTAAGGTATAATAAAATCACAATCACCACCTAAAAATTTAAAGATATTACAAAAACTCCTCTAAAATTTAACTGAATATTACAAAAAACTCCTTTTTATATCCAAAATCTCCTTAATATCTTTTAATCATTCCCCTTAACATTAACGGCGTTTTGGATACAAGATGATGTTTTTGTAATATCTTTAAATTCTTAAGTGGTCATTATAATTACCTAATACCTTAAAAAAAATTATAGTAACTTATAAACAAAGAAAAAAAAAGGAAGAAGAAGAAGAAGAAAAACTCCTACTTCCCCAAGATCTAACACAAAGATCAAAGAAACTTGACAAAATGCAAAGAAGCAAATGGTCCATTAATGTTCTCACTAAAATGTATATTGCTAGAAAACCAGACTAAGAAAGTTTGGGACAGGGTGCTATAAATACCATGATGGAGGAGAAACGCGGATTGATGGGAAGGAAAACATCCTTAAGCAATGTCATAGTAAGCGAGTCATCAATAGGAACTTCTGATTCCAAGACAGCAAGAATACATATTGAAAGCACTGAGCTGTTGAAGTATTGTCCAGTTGGACTCACTGGCTCTGGTACCTCTTCTTCTTTCTCCTTCTTGAACTCCATAGCTTTGTATTCTTGAGCTTCACCTTCCATTTACTAAATTTATGATATGCCTTAACTCCTAACGTGAGGTCCTATATATATATATATATATATATATATATATATATATATATCAGAATGCCAAAGTTATCAATAGCAGGCTTATTACTGTCACAAGATATAAAGTTTGTACGTAGTTGGGTCTATGGAGATGCATGTGAGTATACTCATTAATTTTCTGCCGACCTTGACCTTTTAACTTTAAGTATTGATTGGTAGGGTATGAACAAGGTTTTTTTTTTTTTTTTTTTTTTTTTTCACTAAGAAAATAAAAAAGAACAAATTAAAAATGAAGTTATAAAGATTAGAATTAGGTTAAAAATTCTTTGTCTACTAATACTATGTTTAACTAGACTTATCAGCTATATCATTTCTTACTCTATTCATTCTAGTAAAACAAACAGATCTCAATTTATTAATAAAGAAAATAATACCATTAAAATCATTGTTTAACTTTCAAAATATATCATATGTGAATCTAATTAATAGTATTTGAAGAGTCTAATTCAACAATCTAATAAATTTATTGTACTAGAGAATGAAAAATACTCAACTCTAAAGTCTTTTTGATCGCGAAAACTTCTATTTTATTAGAGTTTTTGATACCAGTTGGATCTAAAAAAATAAAAAAGAAACACCCTTTATAATCTCTAAGAACATAATCAATATGTGAAGTATCTAATTTTTCTATTGACAAACCTCTTTTTTTTTTCGTTATTTATTGATAGTGGAATATTAATGGATCAATTTTCACATTAATTGAGATTAAATCTATTATTTTTTAAATTAAATAACTAATAAAACATGTTTTGCATTTAATCCACCACTAGACTGCCTCTTAAATCAAATCCATTGATGAGCCTTCTACATTTTATTTTAGAAATCTAACACCCAGCTTAATCCAATCTACAACTCCAATTTCAAATTTTGTATGGATAGAGTTAAGATTGTGGTGGGTGAAATAGTATAGTGATAGTGATTGCTATCATAAAGACCATGTTTCATCCTCACTTTTCTTCTTCTTCTGATTTTCGGTTTGTTTTTTTTTTTCCCTCAATTCTGAACAGCATCATGCCATCTTCATTTCTTTTTGGAAAAAAAAAAAAAAAGAGATGGTGTGCTTTGAACTATATCTTTCAAACATTTGGGAACGCCCTCATCCATGATTTGATTATGCCTTTTTCAATGTCTTTCAATTTTTATGAAGTCCCTGTTATTATAAGTCTTCAAATTGTTAATTTGAAAAAAATAGATACTTTTTTATTGGATAATCATGATACTTTTTTAAATTTATTTTTTTTTAATCAATCGAGAAACAAATACTATCATTTTTGTTCAACAAGATACCATAGTGGCTGATTAATGACTCATTCTATGTAAAAAATAATCATAATTTTTTTATTCCCATTTATAATTCAACAATTTAATATATAATAAGAATTCAAGAACCATTGCATTAAACAATACTTTATAACAATTTCCCAAACAAAGAAAAAACAACTCCAATTCATTACAACTTTAGTGCACTTAGATTAAATAGTTGAATCTGTTTGGACCATTGATGTAGAATTTTTATGACTTTACTAAATTGATCATCAATATATAATTATCAAAGAAAAAAAATGATCATCAATATAACTAGCTAACAGCCTTTAAGTATTTTTTTTTTTTTTTGTATGACTTTACTAAACGCCTCTAGGTATGAATTGATAGCTTCCCGTTTTAATGCAATTTGACCAAATGCTACCAATAAGTTGTCCTATATAACAAAAGCTTCACTGCTTATTAATTGAAAAATACTGTTTGATCTTTCAAGAAAGATCTTAAGTATCTTCATCTGCCCTCTTTGGCTCTTAGCTAGCAAAGTTAAACTTAGACAACGATTACCACCTTGCCATTCTCCTTAGAATTTTTATTTTTATTTAGTTATTTATTTTTAAATTGAAGGGGAAAAAGAGTATAAAATTAAGGAGACAATAGAATATGGAACACAGAAAAACACACGGGGTGATACATTTCCTACAAGAATTGGATAGTTCTAAACCAATGATTCTTTGCGGCAGGTCCAAACCCTGGCATGATGGAAATAACATTTTCCAAACCCGAAAAATTGGATTAAAAAAATGCATAAATTATCTGGAGAATGAATTTAATAACTTCCTTATTCACATTTTTGGCATGGGAACGAATGACGGTGGAACCAATTACTATAATTAATGCTTTTGCATCTAATTGTAATAACTCCAAGCCTATTGGTAGGTAAAACTCTAAACGAAGTAAGTATATAGCACTTTAATGTTGACTCGTCAAAACTCATTAATAAGTACTGATCTACCCAGAGACAGATAGAGAGGGATTTCATCGACAAATAAAAATTGATAAACTTAAGTGTTTCAAATATTATTGATTGTAAAAAGGGTAAAAATGGATTAGCCAGGTAGAATAGGTAAGTTGACTATTCAGGCACAAACCTATAAGAACAGTCGTCACCCCATAAATATGGTGGATTGCAGCAAATGGAGTCTGAGTTAATGCTACTAAAATAATATCTGTTCCATTTTTACGTTTTCACATATATATAGAGATTTTTGAGTTTTTGTGTCAAAGAGCAAAGACTGATGGATTAAAATGTTAAGTTTCTATTTGATATGATTTTTGGAAATTGATTTAAGTTGTTTTTTAACTTTTGATTAAAACAAAATCATAAATATGTTTGGTTATAATTTTTTGACTTGAATCAAAATTTAGTAATAAAATTTAGTCAACATTTTTAGATAAATCAAAAGTTAAAATTTGTTTTATTTTTAACTAATTGATTCTAATTTAAATAATTTTAAGCATTTAATTTATTTTTTTCATAAGTTATTTTTGAATTTTTTTTCTGAATTATGACTCAAAGTCAAATTATTATTATTATTATTTTTAAATCCTGTCATTCGTACTCATTAGACCAGTCATACAATAAGCTGGTGTACTGCTTGTGCGTGGAAAGCATAGTATAAATACCAAAGCAGCACTTTTTTTTTGTTTCGGTGGATAAGTCGATAGACCAATATTATTAACGCCAAAAGAATGGGGAAGAAAAATACAAAGCTCATTAACTGCAAGGTACAGCAGTTGCAATGGCTTCTTGAAAGACAGTATTTCTATATTTTAACAATTAACATTAATAGTTCTGATTATGATATTCTCTTCTTCTTTTCTTTTCCTTTTTTTTCAAACAGGATTTATGAACTAAGTATTAAAGAGTGTAAGTCCATTCCTTTGGAAATTGCGTTGATGCTAATTTAAGAGTGTAAGTACATTCAAACTTGTTTAATTTAGTGATAATTCTACCTTTGTTCTATCGAATCGAAGGCTCGCAACCTACAATACTGTTCCAGCTTATACATAAGCTTGGATTCGGATACGTTGTTGGGTGCCAGTATGTACATAAGGATTTGACTTAAAAGCGTACAATTTTTTTAATACGGATATGCAAATATGACATTTAGCAGAGGAATTAGATTAAAAATTCATTATTTTCAGTGGAAAAAAAAGTAGTACTAAGGGATTCCTATAACAAAATGTAATACTTGGGCTGTAGTGATAAGAAGCATTCATGGGCCATTGAATTTCACAAGTGGAATTTACTCCTAGACAGTTTTGGACTAAATTAACAAAGAATGTGGGCTTTCTAAAGCTATTTAGGTTGGCCAATCCTTGATATATTAATTTAAAGGTTAGCACTGATCCAGTCATGGGTCAAAATACGTTTACATGGACGTGCTCCAAGCAGAGCATAGAGGATGAAAATTGATCTTTTGATTTACTGAACAGTTTGCTACTTTCTAGTTCAAACCTTGCTGGTGTCTGCAGATTGCACTGTGTCTTCCATGCCTGTTAGTTCTCTTAAAGCTCTTTTGAAGTTTAGTCTTGATTCAATCATCACCTATGGGTGCAAAGGTGGCGTGGAAGAATATTGTCTATCCAAAGCAAGAGGGTGGACAGGAAGTGAAATCTTAGAAGCCTTTTGTGTTTGTTCATTCAAGCAGGCTCTATTTGGGTGGTATAGGTCAATCACTACCTCATTAGAGGAAAGAGTATTTGGAGTTTAAAGATCCCATAGAATTGCTTATGGAGCTGGAGGAAAATTCTGGAGGGATGATCAAGCATGAGGTTGGTAATGGAAGAAACACTTTCGTTTGGTGGGATTTGAGGCGTCCTGATGGAGTCCTCATTGACAAATATGGTCATATGATTGTTTATGACTCCTCCATTTCTATTCAAGCCAAGTTGTGTGAAGTGATTAATGGGTTTTATTGGAGTTGGCCTGCTGGCAGATCTGAAAGTCTTGTCCAAATTCAAGCAGCTTTACGCGGTTCTATTTATCCCAGTCCTGCAGGTATAGCTGATTCCATTATTTGGTGCCCAACATCTACTGGCAAGTTTCTATTAAAATCCCTTTGGGAGGCTATCAGGCTTAAAAGTCCTAGGTGGACTGGTTTATACTAGTCTGGGGGTCCTTTATGATTCCAACACATAGCTTTATCTCATGGCTTGCAGAGCTTGATCGGTTGTCTACAAGGCAAAAAGGTAACTCAGATTTGCTCAGATGTCGGATGTAAAGTGTTATGTTTGTCATGGTTGGGGCATGCAATGGAGTTGATTCTTTTTTTTTCTTCAACTCCTTGATGGGTTGATGCTTTTGTATCGCTTGGTTCTCTACTTTGACAGATTTTTGTATTCCTTTGGTTTGATTAATGAATTTTTCATCTTTAAAAAAAAAAAATCATAATTATCCGTACTTTTAGCAGACAAAGTCTATGCAAAACCAACCAAAACAAAACAAAAAAAGACTTTCATATAACAGAGGTGCGAAGTGAGTGCTTGTCAAAGGAGGAATTGAGTGAAAGATAGTTACCTAAAATTCCTGATATGGAACGAAAGGAAAAATCATTCTGTTTTGAAGCTAAAAATGGTTAGTTATTGTCCTAAAACTGCAAAATAATTAAGTTCACAGAAACAAGAATCTAAAAATGGCTTCCGGAGAGCATATATTGTTAATGATTTCTGCTCTGCGAGGTTCAAATTCAAACACCAATCTTCACATTTTTTGGAGAAAAATATAAATTATTGAAGTAAGATTGAGATGGAAACCGAAGTTCGGATGTCCACAAGAGAATGAGATAAGCAAAAGTCAAGATGCAGAAACGAACAAAGAGATAACTCCTCACATATTTGTTTTAATCATCACCACCTTTTCGTCGTTTCTCAAATCCTCTTAAAAAAATGCTTTGCTTGGCCAGTGTTGCATGAATTTGAATGATATTCACTAAAACGGCTGGAATAGAGAGAGTAGAAATCACAACTTTCATCCGCACTCATCTTCATAAGAAATGCAGAGTGGATCTGGATTTTCTTCAGATTGAAGTTGGACCCCACATCTTTTCACCTTTAAATGTCTTTCTTGACGAGCAAACTTCACTCTTGTGTAGAATTCAAACGTAACTTCATGACCAAAATATTTACTGAAATCACCAGGCATTATGTTATCGTAACATAAATACATATGATTTAACTCATAGATCTTCAAACTCCTGAAGACAAACCTATGAGAACTCATGCTGCAAATGACATTATCATGTTCACCATTATTAATTTTGGCCTGCCAACACAAATTCGAGGGAAACTTTATTTTTATGGAAGAACCTGTATGGGTGACTAACGATCAAGCAGGAAGCAATTGCTTTGAGGTTAGGAGAGTTCGAGGGAAACTGTATGGTTACTGAAGATCCTGTACTTTGATAATTGAACCATTGTGGAATCTTACTTCCGGGTAAAACCATTCCAAAAAAGTTTTGCATCTTTCCAAACTGCAAGATAGCAATAATATTAATTATTAAAATAAGTAAATTAACATGAGCAAACATGAGATAGAGATAGAGAGACACACCTGAAGTTTCAGTTGCATGTCTGCTATCAATGCTTTCTGATCAAATTTGAAGCAATTTGCAAAACATAATTGACGCACTGAATTGCCTATAGTGCCGCTTGATATGATTTCTAGTGATTCACAGTCATTAGCTATTAGATGTTCCAAGGATGGTGGAAGCTCTGGTAGCTCTTTAATGAATGTGGCATCAAGATACAGAAAAAGCAAAGATTTCATGTGCCTAATTGATGAGGGTAGCTCTGTAATTGCAGTGTCACTCAAACGAAATTCTTTCAAAGATTCCATAGGCTCCATAATTTCTGGGAAGCTTTCCAGATTTGAGCAACCTGATATTTCCAGATGTTCAAGAGATTTCAATTTACAGATGCTGCTTGGAAGTCTAGAGAGCTTGTTGCAGCTATTCATAGATAGTTCTCGCAAATTTGTAAGAAACTGGATCGATGAAGGCAGCTCTATGATAGATGTCTCATCCAAACGTAATATTATAATATTTCTTGAGATCTCTGAAAATTTGTTGAGATTTGAGCAAATCGACAGACAAAGGTATTCCAGTTTGTCAAAATATTGAAAGTATGATGGAACCTCTATTAAACTTTCACAGAACTGAAGATCTACATACTGTAACTGGCTAGCCTTTGATAGATCTGGCAATTTAGTCAAACATCAAGAGAAAGGGAGTTTGATTCTTCTTAAATTCACGAGATTCTGTTTTGAAATTAAAAGTATAATTAGAGAAATACCTTCGTGAACTATATATCATATATATAGAAACATTTGCGGAAGCTAAATCATACCTGTTGTCCACTCCAAAGTTTTTCAACCTTATTTGAGAAAAGTCAAACTCAACAAGATTTTCAGCACAAAAATTGTGGCAAAGATCTCGAAGGGTATTCATCCCATTGGAAATATCTAAGCACCTTGGAAAGATATTCAAGGCCACAATGAGGAAGCTGCACTCTACTTGTGCTGCCCTTGATTATAAGAAATTCAAGACAGCGCATCCCTGCAAAGGCATCAGATTTCAATTGAATTTCCCTTGATTCATGCATGTCAAGGCATATGCCTTTAACTGCTTTCGTTCCCTAAAATCAAGGACAGGGAATAAATGATTAATACAATATTTTCATAAATGTATCACTTAAGGGAAACTAATTAAGTTCATGATTGTAGCTTTAACCTTTCTTTTTTTTAATAGATGATAGATATCCTCAGGATCAACCAGTCTGCTACGTTTTCTAGGATTCTCAGATTCTTCATTAACAATACTATAAGCCATTTCTGTTAATAAATCATGCATCTGTAACGTGTTATCAAAAGTTGTTGTCATGAGAGACTTGTCAATTAGAACGCTCATACAGTAATGCACAGAAGAAGACTTCTTTTCTAATATTCTTGTAACATTGTATCGCTCCATCCCTCGAAAAAAACATGCAATATCAAGAAATATATTTTTTTCCTCTTTATTCAGCCCATCATAACTAATCCTCAACGCATTTAGAATTTCAACATCATGAACCTTTCCTAACCCATTCAATGCACTGTACCAATCCTCTATGCTTCTGTCACAGAGAGCAGAACCCAAAACCACTAGAGCCAAAGGATTTCCATTTGCATAATTCACCACCCTCTCTAACAAATCTTGGTAATCACTTGTGGCATCGATTTTCTTGAAAGCTTTGGATTTAAGAAGCTCAAGAGCTTCAATGTTGTTCATTGCATCAACCACCTGTTTTAACACATGTTGATCTCTACTTGTTACGAGAATTCTACTTCCGGGACCAAATGAATCATGTTGATCGAGTAACAATTCTTGCAAAGGCATTGAACTGTCTATGTCATAAAAAACAATGAGAACCTTTTTATGGCGAAGACCATCTATTATAAAATGATTTCCAAAACACAAAGGGCCCATATCCGGAATTTCTTGGTCTAATAGTCTCGAAACAAAGCTTCTTTGCAAATCAACCACTGTATGTCTTTTTAACTCTTCCCTGATGTTTGGAACAAAGAGAGAGGCTTCAAATTCAGTGCATATTTTATTGTAAACTGCTCCAGCGATAGCTGTTTTGCCTACACCACCCATTCCCCATATTCCTACAATCCGAACATCTTGTGACTCCATGTCCATAAAAGATTCAATTTTTCTTATGCGCTCATCAATTCCCACAAGATTCTTGAGATGAATGGGGAACATTTTGCACAATTTATTGAAGATATCTTTAACAATTTTCTCAATAAACTTAGACTCGGACCTACAAAAATAAGGAACACATACTTGTTAGTTGGAATGGAGGATTTTGGCTATAGGGTTTTGATTAACCAAATGATGACATGTTGATCCCTCTTATTATGCCACGTTATTCTAATTTGACATTGTAAAACACATATTAACATGAAACTTCTAAAAAAATAATAAAGATATATATATTTTTTAATTTTAATTAGATAATGTTAATGACAATGATAAATAATTTACTATAACTACTTGAATTAATCTATTCTTATCTTCACCATCTAAGGATTGAAGATGATTTAGGAGCCTCTTAACCTCAAGATGCCAAAAAGAGGAAATTAAAGATTAAAAACTCAGTCCCTATAGCCTGAAAGTTCATAGTATAGTTTTTACCGATTAATTAACTAAAAAAAAATAATAATAATAAATTCTTCGCGTAAAATATTTGTCTAATGGCCAAATAGTTCAGTCATACTTATTTCTCTCATATCTTAGGGAATTTTGTTTTGACAAAAAATAATATCGAACTACTGAAAAATAGATGGAGCACAATATTTTTTTTTAAAAAAAAAAATCAGTTTTGCAATAAAATTTAAAATATAATTAAGCATCCACATCTTATTGAACAATAAATGATTGAATCCATATTGGACATTAAAGAAAGCTTACTCAATCTTCCGTGAGTCATGCCCAGATATATTGGCAGCTTCATTCAAAGCAGCTCTGAAGCACTGCTCTTCCTCCATCTCCAAAGCTTTCCTCTTCACAAGTTCTGCAAATGCATCTCCAAAACATCCACTTTGCTTTCTTACATCAGATGGATCAACCTGATAGAATATCGGAATTGCCATCTGCCCTCTAATTTTTCTGCATTCAAGAATCTTCACAAACTCATCTAAGCACCATTTGGAAGATACATATAATTGGGAAAAAATAATCACAGAAAGCTTGGAGTCTTCAATTGCTTTTACAAGTGAGTCGGAAATTTCTTCTCCTCGCTTCATGTCGTCATCTATGAAAGTTAGGATATTTTTCCTTTCCAGGGCAGCATGGAGGTGGCTAGTGAAACCAGCACGAGTGTCTTCTCCCCTAAAACTAAGGAAGACGTGATGTTTGGTGGTTGAAGTAGAAGAAGAAGCCATATCAAAGGGGAACAAAAAAATCCAAACAGGGCGCAGGGGTTGGAGATTTTAAGTCTCTAGCGTAGGCATATATTGGGGTGGTTTAAGATACCTTCTTCACACCATGTCAGATTTGGACCTAAGAAAAGAAACCAAGAAGACATACTTGTTGATAGTTGAAATGGAACAGAAAAATATAGAAACTAAAAACACTCATTCCTTCACTAATCCTATAAAAATGAACAACACATATGTTAATTACCTGAAGGTGGATCTGTGCATATATTGGACCGGCGGGAGAGGGAGTGGAAGATGAGGAGTCACAAGCGGTATATAAAATTGAGACAGGTTGTTTTCGAATTTTGAGTAGGACAGGAGGCAACGGCTGTGGGAGGTAGAGTTGGGGTTTTCATTTTTTATTTTTTTCCCTTGAAATCTGGAAGTAGAGTTGCAGAGAAATGAAAGGAGCAAGTTGATCCATTATAAACGAAGCATCCATGAATATATTTATACATTATAAATAAATAAAAAATTTCCATGCTTTTTCAAGATCTGAATTATGATAAAGATGAAAGGAGGAAGTTAAGCTTCTAAGAATAATTTATTGGAATAAACAGATTAAGAAAGAAACTGAAAGCTAAAGCACATATTATCTATATATAATCAAACGCCGAAAGTGCCAAGAATCGGCTAAAGCCCACGCAGTATGATTTTGTCGGTTTGATGCTTTTTATTCTCAAAGATCAAAGGGCATAATTTCCTCAAAGACCTATGAAGTCTTTGCTTTAACAAAAAAATATTAAAATAGATAAAGATAAACCACAGAAAGGAAGGGAAAAAGGGTTAATTTTACTTGGGGTCACCAACTCCAGATTAACTATAGGAAAAAACAATGAATCTGGCCTTGGATTAGGCAGTTTTTGACCCTAAAAAAAGAGAAGAGTAGACAACATGTCGTTTGTTGTCCTTTTCCAAGTGACACTGTCAGATTCTTTTGATAAACAATTCCAAACATCCTCCTCAAATCTGCATAATTGCGCAATAAATTAATGGATGTAAGAGAATTATGGTCTTATTTTCGGAGAAAGAAAAAAGTATGTACCTATAACACAGAAAAAAATATGTATTTATAACATGTGTCACATAGAAATTACGATAATTCATAGTTAACGGTGTTATAATAGAAGATCTTAAATAAATTCATAATTAACGCATTTATAATAAAAAAATAAAAAAAATTAATCAACATAAAAAATACATAACGTCAATCAAAAAATTTAAAAAATAAAGAATTCAGGTATAGACAAATCCCATTTACTATCACGTCCTTCGTTGAAGTGTATAAACTTCTATTATTATTCATTTCAAAGGACTTGATAAATAATTATATGTAATGTTGAAATTTCCATGAGTTGCCATTGTACATTCATATTACATCAATGGATTTAGACTATTGGGTTTGCTTAATATCTTATCTCATCCAACAAAAAAACCAAAAAAGAAAAACATTGAAACATAATTAAGAAAAACAAATTTTGCCTAGACAAAATCCTGTCATAAGGCCGGTGAATATCAGCACGAACCGAACTCTTTCATCCCAAGGAATTCATAAACACAATAATCAAACCATTTTTGTTGCCAAGATTGGGAGAATTTGGAGATGAAAAATTCAAATTTGAATTCTCATGTGATTGTATCATCTCTATTGCAACAGTTCCCGTTTATTGCTGTTGAAGTTGATGATGATGGCTCTATTTTCTTGTCTGATAGAAAACATAAACAAAGCAAGGGTTCATCTTTTACTGAGAGTTGAACACGTGTAAATTACTAATTTGAAAAACCAAGAAAAAGCAAAAAGGAAATTGCTGTATGAATCGTTTTGGGCCCATGCTTCAAGTAATCTACTTAAGGCACATAAATATTGGTTTTGGTAAGCTGATTTGAGGGGGAAAAAAAAATTCAAAGGCCTTGTTTCTAGCCCATTTGGCCCATGCAAATCAAATGGACTTTTAATTTTCTTATACTCATTTTACACATTGGATCATAGGTTTGTTTAAGTTTTATTTGGGAGTAAAATGCATGAAAGGTAGAAATAAATCATTCTCCTCAGGTTTTTCTAGCCAGAAATACTAGACTTGCTCAGAAATTTCAAGAAAAGACTATTAGATCATTCTTCATACACCAATCTGATGCAAATCCAAATCCTTCTAAAAGGATTTCACGATCTTTGGGGAAGTAGGATTTTCAAGTCCAGCAAGTTCAGGTATATCAGGCTATCCGAAGCTCCAATTCAGATACTCTTTTTTGTTTTTTTCCCCCTCTAAATTCCCTTCCTATGAATTCTCTTAGACTATACGCCCAAATCCCTTAAAAATGGTTATCTTCATCTGCAATACACTGTTGCAACATCAGAAGAATCGCATTCTTCTGCCTAATGTCATCTTGTAAAATTAATGCTTTCTTCACTAAGCACAAAAGCCAATGACAGCTACTGTGTCCCTTCAAAATCCTCTATGAAGACAGAATTTAGGGAAGTATGCGTTGAAGGTAATATAGAATTAGATAGTTGAGATTGAGTTCCATCCAAAATATTTAAGCCTCGGTGGTGGGTGACCCCTTCCCTTCTCAACTTTATATATTATTTATTATTGATTTAACTATTCAATATGAGATATGTTCTAACACTTTTCCTCACTTGCAGTCTATCTTTTTGAGGTACTGTCAAGTAGCTTGGGCTCTAGGATTTTTACTTGGACCGTTGGGCTTTTTGTGACTCGATACCATATAGAGTTAGATAATTAAAATTGGGTTTCATAAAAAAGACTTGAGCCTCATGGTGAGTGGTCCCTTCTCAACTTTATATATTATTTGTTATTAGTTTAACTATTCAATATGGGATATGTTCTAACCAATAGAACATCTAGGAGTTGGTGTTGACAAAATAAATGCATTTGATGATAGAACATACCTATCCTCTGGCTCCATTCTCAAAACCAAAATTTAAAACCTAGCTTGTAGAATTGACATAAGTGCTATTACTGGACTTTTAGTTTCACTCACTGCTTTCTCCCTAAATAAAACTGATTAGAACCTATCAGAAAACCACAATTTTCCCAACATGCAACAATTTTACACCCACCATTTCACCAAAAAAAAAAAAAAAAAAAAAAACAAGAAGAAGAAAAAAAAAGAATTGAACTATAGTTATTGAAAATTTGTGATCCAGGACAGGAAAAATCACTCTGTTTCGAAGCTCAAGTTGGTGGAGCTACATAGAAAATAAGTAATTAATGGTTGATTATTTATCCTGAAACTGCAAAATGATTGAGTTCGCAAAAACAAGAACCTTAAAAAGGCTTTCCAGAGAGCAAATACTGCTAATTTCTTAATGATATTCTTCGAGAAGCACAATTGCCAATGACAGTAAACTCAATAGCCTCGACTGATTTCTTAAATATTTACAATAACACACAAAGCAAAATCATTTGGAACAGTAATCTCTTTCAGTTGCTCAATCAAAATCTCTGATAAAATATCCAAAATATATGCTTGTTCTGTCAAAAGAGGATTGCCGCTTGTATTAACTTCCTCTGTATTATATTGATTTCTCAATCAATATAATCTTGCAAAGCGTAGTGAATTTCCTCCAAACAAATCATTAAGAGAAGCAACTTCAGCTAATCTTCTCCCAAATCAACTGGTAAAACAGAAATCAAGAAACAGTCACAAATATAATTGAAACAAAAGGTGATATGATAATAGAACACTTGAACACTAGCACAATTTTGCAGAACAAATCATAAAATTTACATAAAGATGCAATCTGTACAATTTCAGTCACAATACAGTAAATCCTTTATCCCCTGTGAAACTTATTCTCAGTGCTTCCATCACAACACGCACAAGTAATCAGACACCGATGATCAAAAGGCTCCTGACTCGAGACTTTTGCAAGAACATTAAAGTCATGGTGAAATAAAAGACCAAATGGCTTGCTGGATTTCTTTTCCATCCAGAGAGAGATTCCCCAAAACCAGTAACCTCACGCAAATAATCCCACTGTCTGTGTCAGAATAACGAAACCCTTTAGACCTCGAAATAGTTGAAAAATCGCAAATGATAACTTTGTCCTTGATTTCTTTTAATCATTTCCATTTTCTTAAACTAAAAATTTAAGGGAAGAATTCATATATGCTAATGGTCTAAAATGAAGTATTTATGTGTGTGTATTTTACCTATGAGACTGAGAGTGTCGCAGTGAAGGAATATAATAAGAATTTCAAAATGTAATAAGAGCACATGATCCACTGGAAAAAAGAAAAAGAAAAAAGTTGTATTCAAAAAATAGGAAAAGCAAGAGCTGAATTTTCTATTATAACTTCCAAAGTTCAATATCTTACTCGAAACTCCATAGGAAAAGCAAGAGCTGAAGAAATAAGTCTTTGCAAAACCAACTAAAAGAAACAGAAAAAGACTTTCATGAAACAGTCCTTTTAGAAGGCTTATGAGTTGGTGTTAAAAAAAAAAAAAATCTCTCCGTTCTACTCCTAACTTGTAGAACTGTTAACCAAATTTTAGCTTAAACCACTCCTTCCCTCTCTAAATAAACCTGTCGAAAACTACAAATTTCAAAGACCCAAGAAATAAAAACTTACAAAAAAAAAAAGTGGAGAATTGAGTGAAATACCCGACTAGTGGGGTAAACGCTTTCGGTTGGCTAATCTTGCAGGAATTTGAATCATATTTTTCAAATCAATAATCATGATTACCTTTTCGTCGTCTCTCAAATCCTCATAGCTAGTCTCATCACCCGGACCCTCACCAAAACTGCTGGAATAGAGAGAGTAGAAATCACCACTCATCTTCTTAAGAAATGCTGGTTGAATCTGGAGTTTCATCAAATAGAAGGCGGACCCCACACCTGTTCACTGTCAAATGCCTTGTAATTGCAAAATTCACTCTTGGGTAGAATTCAAACGTAGCTTCATGGCCAAAATATTTACTGAAATTACTAGGCCCTATGCTGTTGTAAGATATATAAATGTGATCCTGTACTTTTGGCTCGAAGAAAAACCAATGAGAATTCATGCTGCAAATGACATCGTCATTTTCCCCACTATTATCACTTTTGGCCAGCCAACACAATTAGACGTCGTATGTGACGAATGGGTGAAGAACGACCACGCAAAAAACAAATGCTATGAGCTTAGGAGGGTTGGAGGGAAACTGTATGGTTATTGAAGATCCCGTACGTTGATCACTGAACCACCGTGGAATTCTAATTCTGGATGAAACCATTCCAAAAAAGTTTTGGATCTTTCCAAACTGTATGATAGAAATGACATTAATTATCATAATAAGTAAATTAATATGACCAAACATGAGATAGAGAAAGAGAGAGTCACCTGAATTTTCAATTGCAAGTCTGCCATAAATGCCTTCTCATCAAATTTGAAGCAATTTGCAAAACATAATTCACGCACTGAATCGTCTGAAGTGCTGCATGATATGATTTTTAGTTTTCCATCATATTGCAAGGGTGGTGGAAGCTTTGGTAGACCTTTAACGAATATGCCGTCTAAATAAAGATAACACAAATATTTCAGATGCCTAAATGATGTAGGTAGCTCTCTAATTGCAGTTCCACTCATAAGAAGTACTCTCAAAGACTCCGTAGGCTCCATAATTTCTGGGAAGCTTTCGAGTTTTGAGCAATTTGATATATCCAGATATTCCAAAGATTTCAATTTACAAATGTTGCTTGGGAGTCTAGAGAGCTTCTTGCAGTTAGTCATATTTACTTGTCGGAGATTTGAAAGAAACTGGATTGATGAAGGCACCTCCTCAATAGAAGTCCCATCCAAGCATAATTTTCTCATATTTCCTGAAATCTCTGGAAATTTGGCGATATGTGAGCAACCCGATAGAAAAAGCTCTGCCCTCACATCACCAAATGATTGTTGAAGTTCTTGTATTGCAGTCCGACTTAAATCTACAACTTCCATATCCCTTGAAATCTTTGTACCCTTCTTGATATTTGAGCAATCTCTTAATGAAAGACGTTTGATATTCTTTGAATTAATCCTCCTTGGAAAACACTGAAGATTATAACAACATCGGATTTCAATTGCATTTCCCTTGATTCAGACATGTCAAGCATATGCCTTTAACTGCTTTTGTTCCCTGAAATCAAGGGCAGAGAATAAATGATTAATACAACATCTCAATAAATGTATCACATGAGGAAACTAAGTTCAAGATTATAGCTTTAACCTTTCTTTTTTTCAATACATTATATATATCTTCAGGATCAACGAGCCTGCTGCGTTTTCTAGGATTCTCAGATTCCTCACTAGCAATACTATAAGCCAATTCCTGTAGTAAATCATGCATCCACAATGTGTTGTCAGAAGCCGTTATCAAAGACTTATCAATTAGAATGCTTATACAGTAATGCACGGAAGAGGACTTCTTTTCTAATATTCTTGTAACATGGCATCGATCCATCCATCTAAAAAAACATGCAATATCAAGAAATGTATTTCTTTGCTCTTTATTCAGCCCATCATAACTAATCCTCAACATATTTAGAATTTCAACATCATGAACCTTTCCTAACCCATTCAATGCACTGTACCAATCCTCTATGCTTCTCTCACAGAGAGCAGAACCCAAAACCACAAGAGCTAAAGGATTTCCTTTTGCATAATTCACCATCCTCTCAAACAAATATTCGTGATCACTACTGGGGTCAGTTTTCTTGAAAGCTTTGGATTTAAGGAGTTGAAGAGCTTCAACGTTGTTCAACGCATGAACCTCATATTTTGCATCAACCACTTGTTTTAACACATGTTTATTCCTACTTGTTACGAGAATTCTACTTCCGGGGCCAAATGAATCATGTTGTTCAAGTAACAATTCTTGCAAAGGCGTTGAGCTATCTACATCATCACAAACAATGAGAAACTTTTTATGGAGAAGGTGGTTTTTAATAAAATGACTTCCAAAACCCAAAGGAGCCATATCCAGAATTTCTTGGTCTAATAGTCTGGACAAAATGCTTCTTTGCAAATCAACCACTGTTCGCCTTTTTAACTCTTCCCTGATGTTTGGAACAAAGAGAGAGGCTTCAAATTCAGTGCAAATTTTATTGTATACTGCTCCAGCAATAGTTGTTTTACCTATACCGCCCATTCCCTATATTCCTACAATCCGAACATCTTGTGACTCCATCTCCAAAAAAGATTCAATTTTTCTTAGGCGCTCATCAATTCCCACAAGATTCATGGGGTGAATGGAGAACATTTTGGACAACTTATTGAAGATATCTTTAACAATTTCTTCAATAAATTTAGACTCGGACCTTCAAAAATAAGGAACGCTTACTTGTTAGTTGGAATGGAGGATTTTGGCTATGGAGTTTGGATTAACCAAACAATGACATGTCTAGCATTCTTATTATGCAGCATTATTCTAATTTATCTTAAGCACGTTAACATGAAAACTTATATGGATAAACCTTTAAAAAATAATAAAGATATTATTTAGGTTTGTCTAACACATGCAAACTCTCGTATACAAATTTAAATTCTAAATCTAGCAAGCAACTAAAAATTAAACTGTCCCATTTCCGAAAATATATATATATACCCAAAACCATAAAACTGCATATATTGGACCCCTTAGTGATACCCATAATTGTTAGATGAGGTTAAAAAATGATTTTATATTAACTCATGATAAATATCAGAGAAAACTTACTCAATATTCCGTACATTTTAAATGAAATAATTTGGTTAATAATAAATTTTTTAAATAAATAAAAGATATTTAATAAAAAAAGGATAAAATTTAAAATTTAAAAACAACTGAACTCTAGAATCCCACATACTAATCCTAGAAAGAAATAAAATTCTTCAGATTTTTTTTAAAATATATTTTTATATAATCAAAATACATTAATTTATTAAATCTAATAATAAATAAATAAATAATAATTTTGTTAATAATGAAAAAGAGATACCTTTTTCAAATATTAAAATACATATTTTTTCTTTAAGAAAAATTGGAGAATGGGACCTTTTATACTGAATCCTAGAAAAAAGTTAAAATCTTCAATTTTTTATTTCTTTTTTACAATTTGATATTTTTCTTTGTTTAAAATATGGTGTATTTTTACAATTTAATATTTACTATATTTTTTTAATTAATTTTGAGAAGGATGTGTATTTTTATTTCTATTTATTATGGACCATACATAGGGCATGATTTATACCTCAAATTTATTAGGATCAAAACATTCCAATTTGATAGATCATGTTGTCATTAATTTGAGAGGAGCTCAGTCCAATTTATATTGCTGTAATATTTCAAAGTCAAACTTCCCTTTGCATAAAACATGGTCATTTACTCGTTTTCTATTGTATCTTCATAAGATTTTTTGTCTCCTGCCGTGTCTGTTTTGCTATGTTATGCTGTGCTACAAGATGATTTAATTGTAATGAATTGGAAAAATAAAAGGAAAAAAAAACAAACAATCTATAACCAAGTATTTGTAGCAAAAGAAAAAAAAAATGAAATGAAAATATAAAAAAATTCAAAATCAAAGCCGTTGTGACCAATTATCTATAATAAAAAGGGAAAAAATCAAAATCAAAATCAAAATCATCATTTTAATTTTTTAATTTCAAAAAAATTATTCTCATGCTTCGTGGCAACACCAAATTGATGAACGCTAAGTCAACTAATAACGAGATGGAAGGAAAAGTTAAAGCAGAAAGACTGATGAAACAAAACTGAAATTTGATTAAAATTCGATAGTACAAAACCCATATTGGACATTAAAGAAAGCTTACTCAATCTTGCGTGAGTCATGCCCAGATATATTGGTAGCTTCGTTCAAAGCAGCTCTGAAGCACCGCTCTTCCTCCGTCTCCAAAGTTTTCCTCGTCACAAGTTCAGTAAATGCATTTCCAAAGCTTCCACTTTGCTTTCGTACATCAAATGGATCCACCTGATAGAAAATTGGAATAACGATCTGCCCTCTAATTTTTCTGCATTCAAGAATCTTCACAAGCTCATCTAAGCACCATTTGGAAGATGCATAGTGTTGATAATCACAGAAATCATGGGGCCTTCAATTGCTTTCACAAGGGAGTCGGAAATTTCTTCTCCTCGCTTTAGGTCGTCGTCTATGAAAGTCAGGATATTTCTCCTTTCCAGAGCAGCATGGAGGTGACTGGTAAAACCAACACGAGTGTCTTCTCCACTAAAACTAAGGAAGACTCGACGTTTTCTTCCAAGTTTGGTGGTTAATGTAGAAGAAGAAGAAGAAGCCATATGAAAGAAAAAATAATTGAAACAGGGCACAGTGACCGGATTCTGTAGAGATATTATAGGGAAGAAAAAATAAGCTGGTTGGAGATTTCTAGTCTCAAGCGTAGGCAGATTTGCACCTAAAAGAAAACAAAGAATCCTATAAAAATGAAGAACACATATTGGTTAACTGGTTGTTTTTAGCAGATCATAGGTTTCTGACCATATTCTTGACGGTGGTGGTAGATCGGTACCGGCAAGTCCCAGAGAAAAGTGTTTGAAAGAGATGGAAGAAATCTACTTGGAACGCTTTAAGAAATACATTGCATTGCCGTTGACTTTTTTAGTAAGACAAAAAATAGAAAATTTAAAATTCTTAACAGTAACTGTTCTAAATTAAGTAAATGAAAAAACAAAGAACCTGGTTTTGTACTAGGCAGTATTTTACCATTAAAAAAAAAAAAAAAAAAAGATGAAGAGTAGACAGCATGTTTGCGACCGTTTCAAAGTAAGATTCCGATGATAAACAATTCCAATCATCAATATTGGTCGAAATTTCAACCAAGACCTTTTTTTTTAATTGTTATCATAAAACTAAAATGTACTATTTAATTAATGAATTTTGTTGGGTGAGATAAATTATAAATTAATTTTCCATATTTGCAAAAAAATAAAATAAATAATTCCTTTGGTTTTAAAAACTAATCAATTAATCTCTACATAACTTAATCTTTTTCATTAAGCATTATCAATATCGATCAAAAATTAATTAATTAATTTCAAAACTTGATGAACTATTTAATTCATTTGACAAGCTAAAAAGATTAATTTATAATTTACTCAATAAAGTTCATATGCCTCCAATCCAATAATTGGATATGAATTAAAAAAATAATTGAATAATTTGGTTGATAAATTAAAACTCCATATTAAATTCTATTAGGTGAAATAACAAATACTAGTGGACAAACAAAGTTATTTATGGAATTTTTAATTTTTTTAATTTTTCCATGAATACATTTTCTCTTCACTCTATTCACAATTTCTACATCAGATTACATTGGTCAGAATTGTAGAGCTACCTTTTTTTATATGCACTGGAGATTAAGTACCAAACATATTCTTTGACCAATTTGATTAACAAAAGTTGTCAATGTTATTAACAAAATATTAATAAGGATGCAATTGTAGCCTACCATGAATGATTTAATGGAATTATGTATACACTGTTGAAATTGAATGATCCAATCAGTTGCCGTTGTACATAATTCTATTACATCAATTGATTTAGATTATTGCATTTGCCTAATATTTTATCTCACCCAACCAAAAAAGAAAACGAAAAAAGAAAAGTATAGAAACATAATCAAGAAAAAGAGTAAATTATAAATCAAGTCCATCTCATTTCAAAAAACAAATTAACTAATCCTCCTCATTAAAAAAAAAAATTAATTATTTAGTGTTGTATGTTTTGATTATGTCAATAACTTTGTTATTTCATCAGTTTTCTGTTAGATTAATAATTTTTTTTCAAATTACCCTTCTTTTGATTTCTGATTTCTCTTATTCACCCACTTTTTTTTTCTCCTCAATTGAAAATAAAAAAAACGGCAATTTTAAAAACAAAAACCACTAATCTATCATAAAACTAATGAAAATACTAAGTTATTAACGGAATTAAAACTTAAAGATTAAATGAATAGTTTTTGAAATGAAAAAAAGCTAATTAATTCGTTTCTCTAAACAAGAGTGACTAATTCATAATTTACTCACAAGAAAAATTGTTACACAAAGCTCTGTTGCAAACTTTTTGCTTCAATTACTGCTTCGTTCTGTGGATATATAAACCTGAATAGAACCTCTCAAAACCTGCAACTTCAAAGATCCAAAATAGAGCAATTTACAACTAAATCCCACCAATTCCCAACAAAAATAAATAAATAGAAAATGAAAAAAGTGGAGAATTGAGTGAAAAATGGTTACCCGAAATTCGAGACCTGGAAGTTGAGGAAAAAGGAAATCACTCTGTTTCGAAGCTCAAGTGGGTGGGGCTGCACAGGAAATGGGAGAGAAGAAAACAAAGATAATCTTGATGAGTACTTAATAGTTGATTATTTCTTCTGAAACTGAAAAACAAATGAGTCCACAAAAACTAAAACCTAGAAACATTTTCGGAGACCAAAATAAATTGCTCAAGAGATTATGCTGAACGTTTTTTAGAAGAACAAAATAAATTGTAAAAAGTAGAAAAGGTAACTTACGAGTGAATGGAGGTGGAAACCAAAGTTGGGATGTCCATGAGAGAATGAAATAAGCAAAAGTCAAGAAGCAGAGAAGAAGAAAGATATAACCCAATCGGTGGCATAAAACAGACTTTGCTGGACCAGTCTTGCAATAATATTCATCATCAATTTCATCAGCCGAATCCTCGGCAGAATTGCTGGAGCACAGAGAGTAGTAGTCACTTTCTTGGTCGCTCAAATCCTCATCAGAAATGCTGGGTGGATGTGGATTGTCATCAAATAGAAGATAGACCCCACACCCTTTCACCTTGCAGTGCTCTTCAATTTCATGCAACTTCATCTCTGAGGTGTCCCGATCGAAAGATTTTGCTTTTGCTTTTGGGTAGAATTCAAATGTAACTTCATTGCCAGAATATTTACTGAAGGAATCTTCTCTTCTAATCTCGTGCCATAGTAACATGTGATCCGAGTCATGCATCTTTGAATCCTGGAAATTATAAATCTCACACTCTGTCTTGAAAATGGCATCATCATGTTCACCGTTATTACTTTTGGCATGGCATTGCCATTTAATGTTTATGGCTTTATCTTCATCAAGCAAATCATTTAAGAGGACTGCATGGTGAGCAACAACCAAGCAGAAAGTAATTGCCTTGAGCTTAGGACAGTTCGAGGGCAACTGAATTGCTACGGAAGATCTCCTACTTTGATCGAAGAACCAATGTGGAATTTCACTTCCTGGTAAAATAATCTGAAACATGTCTCCGATACTTCCAGACTGTAAGACAGAAATTATATTATTAGAAGTAAATCTAATCAGCTGTGTGTGAGAGAGAAAGAGAGAGAGAAAGAGAGAGAGAAGAGAGACCTGAATTTTCAATTGCATTTCTTCCATGAGTGCATTCTTATCAAATATGAAGCAATTTGCAAAATCCAAACGCATTGAATGGGTTAAAGTGCTGCTTGATATGGTTTCCAGTGACTCACAATCCTTCGCTGTTAACATTCTCAAAGAAGGTGGAAGCTCTGGTAGCTGTTTGATAGGTGTTCCATCTAACTGGAGATATATCAAAGATTTCTGATGCCTAGTTGACGAGGGTAGCTCTATAATTGCTGTTTTTCCCAGATAAAGTATCCTCAAAGATTTCATAGGCTCCATGATTTCTGGGAAGTACACAAGTTTTGAACAACCAGATAAATAGAAATATTCAAGAGCTTTCAATTTACAGATGCTGCTTGGGAGTCTAGAAAGCTTTTTGCAGTCAAACATATGTAGAGACCTTAGGTTTGTAAGAAACTCGATCGATGAGGGCACCTCTTCTATAGCAGTTCCATTCAAAACCAAGTCTCTGATATTCTCTGAAAACACTGGAAACTTGGTTATATTTTTGCAACCAATTAGAGAAATTTTTCTCAACTCGATTGACAAAGGCACCTTCTCTATAGCAGTCCCACTTAAATCTAGATATCCTATATCCGCCAAAGTCTCTGGACACTTCTTGATATTTCGGCAACCTGTTATAAAAAGTTGACTGAGAAATTTTGAATCGATCCTTCCCGGAAGAGTCATTAGATTATGGCAATCGGTAAGATCAAGGTATTGGAGTTTCTCCAGATGTTGAATGGACGATGGGAGCTCTATTAAACTTTCACAACCTCTAAGATTTATGTACTCTAAATTGTTAGCTTTTGACAGATCTGGCAGTTCCGTCAAAGATCGAGAGCCATCCAGGTTGATCCCTTTTAAATTCGTCAGATTCTGTTGAAACAAATGAATAATCGGAGCATCAGCATTTTGTACTTTATAATTCATAGATAGAAATGTTTACAGTAGTTAAATCATACCTGTTTTCCACTCCAAAGTTTTTCTACTTTGCTCTCAGAAAAATCAAACTGAACGAGGTTTTCAGCACAAAAATCTCGTGGCAGAGATTTCGAAGGGAATCCATCCCAGTGGAAATATCTAAGCCCCTTGGAAAGATATTCAAGGCCAGAGCGAGGAAGGTGCACTCTATTTTTTTCGACCTCGAAGAAATAGGGATTATAGAAAATGAGAAATTCAAGACGGTTCATCCCCACAAAAGCACTAGGTTTCAATCGCATTTTCCTCGATTTCGACATGTCAAGGGACATTCCTTTAACTGCTTTTGTTCCCTGAAATCAAAGACAGAATAAATAATCGATGCAACCATTTAACAATCTACTAAAATATCAATTTTTTTATAATAACATGTGAAAACATGGTAAATGTATCTATCACATGAGGGAAACAAAGTTCATGATTTTAAATTTAACCTTATTTTCCTTCAATACATGATAGACATCCTCAGGATCAAACAGTCTGCTGCGTTCTCCAGGATTCTCGGATTCTTCATAAACAATACTATAAGCCATTTCTTGTAGTAAATCATGCATCCCTAGTATGTTGTCCGAAGCCAATACGAGAGACTTATCGATTAGCACACTGATATAGTAATGCACAGAAGGACACTTACTCTCTAAAATTCTGGTAAAATGGAGTCTGTCGATTCCTTTGAAAAAACATGCAATATGAAGAAATATATTTTTTTGCTCCATATTCAACCCATCATAACTGATCCTCAACACGTTTAGAATTTCAACATTCTGAATCCGTCCTAACCCATTGAATGCACTGTACCAATCCTCTTCGCTTTTATCACAAAGAGCCGAACCCAAAACCACAAGAGCCAATGGATTGCCTTTCGCATAGCTCACCATCTTGTCCAACAAATGCATATGATCAATAGTGGGATAGGACTTCCTGAAAGCTTTCGAATTAAAGAGGTGAAGAGCTTCATAGTGGTTCAATGGCTTAACCTCATATGTTGCATCAACCTCTTGATTTAACACTTGCTGATCCCTACTTGTTACCAGAATTCTACTTCCAGGACCAAATGCATCACGTTGCTCGAGTAGCAACTCTTGCAAAACCATTGAACTATCTACATCATCAAAAACAACAAGGACCTTTTTTCTACGAAGCCTATCTTTTATAAAAGGGTCCATATCCCAGATCTTTTGGTCTAGTAGTCGCGAGGAAAATCTTCTTTGCAGATCAAACACTGTACGTGTTTTTAATTCTTTCCTAATGTTTGCCATAAAGGAAAACCCTTCAAATTTAGTGCAAATTTTGTTGTATACAGCTCGAGCAATAGTTGTTTTACCTATACCACCCATTCCCCATATTCCAACAATCCGAACATCTTGTGACTCCATATTCAACAAAGATTCAATTTTCCTTATGTGTTCATCAATCCCAACAAGATTCGTGGAGTGACTGGGGAACATTTTGCACAACTTATCTAAAATATCTTTAACAATTTCCTCGATAAATTTAGACTCGGACCTACAAATTTAAGAAGCACATATTTGTTAGTTGGAATGAAAAGAATAAAAGATAGAAACTAACAAAAATGCAAGCATCATTTGCTATACTAACTTTTTATCTAAGAAGATATAAGATTGTGTTAAAACATGTAAGGACATATGATACTTATATTGCTTGAGCTAATTTGATAAATGTTTCTGTTATCCAAGAAGATAAGGATTTACATGCATTTAAGACATATATATAGTGATCAAGCAGAGTCTCCTCCGTATCATTCTTAAAATACATAAATAAGTTTGAGCTAATTTGATAAATGTTTCAATTATCCAAAAAGTTAAATTTTTTTCTGTTTTTTCCATGGTATCCTCGGGCAGCTATCACTAGGCTAAGCCAGCACCAAAACATGGTAACACTAATGAATAATTATGGCTATTTATCTGTAGGTAGTATGAACTGAAGTTTAGTCTTGACTAAATCAAAACAACCCCTTACGGATGGCTGCCGTAAACCACATCTCTTGATGGTTAAAATTTATAATTTGCAATGATGTTAGATGGACTTTTTTTTTTTTTTTTAATGTGTAAGTAACATTTGTTATTAAAATTTATAATTTGAAATTGGCAAATAAATAAATAAATAGGATAATAAAAAATGATTTATTTTATATATATATAATAGTTATCTCATCCCATAAATTAACAACTCTACCGCATGTGTGTGATATTTAATTTCCTTAAGTGATAAAAAAGTTTAAATAAAATCAAATAATAAATTTCAATTTACATTGATAATGATTCGATAACTATTTCATGATTTTAAGAGATCTTTGATTATTTATTGAAATAGTGGTGTGTTTGCAGGCTGAACGCATTTAAGATAAGATCATCAATTTGGTATCTTTTCTTGATAAGTTTTGTCAATTGAAGTAATCATTGTCAACTAATATTTTCTCAACACCTTTCCTAATTATGGAATTTGCGTCGTCAATCTTCACCACTGAGATCTTGGGTATGTACTAATTCCCACCAATTATTAAAATAAGACTATTAAATTAAAATATCCACAGAACTCGTTTTCCAATTATTAAATAAGACTATCAAATTAAACATCCAATAACCGAAAAAAAAAAAGAAGCTTACTCAAACTTCCGTGAATCATGCCCAGATATGTTGGCAGCTTCGTTCAAAGCAGCTCCAAAGCTCTGCTTTTCCTCCATCGCCAAAGCTTTTCTCTTCACAAGTTCTGCAAATGCATCTCCAAAGCTTCCACTTTGTTTTCTTACATCAGATGGATCAACCTCGTAGAATATTGGAATAGCTGTCTGCCCTCTAATTTTTCTGCATTCAAGAACCTTCATAAGCTCATCTAAGCACCATTTGGAAGATGCGTAGTTTTGGGAAAAAATAATCACAGAAAGCATGGAGTCTTCAATTGCTTTAACAAGTGAGTCGGAAATTTCCTCTCCTCTCTTAAGGTTATTATCTACGAAAGTTGAGATATTTTTCCTTTCCAAAGCAGCATGAAGATGGCTGGTAAAACCAAAACGAGTGTCTTCCCCCTAAAACTAATGAAGACATGATGTTTTCTAGGAAGTGTAGTGGTTGATTTAGAAGAAGAAGAAGAAGCCATGTGATCAAAAAATTGCAGAGCTATGGGGTGGGATTCTCTAGATAGAAGCTGAAAGACAAGAAGGGACTATTGATCGGATGTTCTTCTCCTGATCTGCTTCTCCAGCAATCTTTAAGTTGCTAGAAATGGAACCAATTTTGGGCTCAACCTTACGGGGAAAGAACTCTTTAAGAATTGAAGAAGTACGAACATAAAGTAAACAAAAACAGTGAACTGATGACAAGGGACATGTGGTTTGTAGTCACATTTGTTCCAGAAAATATAATAAAAGTACGAATTATTGGATACCTTAGGAATGGTATTTTCATTTTCACATAAATACGTGACCGATCTTTAATACGAGTCTCGCTGTTATATGAAATAAAATATTACAATTTAGTTAAGATACTTAGTTTGAGTAAAAAAATATAATAATTTAAATAAATAGTTTTAAATTCAAATTTTTATATATAAAAAAATTAAATAATTATAAAATTTATAAAATAACGAATGATAATTTGAGACTTCTTGAAAATTAAGGCTTCTTGTAGATAATAATAATAATAAAAAAAAGGCACCTTGGCTCTTCTACGAAAGGAATTAAATATTGGCTCTTCTGCAACAATGGGTCTTATAGTACGTACTGTATTTTTTCTTGATAAAAAAGCCATCTATACCTGCTACACTAATGACATACTTTATGACTTGGTGCGGTCTTTATGAGATTCCCTTAAAGTGACGTAAACGCGTAAGTGCTGACAATGGCTTCCTTCTCTCTCCTCTTCTCTCTTCAACCTTTTCTTTTCAAAAGGTTATGTAAATTATTAGGTGTTATCGTTTTGTTAAACTATTCGATTTTATACGATTTGATTTGATTTGTGGTAAATCGAATTAAAAAAATAAAAATTAAAATTAAATTAAATTCGATAAATTCGATTTGTAATTGAATTATTTTGAGTTAGTTTCGAAATATTTTACTCGTAAAAAAAAATCATTACAAAGAGATGTTTTGTACTAGTACTTAGTCCATTAGCCAATAAAGTAATATCTTGTTATCAATTAATCCTTTTTATAGACAATCACAAAGCCCTTGAAGATTTTAACTAAGCTTTAATAAAAATCAGTTCAAGTGTAATTGATTTTGTCATTCAAACACACCGTGTTCTAATTAATTACACTCTGTCACTTTCTTTTCTTATCGCAATGGTTCTCAAAATTTACTTCTCATCTACGTGTTTCGGTTTTAGCAAGAATGAAGATTGAAAAGGTAAGGATTTAGAAATTAGAAAATTTTTTACTACTTATTTTGGTTTTCGGTTGAAACCGAAATTTTTTTTCTAGAAACCGAACCGAACCGAAATAATTTTGGTTTTTTTGTTCGGTTTTATATTGTATAATTTTACATTTAAAACCGAACTAAATTTCATAATTCGATTCGGTTTTATTCGATTTTCGGTTAACCGAACCGTTTGCTCATTCCTATAAATCATAACCCAAAAAAAAAAACTAGTTTTATATTATGTCAATTATTAATTAGCATTTAAAAGAATTTATTGCATTAATCTAAATATATCAAAATGATACCGAAGGTATGTTTTTAAAATCATCAGTAAATAAAATTTAATCTTGGTTAACTGATAAATTAATTTATTTGAAAATACTGTAATAAAAGGAGAACGTCAGAATACATTGAATCCTATAAAGTATTCTTTCTTCCAGTTATATTTGGATGAGAACGGAGAAAGGAATGTAAGGATTTTTATTCCATGTTCCCTCTGGCAAACCGAGTACTAGCCCATTTACGAAAAAACATGGGCCCATGCTTCAAGTAATCTACTTAGGGCACATAAGATATGGGCTTTGGTAAGTAGATTTGAGAAAAAATTTAAAGGCCTTGTTTGTAGCCCATTTGGCCCATGCAAATCAAATGGACTTTTAATTATTCCCTTTATCCCAAAAAAAGAAGAGTAAATTAATTATTCCTTCTCGTTTAAAAATTATTATTTAACCTTTTAAATGATATTGAATATGTTTAATTTAATATTAATTTTATTTTAAAAATACTTTTTTTCTCAAAAATCTATTTATTTTTTTTCCTTTTCTATTTCTTAAAATAAAAAATCAAAATAAATTGAAAAGAAATAAAAAATACTAAATTATAAGTAAATTTAAAAATATAAGGATTAAATAATTATTTTTGAAAAAAATAATTAATTTGTTTCTAAAAATAAAATGGACTAATTTATAATTTACTCCCCAAACAAATTGTTGTGCTTTCTAATTTAAAAAAAAAAAAAAAAGGTACGAAAGGATTCTTTAGTTAAAATAATTAAACCATTTATTTTACTATAATATCCTTGATTAAAACTCATTTGTAAGGAATCTAAAATTAAAAGAAGGGTATTTTTGAAATGCCATACAAAATAATAAATAGCATATCTATTAACAACAAACACGACAATTTCTCAGAAACAGAGGAGTACAGAGATTAAGCAGTCTCAACTACATGAGGAATATTCCTCTTGTTCTCAATAAGCTTTAACAGATGGAGTTCTGCTGGGCGGAGAATTAGAACTCCGACCATTATTTGCACAATCTTTGCCATTTCTTAAGCCCAAAGCAATCAAAAACTTGTTGTTGGACCTTCCCTCAGACATCAGAGGCAGGGCAGAGGATGATGATTTCTTGCACACATGGTCAGCTGGAAACCTATGCTTTAAGCACACCTTTAAATGGCAAGTTTTGCAGGTGCATGTGTTTGAGAAGGATAATATCTCCTTGCACCGCTTAACCCCACAAGTAGGTTTCTTCTTCTTCTTTGGGTCGCAATCTGCAGATTTCTCATGTTTCTCCAATATCACTCTCTCATCATCCTCGTCACGTCCAGTAGTTTCGATAGATGCCGAACAGATTTCACAGACAACAACTTTTCGGCTTTTCTGGTATGGTTTCGGACAGTCGTGGGATTTATAGGATCTGTGCTCTAGACAAAACACCTGCAAGTGAGAGATATGAGAAAGATGGGAACTTTTCAAGCTAAATTACATGCATAAACTTGAATTGCATCTTGTTAATTACCTTGCGACAACTGTCGCAGTTGAAAGGCAGAAAATCGAGCTGCTTGCATTCAGAATGTTGGCAGTGTCTTCCCAAATCTGGAAAAGCCTCTGTTCCTCCTCCCATGTTCTTTTTTTTTCTTTTTTCTTTCAAAATTTTCTTCCAAGATTAGAATTTGCACAAAAGATAAGGAGCTTTTGATATTATTTATACATTGTTGAAACTTTGGCTTGTTGCCTAAGCCAATGCCAGCCTGACTCCCTGCCGTGTTGGCTTTCGGTTTCCTTGTAATAATCTGGATGTTTCTAGGCCACCGCCACACGGTTGCTAACCTTTTTTGACCTGTGATGTTTTCGCTACAATCACACCCTCAAATTTCAACAGAGAGTATAATTTCGTCCCTATATTTTCTATCATTTTGTATGTTTCTTCTTTAACAAATCATCGACCATTCATTGCCCATGTCTCTTAGGATGGGTTTCAATACGTCCTTCATAAAACTTAATCTGAAAATTAAAATATATATCAAGAGGTTTTAATTGAAAAAAGATAAATAAATCAATAGATCTTTATATAATAATCAAAGTATTTTATCTATCTATTGATTTTTAATTACATTCCATTTATTTTTAAATAATTTTGAAATGTTAAATCTATTTTTTGATCAATTTTTTCAACTAAAGACAAAAAAATTGATCAAAATATCCCTTATTGAAATAAAAAAATAAAAAAAAGTTAAAGACTTCAAATAAAAAAAAAGAACATGCAGATCTTGTGATTTTATTTATTTATTTATTTATTTTTGTATTTTATTAGAGGGTATTTTGATCAAACAATTTGTCTATGATCGAAAAATTTGATCTTATAAACGGATTAAAATTTTAAAAATTTTCATAAACAAATGAGATACAATTGAAAATATAGAAATAAAGGAAAAACTTTTCGTATTATAGAAGAAAAAATTAATTTTTTACCCTAAAAAAAATTAGACCTGTGTAAAAGATTATTATTATTTTTTTTTTAATAGTTGAAAGATCGCTTTTATTACTCCAAAATGTGCCTAATCTAATTTAACTCTAAACTCAATAAAACACTGAAGTTATCAAGGATATCAATGAGAGGCAAGAATTATAAAAGCCATATAATTAGTTTTTTAAAAAGAAGGATTATTTAATTTATTTCATAAAATTAAAAGGACTAATTTACAACATACTCGTTGTATTCCTTAAAATCGTTTTGATCGTGTAAAAAAAAAAAAAAATCTTCAATGGGTCCACATATTAAATACAATAGTTTTTGATTGGTCATCAAAATAACTAAAAAAATAAATAAAAATAGAAATAAGTTATTAGCGTATCCCGCATGGGCTAGGAATTTTGCCACTATAAAAACAAGCAAGCTATTAGAGTATTCGGCAAGGAAGCCCTGTTTCAAGAATCAAACTCGGAGATTTGTTTTCTTCAACCTTAAACCTTAGGTTTGTTTTCTTTAACCTTAAATCTTAATTAATTTTCATGCTTCAACTTTAATTTTATTTAATCTTTTTGTTATTACTTTTGTTGTTCTGTTCTTCTGGGTGCAGGATGGGCTCTTTTCTTCAGACTGGAGATTTACCTGAAGATATGATAATTGAGATTTTATCATGGCTGCCGGTGAAAAATCTATTGCAATTCAAATATGTTTGCAAATCATGGTATGCTATTATTACAAGTTCTGATTTCATATCCAAGCATCTGAAAAATTATTACAACAACAACGACAGTGACAGTTTCTTTGCTCAGTATTTCATAACCCAAGCTGGAGAACTTGAAGCGTATGAGTTCTTGTTAGATGAAACATCTAGGGTTTCTTCATATGAAGAACTAAGTGATAGGCCGATATATAATTCCTTTTTATGCGGTCCTTGTGATGGGATATTTTACCTAGACCGTTATTATTATAGAAATCATCGTGCTCTATGGAATCCTGCAACCAATGAACTGAAAACTTTACCTCCATTGATAAGTAAACCCAATCTTCCATCTCATGTTTGTTATAGTCGTGGGGATTATTTTGGTTTTGGATTTGACATGGTAACTAAAGATTACAAGGTGGTTGTCATTAAATGTTGTTATGCTAAAGAAAGCGGTAACAAAATTAACTATCCTTCATCAGCCTTTATGTACTCGTTAAGTACTGATTCTTGGAGATATTGTGGAGATTTATCACCTTATACATTGGATAACAATAAATGTTACATTTGTTTGAATGGAGCTTTTTACTGGATGGGATCAGACGAACCTTACTCTGAAACCGAGGTTATTGTATCTTTTGACATGGCTACTGATTTGTCCCAAGAGATACGAGTACCAGACTACGGCAAGCCAGCTTGGCAGAAGAGTCTTGCAGTATACCATGAATCCCTTGCTTTGCTTACTATTCATGATATCGAGAATGTTCTCGAGATATGGACATTGAATGAGGCATGTTGGACAAAACAATTCACCATTGGGCCTATTTCAGATGGCTGGATATCACCAATGGGGCATTGGAAGAATGATAAGTTTATTTTAGAATGTAGTCCTCATATGAATCTAACCTTATGTGACCCTATTACCCAAGAAATAAGCGATCTTGGATATGGACCCGGGTATCATTTGTGCCAAGGAATTTTCGTTTATCGGGATAGCCTAGTCCCACTCAACAATAGAAATGGGTGGGAGGACACAGGGAAGCTAAAGCACTAGCAGAAAGCTGAAGAAAGCATCGCATGGTGTGAAACAGTTTTTGGATGATTAGAATTTAGAAATTTCAGCTTGAATACCTCAAGTTTAAATGTACTTGGAGTATTTTCTCATGTATTCCGATTTCAATTTATTTGAGTAACGAGTAATTTTCTGTATTTTATGCAATATATATGCTATCATTGATCTTCTCCTCTTCTTGAAACGAAATCCTAGAAATATAATTGTTGATTCAGCACAGACTAATAGATATCAATGGCTGTGAAACTTTATACCATATTGATGGTTATAGACGAATAGATATCAACGCATGGCTTGTGATGAAACTTCTGCTATATTGATGGTTGTTGGCTGATTATGTGCATGCTTGAAGAGATAAACTAAGATACCCAAATAAAATGGGGCAACATGCTCTAAGCTTGTGGTTGTCTAGCTAATAACAGAAGAATGAATCCTACACTCTTTACTTAATTTGGTTGAATGAGCAGCCAAAAGTTATGCTTGAGTTCAACCTTTGGAGCTATTTATACTTGAAGAAATGGGAATGATATTGCTGTTGGGTGCCGGTGGTTTTTTCCGGCTAGGAGAGAGTTAGTACTTTGAGGTTCATCAGTGTTGTGTTCTAGGCAAGGAGTTTTTTTTTTTTTTTTTCTTTTTCTGCACATGTTTATGGTTGTATAGGGAGTTGTTGTCTTTTTTTGTATTGGAACACGGTTTTCTACTTTTACTCTATTAATGAATTTCAGCTTATCGAAAAAAAATGCGAACGATATTCTCACCAGGATCTTGCCACCGACAGTTTCAAATACTGTGATATGCTGGAAATTCAGACTTATGAATGCTGAAATGCTGAATTGTAAGATCAACAGAGGAGGCTATGCGCACTTTTTAGCACCATTCAATCCTTTGCTTTTGAGCGTCTTTCTTTCATATCTTGTAACTAGCATATAGAAGTATATACTGCAGAGCATATGGAAGAGGGCTGATGATGCTGCTGATTCTTTTGGAATTGCCTGACCTATGTTGCTTCAGGTTGAGGTGTAGCCGTCTTGAAAGATGCCTGCTATAAGCTTGCTGGTTGTCCTGAAGATTCATCACTAAGCTAATTTTCCTTAATGCTGACCCTACTGCACTAAGACCTTGCGAACCCAATTTTCTATTCGATGGAGCCTGTGCAAGGCCGTCTGAATCCGATGGACTCCAAGCATTTGGAGACTCAGCCAGGGGAGAATTAGTCAGTAGAGATGGAGATGGTGATGTTGGTGCTATGGGAGATGGAGGTGTTGAACGGTGGGGTTTTGGTCTCACAACCATAGAATGATTATCAATTTTTTTATCTTTTATGCAACTATCACCATGGCCACTAATTAGTAACAAGGAAAGATTGACGAAAAAATAAAATATAGTTTAAAATAAAGTACCTAATATAAAAATAATCACGATCAATATCTGATCAATAGACTATTTAATTATTTTAAAAACAAGAGAGACTATTTAATTTATTTTACAAAACTAAAGGGACTAATCGTTGTATTCATTAAAATGTTTGAATTGAATCTGTGTAAAAAATAAAAAAATAAACAATCTTCACTGAGTCCACATATTAAATAAAATAGTTTCTAATCGCTCATCCAAATAACTGGAAAAAAAAAAAAAATTTCTTTATATATAGAAATAAGTTATTAGGGTATTTAACATGGGTTACGACTATTGCCACTACAAAAATAAGCTATTAGGGTATTCGGCATGGGAGCCTTGTTTTAACAATCAAACTCAGAGATTTGTTTTCTTCAACCTTAAATCTTAATTAATTTTCATGCTTTAACACTACTTTTTTTTCTTTTTTCTTTTTTTTAAATTACGTTTGTTGTTTTGTTCTTCTCCTTATAATCTATCGTGTTGAAGATTATAATCTATTCTGTTGGGTGCAGGATGGGCTCTTTCTTTAAGACTGGAGGTTTACCTGAAGTTATGATAATTGAGATTTTATCATAGCTGCCGGTGAAAACTCTATTGCTATTAAAGTGTGTTTGCAAATCATGGCATGCTATTATTACACATCCTGATTTCATATCGACGCATCTGAAAAATTATTACAACAACAGCGACAGGAATAATTTTTTTGCTCATTATTTCGAACCGGAAGTTGGATAAAGTGTACACTATAAGTTCTTATTGGATGAAACATCTAGTCTTTTATCGTATGAAAGAATATTACGTCAAAGGCAGATATATAATTGCTCAATCTGTGGTCCTTGTGATGGGATATATTACTTATACCGTTGTTATTATACACATCGTCGTGTTCTATGGAATCCTGGAACCAATGAACTGAAAAATCTACCTCCACTAATAAGCAATCCTAATCTTCCATCCCATGTTTGTTGTTTTGAAGAGGATTATTTTGGTTTTGGATTTGATGAAGTAACTAAAGATTACAAGGTGATTGTCATTAATTGTTGTTATCCTAATACAAAATCTGAGGATTTAAAAGTTATTTATCCTTCATCAGCCTTTGTGTACTCACTAAGTACTGATTCTTGGAGATATTGTGGAGATTTGTCACCTTATAAATTGTGTAACAACAAATGTTACATTTGTTTGAATGGAGTTTTTACTGATTGGGGTCAGCTAAACCTTATGCTGAATTTAAAGTTATCGTTTCTTTTGACATGGCTACTGAGTTGTCCCAAGAGATAAAACTACCAGACTAAGACAAGCCAGCTTGGGACAGAAGTCTTGCAGTATACCATGACTCCCTTTCTTTGCTTACTATTCTTGATATCAAAAATGTTCTCGAGATATGGACATTGAATAAGGGATGTTTGACAAAAAAAATTCACCATTGGGCTTATTTCAAGGGAATGGAGATCACCAATTGGGCATTGGAAGAATGATAAGTTTATTTTAGAATGTGGCCCTCATAGTAAACTAACCTTATGTGACTCTTTTACCCAAGAAATAAAGGATCTTGGATATGAAGCCAGGTTTTCTTCGTGCAAAAGAATTTTCGTTTACCAGGAGAGCCTAGTCTCCCTCAGCAATAGAAATAAGAGCGATGAACACAGGGAAGCTAGAGCACTTGCGGAAAGCTGAAGAAAGCATTGCATGGTATGAAAAGTTTCTGCATGATTAGAATTTAGAAATTTTAGTTTGAATGTCTCAAGTTTAAATGTCATTGACTTGGAGTTTTTCCTCATGTATTTGAATTTCAATTTATTTGAGTAATGAGTAATGTTCTGCATTTTATGCAATTTATATGCTATCATTAATCTTCTTGCCTTCTTGAAACGAAGGCCTAGAAATATAATTGTTGATTCAGCACAGACTAATGAAATCAATCTGCTATGTTGATGGTTATTGGCTGATTATGTGCATGGTTGAAGAGATAAACTAAGATACCCAATTATAAATGAGGCAACATGCTCTATGCTTGTGGTTGTCTAGCAAATAACAGACGAATGCATCCTAAGGTCTTTACTTAGGTTGACTAAGCAACCAAAAGTTGTGCTTGAGTTCAAACCTTTGGAGGTATTATCTTCGAAGAAATGTGAAAGTTATTGTTGTTGGGTGCCGGTGGTTTTTTTCCGGCTAGGAGAGAGTTAGTACTTTGAGGTTCATCGGTGTAGTGTTCTAGGTAACGAGTTTCTTTCTTTTTTATGGTGCAAGTTATGGTTGTGTTGAGAGTTGTCTCTTTTTTTTTCTTTTCTTTTTTCTGTCTTGGGACAGGGTTTTTTTTGTGCCTTGCTTGTTTTGTTTCTTGCCCTGATTTAGGGTGTTTCTAATGATGAGCTTGTCTACTTTAACTCTATTAATGAATTTCAGCTTATAAAAAAAATGCAAATGATATTCTCACCAGTATCTTTCTAAGTTCCTTAGTTATGTGCAAATATAGAAGATGCCACTCCTACCTATAGTTTCGAGTATTGTGACAGCAGAAAATTCAGACTTTTGAATGCTGAATTTTAAGATCAACACAGGAGGCTAGGAGAATGTTTTAGCGCCATTCAATTCTTTGCTTTTGAGCATTTTTCGTATCTTATTATTAGCATATGGAAGTATATACTGCAGAGCATATAGCTGTAAGGCTAACGTTTCAACCAGCACTTCGCAAAGATACTAAACCAAGAGCCTAGTCTAATGACACTATAGATGCAGGACAACCGTAGTCTTCAGCTAATGCATTCTGCCCATGCCATTGGATCATGTGGATATGAAAGCAGCAGAAGCAGAAACTAAATGATCAGGCCCATATACTAGTTTAAATTCCAATGGGAGTAAAAATGCATAAAAGGTAGAAACAAATCATGCAATAGTTCTTGAATTTATTTTCCTCACCTGGTAATTTCCCTTGCATCCTAGTCTTGACATTGTAAACGTTCCTTGAATCTGATACAAGATTAGGATTCCTTTGCCGTTGTAAAGTCTTCAGAACTTGAAGTGGCCATTTACCAGCTGCAGTCGTTCTCTTATTATTATCATCTCTTCTTCTGTAAAAGACAGTAAGAAGGATTATTAGAGATATGATCACTTGAAGGTTCATGATTTTGTTCTCCATTTTTAACCACAATCATCATCTTTTTTGCCCACAACCTCAAAAGGAAAATTGTCAGGCGAGAAGCAGTCTTTCTTTGATGCGTATTTTCACCTGCCTCGAGCCTTTTTCGAAAAACAATAACTATCACATGCAATTGTCACATACCTATCCTTGGAAGAATCCTTAATGAATACAATCTATCCTTGTGTCAAAGTAAAAATCAAGGACGTGAGTATGAAAGATCCCAACCGGTAGTGGAATCCATCCTAACCGATAGTGGAATCATCTTCTTTTCTTGAGGATTCTCATTTGATCTGAAATCCCCATTGCTCGAAAACCTTTCAAGCATATATACGTGAACAAAAAAATTAAGAACATTAAAAAAACTGAAAAGATTAGACAAACACAAGTCTCATTATGCAATCCAACAATCAAACAGATTGCTTTAGTTACTCCAAAATGTGCCTAATCTAATTTAACTCCAAACTCAATAAAACACTGAAGTTATCAAGGATATCAATCAGAGGCAAGAATTGTAAAAGCCACTGCACAAAATGATCAAAACCCAAATTCCAAATTACTCCATTAAAGCTAAAATCTAGCCAAAAATCTCTACTTTCTCACAAAACCCACATTCCATTTTTCTTTCTCTCATAATCACAAATAACCCAAACCCAAATCAGCTAACTGCCTACAGTTTTCAATTTTCTCACTACAAACGAAGCTTGCTTCTAGAATCTCCATCTCACTAATTTACCCCTTTATAGGGGGAAAAAAACACAACGAAATTCAATAAATTTGACGACCCAGATTGTATTTCAATGTAAATAACTTGATAATCAAATCAAAATTTGAAATTTAGCAGTGTAGACAGTGTAGAGAGAGAGAGAGAGAGAGTTTGCAGGGTGATACATACCTTGTTTTTTTGAGCAAAGAGTTCTTCTGCTAATTACAACTCTTAACACATGTATTTTGTGAGAGTAACTGCTTAAATGGCATGGTTTCTGAGGTACTCAAACGTAATTTGCGGTAACTTTTTTCAACTTTGTTGCAATTGCATCATGTTTGTGCAGTTTTTTCCATGTGCTTCCTCTCAAATTGGTCTTCATCTTGGTGACCTTAACAAAATTATTTAATTTTTCCATCTTGCTTATCTTAAAAAAAATAAACCAGTTAATTAATTCTTGTCTCAAATTCTACTGTTTTTGCTCTTGGTTTTAGTTTCAAAAGGGTTTATTTTATCCTGGAGGATAAGAAATAGTATCCTTAAAAGACAGTTCTTACACGACTCCAGCTGTAGCTGTCCTTTGCCTACCCTTTTATTGTTCTTCAAAAAAATTTACCTTGCTATTTTCAAAATTATTCTTACGTGAAAGGTGTTTGATGGAAATTAAATAGAACAAACACATATTTTTATTGATAAACAATAAAGAACAAAACAATTCAGACGAACCCTCACTAACATCAAGAAACTAACTTAAACCAACCCAACAAAGCCACCCAATATCAAGCTAACACCGATACTAGCACTCAAAACCAAGCCAGCTGACAATGAGCCAGCACTAAAACTCTGCGAACCCGATTTTCTATTCGATGGAGGCTGCATAGGGCCATCTGCATCCGATGGACTCGGAGCATTCGGAGACTCGCCCGGAGGAGAACTAGTCGGTAGAGCTGGAGATGGAGATGTTGGTGTTATCGGAGATGGAGGAGATGTTGGTGTTAACGGAGATGGAGGGGTAGGAGGATGGGGCTTTGGTCTCACAGCCATGACAATGATTATCAGTTTTTGACCCTTGTTGCATCTATCAGCATGGCCACTAATAAAAAAAAAGGACCAGAACGATCAAAGATGAAAGTTGAATCACCATCTGTTAAGGACTTTATAGGGTTCTTTGTGTTGCATGAGTAGTAATCATCTTTGTTCACTATCAAGACCGAATCCGACCCCTTTTTGTACTTGAAAACTGCACCACAAAGAGGAAAAGAAAACGAAAAGGAAAAAGAAAAAATAGTTAAAAGTGTTTCGTATTGTAGCAAAAGATCGATCTAGAATCAAATCTTACTCACATTAATAAATAGTAGTGAACAATGAACTTAAAACTCAACAAACACTTACCAGATCTCGATTTCGATCGCAAGTAGGATTCGGATAATTATATGATCCGGATACATTTTTGCATTAAATCTTACTCGCATTCCATATATAGTGGTGAAAAAATGAACTTATAACTCAATTAATCCCTACATCTTCTGTTTTCCTCAAAGATCTCGATCTCACGTAACTCTTGGATAATTGTATGATTCGGATACATTTTTTTATTAAATAAAAATAAGAGTAGAAAAGAAGAAGAAGAAGAAGGAATAAGCAATTCAGCTGACAGAAACCTGTTTTTTTTAATAGAAAAGGAAAGGAAAAAAAAAGGAAGGAAGGAAGGAGGAATTAAGCTTACAGAGAGTATCATTGACTTGAAACCTGTTTCTTTCAGCCCAGTGATTGTAATTCTCAGAAGGGTTTGTAACCCAACCATCTCTGCCACCAACGTAGAACTTGTAACCCTGAGATAACCCAAGAAGAAATCCCATGAACAACATGACAAACAAAGAACAAGAAAATCTTCGAGACCCCATTTTTGGACGCCAAAAAGTATTAGAAAACCCACAAGAAGCACTCAAATAACAACCCAAGTTTGCTAGCTAGAGAAAGAATGAGAAAGTGGTGGGGATTCAAGGTGGGATTGGTGTGAATTATATAGAGAGATTATGATGATTTTACCGTTGTAAAGCATGAAATGTTTGGTGTTAAAGCTTGGTTGGTTTTTGAGTACGTGTTAATAAATGTTGCATGCGTTTCAAAGAGAAAGAAGAAACTGTTTTTTTCTTAATTTCATAGCTATAGAGTGATTACACGTCTCAGCATGCAAGGGACTTAACGGTCAAGAGGTTTAGAGGTAATATTACACTACTGATAATTGTCATTTGATTTTGTTTATTTTGCTTTTGCTTTTGCTTTTGCTTTTAACTGAAGAAGAGAACAAGTTCATGAATTGTAAGTCTGCAATCTTCTGACGAAATTGTGTGTAGATGGAGACAAAAAAAAATCATGATTTTGATATTTTTCAATGGTAAAAGTATTATCAAGATAATTTTTATCAAAATAATTTTTACAGATCGATCTCTGTAATTAAATTTTAAACAGGTTATTAACCTAAATTCATGAAAAATATTTTTTTACAATTAAAATTGGAATTTTGAATGATAATGTGAAGAGCAAATCATATTCTAGGCTCCCCTGATAATTTAAAAAACAAATTCATGAAAATGATGTTTTTCTAACAATTAATGGCAGAAAAGGAAAGTTAAGGCTTCCAATAATTAAAATTCCTCTATTCATTATCGAATTGAATGTGTCTTAATTAATTATCATAATTATTGATTAAGTCTTACTTTTTTCCCAAATTGGATAGAAATAGATATAGAACCAAAAATTAAAGAAAATAATTTTCTAATTAGAAGATCATAACTCGTTGGTAAGCAAGTGTTGATTTGTAAATCAAGTCTAGGGTTCGATATTTGTGATCATCATTATTAAAAATTTATTCTCATAATATCCTAAATCGTGTGTTGGAAAGTGTCTATTAGTCACATTCGGGAAAGAATTAGTATTAAAGTGCACAAAAGCTAGTTTGATAATATTTTTATTACTAAACCAAAATAATAATGATAATAATAATTTTCTAGCTAAGAGGATACCTAGAGTGCGCTTTTGCTGCTAAATGCTAACAATGTGTGATCTAAAGGTTTTTCGGTAAGTAATTTACTTCATAGTTTTGTTAAATTTGCTTTTGCTTTTGCTTTTGTTTTTTAGGATATGTTTGTCTCAAGAAAAAAAAAAGTTTGTTTTTTCTTATTTTTCAGTATTTATTTTGCATTTAGAAAAAAAAAATGAACGAAAAAATGATTTTCGAGTCAATGAAAAATGATAGAGGTATTTTGAGAAAATGTTTTCCTAATTTCAAAAGAGGAAAACATTTTCCTTCTCATGAGCTATCTCACTCTTTCGCTACTTATCTCTCTCTCGATATATTTTAACAATTTTTTTCTCTATCTTCTTTTTATTTAAAATATATCAGATTAATTTTAATTATTCCTTATCAATTATTATTGATTATTTAATTATTTTTTCTCTATTTTTACTAATATTTGATTTTTGGATTTATAGATACATTAAATATTCTTAAAAACCATTTTTACACCTTATTATTATTTTTATAATAAATATTTCAATAATTTATCTCTTTTTTTTTTACTATTATCTCAAACATCACCTAAAGTATACTTAAATGATTGGAAATGATTATTAAAAGACTACAATATTTTGTAAAAAAATTTTTTAATTAATTAATTCATCAATAAATACATTATTTTTTCAATACTATTTATTTGCAATTAAATCAATAATTTGTAATTTTACAATTTTAATCGATTGTAAAATTTGTTGATAATTGTAGTGAATAATTAGTTACAAATTATTACAACTTAATCTTTCGAGACCAATAATTATCTATAAATGATAACTAATAATTTATAAACCTATTTTTTCAGACTAAATTATTAGTTCAATTTCTATTAAAAAAAAAAGAATTCTTAATTGTGTCACCAAAATAACAATGCTAGGATTATTTAGAATCTTTTTTTCTTTTTTCACCAAATATGAATATTGTCTTGATCTTGCCTCGCTTAATTTTGATGTATTGGTTTGATGGTTAAAAAAATATATTTTATTTTTTGAATTAAAATTTTAGAGTTAGTATTTATGAAAATTTATTAAATCTTTCTAAATGGATCTTATATTATGAAATTATGAATATGTCTTTTTGAAGTTTTCTCAAAATATGTTGATATAACAATCACATATATTTTTGTATTTTAATTTTATGTATCAAACAAATGTTGAAATATATTTTTTAACAGTTTTTTCATGTAATTGTCAAACAATAAAAAATATATTTTTAAAAAATAATTTCTTGAAAAATAACTTCATCGAAAATTGATTTTTCTATGAAACTCGTTTTTTATCGAACAAACACATCCTCAAAGAAGAAGATAGCAAGTTAATGAATTGGAACTTTGTAATTTTCGGAAGAAGAGAAGTTTAGAGAGTAAATTATAAATTAGTCCCTGTCATTTTGAGAAATAAATTAATTAATCCCTATAATTTTAAAAATAAATTATTTAGTTCTTATATTTTGAAATCTATTTGTAATTTAGTCATTTTTACTCTTTTTTAAATTATTTTGATTTTTTATTTTAAGAAATAAAAAAAAATATCGAAAGATTGACAAGAAAATAAGAGATTTATAGAAAAAAATTAATCATAATCAATACCGAATAAAGAATTAAATAATAATTTTTCCAAATAAGAAGGATTAATTAATCCATCTCTTAAAACTAGAGAAACTAATTTATAATTTACTCGAGGTTTAGAAGAAGACAAAGTTTTATTGGGAATTGCAGGTCAGGATTATTTTATTAAAAAAAAGTATTTGAAACCTTAATTAATTGGTAATTAATCATTGAATTAATGTCAAGAGATGCCTTCTTCTCTTCAACGAAAGCATTGAAAACCCCATCGAATCGGATATTTGAAGAATGCAACAAATTTTAGGTGCACCAATTTCAATATTAAAATATATTTGGATTTTTCAAAATTAAATCACTACTAAATTTAATTTTTTCACATGATTGTTTATAATTCTTGCCCCTTTCCCTTCTCCTCATGCATATAAGTTACCGTAAATTATTTATTGTAATTTTAAAGAGTAATTTTAAAGAATAAATTTGGTAGATAAAGAGTTTCATTCTTTTTTTAAAAAAAAATTCGAATTCGGATTTTGAAATAGTAATTATAAGAGAATGTACTAAACCAATATCAAAAATTCTTAAAATTATAAAAAAAATTCTATACTTAAGTGATAAATAGTAAAATATAAGGATTGAACTTTTATGATAACGTATATATATATATTTGTAAGAAAATTTGTTTAAAAAATTCCTCACTTTGTTTCATACGTAAACAATAAGATTTTTTAAATTTGTCATTTTTTGTAGGATTTTATTGAGAAATTGACGGAAAAATCTTCAGAATTCCTCTCTTTTCTCTATTAGCAAATATGCTTCTTTTTTTTCTAAATTTGTATTTAAAAGAAAAAAGAGAGAGAGAGAGATTGAATGATTTTTATTGGTTTTTCCGTCAATTTCTTAAAAGAACCCTAATTAAAGGAGCAAATTCAAAAAAATCATATTGTTTAGGAGGTAAAATCGAAAAGTTTTTAGTTCAGGGGGTATTTTATAATATAGCCGACAAAGGGCTGTTGAGTCTGTTTTCTCGATTTCAAAACCAAGAAAAAGAAAATTCAAACCTTAACGAAGAGAGATCAGAGAAATCAAAAGTACTCAGTTCCCAAAAACTCTCTGTAAAATTTCGAACGAAGTATTATCATTCATGACCTGTCATGTCACTTCTCACAAGTTTCAAGGCCTTGAAAGAAATCCTTAAACCCTGTTCAAATCTTTCAACACCGTCATCTTCTTTAACACGGTCATCATTCTCTCAGGAACCAGAACCAGCACTAACAATCTCAAGAAAGCCACCAAAATCCTCTATTTCAAAGCAACTTCAACGTCTTGGAGAAAACTTCCCTCCTATATCACAACAAAATGAATCGCAAAATGCAAGAACTCAACAACCCCAGAATTTACAAGGGCTTAAAAAGGAAGCCCAAGTTGGAAAATTTGAAGACGAGGAAGAAGAGGAGGAGAAAGAGAAGGAATTTGAGGATTTTGGGAGACTTAAATTGGGTCAGTTTGATCATACTGGACCCTTTGAGCCATTAGTCCTTTCTTTGCCTGGAGAGGTTCCTGTTATACAGGTAATTAATAATTATGCATTTTATGCTTTGAATTCTTTTGACCCAGTTGTCTATTTCTTTCGTAATTGTAGTTGCTGGGTTCAAGTTTTATTTTTTTGTGCTGGAATGCTTGCTTCTTTTTAAGAAAGTTCAGTTTTTTTCTAGGTTTATGAGATGTTTTTCTTTTTCTTTTTTAAGTATGTTCAGTGTAATTGTTAGAGAATTTGATTGACTTTGGAGAAGAGAAAAATTTGAATTTTCATTCCAAAATTTGGTAATGCTTAATAGAAGCTGAGAGTACAATAATGAGTTGCTTAATTTCCATTTAAGAAATAAAGTTTTTCTTAACAGACAGAATCTGTATTAATTTCTGGGAATCTGTGGATGATTAGTATTTTGTCGGTTACTTTTGATTGCAGGTTCCTGCTTCTATTAACTGCAGGTTGCTTGAACATCAAAGAGAGGGAGTAAAATTTTTATACAAGCTATACCGAGACAACCATGGAGGTGTTCTTGGTGATGACATGTGAGTATATTTGTTGTGTTCAAATATTTGCTACCTTGATAAGTTTTGTACGTCAACTGTGACCAGTTTAACTCTTAGGTGCTTAAGCATGATACATTTTTACAACAATTTACTGTTCCTGTTCGGCACTGAAATTGTTTTCTTACTGGAGTCAAATGATCATATGTAAATATGGGTCCAACAATAATGGCACTTTTCTCATTATGCTAATGTTAATTTATCCATATATGGAGTACACAGTTATGAATTCACATATTCTTGCATCTATGAATGCTCCGGTACTTTCTGGTGGGCTAATATCTGTTGACTTTGTTTTTGAAAAATTGGATTAGGGGACTAGGCAAGACCATTCAGACAATTGCTTTCCTGGCTGCTGTCTTTGGAAAAGATGGAGAATCTGGTGACTCCATAACATTGAAGGGAAATCAAGTAGGGAAAAAGGGCTGTGTACTCATAATTTGCCCCACTTCTGTTATCCAAAACTGGGAAATTGAATTCTCTAGATGGGCAAGCTTTAGTGTTTCTCTTTACCATGGGGCAAACCGTGATTTGATGCTTGAGAAACTAAAAGCTGGTGGAGTTGAGATACTGATTACCAGTTTTGACACATACAGAATTCATGGCAGCATATTGTCAGAGGTTGATTGGGAAATTGTGATTGTTGATGAGGCACACCGGCTTAAAAATGAAAAGTCAAAGTTATATTTAGCATGTTTAGAAATTAAAACGAGAAAACGTATTGCTCTCACTGGAACCGTTATGCAGAATAAAATTATGGAGCTGTTTAATCTCCTTGACTGGGTTTCCCCTGGATCTCTGGGATCAAGGGAACATTTTCGGGAGTTTTATGATGAACCTCTCAAGCATGGTCAGAGGTCAACTGCGCCTGAAAGTTTTGTCCGGAAAGCTGATAAGCGCAAAGAGCATTTAGTGTCAGTTCTTCACAAGTACATGCTTAGAAGGACAAAGGAGGAGACTATTGGACATCTTATGATGGGAAAGGAAGACAATGTTGTGTTCTGTTCCATGAGTGAATTGCAAAAGCGGGTTTATAGAAGAATGTTACAACTGCCAGACGTCCAGTGCCTTGTAAATAAGGATCTTCCATGTAGCTGTGGCAGCCCTCTAAAACAGGTGGAATGCTGCAAAAGAATTGTACCAGATGGAATTATATGGCCGTACCTTCATAGGGATAACCTAGAAGGTTGTGATTCATGCCCCTATTGCATTGTCCTTCCTTGCCTTGTGAAACTCCAACAGGTGAATCAATTTTTCAGTTTTTTATTTCTTGTTTCTGTGCTGATCATTTGTGGAAAAGGTAGACCTTCTGTTTATTCCTCATATTCACTTTTGGATTCAACTAACAGATAAGCAATCACCTTGAGCTGATTAAGCCTAACCCTAGGGATGAACCGGATAAACAGAAGAAGGATGCAGAGTTTGCCTCTGCTGTTTTTGGTCCTGATATAGATTTGGTGGGAGGAAATGCCCAGAGTGAAAGTTTCATGGGTTTGAGCAATGTCAAACATTGTGGGAAAATGCAAGCATTAGAAAAGCTAATGTTTTCCTGGGCTTTGCGAGGTGACAAAATTCTTCTCTTCAGCTATTCCGTCAGGTAATGCTTCATAACTTTGCAGAACTGCCTTAGTGCACTTATTTATTTCAGTAAACTAGTTCTTTCTGTCATACTGACATAACAAACCTGATCAATGTTAGTTTTCTGTTTGGAGATTCAGTATAAATGTAACAAAATTAATTTCCAGACTCGCCCTTTCATATATATTATTCTTTAAAGAAGTGACTGTTTATGTAGTTAACTTAAGTTTGTAGAGCAGTTAACAAGTGATTTTCATACCTCGTATTGTTTAGGCATCTCATCTTATCACTGCTAAAATCTCCTATTTTCAGGATGCTGGACATACTGGAAAAATTTCTCATACGCAAAGGATATAGCTTCTCAAGACTTGATGGTTCTACTCCAACTAACTTGCGTCAATCTCTGGTCGACAACTTCAACTCCAGTCCAAGCAAACAGGTTCTTTTCAAGCATAGATGATGTCATAGTTTGTTCTCCAAATTTCGTCCAACTCTAATCTCCTGTTTCAGGTGTTCCTTATATCAACTCGAGCTGGTGGGCTTGGATTGAATCTTGTAAGCGCAAATCGCGTAGTTATATTTGATCCAAACTGGAATCCTGCCCAAGACTTGCAGGCCCAGGATAGGTCATTTCGTTTTGGGCAGAAACGGCATGTTGTGGTTTTCCGCCTTCTAGCAGCTGGTTCTTTTGAGGAACTCATTTATTCCCGTCAAGTGTACAAACAGCAGCTGTCAAATATTGCTGTTTCAGGGAAAATGGAAAACCGGTATTTTGAAGGTGTTCAGGTACACTTTTTTCTCTGGAAGGGTTGGTGTGTGGGTCTAATATTTCCCTAGGTTATTTTTAATTTGTACCGAAAATTTCAGAGTTTGTCATTTGTTTTGTTGGGTTTTTTAGGATTGCAAAGAATTTCAGGGTGAGCTTTTTGGAATCTGCAATCTGTTCCGTGATCTATCTGATAAGCTTTTTACAAGTGAAATCATTGAATTGCATGAGAAACAAGGAAAGGTTGACGCACATTGCTCTACTACAAAGCAAGAATTACCTGAACTTGGAACCTATTTTCTACCCCCTGGCCAAGCAGCTGCAACAACTTCATCAGTATCTGAGATCAGCAGGAATAGTCATCATGAGAGAGTTACAGGGAGGAAACCTGTTCTCGAGGATTTAGGTAAGTTCAGTTGTTTCCCTCTGTATTTTTTTCCGCTTTTTTACTACTTGTTTCCTCAGATTGGTTAATATTCAATTGCATTGCATCAATTCATGTTCAAGAAGCGATCATAAAGTTTGTAGATATCTTATGAGATACTTCTGTACTATTTAGTAATCATTTTCCTTCAGCAGTGATTTTCCTATGAAAATATTTTGGCATAAGAATGAAGCTACCTGTAAGAAGGAGCAGGTTTTGCTGCAATTGAGGTAGATGAGAATTTGCTAATATGCATTTGTCATAGATGGCCATTGCTTTTAGTACTTCAATTGATACAGTTCTATATTTAATATTGTACAGGAGAAGGAACTTAGAACAATCTCAGATATGAACTAAAATAAACCTGTAAAAAAAAAAAAAAAAAAACTAAAATAGGAAGGTAGCCCAACTGCAAAATTTTCGAGTGCTTCATTAATGGAGATTTTTCTATTTTACCAAAGGATTTTTTTATAGAATGTGCATGCGCATGTGCATCTGTGAGAGAGATGGTACAAGCTGTTAAATATTATAATTTCCTTGCTGTTCAGGTATTCTTTACTCTCATCGCAACGAGGACATTGTCAACATTGGACCTGAGATTAAAAAGAAAACAGAAGAAACCGTCCCTCATAAAGACAGCCTGGACGACCATACTGTTAAGCGGCAAAGGAAACCAGATGATGTAGGAGAGAAAAGGAATGGTTTGTCATCCAAGGATCGGAAAAAGATTCAGTATAGTCTTGTTGCTCAGTTCATGGGAATGGGAGACATTGAATTTAGCAAGTGGGTGCTATCAGCAACTCATTCAGAGCGGAAGGATGTGCTTCGAGACTACAAGAAGAGGAAGGAGAAGATGCCTAATGGTTGAGATTAGCAAAATGGCTTACCCTGTAAATTTTCCAGCTTCTTTGTGCATGTCTTAGCAAATATTGTACAGATACTTGTAAAAGAGAAGGAAGATGGCAGAAATGCAAGGCATTATCTCTTTTCCTCCCTTTGTGTAAGCTGTTAGGTTGCTATCAACCTCTGATATGATGGTGAAAAAATTGTTGGTATCTCAAGCTTCCTTCCCAAAAAAGGGATCGGCAGATTTTCAATCCAATAGTAAGATTTGATGGACTTGTCAACAGATTTGTGTGGAATTTAGGGATCTTGAGTTGACGGTCAAATTTATCAAACTGGCGGATGTAATTGTTCATCTAACATCGGTTGCGGCACTGATGGAAAGCCTAACAACAATATATTTAATTTTGACTAAATAACAACAATAATAATAACAATAGTAATTTAGCCCCTATTTTAGCAATATAATAAATAATTTATTCTCGTGACTTTCTATCAATGTTAATTCATGTTAGGTGACCATACATACTCGAGTAAATTATACATTACTTCCTCTAGTTTTGAAAAATAAATAAATAAATTTTTTATTTTAAAAATTAATTTTTTAGTCTCTTGATCATTGTTGACAGACTTAATTTAATATTATTTTATTTTAAAAAATATTTTTTTCTTCACCAATTCTTTCATATTTTTTAGTTATTTTTTCTCTTCATTTATTTTTTTAAAAAATGAAAATAAATTGAAAAAGAATAAAAATCATTAAGTTACAAGAAAATTTAAAACTATAGGAATTAAATAATTAGTTTGAAACCAAGAAGAACTAATTAATAATTATTTTAAACTAAAGGGACTAATTTATAATTTACTCACACACACTACCTCCCAACTCTCAGGTTTCTTTCAATCAATTAACATATAGCCAAAAGGGTATTTTAAAACTAGTGCTGACGAACATGGGCTGCAATATGGAATTTTCTAAATCTAGAAGGACTAACTAATTATTTCGTTAAGAAAGTAAGGAGTAAATAATATTTTACTCTTTAATTTTTAAGTTTGGTTGCTCTTCAGTGAACTGCAAGACTTGAGCCTAATGTTTTTAGAGAGAGTATCCCATCCGCCAACTTCACTGATACATTCAATTGCTAATATTTTTTTAGAATTATGCAAGGGGTCACAGAACAAGCCTTTCAGGCAAATATCAAATATATGTAAGGATGGATTTTCTGTTCGGAGCATAAATGTTGTTCTACTTTAACACAAGCAGGTCTCCAAAAAGCTGCTTAAAGACAGAACACGAGTGTGGTTTCTCAAATTTACACATTTTAACAAATAATGGCAGCTATGGTCTCCGCATCTTGAATCTAGAAACTGGCTTTGAAGGTTGAGAATTAGATACCTGTAAATTTCAATAACAATTAGGATTTGCAGATAGTGGAAGACCATACAACAACATCATCCCAATAGATCAGCAATACCTGTGATGAAACAGTAGGTTGTCCTCGTGAAGTTGGTAAATTGTATGTGCGTTCAACAATAGAACCTGTAAAGGCCTAGACAGTGGACAAATGATCGATTAGAACTACGTAACTTCTTAGTCTGGGACATTTAAACCAACTGACAAGATAAAGTTTACTGTAAACAAACCTTGGAACTGTCAAATGCTGGTTTTGAAGCCTGCATGTGTTTGAGGGAAAAAAGCACATCAAGCAATTATGATTAAAGATGATGAACAGTCACCACCACCACCACCACCCCATGTCCACATGCATGCAAGCACACACACAAAACCAAAAATGTAAGGAGGAAAGAAATTAGACCTGGGATGAAGTCACAGACTGTTGTAAATTTGTGGGGATAGGGTCACCACCCTCCATAATGGAGCCTGTTGTAGCCTGCACATTAAAAAGGTAGTAATTAGCGAGGCCAGCTAACACTCAATCACTGTTCATTTCAGACAAGACAAGGACCACTGGTGCAAAAGGATACCTTGGAACTGTCAAATGCTGGTTTTGAAGCCTGCACGTGTGTTTGACGGGAAAAACACATCAAGCAATAAAGATTATTAAAGACAACGAACAGATACATGAGCATGATCATGGACCAATCAGTAATCATGAGTTACATCAGCATTATCATGGATCAATCAGTAAACACTCATGATTATTACCACCCTACCCCCACAAAAAAAAAAAAAAAAAAAAAAGGAAGAAAGGAACGTATACCTGTGGTGAAGTCACAGCCTGTTGCCGGGAATTTGTTTGAATAATGTCAGCACTCTCCACAATTGAGCCTGTGAAAGCCTGCAGAGTGCATAATAAATAGTTAGGCCAGCTAATAAGGGTTACTTCATGCTGTTCGTTTCAGCCTATTGACAAGACATAGGTGCAAAAACATACCTTGGAACTATCGACTCCTGATTTTGTAGTCTGCATATGTACCTATGAGAAAAGAAAATAAGAAAGGTTGTTAGGTAGGCATCTAGATACAAACACTTCAAATGCAGATTACTGTGGAAACTACATTTTTGCTGTCACAAGTATGCTAACTGATTAATATCCATCAACAACATGACATGCACATCGATATAATCCCACAAGACCATTACTTCTTTAGTTCTGCAATCTCCAAAACTGCATGACTTTTCTAGCATTAATCGTCTTCCTATCAAAATTTACACAACTGACATAAAAAACAAGGAGAGAGAGAGAGAGAGAGAGCTACTACGACATGTTTTCACTTTTAGAGAGATATGAAAAAAATCGAAACCAGAAGTTAACATTTAGGAGATTTCCCATAGTGCACCACAACTCCATCTAGAATAATCACATTTCACAGACAATAAAAAAAATGAAAAGAAAAGAAGAAAAAAGTTATATCTTACATTTGACTGATCAGTAATATTTTTTGGGGATGATGCTTATTTGATAATGCTTCAGCAGTTATCTGCAGCTGTGGTTTCCTTATCTGGAATTCATGTTCAGTCAGTGATTAAACTGCACTCATACATAGTTAACAACTGAGAATGGTACTTATACTTAGTAATCAAAACATAGCACCAATATCATCATCGAGTAGTCAAATTCATCAAAAGCCAAATACTAACACCTACCTCCGAATGAATCTGATGTGGAAGTTGATTGGATTTAGCTTCCATTTGCATATTTTCATGGCTTTCACTGTCACTTTCAGTTGCATCGGTTTGTTCACCAGTATCACTCTCATCATTGCTTTCAGCTGCATCATGTTGCTGAACATTGCTCTCATCGTCATCTTCAGCATCCACTTCTTCATCTTCAGCTTCTAGTTCTTCTTTCTCAAGTTCATCCAACCTAGACATTATGCGGGCATATTCATCATCTTCAACCGCATCATTTTTGTTGTCATTCTTGTCATCTGCCTTGGGAAAAGAAAATTTGATTTCTCAGATGCTGAAAATTTCAAATTTAGAGTGGTGAATCTGGTGATCATCTATGTTCTCTTTCATATCACTTCAACAATAAGCAGGCAAATTAAGTTGCAAGTATAACCACTTGATAGAAACAGAGAGCTCTGTGTATCAACAGAAAGCAGAACTAACTTATAGCCTGAAAGTTAAATGGACTAGACTGAGGAGAAAACCCAAGCCTAGAGCAAAAACAATAGCGTATTGATTCCAGGGAGATCAATAGCATGGGTGTTCAACTTATAATTCCATTCTTCACTTGCTAAAACAAAGCTAATTGTGAGAGGGGGTGAAGAGGCAAGAACTTGCCTGATTTAGAACTTTTTTTGCTAGGATTTTCCTCCACAAAATCTTCTCTTATCTCCACAAGACCCTCCTGTTGCACATATAGAAAAAGCATGCAATAGATGAATAACACAGAAGATATGCATATCCTTAAAAATGGCAGCAAAAATAGCATACAAATCCAGTTTGGAGACAAACAGATATTGGTAAAACCAGGACAAACTGATGCTGTTATAAAGTTTGAAACAAATTGCACAAAAAAGCAATATGGCAGCTTGCAGACATCTACTATGTCAAAGAACACTTTGCACACTGAATTCCCTTAAAAGAAAAATATTGGGGAGCAATTCATATAGGATGACATAAACAACAACAATTTTCAAACATGCACAGAAAGATCAATTATCACCAAAATTCATGGTTCTTTCAAACAAAATCATAGATTGATCTGCATACAAAATAACCAAATTTTGCAAAACCTACCGCAGCCTCAGAAGCTGTAACATCAAAAAATGAAGCCTCGGCTTTAAGATCCCTCATATTTGCCTTAAGAGACTCAACTTGAGAATCCAAAACTTTCCCTCTCCTTGTCAAAATCTCCACAGTTTGCTTAGCTGTTCTCTCAGCATAGTAACCTTCTCCTAGAAGAACCTTCACACAAACAACACATAACCATACATTTTCATAAATCACGAAAAGAGTTCTCTTCTAATCATCTAATTCAACCAAAAATCTCCACAAAACTACAAAATAGTTCTTTTCTAATCATCTAATTCTACTAAAAATCCCTATAAACTACGAAAAGAGTTCTCTCCTGACCCTCTAATTCAACAAATAACCCCATTATGTGGAAGAAACGAACAGGCTTTACTTACCATGAACTCGTTAGTGTGTATCAATCTACCAGGAAAAAAAGCAGCTTTCCCAAACGGCACCTATAGAAAAACAATCCCACAACAATAACAACAACATTAGCCACCAAAAAGTTCAAAAGCTCACTAATACAAAACAAATAAAAGACTTCTCACTCTCTTTCACTTAAAAATCAAAAGCAAGAGAACCCACAAAAATATTCAAACTTTAAACTACAGAAACAACAGAAGAGAGCAGACACATATATAAAAGAATCCTTCTTTAGTTTTTTAAGAGCAAGCAAACAAAAACTGAAAAGAGCCCAAAAAAAATCTATTGTTTATTAAGTGATTAGTGATGCTTGCTTACCATGATCTCATGATTAAGTTCATCAGGTAATTTAGAGACAAGGTTAATGAGATTGGCGTTTTCAGTAACGAATTCATTGATACAGTCTAACTCTTTTTCCTTCTCTCCAATCTTCTCCTCAACTCGTTTGGCTGCCTTTTGTGCCTCGTTCGAGGGAAACAATGAAGCGAATGGCGTCACTGTTCCCTTCCCTGCAGCTGCCGCTCTTGCTGCTGCTGCTGCCTCTTCCATTGTTTTCAAGAGAATTCAAGCAACAGAGAGAGAAATAGAGGAGGAACAGTTCAAAGGGAAAGGGTTTTTGTAGGGGTGAGAGCTTGCAACGCTGCGTTTAATTATGAAAGCAAGCTTCTGCTCCTCCATTTTTTTACTATTTTTTTCCTCCCAAAATGTTGAGTAAATTATAAATTAGTGCCTTTACTTTTTTTAAATGGTCCCTAGGTTTTAAAAATAATTAATTAGTCTCTATAGTTTTAAATCTATTTACAACTTGATAATTTTTTAATTTATTTTTTTAATAAATAGAAAAAAATTGATAAGAAAATAAGATATTTTTTTAATAAAATAACATTAAATTAACTATGATCAACATTGGTTAATAAATTGAATACTTAGTTTTTAAAATAAAAGAAACTATTTAATTTATTTTGAAAAACTAGAGGAGCTAATTAATAATTTACTCCTTCTTTCACGTCATAGACTTTTTTTTAGAATAATGGTATAGACTTATAATATCCAAAAAAAATTAAAAAAATAAATATCTAGTGCTTATAAATAGTATTGAAACTATCTAGAAATTACATGGGTAACATTGTATAAAATGCTAGAATAGAGATAAAAGTATAAATATTCATCAAATAATAAGGAGAAAGTAAAATTAACTCCATTTCATTAAAAATGAGATTTTCATTATATATTCAATGATCTATGTTGAAAACATTATTTTTAGTGGATCATAGCAGAATATAGGATTTATCTGTATAATTAATTTTTAAAAGTTTAGTTTGGATATATATTTTTTAATTTATCATAAATAATTAAAAATAATGGTCCGTTATAAATATTTAAAATTCAGCGAGAAAGATATGATTTGCCTGTAAAAGCTAATTTTAGAATTTAGTTAATTCTTTATAAATAAAACCACATTTGGAGGTTGATGAAAGGATCATACAAATGTAGAAAATGGAGGAAGATTTTGAGGATAAGAAATAGAAGGGGTACGAAAGAAACAATTGAAAGCACAGGGACCAAATTTATTCTTAACCACTTTCTGATGAGATAGGAGCGTGTTTCTCCCCTCCCACACTCACGCGTAGCCCGACCACTCAGCCAACAAAACACAGAGATTGCACCCTCTCTCTCTCTTGACCTCCATTTGACCAAGACAGAAGTAAGAAATAGACATTTCAACATTGAAGTATTCAAAGACCCCTTCTTTGCTGCAAACTCATCTTTGATTCTTGAAGATCGTACCTTTCTCAGTTTTAGCATAGTTTTCTACTGGTGAAGGGCTGCTAAGTTTTGGTTGGTGTGCGGTTGTTGATTTAATTAGGGTAGTTAGTTACTTAATGAGGTTTAAGATTTTTTTTTTTTTTCCAAATCTCTTATTTAAGTCGTTGAGCTCTCACTTTCTTGTTGAGGTTGTTTGTTAGTATTTATCTACAAAAATGGGGGTTTGACTCCACTTGAAGCAAACCCTTCTTATTTTGTTTGTTTTACACTCATGGGTTGTTTTGTTTTTGTTGATAAGAGTCATTTTGTGGAGAAAGTTTCATTCTTTGAAGTTGATTGGAGTTGATGATTATTGGGTTTTTTGGTATGGTTAATTTAGAGGGGTTTTGGTGGAGGAGAGGGTCAGGGTTTATGGGTTGGATTGTTTTTTGGTTATGGTTTGTGTTTTTGGGTTTGTTACAGCCAGTGGTGGGGTTAAGGCCATTGAGAGAGCGTGCTCAGTCGTGGAGCGACGAGGTTTGTATTGGAATTTGATGTTTTTGTTTGTGATTGATTGTGGGTGGAATTTGGATTTTGATTAGATTTTGTTAGCAAGAGCGTGAATTTGGATTGTAAAGAATGCAACTTGATTGGTGGAGTTTGTTGTCGGTTTATGCCAACATTAGATTTTCAATGATCTTTGAGTGATGATTTATGTGTTTTGTTTTGCCAAATTTAGCACAATTTTGATGGGGTTTGACTTTTCAATTGTATAATGCTGCCTTTAGGTGTTTTGTATTAGTTTATACCTGAAAATGATGTTTTGGAATGAGAATAAAGAATTGTAATGCTTGGTAGCTCATAGTTTAATGGTGCAGTGTTGATCATCAAAAACCAATGATTTTTTCTGTGAAAGATGGCAAATGAGAATTAAGGTCATGTTGCTAGAGCAGGATTGGCACGGGATACTTCATTTACTCCATGCGTTGAATTTTATTAAATAGCTGGAAAGTCAGTTCAGTTAGATTGCCAAGTATGCTGAAATGCAATTGTTTTATTTTATGACTAATGTGGTGAGATTCCTTTTCTTATCCCAATGGCTGCAGTGCTAATGTAATTGGACCTAATTTTTGCTTGTTAATGACGTTGCTTCTTGCAGTGGTTATTTATTAGAAAAGATGAAAACGATTTGGGTCCATTTTCTATGTGGAACATAACGGGAACTTACCGAGGTTTGTCTTCAGTGATTCATGTACTCACATAATTATGAAAATGATTTGCATTCGTTAATGTAGAACTTGCAGAAAAATAACAAATTGCTTCTGTCTTCCTGACACATGCATAAAATCATTGCTTAACTTGGTTAGCCTTATAAATTTTACTTATCCTGTTAAGCATTGCACACTCAATTGGTTTAGTTCTTCTATGCTTGTCTCAGTAAACATGTTTTGGACATGTGAATTCCAGGGTCTTGGAAATTTCTCGATTCTACAAATAGCTCTTCCAGGTTCCCGGATTTCAGGAAACCCAATGGTGATTCTGTCATTGAATTAGTCAGCTCACCAACAAAGATAAATGGTGTGCATTATGTCCAGGTGAGGGTTTATTTTTTTCCTAGCTAGGGGTTAATTTCTCACAAGTTCACTTATGGGAAGAAAACTGCATGATTGATTCAAATGTTTTTGGTTCTTCAAGGTATGACCATGACTTTAAGAAAGAAAGCTGTTATATTTTTCTTGCTTGTGGTGTTGACAACAGGGTGTAATAATTTTCCATGACGTGTTTGACAATGAACACAATGTTGGTGGTGCTCAAATAAGGGTAGAAGGTGTATATATATGGCCTTTTAGACAACTTCGATTGGTAGCTAACAGGTAAAATTCATAGATGTTACTATATCTGCTGCTTCTCAAACTTCTTCCAAGTAAATTGGTCATACAAGTTAGAAGCTGTTTTATTTCTGTTCTTCCCAAGTACGGATAGTCTTGTGGGCAGTAAGAGGGATGCATGTGTAGTGCAAAATGTAAAACTTCCTTTATTTACTTATTATAGTTGAAGGGCATGTGAACTGGTAATCAATTTTCTTATCTTCATCTCTGTCCTCATTCTTGGTGATACAGGATTCTAATTACAGTTTTTTCTTCTGCTTGCATTATTTTTCTTGTTGATAGATGTCAAAGAGTTGATTTGTCCATTGCATTTCGACTCTAACAGTCTTCTTTAATGCAATATGGCAGTGGTAAAGAGGGAGAATTGGGCCAGGAAGAAGATTATATGTTATCTAATCCATATCATTTGGTAACACTTCCTACCCAGTTTGTGTGTGATAGTTTGTAATTTATATCAGTTTTACAGTATATGGTGTCTGCAGCACAGCTTGCCATCTTTTTCATATTGCCTTTTATTTTGCTATTTGGTTGTTTGTTGCCTATTCATTTCTAATCTTTTCTTATGTGAAGTTTTGGAATACCTTAAGGATAGGCACATAATATGTGGTAGGTTTAATGTTTGTATACTTGTACATTCATTATGAGATAGACTGATCTTTTTGGCCTCAGAAGGAACTGGTTTATTAGTCTGAATAGTTTAATATTATTCATAAACTATGGGGTGCATGCTTGTGTTGGTGTTGGAATACTGTATTCTGTTTGGGACTGGTAGTTCTGGATGCTGCACATGGCTCCATTTAGATCCTCTCAAGCTTGCCTGAAGTTGACAAGTCTTGCAATACATTGAGCAGAAAAATTAGTGTCTATCTTTTTATATAACCTTCTATTGTTGATGGATGCGCCGAGTTTTAACTTCTAGCCTGTGTTTGCTACTTTGTTTGAACAGCTTGGAGTATTTTCATCTCAGGTGTTCCAAGATTCTCCTCGAGATAAAATATGGAGAAGGAAAAATTGTAATGTCCTGTACCTCAGTTTGACTAAGTTTGAGCTAGCATAACAGTTTAGTAAATTTTACCTGATGTGACTGCAGCGCCAATTTATGAGATGGAGAAGCATTGTAATATTGAAATCGCAGCCCAAATTACTCGCTTGTCATCTGTTCAAGGTGGTACTTGAGCTCTCTCAGCTTTATTATTTTTGTCTTTGAACTTAATAATATCCTTATGTTCCCAATTAAATCTCCAAATATCCGTGAATTATTTCCTTTATCTGTAGAGGTTGGTGTTGATATTGTAATATCTCCAGGACTTTTTATTATAATTTGTAAATCATTCTTATTTTGAGTTAGGGGAGAAGAAATTTTACCTATTATTCTCCATGAAGCATTGAGAACATCCAATTTAAATGATCGGTCATATTTATGGAACCAGGAACTGTTTTGTATCTGGTTTCAACCTTTCTACTTGATATTGCAAATTTTTGGATAACCAAGTATTATAATAAAAGTTATATGCATGTCTTATTTAGTAACTAAAATATCTGACCTTTCTTATAGATGGAGATCATGATCGTTTCCATATTGAAGGATTAATGGAGAGTCCTGCTGCAGACGATGAAGGGGATTGCTTCTCACCGTTACTACTAAATGCTACTTCTGTCAACATTGAAGTCTACTATAACAAAGCCGTGAACTATACCTTGATGGTCACCTTTGTATCCTTTATATATGATAAATTATCACACTTTTAGATTCATCCTGATGTTCCATTAGTTAGATTTGGGTGGATTCCTTAACATTTTGCATCAGGTCTCATTCCTTCAAGTTCTTTTGTTGATTCGGCAAATGGAACATAGTAACACTCAATCAGTAAGACATTTTACTTTATATGTCTATTACCATCGATTTTGTTCTTGAAACTTTATGGTTTCAAGTAAGTTGATAATGGTTCTGATTCACCTCTCTCAGGGGGCTGCCAAAGTTTCAATTTTAATGATTGGGCAGCAAGCCATCATGGATGCTTATCTTTGCCTTTTACACCTAACTGCAGGAATACTAGTTGGTAAGTATAATGTCCTGCTTATGCAGTTTACTAGATTGGTTTTGCTTTCAGATGCTTTGGAATTTCTGTATTGTGTTTTGCAGTAAATTTATTGCAGTTATTTGAAAAATAGATCTGTTAAAGGTAAAGGAATATAGATTTGCATTGGATATATTTCAAACTTATCTCACTATTGTGAACGGAAAAAATTGAAAGGATTCCATTTGTCTGGTGATGTACAAGCATTTTAATGTTATCATGTAGCTATACTCAATGGATATGTTTCATTCACTAGCAAAATGATTTGCAAACTACAAAATGAACAAGCGTCTCTCTGCATGTATTCACTTCTGATAAAACTATTAGTTCTCCAGCCTTTAAGATTTTGAAATTATACTGGTAGATATCATTTGAAAACACTAACAACCACTGACCGGGACTATTTTACTCAAAATGTACAAAGTTGTTTTTGCTTTTCTTAATTAGTATAGTTGCCATTTCTTCTGTCTTGTTGTGCATTAACTGTGCTTTTTTTTTCCTTTTTCTTTTTTCTTTTTTTCCCTCTGCATATGCTTGTCATACTGAATCGGTGTAACTCTATTCTCATTTGTTGACCATGAAATTTGCTCTTGCACATTGTTGCTAAGCACTGGATCGTTTTCTGTGTCTATTAAGTAAATATTTTTGCTGTTTCCTGTGCAGAATCCTTGTTTAATGCTTTTGCAACTGCTGCATTTTTCAAGTTTGTAGTCTTCTCAATTTTTGAGATGAGATATCTTCTTGCTATTTGGAAGGCAAGCAGGCCTATGAACAGTGGTGAAGGTTGGGAGACAATGAGGCGTGAGCTATCAGTACTATATAGTCGATTCTGTAAGTACTCTTTTGGAAATCAATCTGTAGGTCGAAATTCTACCACTGGGATTCATTAAACATGATCTGGTATCGATTACATACTCTAGCTGATGATTCTTGCTCTCAGTTACTCCATTGAATTAGTAACCAGTTAGAAATTTTCAACATATGCTTCTCTCGGTTTCCTGAATACTTTGCTACATGCTTGCAATCATCAATTGGTTTTTTATGAGTTTAATTACTTGGTTTAGAATAAAAAATTCCTTTCTTTTGTGTCTGTGTAATTTGATCTGACTGCTATAATTATTTGCAGATGGGATCCTGTTGGGAGGCATTCTATTTATGTACGAGTTCCATAATTATCTTCGACCCATTCTTCTCTTGATGTACTCCTTTTGGATACCTCAAATAATTACCAATGTCATTCGTGACTCAAGAAAACCTTTGCATCCCCATTACATCTTAGGCATGACTGTTACTCGTCTAGCAATCCCATTGTATATATTTGGATGCCCTAACAACTTTATGCGCATTGAGCCTAACAAGACTTGGTGTATATGTTTGGGTGTATTCATTGGACTGCAAGCATCAATTCTTCTTCTTCAACACTATCTTGGGTCTCGGTGGTTCATTCCTCGCCAGGTTGGTGTAGTTGTTTCTCATCTTTTTTTGCTCCCAAATCATTCTTTTCTTTTCTCAGTTTCCAACAACTTATGACACTTGGAATGCTATGTTAAGTTGAGAGAGTAAAAACCATGAGCTAGTGATTAACAATGACGTGAATATGATATCTGTTTTTTTTCACCTAAAGCATGTTGTGAGTGCTTTTATTAAAAATGTCACTTTGCTATTGTTGTTGCAGATCCTACCTGAGAAATATTGCTACTATAGAAGATTTGATCAGGAATCAAATCATGTTACAGACTGTGTCATTTGCATGACTGCAATTGAGCTCATGCAGCGTTCTAATGATTGCATGGTATACCATCAGGATTCTGTCTTTTTTCCTCCACCCTTTTACTTAGTTTGCAACTACAGACACTTTAAATTTGCAAAATCTCTGGCAGGTAACTCCATGTGATCATTTCTTCCATTCCGGTTGTCTACAAAGGTGGATGGATATCAAGATGGAATGTCCAACTTGCCGACGTCCGCTGCCACCAGCCTAGAGATTAATACACTTGTTTATATTACTTAGGAGGATTGGTTGACATTGCCCAACTTGTTAACTCTGGTAATGAGCTGATACAAAACCTTGCATTTACTGAACATTCATGATTCCCTATTGCATCATTCCGTTTCTTCTGAATTTATGATTGAGGATACTTTGGATTCTGTTCTTTATGTATCTTCTGTAGTTTTTATATGTCTGTTTTATTTCAGGTTTTGAAAACCCCATATTTTGCTTGGGCACAGCTTCAGAAGATACCTGATATAGAGGCATAAGCAATGTTGAACTTTAACTGATACTGCCACACTGTATTTGACACACCTTGTATAATGTATTAGTAATCGGAAATTTTACAAATGCAAATTATTTTCAAATTTTATCATTGTTACACCACACTTTTTGTTCTCTTGCAAATAAATTAACCTTTGTAGCATTGATTTCCCTTGATGAAGAGCTTTTTTATTATTTTCTTTCCCAGTTATGTATCAGTTTATTAAAGTGGATACAAGTGTTTGGTGATCAAGTAGAGTTTCGAAGGGTTGCTCTAGTTAGCATGAAATAATGGTCAAGTCAATCCCTTTTCTGCTCTCTAATTACTAGACTGGTTTGAAGAAATCAGATGAAAGAGTTTCTAATTTTCCGAGCTGAATAGCTGAAGATTTAATTGTTTAAGCAATTTCCTCTGCCTAAATTATAGCCTTTCTTAGTTTCCAAGTTAAATTGCTTCGCGCGGGAAACCTGGGACAATACAAACACTGAAAGCTTCAAGTTTTCAAAGGTCCTATTGTTCATGGGTTGTAAAGCATACAAATTTTTCAAGGATGATATAAATGTACAGGATTCACATACGAAAAAAAAAAAAGAAAAGAAAAGAAAAGAAGAAGATTCACATATAACCAGCATGCCAGATTTCGGTTCTTCTTTTGGTTTTATTGATATTATCTTACATGACTACTTACGTGAAGCTGGGAGCCATGGAAGGTGACAGCAGAGGTGTAGCAGCAGGCACTAGTGCAGGAGCAAAAAGAGTAGAACTGCCAGAAACACCACCTGCTGCACTGGCTACACAGTGTTGCTCAAAGCAGTCCACAGGATGCTCGAGTGTATCGTTGCATTCTTTCTGACTCCTCTGGAATGGCTTCTCTGGCAAACAATTGCGACGATCATCATATTTGATGCCTTTAGATGTGAGATTCATGCAAATGCCCTCTTCCTCACAAAAGAAGTTGTAGGAGAAAGTAAAATTAGCCAAACTTGGAAGTATGCAAACTCCCTCGGGCACACTCCCAGTCATCAGATTGTGTGCTAAATTTAGCTGCTCCAAATGAGCTAATCCTGACAAGCTATAGGGTATAGGACCAACTATTTTGTTTTGGCTTACATCCAACACCGTCAGTTTGTAGAGATACCCTACTTCTGGAGGCAAACAACCTGTCAAGCTTGTGTTGATCAGCAGCAACTCTTCTAAAGTGTCTGCAAAGTTGGCTATACTCGGCGGCAGGCAGCCTTCAAATTTGTTGTTGGCAATGACAATAACAGAAGCTGAAGTTCCATTTAAGATTGCAGGAACCGCACTGCTAAAGCGATTATTATTAATGAATATTGCATCAATCTCCTTTTGGAAAAGTTGAGGAGGTACTGGCCCTTCAAACTCATTGTAGCGAAGGTCAAGAAACTTCAGCACAGGAAGACAGAGCACAGGAGATGGGAAAGGGCCTACAAATCTGTTGTTACTGAGATCAAGCTCGTATAGAAGTGAAAGGTTGGCTAGAGTTTGTGGGATAATCCCACAAAATCTGTTGCTATTCAAATGGATGAGTGCTAAGTCAGTGAGGAGGCCTAACTCAATGGGAAGGAAACCTGCTATATCAGCAGAGTTGAGGTCGACGCCTGCGACGACTCTGATTTTGGGATCATCAAGAGAAGCTGTACAATATACTCCTCTGTAGCTACATACATCAGGACCGACCCAATTGCTGGTGAAGTTGCTTGGGTCAGAGTATATAACTCTTTTCCACGCTTGGAGGGCAACATAAGCTTGGTGGAGCCTTTGGTTTGAAGTAGGAGAACGGTTGCGTGAGCGGTGGCGGCGATAGCCATGGTGGTTATGCTTTGCAGCTAGATTGGTAGACATGGAAGCTAGGTATAAGAGCAAGAGAATTAAAGCGCGGGCAGTAATAGAACAAAGCAGAGACGAAGCCATTTGATTTTCGTGGGGTTTAAGGTTGTAACCTCGGCTGTTTATGTAAGGAGCTCTTCCCTTGTCAAGCACAGCTTTCAGTCTTATGTTTAATCATGCTGTCCATATCCAATGGAAGACATTGATTTCTTTGCTGATGATAGTACCTGAAGAAAATATTACAGCGACCCGGTACAGCGACAGTTAACCATAACATATGATCTTAAAACATGGCCATTTCTAGATAAGCGTGAGCATTTCAAAGGACACCAAACATCATGTCTCAATCCCTACAGTTTAAGTTATCCTTTGGAGGCTTAGATTGGGACAAAAAATGGACGATGATAGACACATCTTATGCTAGAAAAAAAACATGGAGATTAATTGCAGACTATGCATTTGGAAAAAATGGGGTTAAAGAGAGGAAGATGCGCACGATAAGGACTTGCCTCCTTCCATGTAGTTTTCGCAGTTGTTTCGAGTGGAGAAGGAGAAAGACAGCCTCAGCCACCCTAAGAAAAAGAGAAGAATTCCTTCGAACCTCAGAAATTAATTACCTGGCATGACTCATGAGTCAAAAGGGGCAAATACTAACAATTTAAGGAAGCACATTTTCATATTTCCATGCTACAGCAATGTATTCAATTTCCTTAAGAAGGAAGTTCCATTGGCAAGAAATGAGGCAATTTCCACAAATCGAATTGTAGTTGGCATTTTACACAAATCTTGCGTCTATGAGAAGATGCAAAAAAAGAAAAAAAAGAAAAAAAAAGAAAGAGATTTATTGTTTTAAACTATGAAAACAATTGTAAAAATAATAGTCTATCGTGATTACGAGTTTATTATAGTAGTAAAATAACGGTTTATGTAATTATTGTTGTAAATGAATCAACAATTATTAATAAAAAAAACTATTTTAAAAACTCATTAGACCAAAAAAAAAAATGTTGTGCATATGCTAGTTGTAGATAACCAAGCCATCTCTCTCCCTCCTTCATCTTATTTTTCTTTTTGAAAAAAAAATTCCATCATCTCCTTAATTCTCTCTCTCTTTTTTCTTTGTTTTGTTTTGTTTTTCTTTTCAGTATATTAAAAAATTTAGATGTAGATTTTATTTTTACATAAAATTCTTATTTTATTAGAATATTTTGCTTTTAAAATACAATTTTGATATACTGAATTTATTAGGATGTAATGGGTGTTTTTTATTGATTGAAAGAAATTAAAAGTCTTCAACAATTTTGAATGGTTGAGATTTTTTATCAATAAAGTTTGATAATGCGGTCTATTTTCCTATTGCTTAAGGTAGATTGAAACTTAATTGTGCATAGGGTGTAGAAAACAAGTTCTATTTAGAAGATTCTTATTGATAAGTTTCATTAAACATTAACGTTTATAAAGAAACGATTTAATACTTGAAAAATCTTTTTTGTTTATCATTATTGTAAAAGATTTTGTTTAATTTTTTCAATATAGCCCATTGCATTTTTTTTTTTTAGTATCATTATACCACAAAAATAATGATAAATTTGTTTGATTTATATCATAAATAAAATTAAAATGTTTAATATAAAAAAATAATAATATCATATTCTAGCTCAAAATCCTTAAAATACCCATTGTAATGTCCCAAAAAGATAAGAGGACACTGAAAAAACAAAAAACGGAAAGGAAAGGCACAATAAGGTGTTCAATTTTGGAGCCTAGATTTTTTAAGGCCCAAATATGGGACAGTAGGAGCCTATGGCCCAAACTTCCGATTAATTACCGATTTATTCGAGGGACTGTTGTTGCCGATTAATTGACGAGTAAATCCCGATCCTTTTAAGCTCCGGATTAACTTCCGAGAAATTTGCGATTATTTCCCGAGTAACCGCCAGTGGATCCGATTTATTTCCGATTAAATCAATGATCGCCGATTAAATTCATTTAATCGTAATCTCCGAGTAATTTCCATTCATCGCCGATTATTTCTCAATTACTCGTCGTGGACTCCGCTTAAATACCGATCATTTTCCGATTTAATTGTGATTGGAGCCGAGTAATTGCCGATTATTTAAACTAAGTTGCCGACATATCAGATAAAACGCCGAGTAATTTCTTGATCGCCGATCGTTTTCCGATTAAATTTCGAGGAACTTGGTCATCCCGAGGAATTCACGATTAATTGCATTTTTAGCGCGCTTATTTACCGATTTATTGCCGTTTATTGTCTTCTGCTGCCGACTTATTGCCGATCAGTTTCTGTTCTTTGACGAGTTATTTCCGATCTTTTCAATAACCTACAGATTTTTTTTCCGATTTATTCAATTTTCTATGTCCATCTTTTTTGGAGTTTTTTTTTTTTGGTCCCTTAATTGACATTTTTTTTTCTTTTTGACCTTTTTCTCAGGAATTCTGAGTTTCTAACTTGCTGATTTTTTTGCTTTCTTGTTAATATTTTGCACGTTTATTTCCGAATCCATCACCATCTTTGCAATTCCATGCTCTCTCTAGAAGTCATTGCTTCTTCTTTTATGTTGCTCAGGTACGTTACACAAAGTCCCAACTTTCCTTATTTGCATCCAACGTTATGCTCTCAGTTTTCTTTTAAAATCACACATTGTTTGGTTTTCAGAGAAAAAATGAAAAAAAATAAAATAATAATAATAAACATACACTGTGACGGAAGTTGGTTTAGTGAAAGGAAACTTTTTTTCAGTAATTTCATCTAAAAGGGTTTCGTTGGTTTTGAAACAGAGGAGGCAGCGTATGCGTCTTATAGAGAGTATGTGTGGTCAGTGGGATTTGGGATCGCAATAAAAGCTAGTCGTCGTTCGAAAAAGAATGGGAAGTTTATTGATGTGAAAATTGCTTGTTCTAGATTTGGAAGCAAGCAGGAGTCGAGTGTGACTGTTAATCTGCAATCATGTATAAAGACAGATTGTAAGGCAGTAATGCACGTTAAGAGGACAGAGGATGAGAATTGGGTTATGTATAGTTTTGTAAAGGAGCATAACCATGAGATTACTGAGGAAGATTATGATAATGCTATGGGGAGATGAAAGAAGCAATCAGATGTGATTGCCCGTCAAAAGAAAGGTTTGCAGCTGGCTTTAGATGAGGATGATGTAAAAGTTATGCTTGAGTATTTCATGTGTACGCAGGTTGAGAATCCAATCTTCTTTTATGCAATAGATCTGGAGTTCTGGACCATGAAAAATGAATAAGAAATGTGTTCTGGATTGATGCAAAAGGTAGGCATGATTATCATTGTTTCTGTGATGTTGTCTTCTTTGATACCTTTTATGTTAGCAGCAAATATAAGGCTTCCTTTTGTTCCCAGTATCGGAGTGAATGATCACTCCCAGTTCATGTTACCTGGATGTGCACTCTGCATCTAGTTTCCTCTGGTTTATGTGGACATGGGTTAAAGCAGTGGGTGGCCAAGCTCCGAAAGTGATTATTACTGATCAGGGCAGATTCCTGGGTGAAGCCGCTGTGGATGTTTTTCCTGACACACGCCACTACTATAGTTTATGGCAAGCATTCAGTAAGATTCCTGAAAATTTGTCTCCTGTTATGAATCAAAGTTTATGGAGCAGTATAAAACGTTTTTGGAAGACGGGTATGAGATGGAAGCCAAATCTCATTTTGAAACAAAAAAAAAAACAAACAGCCTGCATAAAGATCTCTCTCGTCTTTTGAGAAACAAGCATGGACATTATACACTGACGCCATTTTCAAGAAATTTCAGGTTGAGGTTTTGGGATAGTAGCTTCATGTCACCTGCAAAAGGAGAGTGAAGATGAGGCAGCTATTAAATTTCGAGTTTACGATTTTGAAGAATGCCAGAATTTTCTTGTGGCTTGGAACAAAGCAGCATTGGATATTTGTTGTTTATGTCGTTCTTTTGAATACAGAGGTTTTCTCTGTAAACATGCAATCCTTGTTCTTCAGATGTCTGGTGTTTCTAACATAGCATTGAAGCATTGGAAAAAAGATGCCAAGACTAGTCAAAACTTTTGATAAAGTATCAAGCAGACTTCGTTATAGTGTACAACACTTCAATGATTTATGTAAACGAACCATCAAACTGGGCAAAGAGGAGTCTTTATCTAAACAGGCTTATGCTATTTCTGTTCAGACGTTAGAGGAACTGTAATAACACATTGGATGTTCTTGGCTTTCCTGGCTTTGAAGAAGAGAACTGTAATAACTTGTTGGCCAAGTCATTTAAGAAAAAGAGAACTTGCAAGAAAAAGAAAAGGTACGCTGGGTGTTGCCATGGAAGTATATTGGACTTTCCATAACACTGAATAATAAAAATGGACACGACCAAGCCCGCTAAATAAAAGCTTTATTTGGAACTAGGATGAGAGCACTGCTTGCCAAAGGTATTCTTATCTGAAACCAAATTTGTGACGGTTCTTTGTACTTCTAATTTCTTGCCAAGCAGCTAGATTTTAACCCTCAATAGAACTAGGGCAAGGGCAGCATAGGTGCAGAAGGTGCTGAAAGTTTCATAATCTGTCATGAATCATGATCAAAGGCAAAGATTGGTAAACCCTATACTCTGCCAAAAACGCAAAGAACAAAGAGCAGGATTTGACAACTGCATGGAATGAACTTCAATTCGTCAAACAAATGGGAAAGTTCCCATTAATTTCTGCATAATCAAAATTACTTTTCTTCAAATTGAGCACTAGATACTTCCAAGTTTTTGGAACATCTTGATGACCAGCATAATCAAGATCTAAGCTAGTGAAGCAGCCAGTGGAAGTTCAAAAAAAATTGCAGCAGTGGCGTTGAAGCAGGCACCAATCATCCTTGGAATAATTTTTCAAAGAACAAGAGATAAAACATCACAGATTTCCACAGGACGCAATCATTCCGAAACAAACACGTGATAATTTTATCTAACTATCCTCATCAAACAAATCATATGCATTAATTACAACACTCAAAATTGATGTCCAGACAACTATATATGGTTTATGCGAAATCCCAAGTACTGGTAAACATCATTCCGTGAAAAATTATTCAAAGTTGAAAAAAGAACCCTAATACAAGCATTTTCCTTTTTATCATCATCATCATCATCATGACCACCAGCATCAGCAATCATATTAGCCACCACCAGATCCATATTTCTTGCCAAAGACAATGACCTGCAGCTTGTCATAACCGGCAAGCACACCAGCACCTGCCACTGCACGCAGGATGTTTGCACCAGCACCCTTGAATAGTGATTTAGTTCCTTCATTCTTGACAATCTGTTTAAATGCATCCAAAGAGCTCTTGTACTTTACAGCTTCTCCTGAAGTCATCATCATCCTTCTACGGACTGTATCAATGGGGTAAGAAGCCAATCCGGCACCTATTGTGATTCCCCATCCTAACAAGAAACTTGCCAAGAAATTATCCTGTAGAAACCAAACAAACCAACATTAACCAAATGATCATATTAAAAACTTCATATGATATAGGAGAATCAAACTGCCCCACATCCAAACATTAAGGTAGCTCAATTGGACTTCATTTTACCAAACAGTGGTAAAAATACAGGAAACAATTTTACAGATACAATAGTTAGGACACAGGAGCAAAAATCCATAAAGATGAGGAGTCCATCTCATCTTGCATTTTGATTCACCAGCAAGATGGTCAAGTTCAAAACACTATTTCCAGTGCAGAACCATCAATAGAAGAAAGATAATTTGAAAGCAGGAGAAAAAGATTGGCAGAGATGCAATAAGAAAACACAGCACATACCTCCAAAGTACCAATCAAAACCACAGGTTTAAGAGAATCATACATTCCAAAGTAGAGCCCACGGTACACAATAATTCCAACACAAGATATGTTAAATCCACGATAAAGCCCGGCCAAGCCATCAGACTTGATGGTTTTCTTATAAACATCAATCAACCCATTGAACTGCCTCTCACCACCCTTTTTAGCTGCCTTTGCGTCATTAGCCAAACGTGTACGGGCATAATCCAAGGAGTAAACAAATAGAAGAGATGAAGCACCAGCAGCTCCACCTGATGCCAAGTTCCCAGCAAACCACTTCCAGTAGCCATCTCTTTCCTTCTTGAAGTTAAACAACCTCTTGAAGTAATCTTTGAATGCAAAGTTCAGGGCCTGGTATGTGTACAAAGGTTTCAATTGATACAAACAATGCTTCAGTCAAGTACAGGTATTAGAAAATAACAAAAGGGAAAAAACATAAGGAAATTTTAAAGTGAAATGACCTGAGTAGGGAAGTATCTGATAACATTAGCAGTGTTGCCTCTCCAAAGGGAGAGGATACCCTCATCCTTGATGGTTCTAGCAAAGCAGTCAGTGATACCCTTGTATGGTTGAGATAATCGACCAGCCTTGATCATTTCGTCCTGATTTTGAATCAAGAGTTTAACCCGCTCAATTGGAGCAGCTGCTGTCTTCGAAACAGCTGCTGATACTCCTCCCATGAGAAAATCAATCATAAATCCTTTAGCACCTTTCTCAGATGGTGCTGCAACAAATATTGGGGAAACACATGGCACAAGTGCCAGGCTTTTTCCATGAATTGCAGGATGCAAATGGCTATGGAAACCATTAGAAAATGCACCAATAGTCACATTATAATTCCTGGTGTGCAAGTTTGGGGAAAGCTTAGAAACAAGAGATGACTGTCCATGTATCTTCCTGAAAACCGACGGATTACACGATTCATCCACCATGTTTACAGCTCAAGATGATGACCTGAAAATAAGAAAAAATCCACAATTTTACACGATCAGGCTTCAAAGACAACTTGCTAAGTACACCATCAAAATAAACAAATAAAACCAGAAAACATTTACTGATCCAACGAAGTGCCATGATCACCATTATAATTCAACTTCCACCAACAACCCCGCAAAACATCAAAAAGGACAAAAACCATACAACACAAATCTAGGACATAAACTTTCAAACCCATGTCATTTTTAACAAAACCCAACGTTATTAACAACTAAAGCCTACAACTGGAAAGCAAAAGCCATATCATTTTCAACATAATCTAATGTTAGTAACAACTAAAATCCAACTCATTTCTAACATGATCTAAGGTTCACATCAACTAAAACCCACAATTTTAGCGGCAAAAACCCACCTCATTTTTAACATTAAATAACATTATTAAAAACTAAAATTGCTAAAACCCAAAATTTGAGTGTCAAAACCAAGTCATTTCTAACATAATCTAATGTCAGTAACAATCACACATAGTTAACATAAAACAAAGTCCATCAAATCAAAATAGATAACCAAAACAGCCGAAACGAATCCAAACACTACATACTTTCTCGGTAACCAAACAAAAAAGAAAGATAAGGAGAAAAACCTGAGAGTGAGGACAGTCAATACCTCCTGATACTAAGAAGAAACCTTTTTCCAATATTGGTATTTATACCTGCAAGAGTTTCTAGGGTTTTTCTCTTAAATTACCATCATGACCTTTTCTTGCCTCTGCCTCATCGTTTGTGCTTTGGATTTGAGTCTGACATTGTTTCTGTAGTATACAAGACTTACACTCCATTGGCGAGAAGGCAAGAGAGTTTCATATTTCGTGGGCTTTAGGCCTTTTTAATAGTTTCTAAAGGCCCAATAATAATTTTTCATTTCCTTTTTTTTTTAATTTCTCAAAAAAATTCCTCGTCCTGTTTTAAGTTATGTTGTTAACATTCAAGTAAATCATAAGATAGTGTTTCTAGTTTTGAAGAACAAATCAATTAAATTTTTTATTTTAAAAATTAATTATTTTTAATCAATATTGATCGTGTTTAATTTAATAGTATTTTATTTTCTCATTGACTTTTTCATAATACCTATTTTTTAAAAAAATGAAAAATATATAAATAGACAAAAAAACTAAATAATTAGTTTTTGGAAAATCTAATTGATTCATTTTTTAAAATTAGAGAGATTAATTTATAATTTACTTTGTTAATATTGTTGAAAAAAAACCATATTGATAGTTTGGATTTCATAATTAGTAAAGTTTGATGTTTATATTACCATTTTTTAGCTCAATTTAAGCAAAAAAAATATATAATATTTATTCCGATCAATTATGGATGCTCTATTTAAAACTCGTTAGAAAGAAATTGATCTTGATATTGAAAAATTGCTCGAAAAACCTTTTAAAAAAAATTATAAGGTTATAGCTTTGGACAGTCATTTAATGTCCATGGGTTAATCAAAGAACATTGTCCATGCTTCCATAGCATTTTTTGCTTGATGGATCAAAAGAATTGCGAAGAAAATCTTAAAACAACATGTAATTATGGTATAGGCATTATTTTAATTTTGCTTATTTGGATCACGCTGCATGGCATTTTCATTGAACGTTAATTTAGAAGCTAATTAGTTATAAAATATTCTGAATTATTTGTAAAAAATAAAAAATAAAAAAATTAAAATAAAATTCTTATTCTTTTTTTTTTTAGTCTGCAATTAGATTCTTCTATCCTATTAACCAATTTCCATCAACATGAGAAATATGTGAAACTATTAAAACAAAAAAAATATTATGAAAGTCTTAAATACAAGACACAAATTATTGTTTTATAATTCTGCATGTCTCTTACTTGCTTTCAATATAGCTTGAGATTAGTCAACAAAATGAAAAAACTTAATTACAGACAAAAAAAAAAAAGTTAAAGACTTCTATCCTATTAACCAATAGTTTACCGTACTTTATAATCAATTAGCCTAATTTAGATTAAGCTTAGCCCCTCTTGGATACGATTAGAGTGCTAATTCAAACTTATAAAAGATTTGATCCCAAAAAAATACTTCAAGAATTTGAGTTTAAAATTCCAACTTGTACATTCTTAATTCAACAAGTTTCTATAATTTATCAAATGAAAAGAATTGCAGGAGACCTTCACAAATTTTGCTATTGAGAAAACAGCATTTAACTTCAGTTAAGAATTGTGGAGAAACTCATTACATTTTTTTTTTTACCTAATAATCACAGATATCCTTTCTTCACCAAGATTCTGTACCTTTTACTGACTGCTTCAAAAGAAAGTAAAATGTTAGAATAAATAAGGAACCAGAAAGATTAAATGAGATTCAAGGATGGACAGATTATATCTCAGGAATTCACCTTCTAGCATGTGTGTGGCTGTTCTGTATGTACATTTAACAATCTGCAAGACCATCATAAGGAAATTGTCTGGAGGAATGGTTAAAAAACACACTAAGCAGAACAGAAAAGGAGCCTTTGCTTAGCCAGCAACTCCTTTAGTTTCTTTATATGTTTATCATCAGAGTGCAAGTGATCCTCAAAGCTCTTTCTCAAGTTCCTCAGCAACTCACAGTCATTGCTGCAGTTATTGTTAAGCAGCTTTGTGAAGAGATCCTTCCACAAATCATTCCAATATCTGAAGATAATAGTATGAGAACTTGAGCAGAAGGGTAGCGAAAGAAAAATCGAAAAATAAGAGAGAAATCTATGATGATGGGAAAAATAATTCACTCCTCTAAATTTTGAAGTTTGCTGTTTCAGAACCTAGTGAGGTTACAAATTGGAGTTGGCGAAATTCGCAGAAGCCTTGAAACCATGCAGAGATGAAAGATACCTTTTGAAAGGAGCCTTTGGCTGATACATGTAGCCACCACCAGATGTTCCTTTCTTTACAATCTCCATGTAAGAATGGTGCAGCATCATATGAATTATAACACAGAGGCCGTATGTGTCAACCTGATTTCAAAATGACAAAAGTAATGAGGTACCAGTCCAATAAAAATAGCAAGTGGATTTTGTGTGCTTTATTAACTAGACAATGACCTGAAATGTCCATGGCTTCTTCTCTTGCATTTCAACGCAACAAAATCCTGAAGTCCGACAATCTCCCTCAAATTCTGTACCATCAGGAAAGAGATGCAGGTCTATCCCCCTCCCCCAGTCAACAAGGCAAAGACCCTGCATAAGAAACTCTTAAATACTACAGTCATAAACAAAGCTGCACATTAGATCTGTCACAAGTAAGATTAACCTGATCTCTCCAAGGGCAACTTCGGTCTTTAAACCAATCTTCTGTCAAATTGCTCCTGCCAAATATCAGATTATTAATGTCACTAGATGTTGTATGTCAAACCATGTCATCTGTAAAAGACATTGATGCAGCTACGCTTATGATCATGCTTTTATAATGACAAGACAACTACCTATGTGTCAGACATAAAACAACCAAATATTTAGATTAATTTTAAATCATATGCATTAATTACAACACTCAAAATTGATGTCCAGACAACTATACATGGTTTATGCGAAATCCCAAGTACTGGTAAACATCATTCCGTGAAAAATTATTCAAAGTTGAAGAAAGAACCCTAATACAAGCATTTTCCTTTTATCATCATCATCATCATGGCCACCAGCATCAGCAATCATATTAGCCACCACCAGATCCATATTTCTTGCCAAAGACAATGACCTGCAGCTTGTCATAACCGGCAAGCACACCAGCACCTGCCACTGCACGCAGGATGTTTGCACCAGCACCCTTGAATAGTGATTTAGTTCCTTCATTCTTGACAATCTGTTTAAATGCATCCAAAGAGCTCTTGTACTTTACAGCTTCTCCTGAAGTCATCATCATCCTTCTACGGACTGTATCAGTGGGGTAAGAAGCCAATCCGGCACCTATTGTGATTCCCCATCCTAACAAGAAACTTGCCAAGAAATTATCCTGTAGAAACCAAACAAACCAACATGAACCAAATGATCATATTAATAGCTTCATATGATAGAGGAGAATCAACACTGCCCCACATCCAAACATTAAGGTAGCTCAATTGGACTTCATTTTACCAAAAAGTGGTAAAAATACAGGAAACAATTTTACAGATACAATAGTTAGGACACAGGAGCAAAAATCCAAAAGATGAGGAGTCCATTTCATCTTGCATTTTGATTCACCAGCAAGATGGTCAAGTTCAAAACACTTTCCAGTGCAGAACCATCAATAGAAGAAAGACAATTTGAAAGCAGGAGAAAAAGATTGGCAGAGATGCAATAAGAAAACACAGCACATACCTCCAAAGTACCAATCAAAACCACAGGTTTAAGAGAATCATACATTCCAAAGTAGAGCCCACGGTACACAATAATTCCAACACAAGATATGTTAAATCCACGATAAAGCCCGGCCAAGCCATCAGACTTGATGGTTTTCTTATAAACATCAATCAACCCATTGAACTGCCTCTCACCACCCTTTTCAGCTGCCTTTGCATCATTAGCCAAACGAGTACGGGCATAATCCAATGAGTAAACAAACAGAAGAGATGAAGCACCAGCAGCTCCACCTGATGCCAAGTTCCCAGCAAACCACTTCCAGTAGCCATCTCTTTCCTTCTTGAAGTTAAACAACCTCTTGAAGTAATCTTTGAATGCAAAGTTCAGGGCCTGGTATGTGTACAAAGGTGTCAATTGATACAAACAATGCTTCAGTCAAGTACAGATATTAAAAAATAACAAAAGGGCAAAAACATAAGGAAATTTTAAAGTGAAATGACCTGAGTAGGGAAGTATCTGATAACATTAACAGTGTTGCTTCTCCAAAGGGCGAGGATACCCTCATCCTTGATGGTTCTAGCAAAGCAGTCAGTGATACCCTTGTATGGTTGAGATAATCGACCAGCCTTGATCATTTCATCCTGATTTTGAATCAAGAGTTTAACCCGCTCAATTGGAGCAGCTGCTGTCTTTGAAACAGCTGCTGATACTCCTCCCATGAGAAAATCAATCATAAATCCTTTAGCACCTTTCTCAGATGGTGCTGCAACAAATATTGGGGAAACACATGGCACAAGTGCCAGGCTTTTTCCATGAATTGCAGGATGCAAATGGCTATGGAAACCATTAGAAAATGCACCAATAGTCACATTATAATTCCTGGTGTGCAAGTTTGGGGAAAGCTTAGAAACAAGAGATGACTGTCCATGTATCTTCCTGAAAACCGACGGATTACACGATTCATCCACCATGTTTACAGCTCAAGATGATGACCTGAAAATAAGAAAAAATCCACAATTTTACACGATCAGGCTTCAAAGACAACTTGCTAAGTACACCATCAAAATAAACAAATAAAACCAGAAAACATTTACTGATCCAACGAAGTACCATGATCACCATTATAATTCAACTTCCACCAACAACCCCGCAAAACATCAAAAAGGACAAAAACCATACAACACAAATCTGGGACATAAACTTTCAAACCCATGTCATTTTTAACAGAACCCAACGTTATTAACAACTAAAGCCTACAACTGGAACACAAAAGCCATATCATTTTCAACATAATCTAATGTTAGTAACAACTAAAACCCAACTCATTTCTAACATGATCTAAGGTTCACAACAACCAAAACCCACAATTTTAGTGGAAAAAACCCACCTCCTTTTTAATATAAAATAACGTTATTAAAAACTAAAATAGCTAAAACCCAAAATTTGATGGTCAAAACCATGTCATTTCTAACATAATCTAATGTCAGTAACAATCATACAAAGCTAACATAAAACAAAGCCCATCAAATCAAAATAGATAAACAAAACAGCCAAACAGCCAAAACGAATCCAAACACTTCATAGTTTCTCAGTAACCAAACAAAAAAGAAAGATAAGGAGAAAAACCTGAGAGTGAGGACAGTCAATACCTCCTGATACTAAGAAGAAACCTTTTTCCAATATTGGTATTTATACCTGCGAGAGTTTCTAGGGTTTTTCTCTTAAATTACCATCATGATCTTTTCTTGCCTCTGCCTCATCGTTTGTGCTTTGGATTTGAGTCTGACATTGTTACTGTAGTATAGAAGACTTGCACTCCATTGGCGAGAAGGCAAGAGAGTTTCATATTTTGTGGGCTTTGGGCCTTTTTAACAGTTTCCAAAGGCCCAATAATAATTTTTCATTTCTTTTTTTATTTTTTAATTTCTAAAAAAAATCCGTCGTCATATTTTAAGTTATGTTGTTAACATTGAAGTAAATCATAAATTACTCCGTCTAGTTTTAAAAAACAAATTAATTAATTTTTTATTTTAAAAATTAATTTTTTAATTTTTTAATCAATGTTAATTATATTTTATTTTAATATTATTTTATTATAAAAAAAGATTTATTTTTTCATTGATTTTTTCATAATATTTATTTTAAAAAATAGAAAAATATATAAACATAAAAAAAAACTAAATAATTAGTTTTTGGAGAAACTAATTGATATGTAATTAAACTAGAGAGACTAATTTATGATGTACTTGTTAATATTGTTGAAAAAAACCATATTGATCGTTTAGCTTTCACAATTAGTAAAGTTCAATGTTTATATTATCATTTTTGGCTCAATTTAAGTGAAAATATAGTATTTAGTTTGATTAATTATGATGGTCTATTTAAAACTCGTCAGAAAGAAATTGCTCTTGATATTGAAAAATTGCTCAAAAAATCTTATTTTTTTAAAAAAATATGATTTGACTTAGCTTTGGACAGTCATTCAATGTCCATGGGTCATGTTGTGGGATGATCAAAGAACATTTTCCATGCTTCCATGGCATTTTTTGCTTGATGGATCAAAAGAGTTGAGAAGAAAATCTTAAAACAATATGTAATTATAGTATAGGCATTATTATGATGTTAATTTTGCTTATTTGGATTAGGCTACATGGCATTTTCATTGAACGTTAATTTAGAAGCTAATTAGTTAAAAAATATTCTGAATTATTAGTCAAAAAAAAATCTCTAATTCATTTTTTTTCTAATTTAAATTGTTAATCTTTCTTTTTTTTTTTAGTTTGTAATTAAATTCTTCTATCCTATTCACCAATTTCCATCAACATGAGAAACATGCAAAACTATTAAAACAAAAAACATGTTATTAAAGTCTTAAATACAAAACACGTATTATTATTTCATATCTTTACGAATCTCTCACTTGCTTTCAATGTGACTTGAAATTGATCAACGGAATGAAAAAACTCAATTGCAAACTAAAAAAAAAAGTTAAAGACTTTTATCCTATTAACCAATAGTTTGCCATACTTTATAATCAATTAGGCTAATTTAGATTAAGCTTAGCCCCTCTTGGATATGATTAGCATCTTAATTCAAACTTATAAAAGATTTGATCCCAAAAGAATACTTCAAGAATTTGCCATTCTTAATTCAACAAATTTATATAATTTATCAAATGAAAAGAATTGCAAGAGACCTTCACAAATTTTGCTATTGAGAAAACAGCATTTACCTTAAGTTAACCTTAACCCTCTGTTTGGATAGGGTAGAAAGTGGGGGAGAGGAAAGAAAATAGAGAGGAAAGAAAAGGTTTCCTCCGTTTGGCTTGCGAAGAAAGGCTGGGGAAAGAAAAAAAAATATTAAACAAAGCTAAAAGAGGTGGGACCCATTTTCCTCCCAAAATTGGGAGGAAATGGGGAGAAAAACGGAAGGAAACGCATTAGCTCATTGTTCTTCCGGTTTCACCCTTGGCGACCATCGCTTCTCTTCCTCTTCCTCGCACTCTCTCGCTCTCGCTTACCAACGACCATCATAGAACTTCGCAAATCCACTCCTTCTCTCCTTCTCTCTGCAAAACGAAAGGAAACTCATGATGGTATGCCTCCGCCTCTCCAAATCCCCTGCTATTGCTCGGCCATCGCGCCTCCGCCTCTCCAAATCCACTCGTTCTCTCTCGCCGAATCCGTTACCAAAACGACCACCGAAACTCGTCTCTGCAAACCACATTTGCCATTTCCGATATATGCACCGCCCTTCCCTTACGTTGTAAGTGTCCGATCTCGCCTCCGCCTCCGCAAACCCACGCCTTCTCTCTCGCTTAATCCGTTACCAAAACGGCCACGAAACACCTCTCGCACAACACCTACCGATCTTGATGTAGTATGGGTCGAGAAAGCACAATTAAAATTAACCTTGATAGAGTCGGGAATTAGAGGATCCAAGTAGAGGGGGAGATGCGAGTGGTCGGCAATAATCCGGACGTGAGTGAGGTGGAAAGATAATAACGAGTGTTCATATTTTTTCCGATTTTCTATCACTTTTGAGAGGATTTGAGCTATGGAGTTGGTGTGTACTTGTCTCTAAGTATGCTTCAAAGGCGGTAGCACACAAAATATTCTCATCTTTGAAACCACACAATTTGAACATTGCGAAGCTTCAAAAGATCGGTGCACAGGTATTGCAGTGGAGGTTGCTCCGGCTATATTCTCATCTTTTGAATTAATAAAGGTATTACCTCCTTTGAGTCATGGATACTTGGGTGAAGTATATGTTGTAAAACTATATCTGAATTTTTATGTGGAGATCTAAAAGTATGACAAGGTAGAGCAAGAATGCACCATTATCAACGGTAAAAGCTAAGAAATATGAATCGAAACTACTTTTTCACATACGGTGTTATTGATGAACGTGAGATTTTGACGGATAGATTGTACTTGTTGTTAAACTTTCTTGAGAGAGTTGAAAAAATGATAATGGTGTCCTTTGAAATCTTGCAAGCATGAAGCACAAGTATTGTTGTTAGTGGTGTCGGGTGGTTTCCTAGTATAGCCACTTCAATGGCTAGTATTTTGCACATACTCTATGATGATAGCATTGTAGTTCTTTGTATTGGCCAAAACTAAAGAAATATCTATGCTAAAAAGTCAAATCATATTCGATGGAAGAACCTTGGTTGAATGCTGGCAGTATTGTTTTTTGGCAAATTCACCGACCTTTGGTGTGCTTGTGATTTAATTATTATTATTATTATTATTATGAGGCTAAAAAGGTTCATTTTTCAACTTTAATTCATTTGAAGTTGAATTCTTAAACTTTTTTTACCGATTTTGAGAATTCTCGAATTTTTAATTTTTAAAAGTTTAGTCAATTTAATGATTTTCAACTATCATTTCTCTTTAAAAATTTTAATTTTTGGTATTTTGAGCTAAAATTTTACACACCTTGAAATTCAATTTATTTTGTAAAAAAGAAAAGAAAAGAATTTTTCAAATTATTTATTTTTATTTTTTGAACATTAAAAATATAAAAAATCAAAGAAAATAAAAAATACTCCGAAATGATTCAAATGTTTTGAAGAGCCCTATGTAAAACTCACCAAATTATATTTATTATAAAATAAAACTATATTTATCATAAAATAAAACTAAAAGATAGTTTAAATTTAAAAAAACAAAATTAAAAGTTTAAGGATTGATAAAACTAATAATCGGATTTAAAAATTTAATTTCAAATGATTTAACGTTAAAAAATAGTTCGATTGTTTTGACCTTATTATTATTATTTGTTGTTAACCTACTAAGTTGACCGATGGATGCATCTAACTATCGGATCCTCGTATATCGGTTAAGGAAAGATACAATAGGATTTGTGGATGCGGTTTCTTGCCTTTTGTCATTACTAAATCAATTGGGTCTAAGCGTAATCTATTACCAAAATCCTTACGGAGCAACCCTTTTGGATAAGTCATTTGAACAACCAAAGTAGATCCAAACAATACCCCTAAACGAGCTTCAAAACCACCTAAAAAAACCCCAAAAAACCCTCAAAAAATGAGCTTAAAACCAACCCTAAAACAGACTCAATACCTAACTAAAGCCTCCAAACTCGGTCCCGAAACGAGTTACCAATAGCCCCCAAAACCCTTACAGAGCAACCCCTTTGGACATGCCATTTGAACCATCAAACAAGCTCCACAAACACCCCCAAACCAGCTTCAAAACCACCCAAAAAACCCCCCAAAACCATAAAAAATGAGACCTAAAACCAACCCCCAAAACAGACCCAACACCTACCGAAACGCCTACAAACTCAGCCCTAAAACTGTTACCAACAGCCCCGAAAACAATTACAGAGCAACCCCTTTGGAAAGGCCATTTGAACCACCAAAGAAGCTCCAAAAACACCCCCAAACCAGCTTCAAAACCACCCAAAAAAACCCCCAAAACCATAAAAAATGAGGCCTAAAACCAACCCCCAATACAGACCCAACACCTACCGAAAAGCCCCCAAACTCAGCCCCGAAACTGTTACCAACAGCCCCCGAAAACCATTACGAGCAACCCTTTTAGAAAGGCCATTTGAACCACCAAAGAAGCTCCAAAAACACCCCCAAACCAGCTTCAAAACCACCCAAAAAACCAAAACCCATAAAAAATGAGGCCTAAAACCAACCCCTAAAATCGACCCAACACCTACCGAAACGCTCACAAACTCAGCCACGAAACCGTTACCAACAGCCCCGAAAACCGTTACAGAGCAACCCCTTTGGAAAGGTCATTTGAACCACCAAAGAAGCTCCACAAACACCCCCATACCAGATTCAAAACCACCAAAAAACCCTCCCAAAAAAACTCACCAAAATAGACACGAAATATCCCTCAAGACGACCCCTCGAACACTTTTTGGAGTTAATGCAAAAGAAAAGAAGAAATAAAAATTATTTGTGATTTGTCTCATTTTTTGTGATTCAATTGACTTTCGATGATTGTTCGCAATATTACAATATATTCTTTTTTTTAATTGCTTAATAGTAATTGTTTATTCTAAACAAAAAAAAAACGAAGAAATGATGGGTAAAAGCAACTAACTTATTATATGCATAGATAATAATACATGTTATACATATTTAAATTAATTTTATGTTGATAATTAATCTAAATTGGCTATTGGATTAATTAATTAATAAACGATTATCGGTTATGCTATGGAGACGATTCATTATCTATCTTATCATTTTAGATATATGCTATATGCTAGATTTTTTTTATCATCATTTGTGTTATTTTCATGAAAAAAATATTCATACAAATTTATTATAAGTATTTAAATATATAAATATAACCACATGGGTATTATAGTAAATATACAATCATATATTTTCTTTCCTTCCTCTTCCAAACAAAGGAAATGTATTTTCTTTCACTTTCCTTTCCACTCTGATCCAAACAACAAGTGGAAAATGATTTTCTTTCCTCCCTCTTTTCTTTTCTCTCACTTTCTTTCCTCTCTTTTTTTTCCTCTCAAGAGGAATTATCCAAACAGGGGGTAAGTTAAGAATTGTGGAGAAACTTATTACATATGTGAATACATTTTTTTTTACCTAATAATCACAGATATCCTTTCTTCACCAAGATTCTGTACCTTTTACTGACTGCTTCAAAAGAAAGTAAAATGTTAGAATAAATAAGGAACCAGAAAGATTAAATGAGATTCAAGGATGGACAGATGATATCTCAGAAAATCACCTTCTAGCATGTGTGTGGCTGTTCTGTATGTACATTTAACAATTTGCAAGACAATCATAAGGAAAGTGTCTGGAGGAATGGTTAAAAAACACACTAAGCAGAACAGAAAAGGAGCCTTTGCTTAGCCAGCAACTCCTTTAGTTTCTTTATATGTTTATCATCAGAGTGCAAGTGATCCTCAAAGCTCTTTCTCAAGTTCCTCAGCAACTCAGAGTCATTGCTGCAGTTATTGTTAAGCAGCTTTGTGAAGAGATCCTTCCACAAATCATTCCAATATCTGAAGACAATAGTATGAGAACTTGAGCAGAAGGGTAGCGAAAGGAAAATTGAAAAATAAGAGAGAAATCTATGATGATGGGAAAAATAATTCGCTCCTATAAATTTTGAAGTTTGCTGTTTCAGAACCTAGTGAGGTTACAAATTGGAGTTGGCGAAATTCGCAGAAGCCTTGAAAATATGCAGAGATGAAAGATACCTTTTGAAAGGAGCCTTCGGCTGATACATGTAGCCACCATCAGATGTTCCTTTCTTTACAATCTCCATGTAAGAATGGTGCAGCATCATATGAATTATAACACAGAGGCCGTACGTGTCAACCTGATTTCAAAATGACAAAAGTAATGAGGTACCAGTCCAATAAAAATAGCAAGTGGATTTTGTGTGCTTTATTAACTAGACAATGACCTGAAATGTCCATGGCTTCTTCTCTTGCATTTCAACGCAACGAAATCCTGAAGTCCGACAATCTCCCTCAAATTCTGTACCATCAGGAAAGAGATGCAGGTCTATCCCCCTCCCCCAGTCAACAAGGCAAAGACCCTGCATAAGAAAACTCTTAAATACTACAGTCATAAACAAAGCTGCACATTAGATCTGTCACAAGTAAGATTAACCTGATCTCTCCAAGGGCCACTTCGGTCTTTAAACCCATCTTCTGTCAGATTGCTCCTGCCAAATATCAGATAATTAATGTCACTAGATGTCGTATGTCAAACCATGTCATCTGTAAAAGACATTGATGCAGCTACGCTTATGATCATGCTTTTATAATGACAAGACAACTACCTATGTGTCGGACATAAAATAACCAAATTCATGGTGAAAGCAAATTTACCTGGAATAGCAAACGAGCAGATTATCAGGCTTGAAGTCACCATGGATTATGCCAACTCCATGCAAGGTTTCCAGCATGTGCAGCATCTCTATGGTGTAATAAATACATAACACTTCGTCCATGGGCTTGCCAGGAACCACATAAGAATTTATGACATCCTGCACATGTTACATGCAAGCAATTGCATTACACAAGATCTTCCTGGCATGGAAATAAATATAGAATAAGATTAATCTACCTGAAGTGTCTCGTGAGATAGATGGTCACAGACAAGTATACTATAATCGGAGAACAAATGCACTCTATGTGCGTATCCGAAGCTTGACCTCTGATCAGTTTCAACAAGAAGAATGAGAACCATTTATTATATATATATATAAAGTGCTGAAAATCATGAAAACACAAGGAATGCATACTTGATTGTCTGGGATCCGTTGATCAAGTTGACGGTACATGTGGAATTCCCAAGGAAAAGGAGGCCTTTGTATCTGTAAGTTCAAATATTATAGCCCACTATGACATGGAATCAGCAATTCTTACTAAGGGAGGGGGTTTAATTACCTTTAATGCAACAACATCATCTGGATTGCTGTTGACATATGCTTTATATACTTGAGCAAACCCACCTTTAACAGGACAACCTTTGATCTCGTACTTCTTTCCACCTTTAAGTATCAGAATTGATAGTAATTAAGTTGTAAAAAATGAATCCCCAACTGAAGTTGTGCCTCAACAAAACAGATAATCCATAGAATGATTGGTCATGCATGCAGAATTCTTACTTCCAAAAGTCAAATAACATTTCAAACATGAAACTTGCCGTCTGTTTTCACAAACTTAAGCTTGTTAATCAATCATGAACATTCAATTATGACTAAAGACTCTATAGAATATCCATGCAAATATAACAACAAGAATCACCTATTTTAATAATCTTATTCCTTGATAAATTCTGTAGAGAAGATAAACCCACGTCTCCAGAGTATGCTTTTTTACTTGGATGGTATCCCTAAAAGAAGCAAGAAGAAAGTTATTATTATCAACAAACAAAAACATTAAGCAACCAATCAATGAATTAACTGTCAAAGAGAGTTATTAATGTTCAAATTGTCTTACAGCATATTTCATGATTTGAGGATTTATCCTCTCCAACAACTCTTTCATGGTGGAGGCTGACCATGGATTAATACAATTTTTTTCCATCTCTATGGATTTATTGTAATCAGTCTGCAAATGAAAAATACAGAGAAATTTAATACTCATAGAGCCTACATACACCAATTTAAGCTAAACAACTCTTTGATAAAAATATTCTGCCAAGGAAAAAGAAAGTAAATGATACCACCATCAGCCAGGTTTGCTCACAATCGTGCTGTCTTAGATTATGAAAAGGCTAATGTCTGATGCTAAACTATTAAAGGAACATGCTTTTGACTTGAAGCATATATAGTTGGATATCATAAAAGAAAGCTTACATAAAAAACATGAGTACTTGAGATACAGTTGTTCACATAAGAGAGAGTACAAAGAGATGATCAGAAGTTGACGGCAATGGCACTTAGGGACATAATATCTAACAATCAGAGGAAAAGGAACAAAAAGATTGTGTTTCATTAACAACAGATTCACACAAACAATTTGGCATGGAATAACGTATACTAAGCTACTAATTACTCCTCTGTCTCAAGATATAAAATGTGTACTGATGTACTGTCTACAAACAACATTGCAGAAATACCAAGTTTCAACTAAATTTAAGTTAACGGATTTCAAGTCACTTACCTAGCCTGTGATACATATAAATCATGGAAAACCAGAAGAAAAACCAAGAAGGCTGCATGATTTATTTTCTTGGGTCAGTATGCATACCTTTTGAATTAAAGAAGCATTTATCCTGTAAGACAATCTGTCAAGAAACAAAACTTGTGCACGCTTCAACCTCTCAAGAGGTTCTGCTTTCCTGTCATCCCAATATAAATCAACCATCCAAAATCAATGACAAAGAATCATGTCAAAAGGTCCACAAAGAAAGACACAGAGAACAAGAGGGAACAACCTTAAAATGCCAGTTTGATAAACCATATATGCTTCCTTCCAATTCTCTTTTGCTTCAAGAAATCCCGCATACAGTTCATAGAGCAAAGAATTGTTTCTGCATATATTGTTCTCCTCCATTTCTTTAAAAACACTTTCAAAGTCATCACTGCCTTCCAACTAAAAAATCATCAAAACCAAATTAACTCATCAAACAATGTAACCTTCTAACTGCCAATATGAAAGAATAAATAGACCCATCGTAGATGCAAAATCTAACACTATTAACAAAATGACTCAACAAATAGATCCCAGATAGATATGAGAAGGGAAAAAAAAAAAAAAGTAGCAAACTACAAAATTCATACACACAATTCAAGTTACGACACTACTAAGCACATTGAATGATGGCCACTCCATCTCTATCCCTCAATTTCTTCAAAAAATGCGATCAAATAATTCGAGTGCAAAGTAAAATGACCCGATATCTAAAATAGCCACACAAAAAAAAAAAAAAAAAAAAAAAAAAAAAAAAACACTCTTAAACCATCCTCCATTTCTCTTAAAAACCCTCTGAAACTCCTTATACAACCTTCTACTTTAACAACTAAAAACAAGCAAACTAACACGTAAAACAGTCTAAATTGAAAGAAACAAAAACAGAAAACAGAATCCAAGCACTTAATACTTTAGGGAGAGGCAAAAACAAATCCACATACACAAAATTCAACTTGCTGAACTATAAAGCAAGTTGAAAAATGACCATTGACCACTAACAGAAAAAAAGCCATCAAAGTTGCCACCCACTCCAAAATCAAGAAAAACAAACAAGAAAACCCCTTTTAAGATCAGAATCTATCAAAACAATCGAGCAACTTCTCCATAAAAAAACCTAAAATATTCAAGCAATAAATTGTAAATTAAACCAAACCAGTACTGACAAATACCCAAAAAAAATGCTTCACAATCCTCCATTTCTCTCAAAACCCACTGCAAATCTCCACTAAAAAAAAAAACAAATCGACCCACAAAACAGCATAAAAAATAAAACCATCAAGGAAATTAAACAAGAAACCAGAATCAAAGCAAAAATATCTTATAAACTAACAAAACCGATAATGGGTATAGTTAAACTTACATAGAGAAGCCAAATCTTGAGAAATCTGGGATCATTTTTATACTTTGGATTGTGCTTGAAAGTCCCAATACAGTCTAATAAAATCTTTTTTAGTTCCACACTAGAGATGCTACTATCAAGTGCGTTTTTTATCGACCTGAAAATCAATCACAACAAAAAGGATTAACAGTCAAATTCATGCTTAAAAAAAACCACACAAAAAAAAAGCTTAGAGAGAGAGAGAGGGAAGGGCTCACAGTAGCCATGGAAAGAGAGGGTCGTGAAAAGAGGAAGCGTTGTCGTTTGGATCTGTGTCCATAACGGTCATGGTGATGAGCTCTGTGTTTGAAAGTTTGGTAATGCAGGAGATAGGAGGGAAATAGTTGATTTTCAAATTGTAGAATCAGCAAAAAAAAAAAAATGACAAACTATTCATATAAATTAATTATATTCATTTTGGTGCTCTTTCTTCTATTTATCCTAATTTCATCCCTCTAATAATTTTAGGACTATTTACACATCTAGTCCCTGTATGTTTTGGTATTTTCTTAATGTGATTTTTTACTTTTTTTTTAATTTAGTTGGTATCTCTACTCAAAAAAATTTCTTAGTGTGGTTTTTTCATTCAATTTTTGTTCAATTTACTATTAATTCAGGACATATGGTCCAACATGTGCTAGTGCGTGTCCACTTTTTCTGATATGATATCAAGAATTAATGGAAATTGAACAAAAGGATTGCATTAAAAAAAATTATTGAATAAAGGGACCAACTAAAAAGAAAATAGAGTAAATGGATCACATCGAAAAAATAACAAGAACATAAGGATCAAATAAATGAATAGTTAGTCCCTCTATTTTATAACATTTGCTCCTCCAATCATTGAGAATCATGGATTGTCCACTACACGCATCGTAATATTTTCTTTCATACGAAATAATTCCTAAGTATAGAAACAGGATACAAATAATTCTGAATCTTTCGGACTACGTAGATAGCCCTTAGACTTCTATTCTTTCAAATTAAGCCCTTGTTCTATTCCCACTATCAATGTCTTGACATTCTTCTTCTAGAAACTTATCCGTCTTTGTCTTGGCATTTTTCTGATAAAAACTTATCCATCTTTGGCTTGACATTTTTCTGCTAAAAACCTATCCCTCTTTTGGCATATTCACAGCAAACAGAGCCATTCTGGATGGCTAAGAAATGGAGTGTGTGCATTAATGGCAGCTCTTTTACAGAAATGGTGAAACGCCATCATAAAGTCTACTACTGTATTTCTTCTTCTTCTTTTCATCTTGATTGAACCCAGAAAGTTGCAAATCAATGCTAAACAAAATAGGATTATAGAGCTTTAATTCCTGTTGACGATGTGTGAGCTCTTCTTCGTCAATCCGTCTCTAATCTTCAACCACACCATGTATATATATTACCAATCTTCAACCACACCAAGTGGATGTATCAGTTGGGATGTTCAACCAGTATGAGACACAGGAAGACGCTAAGCAAATAGTATAAATGAGAACGAGATCTTTCAGAAAATAGTGTAAATTGTAGAAAGATAGAACTATGTCCAAGACAGCCATGCATGGTGAAAAAAACAAAAAAAGACACCCTCTTTTAGCTAGTAAATAAATTAGTCCTTCTAGTTTTTCAAAAGGAATAAAATAATTTCACCAGTTTTAATAATTAATTAATTAGTTTTTTTAACTAGTGTTGAATATAGTTAATTTAATTATTTTATTCTAAAAAAAATTCTTTTCGTATCAATTTTTTCACATTTTTTTATTTATCAAAATAATTAAAATTGAAAAAAAAATAAAAATATTAAATTACAAATATAATCAAGACGTTAAAAAACACCTACCACTTCCCGTTAAATTAATTTAGATTTCATTCATTTTCAACCCAATCAAATTAGAAAAAAATAGAATCTAATCGAATTGGAAGACATGAAATATCAAACCGACACATTAACAAAATTATATAAATAATTTTCTATATGTATAAAAACTCAAATCTAAAATTATTTATTTAAACGGTTATACTTTTTTTTATGTTTGAACTAATTTTCTTTCATGAAAAAAAAAAAAAAGAAAAAGCTTTCTTAAAGTACAGCATTCACTCCCAACATAATTGATGGGCTAGAATCGAAATGTACAGCAATTTGCTAGCTTCGGAATTCATGGACGGGGAACTCTGTAAAGCTTGTTTTGGTTTTTCCACCATTAATGTCAACAACGCCCAACGCGTTTAGGGTTTACAGTAAAGAATCTATAGTCCCCACCACAGTAAAAAGGGACGGTACCAAACTTATTGATAGGAGACACCCCAAATTCTCCGACCCAACTACTCATCATCATCAACCTCATCAAACCCTACCATGTTTCGATCTCTCATTGGTCTATTCCGTGATACAATCAACCCTAAAGTTCCTCCTTTCCCACTCCATCTGACCAATCATATCTCACCACATCATCAATCCATCAATACCTCTCACCTACCAAATTGCTCTCGCTCTACTTGAAAAATCATGCCTCCTGTCCATCACACACAAGGGTACGTCAATGGGGTCCAATTTGGCCAATCAAATGGTTTTGAAAACCAAAACCCTATTTTTTCCACGTGGCAAGTTGCTATTTGTTGATGGCTATGTAGAGAAGGTAATTTTGGGTGTAGTAGATCATAGTCAAGCAGTACAAATTGTCCCATTCGAAAAGTAAAATAGTACAAAAAACCTAACACATTACGCACAGAACTTAACAACAGTGCTTCACTCTTATCACACGCTGTCTGCAAAATCATTGACTATTGTGGGGGCCATCCATTCGCGAGCACAAGCAAAGACAACCACCAGTCAGTACCGTCTCCAAGTAAATTTTGGCCCCACATGGTCCTTCAAGTTTATAAGTTTGGCCATTTTAGTCTCTCAATTTTCAAGCATCTTGACCCTTACACTTGTAATTTTTTTGTCACAATTTTCACATGACGCCTCTATCCACCACAGCACTTGAGAGTTGATGCAACCCATGATAGCCATTTAATCGGCATGAATGATACTCGTGAACCGCGGATAATCGGATTGTAATTAAAATATGTGAATCAGTATTATTCAAAATGATTTATAACTAATTGATTTTTTAATTTTTTAATGTCTTAAAATACATCAAAATTTATGAATATTTTGTTTTTTTTTTCTAAAATTTAGCTTTTTCTTTCTAAAATATTTTTGTGATGGCTAAATTTTTAACGTTTAGAATAGAAGAAATAAGTTTTAAAAGAAAAAAAATATTTATAAGTTACGGTGTATTTTTAACTTTTGAAAAACTCTACTTGCATGTTAGAATTGACGAAGATGAAATAAAAAATATAATTTCACATGAAATTTTTTTAACGAAAAGTCTAATATGAAATTAAAAATTTAAAAAAAAAACTGATTATCAAATTGACTTTAAAATTTAAGAAAGTTTTGGACTGTTTAGCCTAAGAAAAATGAAAAACATGAAGGATGATGCAGGAACAATGTAATTACTTACCTACTCCAGCTTTCTTTTCTCACTCTCTCTAAGGAGATTTTTCTTTTTTTTTCTTTCCTTCTCGTTGGGTTGCTTGTTTGTTTTGTATGGTAGTATTTATTTTTGCTGTACTTAACATTCTTTGCCTCACAGCTTCCCATATGTACAACAAAATAAAACCAGACTTGGATAGGAAAAAGGGCCAGAAAAAAGTAAAAGAAACAATAAAGATGGAGCTTGTGGCTGTGGTCCTGACTCTTTTTAACCTTTTGATCCTTTACCACTGCTCTATTTCCCACCTCAAGTGTATATCATCCTTTTCCTTTTTGTCATTCTTTTCACTCTTTGGACCTCCCCTTTTTGAACCCAAGTTTTCTTTTTCTTTTCTTTTTTTTTTTTCCTTCCGAAAAGAAATGGATGGTAAAGGGAAGCAAATTAGGATGGTGATGGGAAGGGTAGTAGTGAAGAAGGAAAGTACTGATGAGTCATCAGATGATGAAGGGCATGAGCAAAACCAGATGGAGTTTATAGAAGATGATTTTTTTGAGAGTAACAAGAAAAAGAAAGTGGTGGTTACTGGTGGTGGAGGAAGGAGGGTTTCAAGTAGTGGTGGTGGAGGGATGAGGTGTTGTCAAGTAGAGAAGTGTACAGCTGATCTGACTGATGCAAAGCAATATCATAGGAGGCATAAGGTTTGCGAACATCATGCTAAGGCTCAGGTTGTGCTTGTAGCTGGTATTAGGCAGAGGTTTTGCCAACAATGTAGCAGGTTGGAAATGAGTGACGCTTTTCCTCTTTTTTTTTTTTTTTTTTTTTTTTTTTTTTGTCTTTGCTTTTGCTGAATATGTGGAAAAGCTCTGATCTTTGTGTCTAATTATGGTCCATAATGTTGAAAACTTTAGCTTACTGCTGTTTCATTAAATAATTGCACAGTTTCAAATGGCTTTTCCTTTTCACTTTATCTACACTATTTTAACAGTGTAGCAACTAAGATTAATAGGGTTGATCCCAACTTGGCTTCCAAGTAATTGGGAATTTTAGGTTCCTTGTTGTGTCCTAAATGCTGCTTATGTAACCTTAATTTGAGGACTTTAAGGTAGTCTCATGTTCTTTTCTTGCCATTTCACTTCTTGGGAAAATTTGGGCAACTAGCTAGGGTTGTCAAAGTTTACTGCTGTTGATCATCTACTTTGCCCTGGTGTAGTTTGCTTCTGACAGGAAAAGTTCCTATTTTTGGAATGATGTTGATGGTAAATTCTCTTTAATTCTGGTCAATCCCAATTTTTTCAGAATTTAATGATGTTTTGGTTGAAGCTGATTTAGCAATTGACTTCAGGAGAACCTAAAAGGTAATGCCTTCACAACTTTCCAACAATGGCTGGGAGAAATTTTGTTAGGTGATAAAAGAGGCAGTGTTAGGATAAAACAGTTGAACAAACTTTGAAAAATGATTTCAAAGCAGCTAATTTGTATCACTCAAAACTTTTTTGCTTAATTAAAGCTTTAGGGTTAAGATAATATTATTTATGTGAGTAGATTTGGACAGATTGTAGGGTTGTGGTAAAAGCAAGAAGATAAGATGTTCTTTTTTAACTTGTATTAAAATTCAATGGTTCTGTCAGTTTAGACTTTTTATTGCAAGAATCTAGTCAAACTTCAGTTGTTCTTAATGCCATGTCTTCTTGTTCTTGTAATTGAATAATTCCCTAATCTTGTTTTATATAGCATATAAAGCTATGGATTGTATCACACCTGTCCTATATGTTCAAACTGAAATTCTTTTTTAATAAAGATGGAATCTGTTGTCTTTGCTGCCCAGTTTATAAAATTCTTACTACTTTTCCTCTGTATCCTTGTTTGACATTAATTAACAGACTCACACATGTTAAGTATCTTAATGACACTACATACATATGCAGGAGTACCAAATTTATGATGTCTTTGGCCATTCTGATGTCTTAGATCATCAAAATGTACCAAAAACTGTGACATTTTTGTTTAGTCCTGATTGAGGATGATTGTGATGCAGATTCCATGAACTATCAGAGTTTGATGAAACCAAAAGAAGTTGCCGCCGGCGCTTGGCCGGACACAACGAGAGGCGGAGGAAGAATGCTGGTGAATCTCATGTAGAAGCCTCAAGCCGGAAAGCGAATGGAACTCATGGCACCCAGTTGAAGGATATGGTCTGTGGACAGGTTGATGAAAGGGGAAGAATTAAGATAACAATCCAAGAAAATGCAACTTACAAACATTTCCAGATCAGCTAAACCAATTGCTCTCTCTCTTCTGTCATCCTAGAGATGTAGTGACGGTGATACTCTTTGCCTTAATTATTATTTATTTAAGACTCCTCTTTAGGTTAAACACATGCCAATGTCACATTGTGACAGCCGTATGCGGCGGTGGCCGGCGGGGTTGCTAGTTGTGGCACTAGGTTTGTGCTATCAGTGTGGCTTAGCTCATTAACTGAACCCAACTTTTTCTAATAGGTTTAGGGTATTGTTGCAACTTGCAAGTACTGACTTGACCTGCATTGAGTGCTTTGCTTCAATATATTATCAGTTTTCACATGGAGTTCTTTAGGGCTAAACTGTGATAGAATTGCCATCAAGGTTTGTGTTCTGGTTAATCAGCACATCTTTCTGGGGACTATGGAACAGCTCGTTTCAAGTGTTATATAGCTTGATACAAGGTCAATTCGCGACCAATCTGATTTTTGTTCTGAAGAATGTAGTGAACTGATTTTCGTTTTTGTGCATAAATATGCACCATTAACCCTGTTTCAGGGACATACAAATCTTCGGGCTAGTAAACATAAAGGTTCAGATTGATGTCTCTAGAAGTGACAAATACAAACGCTACACCAAAATATGGTTTTTCCGGCAGTTTTTTTGTCCGTAAAGGCTGTTATAACTGCATTTATAAAGTCTAACAGCAGTTTTATCACGGCTTAATGTTTCAGAAAATAACAAAATATATATGTTTTTAATGATTTTAGCTCGTTTTTTAAAAATTATATAAGAAAGGTCACCAACAAACATCCGATAACAATACTAGTATCGATTTGATTTTTTAACTAAAATTTCTATAAATATTGACATGACGAGCGACGAAGCATGGCATGTGATTTTTAATAAGTTACGTAAGATCAACGTGATTGATTTTTTATATCACTCGCTTACGTAAATTCTACATGTTTTGTTAAAGTTCATATGTCATGTTTACGTGAATTGCTATGTTAGCGTTGATCGAAATTTTAATCAAAAAATCAGATTGGTCTTAATATTGTTATCGAAGACTTAACTAGTAACGTTTCTATATAATTTTTAAAAAACATATGATTTATGATTTTTTGAAACATTAAATCTTTTATCAACCATCTTAAAATCCCACGAATTGCTGACATCTCTTTGATTGTCCATCTCTACTCCTCAAAACTGCCAAAATGCTCTAGAGTTTACGCTAAATGCTTTGTAACGTTAAAAGATTGATATGATTCTAGGTTCTAATTTATTCTCAATTATATGCATAATGCAAATGAGTTAGATATCACGCTCATGTTCTCTAGATGATTAAGATTGAACAGTCGCAATCATTTTACTTTCAACAAACGAGAAAATTCCTGAACATTTCAGTGTCGGATATTCACAGCTTGATGTTCAACACCGGGGAGTGTCAACGGCATAAATATAAGTTGAGTTGTTTAATTGAACATCCAAATCAAAACATGTACTCCTCGAGCAAGATATGGCAGGTAGAGCTCTTGATTTCAGAGTTGGGAAAGGTAAACTGTCCTTGTCAACAAAATGTAGCTGCACGAAGACATGCCTGTCCGTCTCAATGCTTGGCCAATGGAGTCACTGTTGAAATCAACATTGGATGCTTCGCATTCTAGTAAAAAAGCATCATTACCAACATGGGATTCTGTGGAAGGGCAAATTCTTTGTCTTTAACTGACGAATATTGAATAATTAATCATTTTGTGGCCCAAAAAAAAAAAAAAAAAAGGGGGGTCTCGTGCCCTAAGGCCCAGTTCGAGTTGGGGTATGGTCAAAAAGGTCAAAATTTTGGGGGTGTTTCTACTTGTTCAGATCAATTCTATAGCTGTTTTCGAAGGGGCAAATTGGATTAAATAGGGGCAAGTGGGATCGTTGACCTAAGTTTCATGTCCAAAACGACTTTTGGACATGACAGATCCATAATTCCTCACCTACTCGGTCTTCGGTCTTAGGTCCGGAGTTTGCATTTCGGATATCACTTTAAAAAATTAAGAGAGTTAGAACCGTGAAACTAACCCTAAATTTTAGTTTATTTGAAAATTAGATTGTAAACTTTTAATTTCTATTTTACTATTTCTGAAGTTTATTTTTTTTTATTTAGTTCATCTTATAATTTTTCAGAGTCATCTCTTTTTTTAAAAAAAAAATCATTTTTTTGCATTTTAAGATGAAATTTTGTACACGTATTGAAAAAATCCAATTTGTTTTTTGGAAAAATCTCAGAATGTTTTTCAAAGTTAGAAAATACATTTGTTTATCTTCTTTAACATTAAAAGAAAAACTCAAAATGTTTCAAAAAATTTAGAGGGCGTTGGATAAATCTTACTTAATGATTTCTATTATGGAATTATTTATGTTATTGTTATTTTTTAAATTAAATGACAAAAAAATTAAGATATATATATATATATATATATATATAGAAACTAATTTTAAAAAAGACTAAAGTTAAGGAAAGGTTTAATCTATTTAGCCAAGAAAAAATTACTTACCGATGCATCAATTTAAGTGTAAACAATACTCCCTTTCGTCTTAATTTTTTTTTTTTTTTACTTTTTACATAAATTGAAAAAGCTATTAATTGTTATACTATATCAACATATTTTGTTCATAATTTTTTATTTTTTTTTAATTGCATTCGAAAAATGTTTTACAAAATAGAAAATATTCAAATAGGAATGGAAATTTGAGAAGAACCACACTCAGGTCTGGCCAGTAAATTCCATTTAGTTTGAAATCAATACATCATTTAGATTTTTCCATCAATTAAATTAATGAAATGTCTTTAAAAGCCATTTTTCCCAAATTTGAACTCCTCCTATCTAGAAATCACATCACTCTACTTTGTGCTTACCTCGAACCACAAGAAATGCAAACTTTTACTTGGAATCAAAAGTGATTATTTTTGTTGATTTATTTTGAATAATTTTAGTTTTTTTTAATGAATAAAAATACATGCATTTTAAATCGAGGTTAGATATGATTACTTTCTTGACATCAACGTGCAAATTTCAAATAATTTGTAAATAAATAAATACAAATTGTAAACTTTTTTAGTTTTGGTATAAATAATTTGTTTTTAATTAAATCAAAGAAATGTATTAATTTATAAAAATTGGTATGAGAATACTATCGATTTGCAAAACCAACAAAAACATGACCTTATTTTTGTATTAATGACTTAATCAACTGAGTTATTTTACCACAAAAACTAGCTTGAATATATTTTATATCTGAAATAAGAAGAAAAAAAAAGAAAAAAAGAAGAGAAATTTGAGTGCATAAAATCAAAATAGAGTACATTATAAATTAGTCCCTCTATTTTTAAGAAATAATTAATTATCCAATCTCTTAACTTGTATTGACCATACTTAATTTAATATTATTTTATTTCAAAAATTTTATTTTTTTCATAAATATTTTATGTTTTTTACTTATTTTTTATTTTTCTATTTCTTAAAACAAAAAGTCAAAATAAATAAATACAATGTTAAATTATAAAAAAATTAAAAATATAAGGACTAAATAATTAATGTTTGAAATAAGAAAGATAAATTAATTCATTTCTTGAAACTAAAGTGACTAATTTATAATTTACTCAATCTAAATGGGAATAAAAAGGGCAAAAGTGAAGAGACAGGAGGCAGCCCACCAAGCCAACATGTGCTGCTTCTTTTGGTGGCCGTAACATCCGATTCTGATCTCTCTCTCTATTTAATAATACCCAAAACGAGTAAAATTTTTGAGAAATAAATTAATTAATCCTAATTATTTTAAAGAGTAATTATTTAATCTTTCTTGTGTATTTTATGTTATTTTCTAATATATATTTTTAAATAAAAAATATTATAGAAAAAAAATTGTAATAAAATAATATTCAATTAAGAGCTAACAATATTAGTGAAAGGACTAAATAATTAATTTCTGAAACAATAGAAACTAATTAATTTATTTCTCATAATTAAATAGATTAATTTATAATTTACTCTATGGAAAACACAAAATCATCAAAAGTAAAAAATAAAAAAATCCTAATAAATTATTGGCTTGTTTACTAAATGATTCACTCTTTTCATACTTTTTTTTTCTCTAGGGTTATATAATTACATACTCCTTTGTTATAGGTTTTTTTTTTTTAAAAAAAAAACCATTCATGATCAAATTGATTCAATTTTTAAAAAATTTCTTTTAAATTCTTACGCGATTCAACCTCTATCATTTTCAATATTATATCAATTATAAAATTATTTTTATAATTATTATTTTTATTTATCTAAAAATTAAATATTAAAATTTTTAATTTTTAATTTTTATTACTGTTTCATACAAATGTTATTTCGATTTTTTAAATTTCACTACCATTTTTTGTTATTTTTATTATGAATTTTTTAATTTTAAATGATACTTAAATGCTTAAACTTACAAATTTAGAAATAATTATTTTTAGCATTCAAACCTCGAACTCGCAGCAAGTATTCAAAAAAAAAAAAAACCATTATAAATCATAAAAGAAAAGGAAAAGTATATATAAAAAGAAGGTAAAAAAAAATAGAGAAAAAAAAGCCGACAAATCTCTCCCCTCTTCTTCTTCTCTTTCGGTTCTCTCTCTCTCTCTTTTACATTACACAGACAACACGCAGCAGACACAGCAAAATATTTTACGACCCAACAAAATCTCCTATTTACAGAGAAACAGAGAAAGATAAGCATCCATCAATGCCTGCCCAGACCTCTACTTCTTCCCCAGACAACGTTAATCCCGACAATGAAGAACAACAACAACAAGGACAAGAACAAGAACCGGAACAGGAACAAGAACATCATCATCAACAACAACAACAACAACAACAAGGCTTGTCTGAGTTGTATCCTCCTCAACAAAACGGCCATCCAACTGAGCAAGAACAACCCCAACATCAAAATGGCCAGCATCAACAACAAGAAGGAGAAGAAGGAGAGGAAGAGGAAGAGGAGGAAGTAGAGAAGAAAGAAGAAGAGCTTCAAGAAGAGGAAGAGGAGGAAGTAAAAGAAGAAGAAGAAGGAGGAGGAGGAGGAGGAGGAGAGGGAGAAGAAGGGAAAGAAGGTACTATCTTTTTCTTGTTCTGGTTGCTTTATGTGTATGTAAACATTTCTTGACGTGTAATGTAAAAAAATTGATCAATTGAAGCTATTTTTTGCTTCTTTTACTCAGAATCTGATGGAACCCAGTCTTCTTCTTCTTCTTCTTCTTCCAGTTCCGAAGATGAAGAGAAACCCGAGTATGCTTTCGTTCTTACACATTTCTTGCTTTTTATTTCTGTAATTTAGTCAAGTGCATATTTTGGTTGTAATTCTTCTCTGGGTTTGTTGAGATTTTTTGGGTTTGATTTAGTTCTTGATGGGGTTTTAATCATGAGGGGATTTGTTTTCTTGTTTTGGAGGTTGACGGGATTTTTTTTTTTGGAGTTTTTGTTTTGTTATGATTGAATGCGTAAGAGGTTGGTGCATGCTCTCGATCTATATCTCTTTGTTGGGTTGGAGCTAAATGTTAATTTTTTACTGCGGAATTTGCACCAATTTTTGTTAACATTCGAAGTATTGCTGGTTTACTAGTGTCTTTCAGTAGTGTCGATTGGTGTTCCTAAGTTGGTGATTGAACAAGGAGAAATGTAGGCACTTTTACATTTTTCAAACATTTATGTAAGATGACAAGTTCGGGGTCGAGTTTAACTCAATTGCACCCAACCCTTTGAATTCTGTCTCTGATCTTAGGGAAGTTTCTCTGTTCTGGAGTGTTCCGAGTGTTCCTGACATGAATTTGCATATGCGATTAGTGTATCTCATGATGCACAGTGTTGGAACTTATTAGTAATGGAGCCGTATATGTATAACTCAGTTATGGAGATCGAAGGCACTAATAGAATGAAGTTGTCAACTTGATTATCCTCCATGGGCAGTTGACCACGAGGGAAGTTGACAACTTGATTGAAATTGTTGATTTTCTCTTCTAGGAACTAGGGGTCTTTAAGCATGATAGAATGCGAACAACACAAGAAAATCTGTGAATAATTAGTTGGCTGACAGTAACGTGCATCATGTAGAACTCCATTGTCAAGGGAAATCTTATCCACAAATTTTCTGTCTTTCAATGGCTTTTCATATACATACTTTCCTACCTGCAAAGACATACAGATTTCTTTATGTGCATGTGCACATTTACTGCATATCTAGATGTACTGCAAAGTCTGTATCTTTTCAAAGTTATTTTTGTCTCTATGAAAAGACTTGAAAGAGGTACATGTATTCTTCCTCGCAACAAATTGCATATGGTCTATTCCAACAGCTAGCTTATGTTTGTATTTTACTGTTATAGTATATATCAGTGAGTGGGTTTAAAGGGTCACTCAAGTTTTGTTTCATTTGCAGATTTGTCTTTGTGGAACTGCCGGACATTCGTAAAGATGTGCAGTGTCCAATATGTTTAGGTACTTATTGCTTGCAATTTTTTTTCTCTTTTCCTTTTTGCTACTTGTGTCAGAATTTTGTTAATAATTCCATCTGCTAGATGTGATCTAAATAGTTGGAAACCTATGTTAGGTAGAGGCATATTTTTTCTTAAATAGAGAACTTCATGGAAACCTATTGCCATGTGCTTGACATGATCCATCTGACTCATAAAATTTAGCTTTTCTGAACCATGTTGAATAGTTCAGTGTTCAAAGGTAAGCATGGTAACCTGAGGAAGAGTAAGGTATGCTTATATCCGTTGCTCAGTGTTCAAAGCAGGAGGTTGGTTGATTCTATGGCCTACTGTCATGAAAACCATTAGGTTTTGTCATGTAGGAAACCTTGATATGCAATGCAATCTATTATTCCTTCAGTTTTCACCCAAGGAGCCAAGAAAGCTCAATTTGTCCCAGTATATGTAATTCAAGTGATGTTTGGACAAAATTGTGTTTTGTACATTGCATGTGAGATGCCTGCCATCTGGATCTTCAGATGATGACCATTTGTGAATTGACCAACCTCCTTTGTGGTCAGTTTGAAGATTTATTTGTGGAGGGATGCTGGATTTCCCTACTTTTTTACAAAGTCTCCAATTAAGATCATAAGCTTATACCCGTTTCATCCTTCCTTTCACTTTGTTTGAGATTGTAGAGTGAACATGAGTCTTTAACACTGGACTTCGTGCTTTCGTTTCCACGATATTTAAGGATTAGCACTTCTGCAGTCATACTATTTATTCATTTGACATGTTATCTGCAAAGTATGTTAGCACATTAGCTTGTTCAGGATTTTGATTAATCTGCAATACCTGCATATATTGCACCTACAAGTTGCCTTGTTACCTATGGTTGGCAGAATATTTAGTAAATTATTCATACCTTGTCGCTGAACAGGGATCATAAAGAAAACACGAACTGTAATGGAATGCCTGCACCGTTTTTGCAGGGAATGCATTGATAAATCAATGCGAATGGGGTATGTGACAAAAGAAACTCAAATCTTCTTTTTATCTGTGTTTTTGTAATCCAACATCCTGATTCCTTAATCATGCCATTGTTTGGGCAAAACTTGTGATAATCCCATATACTGTGTACCACAAACATCTTTTACTGAATTGGTATTGTGTTGCAGCAACAATGAATGCCCTGCTTGCCGCACACATTGTGCAAGTCGGCGGTCCTTGAGAGATGATCCAAACTATGATGCCCTAATTGCATCCATATATCCAGACATTGATAAGTATGAAGAGGAGGTATAAGTGACTTGGCTTGCCAACTTTCTTATCTAATGCGTTTGAAAGTATTTCATGCAATCAAGCAACTGCTTTGTTTTTTTTTTTGGAAAGCAACTGGTTTGCTGAATGACTATTTGGTCTCAGGAATTGGCTTTTCATGAAGAGGAAAGGACCCGGAACAAGCAGGTCTGTTGATTTATTTTTTATTCCCTTGTCTGCATGCATATGTAACAGCCTTTATTTTCATTTCACTGGGAATAGAAGAAAAGCAGTGATTGAGATAACTGTGATGATGTTGCTTTGTTGAGTCCTTGATTTGTCATGCTTTGGAATGAAGCATGCATCATGGAAATTTCACCTGACAGTCGATATTGATTTATTTCATTAATTCAAATTTTGAGTTGATGGTCTGTGAGATAACAATCTTAGAGATCCTTGCTATTTGTGAGGAGAGTTTTGATTCCGTAATGCAGAAGAATACTGGTTCTGTAAAATGGACAATTTTGGCATACTCACTTTCTTCATCACCCCTCTACTTACATGCTTTTTTTCTTGAAGGATCGTGATATGTAGAATTGTTCAATCCTCTGCTGCTTTATGATAGAGCCATTTTCTAAACTCAATATGTTCTCCCTGTTTGTGGTGTGCTGTTTACATGTTTCCCTGCTGTTTTGGATAGATTCAAGCCTCAATTGCCCAAATAATTCAAAGACAGTCAGAAGCACTGGTTAAGAGACGCACGCTGGGTAAAGAAGCAACTTTCATGACACGATCACAGCGAACACATCGGACTATTTCAAGGAGGCGACGGAACAGTAGAGGCAGTGATTTTCAAGGATCTGAAGACATAGAGGATGAAAATGAAGACAATATAGGCAAGGATTCGTCTTCTGCTGATGAGCGCTCTACAGAAGTTAGACAGAGGAGGCGCAAGAGACGGCGGACATCCCAGCCTTCTTCTTCAGCAGTGACTTCAGAGGGTGGATGTGCTGAAAATGATTTAGATTCGAACAGAGAAAACAGGGGATTATCTCCAGGGCTTGCGTGGAACACAGAAATGCTTGCTTGGGGCAGGGGTGGTACTCGGAGTCATACAAGACATGGTAATCCCAGTGGTTGCAACAACAAGAATTCACGAAATTCTCGCTTATCCAAGCTGGTAGAATATCTCAGGAGCTTAGATGAAAAAAATGACGAGGTATGTTAGGATGTTGTTAACTCTTATTGATTTGTGTTAAGATCACTCTTTTTTGCAACATGAAACATCATGCATGAGTTCATAATTGATGTTGGACAAATTTGATTTATCTGTCTACTTGTATCTGGAGTTTAGAAAATTGGGATTTTCAGGATGGACTTCATTGATGAACAGTCTGGGGTTTGTTGTTCAAAGGATGTGGAAGTAGGTATTATTGGTAAAGGAAAGTCTGCCAAAAGTTTGGCTGCCAGAACTTACAGGGATTTAGGGTTTTTGAAAAAATTGTTTGAATTTGTTAAACTTTAAGAGAAGGGTAAGAAAAATACGTAGGTGTTTAGAGGATTTGGTGGTGTAATGATGGGAAGGTTTTGGAATGAATGAAATTTAATTTCAAGTAGCTACAAAAGCAATATGATTTACTGTAGTAACAGTAGAAGTTTGATGTTTTGAAGTAGATACTACCAATAGGAGGTTAACATAAATCCATAGATAATAACTCAAATTACCAAAGTGCCCTAAATGTATGTGGTAGTTGTAAAGCTGTAGATCTGTTACTGCCTAAACGATAGTCTATATCTCAAAAGAATAACTCCAATTAAAAACTGAACAAAATGCTTATTGCTAAATGAAAAGGACATGAATTCACAGCAACAATTGTTTCCCCGCTGGACAAAATTGCCTAAATTATGAAAAGTAAGAATAATTTCGAAAAGTGATTGAATTAAATGCTTGGTTTTTGCTTTCAACCACCACTGACTGACCTAGTTAGTGTCTCAAACTCCTTGAGCGCCTTTTGCCTTTTCCTCCTATTCTATTTGTGCTTTAATCACATTATGTGTTTGCAGTTGGATATTCATCTCAAGCTTATTACTTTGGATAATCCAAGTACACCAACTTTGCAGCAGCCCTACCTTTGCTGTCGGCCCAGTTTGTCAGTCAAACACCTATGTGAGGTGAGATTTTTGGAATGAGTTTTTTCTTGCGAAGTAATTAATTCTTTGATTGAGTTTTTCTTGAGAACCAAATTTAAGTTATTATTCCTCAATACTTGGTTTATTTTCCCTGATAGAACACTAGAATTATACCCCATGAACTGAGGAAAATCAGTTAATCAAGATGGACATTGCTTTTGGCATCAGTGGCCAGCAAGCCTCATTTAGTTTTATTCTCTCCATGCATCAGTGGAACATATTGAAACTTGTAAAACTCGCTAAATTTGACCATGATTCTAATTGCTATGCTGACTGACCTATGTGGAGCCCGATTAATGTGCATTTCTGAAAAATTTTAAGAGTGCCTTCATGCATAAGCATTTCTCAGAGCATGACGCTTCATGTTCCAGCATCCATGGGTTGTTACAAGGTTGGGAAGTTTTTGGGCCAGCACGGTATATGACCTGCCTTTTCCTTAGTCAAGATCGATTTGTAATCTTGAATTGATGTCGGTAAGTCTTGTGTTTGTGCTTATTTTTTTTTTGCCAAATAACATCAACATGTGGTCTGACTTGAACTGTTACATGGCTCTTTTTTTTTTTTTTTTTTGGCCTCAATTTCAGAGGCTTATCTTGACAATATAGTTAGTGTTTACCGAAGTTTTGTGGTGCTATCTGATTTTGTGGTGTGTATATAATGTATGCAGTATGTTGCTCACCAAACAACTTTGCAAGCTGAAGAAGTTGAAATACTGTTACTTAAGGGGAAGCACCAGTCCGACGAAAATTTGTCCACCAAGCATCCTCAGATCCCTACGGACGAGCTGCAAATTTTGAAAGGACAAGAAACAGTATCAGGCCTTAAAGCAAGTTGCTCTTCCAGTAGAGATCATTTGGTGAGCGAGTGATTCTTGCTGCATGGCAATCTTCTTCCACACATTTCATAAATGGCAGCAACTGATTTTAGCTCGATCACGTGTGCAACTCTCATCATTTCCTGTTTCTTTGGTTTTGCAGATACTAGCATATCGGCAGAAGGAGATAATCAAAAGCTGATGTTTTGGCTCCGTAGGGTAAAAAAAGAAAAGGCTCATCTCATTGACTGTGAAAAAGTGTTCCATGTAGGTTTTTTTTTAGCTGGCTTGCTGAGAATGAAAATCATTTCGTTTTTTTTTCTTTTGTTTTTTTTTCCCTACAACTTTTAGATTAGTCTTTTAATTTATTACTACTAGTTCCTTTCTTAGAACCCAAAGCCTTTCCTTGTATACGAATTTTATGTTATATTGTGATATACGAAAAAAAGTTAATTTTATTGGTAGCAAAGGTTCATTTTATTGTTTCTGTCTCAATCCCAAAAGGACACCTTTTTAATGCAAGTAAATTATAAATTAGTCACTCTAGTTTTGAAAAATAAATTAATTAGTCCATCTTGTTTTAAAAACTATTTTTTTAGCCTTTTATTTTTTTATTTTTTGTTCATTTTATGTTAGATTGTGAGATGCGAAAAGCAAAGGTTGTGCAACTTCATTAATTCTGTCCCAAAAGGACACCCTCGTTTAATGCTAGTATAAATTATAAAAAACCCCTCTAGTTTTAAGAAATGAATTAGAAAAAAGTTTTTTTTTTTCAAATTTTTTTTTAAATGTATAAAAAGTATTATGAAAAATTGATGAAAAAAAGATTTTTTTTTAAAAATAAAATAATATTAAAACCAAACGATATAGTATAGCTCTAAGAGTAAGGGAGTTTTTTTGCTTTTCAAAACTAAAGGACTAATTTATAATTTACTCAAAGACCAAGGGACTAAGTTATTTTGCTTTTCAAAACCAGATTATATATAGTAATTAAATTATTCGTTTGCTCTATTTTCGCTACTCACAATAATTTGCGTTGTCATTCATTAGTTTTGATTGTTACATTCTAAAATTGATGTTACAACAAATGATCTAAGATTTTTTTGTACATATGATTTTAGCAGTACAAGAATACTGGAAAAGAATACAAAAGAATGGTTCAAGAGTTTCTTGAACAGCTGCTGCTCAACATAGTAAAATAAACCATCTCATCTCATCTCATGCCAGAAGCAGTGGCAGAAGAAGCTGCATTCACCATCATCATCTTCCTCCTTTCTCTTCTTTGGAGCACCCGTAGATTCGGTGACCTTCCTTTTGTAGCTTCCTTGGACGACCTGTACAATGAACAAATCATTTAGTGAGTTGAGAATTTGGCAAAATTAACTGGGAACACAACTATTATGGTGTTATTAGTTATGGTTAAACGTTAACATTTTTCTTACTTCTGGGGCAAGAATGGATGGTTAAAATTTGGAATTTGGTAAAAAGAACTGGTATGGTTATATGGTTAAACGTTTAACATTTTCTTACTTCTGGGGCAAGAACGGATGGTTAAAATTTGGAACCGGCCGAGCATGGGGAACCAGTGTCCTCCTCAGCTGTTTCAATGCCTTCTCTTCTTCCATCTGAGATCAGTAAAAACAATAAGCGACAAGCAAAAGCCACTGTTCAGCAAGAGAATTCAGAAGTAGATATAGAGACATCTATCCACATACCATCCTCGCAGTTTCACTCTCTTCTCTGTATCTCTTGTACATCATTTCTTTCTCCTTCACCTACAAAGGAAAAATGGAGGCTTCTTGTTAAACCCAATGAGATAGGGACACAGAAGGCCAGCCAGCTTCTTGATAGTGTTTATTTCCTATTAAATGTGATCCTATACTCACCTTTTGATCAAATTCTGCCCTTTCCACAGCCCTCTGATCTGCATTGAGATTGAATTGCTGAACCTGGGTTAGTGGTTTTCGCACTTTCTCTGGTACTGGAATTGGGTCCCTGCATAAAGATGATATCCATAGGAAAGAATGATTGGCTTGTAGACATCATCAAATAGGCATTTGAAAGTTTTGAGTTCTTCTGCATTGCATACTCTTTAAGGACTGGCTGTGCTCTGAATATCCTCATTTGGGCTTCTTCCTTTTCCTTTCTCTCTCTTTCTTGCATTTCCCTCTGCATTTCCTCTTCATGCCTTACTAGACTCTCCAATTGGAAAGGTTCTGGTTTTGTGGATGGTTTCGGCTCTGGTTTTTGTGGAATCTGCGCATGAAGTAATTATTATCAGTCCTAGCACCATTATTTTCTGCATAAAAGCTTGTGATGTACAACGAGATACATATTGTGTTAGATTTAGGTCACTGACTAATTTAGGTGTACAGTAGGGCACACAAATCAAATATGTGCCAATCTTTCTCACTAGTCCACAATGAGTAGCAGCACAACATATATACAAATGTTCAGCTAGCTTCTGAATATTCTAGACATGACATAGCTTAATATTCATATGTTCCTGATATTTCGAGAGGGCAGGGGGACTTAAAAGTTCTCGATTGAGGATTGATCTTAACATTGTTGAATATCTTACCACAGGATAGTCAGTGGTATAAGGATAGGGATGGGCTCTGGGAACTCTTGCTATTTCCTCTTCCATCTGCTTCTGCACAAGTTCCATCACAAACTTCCTCTCTTTCTCGGCCCCTCTTTCCTGGAGGTAAAGGAACAAACACAAAATGAATGAACAAAAACGATAGATAACCTGATTTTGCTCCATCGACTAAGGAATGAATGCACATACCTCTGTGTGGAGGTGGAAAGGATTTGGCTGTGTGTTTCTTGGAATGGGATTGTTATGGATAGGTTCTGACCTCAGTGAGAGCTAAAAAGAAGATGAGATGCAGTTATTGCGCTTTTATTCATATGCTACATAATTAGTTCTAGGATAAAAAAATTGCATCAACCAGTATGATGAATGCACATACCTTGTCGAGCAAATCAGCAACAGAAGAAGCCGGTGGGATCCTCTCATATGTGGCAAAATGAAATTCTTCAGGGATTGTAACTGGCTTCTTCATATGACAGAAAATTCCCATCTCTCCCTTGCTTTCAAATATCTACACAAGATAATATTAGTTAATTTTCTTGTCAAAACTAAGATTAAAGTAGCAGACTCAACGGCTGATTGAGAAAATGATGTATTACCTTTCTATTCAAAGGCCTTGCCTTAAATTTAGGGATCTTTTCAAGCTCTTCTTTCTCTAGTTCTAAAGAACTTTTCACCATTGCTGGACGGGCCCTTAAAGATGTATGGAGAACAGGGGTTTTGGGCTCTGTGAGATAATGGGGTTTCCACTGACTACTCTGTCATAGAAAGTAACAAAAGGAAGAATAGTGAGTAAATCTGAACTGCTGCTTCTGGGATAAAGAATAAGGGCCATGTATGAGTATAAAAGATCAAACCTGATGAGACACCTCTGTTGAAGCCACTGAAGCTGATTCTGCATTCTGGTGGGCCCTAGCAGTTGTCTCAAAATGAAATTCCTGCGCAAATTAAGATGTATTAGCCAACAATTATCGTCTTCTTGAATACAGTTTGCATTTGCCATTATTTTGTATCGCTTACCTGGAATGCTGGTGGCTGTGGTGTAGTTCTTGGTAATGCAGGTAACGATGGAGCTTCCAGCATCTATATCCAACAAAAAAATTCAAGGACACAATTTCAGAAAAACAAGAATAGTGCAGAAGGAGCTTAGTTGTTGGACCTAATAGGATTGAAGATGTCATAAATAGCCGAGCAAGTGGGAAATACCTTCTTGTTCAGTGGTCTAGCTTTGAACTTGGGAATTTTGGCCATCATCTCTTCTTCAATCTCAGCAGTACTTTTTATTTTGACTGAGCGAACACGCTGAGCTGTTACAAATTCAGGTTCCTTAGGCCTTGTCAGTGTGAGTTTAGGCTTCCTCGGGATAATAGAAGCAGGACCATCCTAGACATTAAAATGAGAGAAACTTGAAAATGAGAAACAATAGCAAAGGAAGGTAAATACAAAAACTTGGAGCAACCATATTACACAAAGTTCAAGTGAAATGGGTTTTTACATGGGTGATAGAACTGTTAAAGTGTGGCAATGACAATTCTCTAGTATTTGATTGGAACTTCTTCATCATTTCTGCCATTGAAACAAATGGAGCTGGAGCTGCTTGTTCCCGAACATAAACCTTTAAATAGACATAACAAGTGTTCAATGAGTCAGTACCTAACGGTGTTAAAAGAAAATAAATTTACGTGATTTGACAAAAGTAGCGTACCTTTCTCTCCTCTTTCTTCATCTTATTTGGAGCAGATGAACAAAAGTTAGAACTGCCACTGCTAAGACCCAGTTTGGACTTGTGCATCAATGGTTGTGGGGGCTTGGCATTAACAATCTGGAATTATTAAAAAAAAAAAAAGAATGGAAAAGGAAAAAGGAAAATCTGTTAAAGTAATACGTATCAATCAGACGACTGTGGTTCAAAGAGAGGAACATGGCAACAGTAATCAATCACCTGTCTGGATCTCCCCTCATCCAGCTTCTGTTTCTTAATTGCCTGGTTCTCTTGGGCTAAATTGGCAGTTCCAGCAACATTTTTCACATTAGGATCTCTACAATAAAAGCATGTCAGAATGCCTAATATATATTGTACGTACCAAACACATACTTCAACACAGAAATTAACAAGAAAGTCCAGTTACTTTTTGACACTTGCTGGTTTGATTCCCTTAGCTTGTGAAGACTGTGATTGACTCTTTGGCTTCACCAACGATGGATTCTTAACCAAACTAGCTATACGTCTAGCTGACTGATTCTTCTTGGAATCAGTCAATAGGCCGCCTCCGTTCCGAGATGACAATGGTGGCTTGGGGGTGCCAGTCAACAGGCCTCTGTTCCGAGAAGACGTTGGTGGTTTAGGGGTGCAGTAAGCTTCATTTTTACAGCTCTTACTATCAATGTTTTCAATTTGCAGAGAAGAAGAGCTTCTGATAGAAAAACTGAAGTCAGCAGAAAGGGATGCAACAGACACACAGACACACACAAAATGATATTAAGCTGTCAAAATAACACCATAAATTATCTTCTTCACAAGTGCACACTCCTTGTTTTATTTTTCTTTAGCCATTTTAGCCTTGCAAAGATGACACAGGGAAGAGTAACAAAAGAGCACACCTTCCATTTCTTCCTTCAGCACGTGCAAACCCCACCTTCTTCTGTTTTTCACAAGTAACCTCACCAGCAGAAATCTGAAATATGCACAACTTTATAAGAACACAACAAATTCCCAAATTAAAGGCAGCATCAATGGGTGAAAATTTTTTTCAGCAACTACTCACCACATTGACAAGGTTAGCATTGTTTTCTTTGTTTTCCTCGTTAGGAGTAGTTTCTTCCTTCCTCATTTCAATGGCTGGTGGTGGTGGTGGTGGTGGCATGACCTCTGATTGAGAGTTACTGTCTGATGAGGAATTAGTTGCTTTTGAATCAGATGATTCTGCCACCTGCAATCCAATTTCAATGGGCTAAATTGGCAATAATAAATAAATAAAGGAAATAGTAATGATATTTAGGAAAAGGTTTTAAGTCATTAATTACCTTTTGCAATTGGTCTTCTTTACTAAAATCACATAAGGTCTCTACCTTAAATGATCTGCCAGTCTTAATTCTAGGCATAAAAGCTGCAACAAATCAAATCAAATCATACAAAAACAGAAGAAGATCAATCAACCACTAAACTCTTTAATCTTTAACAACAACAGTAGCAGCAAAACATACATAAATTCTCAATTCAATCCCCTAATTGCCAGTCTTAACTCTACTTTCTCTTTTTGTAACTTAATTAATAAAAATTAAACACAAATAACTCTCAACTCGTCCTAATTCTTCATTTCCTCCCTATGAAAACCCTAAAATCCATGATCAAGCTTCTCGCCCTCTCCACTTTTACTTCTTAATCTCTCTCAAAATTCCAAATTAGAACCAATTGAAACTCAATATTACCATAAAAATCACAAATAAACAACAAAAAATCCCTAAAACAGACCACTATCAGGACTCTGCTCTAGCTTCGCTTATAATTTCTTACCTCCACTGCCAAAGTGCCAAATCAGATACAGAAAAACCCCAATCTAACCCTAAAATTACAAAAAATCGAAAAAACCCCTCCTCATTTCATCTAAATGTTAATTAATTCAAAAAAATCTAAAATAAATTTTAAAAACCAACAATCATCCGTTTTTAAAAGTCTCAACTGTAAATTAAAATAAATGGAGAAGAAACTAAGACAATCATCGACTGAGGGAGAGAGGAGCATACGAGAAGGAGCGTAGGACTCTGTAACATCAAACCAAAGCTCTGCGTTTCTAGAATCTTCATCTGATTCTCCTTTCGCAAAATCATAAAACTTCGGAGCCGAAAACTCGTAAGTCTCGTCGACTAACATCATCGTAGTCGTATTCGTCATCAACGACGTTGTCGTCTTCGTTTCAGTAGTAGCAGTTGAAGAATCGTCACTACCTGCTGCCATTTTCCTAACAGAAAAATCTTCGGTTCTTCCTAGAGAGAGCGAGATCGGAAAATTAGGTTTTTTTTTTCTAGAGAGAGATTGGGAAATTAGGTTTTTCCGTTTTTGGAGGAAGAAGTGAAGAGAGAGAGTGAAGAGAAATAGGAGAGAAAGAGGGTGGAGTATAAACGTTGTGAAGGGAAGGATGGTTTAACGGTCGGATTTTTTGAAATTGGAGAACTTGACTAATGAGGATGGTAGAGGTGGCTCTTCGCTTTGTTGTTTTTCTAACGGCTATATTTCTGGTCCGGATGTGTTGTAACGGTGTCGTTTTTATGAGTTGATTATTTATTTCATTTGTTTTTAATTTTGGACAATTAATGACTCTATTAATTAATTAATTAAATAAATTATGAGACTTAAACATTAGAATTTTCCAAATAGTTCTCAGACACCCCCTCCAAAAATTGAGATGAAAAAACAATAGAAAACCATTCTTTTATGGTTCAATGACGAGTATATAGTTCTTTAATTATTGGATCGATCTTGATAAATTTATTTTATTTTATTTTCAATGATATAGATATATTTTAGATATTGCCTTCTATAAATTAATTTTTTCTTAGGAGAAAATTTTGCAAATAGATATGTGCATAATATTCCAATATCTCCATTAACTCTTGCTTATTGGTTTGAAAATTTTGACAAAAAAATAAATTGAAAACTTAACCAATATTCAAAGATAAAATTGCCTTAATTAAGAATATATATATATAAGAGTAAAAAAGAAGTTATCTATCCTCAATTACTACATGTCACCAGTCATATGAATCTCAACATCTCCTTGATGGAAATGGAAATGCTCGTGACACATTTATTCTTCTACAGTCAGCCTTAGGACTTGCCATGATGTCTGAAACTATGTGACTTCTCTGCTGTTTCTTAGGATGTAATAACATTCTTCATCCCCTGAATCTTGTTTTGGATTCCTAGAATTCAAAGATATAGAGAATCATACTGATCACTTGTCTTTTACCACTTTAGCACAATGATAGTAGGTAACTTACAAGTAGTGAGGTATTTTCGAGTTAGATTTCGATCGATAAAGACTAAATTCATAATTTGGTACAATTTTAATGGCTTTTTTTTTTCTGATATTAAAAGTACTGAGGTGTTTTCGAGCTAGATTTCGGTCAATCAAGACTAAGTTCTTACTTTTCAGGCTAGATTAGCTTCATATCACGCCTAAGGTCGATTCTAAAAGATGGGCTCAAAGAGTTCACCAGCAGTCTATATGGTATATATCTAGTGCCACACAAAAGGAAGAGGGAGGAATTTTAATGGTCTTAACTACTGCATTATGGCTACAATTCTGCTATAGTTGTAGCAAGAGTGCACAATTTGGATACATTTTGAAGTTTGAAAGAGTGCAAAAATTCAAATAAATTTGAACATCTCCATGGATTTAAGAAGAGCTCATTACTGCTCCATACCTAGGGCTTTTTAATAATAGGCAGCGCAGTCGAGCTGGTATCTGTGACTCAAGATAATGCAAAGATTTTCAAAAGGTTGAAATTCTGTGGTGCTCAAATCTCAAACAAAGAAGACAATGCATTATGGCACAAAAACTAGTCTTACGTATCAGGTGGGTAAAGCAAGGTATTGCACCAAGAAGGTGACAGGTGGTACGGTTCCTAGCTAGGCCATTTATGAATTCTAAAGCAAGATTTGGTATTCTGGCAAAATTAATGCGTGACATGCAAGATTCATGAAAAACTTCAAAGTTATGTTCAAACATGAAAACCTCATTTAATGGGGTAGTAAAAGCCCCCAAGTATTGAAAATGAGTCATATCAAATGCATGAGATATCTTGGCAGATTTTTGGGATTGAACTTCTACAATATTAAAAGAAAATCCATGGCTTCATAGGCTGTACGCAAGCCCTTCAAAAGACCTTTCTTACCTAATGGAGGCAGAAGAAGCATAATAAAAAACAGATTGAATCCGTCTCAGTAGGTTCTTGCGTAAGAGCAGCAGATCCTTTGACATAAGAGAATTCTAAGTTTCTAATCAGCAAGAATGGCTCACGATACTTGCATGGAAATGAAGCCAAGTAAAACTCCTATTGGATTTAGTGTTATAAATGGCCTCGATCTCTCTGCCATTTCCAACCGCCAACAATATCAGCTAACACCTGTACGAACCACCAATGCCGCACTTTGTTGGGTGCTGCTTACTACTTGTCCTCCTGGTTTCTGGGTTAGATATTGCCTATTCGGACAGTAAATGCGAGCTTGTGTTTGAGTACTTTCCTTACTGTCTGGATTTTCTCACAGGCTATTACTTCAAACCATCAAAAAAATGTTGTGTCCACATCTATAAACTCAACAGATTAGCGAAGCGTGGACTAGGAGCACAGTTGATCTGTTCGTGCATTGAGTACATGGTGAGGGGTACGGAGCCTCGAATAAGGGCTGATCGTATAAGTGAACTTCCTGCCAAGTGCCAAACTCATCTTAGTTTCCCCATTTCTGAGTGGATGGACTGCGATAAGTATGACTCCTATCATTTCTCTTTGTTTTCTGCACTCTTAAGAACTGTTGCTGACCAACAGTTTTTGGCTCGATGCAGGATCGTCTAAGAGGTTGAAGTTTAATGGATCATGGGACAGCATGCCTTCTTGATTGAGTTGCTATTATAAAACTATAAAGTCAATCATAAATGGCTTATGTTAAACTATGCAGTTTAATGATGTCAAATTGCTGTATTTCATTAAGTTTTCAAGCACGAGAATTTTGATTACAAGCACTACATGTATGATTCTTTTGGAGGTCGAAAATATATCAGAACCTAACCATTGGCTCCACTAACATGTTATTCTGCCGCTGGCTACCATCCGAAGTCAGTAGCTAACATAAGTTTGGCAACCACAGCCCAATTTGTGAGAGGCAGAGTTCATGAACTTGATCAGTAATCTAAAACAAGCCTATTTCTGGATCAAATCTCAAGTTTGCATGACGCTGACCGGTTTCATGTTATTTTAACTTTTAATTCAGAGAAAAGCTATGACTTGAGTGGCAAAAGCAAATTTCTCTGAACGTCAACCTCCTCATCGAAGCACAAAGCTAATGAAAGGCAACAGAATTGGCATTAAAACTCTATTCAGGAAACTTTTTTTGAAGACAATTTCTACAAGTAGGCTGTCCTTGAACTGGTTATGGATATCTTGAAGTTGGAAGTTCCAAATTTCCACTACTAGTCTGTCCTCTGCAAAAGTCCTGGTCAGTTATTACTTGCGTATGAATAACTCTCATGCACTGAGAAGAGATCCTAACCAGCAAATGTTCATGATAAATGCATGGCAATGAGTCAGTTACAAATGACCATATTATCACTTTATATACTCCTTCATATGCATATAGCTTCATCTTCTGAGGCACCGATTATACTACTAGATAAGTGGCCTTACACAAAGCAGAATCAATAGTTCGGATTGTTGGGTTTCTGATACTCATAGTTTCTGGACAAGCTATGGCTCAGTTGAACAAGAACTTCAATTAATGTAAGATCGTTTCCGAAAAATTGTCTCCTTGTTTGGATTTTCTCATAGGTTCATCCTTTAAGCCTTCAAACCAATGTTGTCAGTGCATATATGATCTCAATGCAATAGCTAGGTTTGTAATGGGGCCACCACTTATCTGCCACTGCATCGAAGCTGTGGCAAGGATGCTTCCAACGAGGATAAGGCCTGACCGTATTGAAGATCTTTCTGTCCAGTGGGACACACATTTTGCCTTTTCCATTTCTGAGTATATGGACTGCAACAGGTAAAGCCTCCATATCCAGTGTCCTCCCTTTCTCTCAAATGTTGTAACTGACTAACTGTCTTTCGCTTGATGCTCTTATGAAGTCAACATTATGTGTTTAATGTTTATCCTATACCATATTGCAGTCTAGCTGAGTATTGAATGCTGTTATCTTCCAACAGATTTACATGTCATCATAAGCTTGAAAGAAATTCAAGCATATTTTTCTATATTCAAGTTGGATTGTGGACTAGTGACATTACTGCCATCACTAGTTTCTGCTGTTCGGCCATATTATCATACTATAAATGGAAAGTTACATTCCTGCAAACTCTAATTGAGCATAATACAATGGAAAATTTTCATCATGTGGGGAAGCATTTTTTTTTCTTTTAACTTCAAAAAAACTTTTATGCTGTAAAAATTAGGGAAAAAAAGCTGTAACAGTCTGTACAATGCATCTCTTAAAGGGAGCAGACTTGTGATGACAAATTCTATGACTTGCTTCTGGAAAATTGATCAGCAAACTACATCTCCTACACTTAATTTTTTGGTCACGGTTTTATCTAAAGTTAGTTTTATATAATGCTTGGCGATTCAGATCATTTTCATTTTTCGAGGGGCACGTACAATTTCTCAAGAATACTGGGACAATTCTCAAGAAATATGGGGCATGACTATTTCATGGCAATGAGGCCAACCAAAACTGTCAAAACAGAGATAGTATTACCATCAGTGAGGGTATCTTAACAACTATCAGTGATATAAGGAGAACGATAAATACATGTTTTGGTGTTCTGAAATTTGTAAAGTTGAGACCTAAGTAGCCGTATCTTGACTGGACTAGGGAAAACTTTATTTAGCCATAGACAAAATAACCAGAAATGAGACTGTCTAGAGAACAGGACATAAGAAGACATCACATTTTGCTAACTAATGTTCTTCCATTGCCATTTTTTTTTCACTGCTATCAATAGAAATAATCCAAAATATGGTGTTGTAAGAATCAGGGCAGGTTATTACCGTTTCCTAGGGCTAATCAACCATCTGCACAATAGATCTTGTGTATGTGATTCTTACACATAATGGAAATATTTCAAAATGTTGAAATTCCCATTAAAACTATGTGGTCTGCAGACAAAGTAGACGATTCCTTATAGTGAAAAATAATTCCCAGCTGGTGGGGAAAGGATGTTCTGAAATCCACAACCACTTGTGATTGTCTTAAGGATCCTTTAGTCCACTCGTGAATTCTGCAGCTATTGATAGATCTAGAAACATGTAAGGTTTTGAAGGCTGTGATCAAGGAAGATAATAATGTAAAACCCTGCAGAACTTATGGAGAACTTGAAAGTTCATTCAAACAAGAAGAGCTCAGCTGAGAGGTTGAAAAGTTTTACTGGAGCCCAGAACAGCTATCCTCCCTGACTGAGTTACTAGTATAAAATTGATGTCAAATGATTTATATTTCATTATGCAGCCTAAGGACTAATTTGCTATGTCCTAATAAAATTTTGAATCACTGAAAATTTGATTCCATTTTTATTTGACATGAAACAGTCTTATTTCTGGATCAACCCTCAAAGCTTTTAGGGATGTTGCCCCCCCAAAAAACTTAGTTTGCTTGAGTGAAAAGACTTTGACTCTAGTAGCGAAACCAAAATCCTGAAAACTTCACTCTCCTTATGGAAGCACCAAATGAATGCAAGTAACAGATAACAAATGACTTGCGATGAAAGTTTTGTCGACCTTCCTACTAAAATTCATCAGAATTACATGACAATGAAGCGTACTAAAATTCTTATTGGTTTGACAGATGGAAAGGACCATCTAATCTCTTCATAAACTCTGAACTCTCATATATAGCCCTTTCTTGACAAGAACCATAATTATACTACTCGAGACAGTCTTGCTCAAAGCAGAATTAATGGCTCGCATTGTTGGGTTTCTGATACTTGCAATTTCCGCACAAGCTATGGCTGAGTTCGACGTGGACCCGGATCAATGTCAGGTCATTTTTGATAACTTCCCTTACTGTACGGATTTTCTCATCGGTTCAAACGATTTTCCTACAAGCCAATGTTGTCAACGGGTATACGACTTCAATGAATTAGCTAAGCATGGAATGGGGCCAAGAGATATCTGTGAGTGCATTGAAATAGTGACAAGGACGATCCCAATGAGGTTAAGTGCCGACCGTATCAGCGATCTTCCTGTCAAGTGCAACACACATTTCTTCCTTTACGATCATTTCCGATACATTGTTTCCTTGTTTGGATTTCCTCATAGGTTCATCCTTTAAGCCTTCAAACCAATGTTGTCTGTGCATAAATGATCTCAATGCAATAGCTAGGTTAGTAATGGGACCAACACTTATCTGTCACTGCATCGAAGATGTGGCAAGGACACTTCCAACAATGATAAGCCTTCAAACCAAGCTTTTCTCGTTTCTGAGTATATGGACTGCAGCAGGTAAAGCCTACATGCATGGTTCCTAAAGATTTTAACATAATAGCTTAATGCTTACTCCTAGTTAAGTAACTGGTCATTATATTTTCCGTTCTCATTTTTGCAGAATAAATTAAAAGACGGAACTATGAAGAGGACCTCTTGATCGAGATTTCAGACCCAAGTACCAACCCGGTAAAATGTTGTTTCGGTGGCTAATGTACTTGTCTGAAGCTGCATAATGTTGTCACCATATAGAACAAGGCATGAGAAGGCACCATATGTTACTAACTTGCTATTAAATTAATGTTCTGCTATTACCATGTTTGAATTTGGCAATCAAAGGCCAAGTTCATAAGAGGCAGAGTTCATGAAATTAATTAGTCTAAAACAGTCTTATTTCTGGATCAACCCTCAAAGTTTTCAGAAATTCTGGCCCCCAAAATTTTTGTTTAATATTGATTAAGAGAAACAAGCTTTGATGAAAGAAAGAAAAAATGCCAAGTAACTGAAAACTACAGTTTCCTACATGTAGGCCAGCTGAAAGCAACCTTGACATTTACTTCAGCAATTTTAAATTTTTAGTTTCAAACAACATCCATCATTTACAGGTACTTTTTCTGGTGGTTAAGGTAACCTAAAGAAAACCTTTGAGTTGAGGAGTGCACAGAAACTCATTAAAAACATCACTCTCCTCACTCAGCTGATGAAGAAACTAGAAATTGGTAGGAGTACATGTTGGCATGAGCTGTAAATTAGTTAGAGTATTTTTAGGAAGAGATTTATTCTTTGTTGTATATATCCCGATTGTTATGGGATTTTTATTATTAGACTTCTAAAACTAGTTTTACTTCCAACTCTAGGTCCGGAAATTAAGCTTTGCTCTTGTATAAATAGTGTACCGTACATTGAGAAGAAAACAAGAAAAAAAGATATTTCAAAAGTTATCATGGTATCAGAGCAGAGATCCTTGGAATCTCATTGTTCACTATTATATTAAAATTTGTTCTTGTGACAATAAACAACCAGTAGGTTGTAGAAGATGACGACTTCAACTGATTTGGTGGAACAAGGACAGCAAAACACTGCTGCTTTCTTTGAAAATTTTACTGAAAGGATGACGCAAGCCTTGAATCAGAACCAAACCCAGACTCCAGCAATGACAGGCGACTCTGCTGTTGCACATATCGGTATCAAACTTGACGGAACAAACTATGCCCTTTGATCCCAAATTGTCGAGATGTATATCTCGGGCAAAGACAAGCTGGGATATATCAATGGTGACTCGCTTCAACCAGAAACAAATGATTCTGCGTTTAGAAAATGGAGGACAGAAAACTCGATTGTGAAGGGATGGCTGATTAATTCAATGGATCCCTCCCTGATTAGCAACTTCATTCGATTTCCAACAGCCAAACGGTATGGGACTCTGTTGCTACAACATATTTTGATGGGAATGACAAATCTCAGGTTTATGATTTAAAGAGAAGAGTTTCGCGAATGAAACAAAATAAGGAATCCATTGAGTCATACTATAATGGTCTCCAAGGTCTATGGAGAGAAATTGACTTCCGCCGTCCAAATCCAATGGAATGTGCTAGTGACATACAAAGGTACAATACTCTTATTTAAGAGGACCGTGTTTATGTCTTTCTTGATGGATTAGATGACAGACTTGACAAGATTCGGAGTGATGTGCTCCAAATTCAACCTTTTCCCACAGTTGAACAAGCCTATGCCTATGTTAGAAGAGAGGATACCGGACAATCAGTCATGCTCTCACAAAGCGATAATGTCAATGCTGTTGCTATGATTTCTAAAGGTGGTAAAACAGTCCCTCAACTTCAGATGACTTCTCAACTGATGAAACAAGGGCATTCCGCAATTGGTGGTGGAAAACCAAATGCTCCAACGAAAGCTAAGGGACAAGTCGAGAATGGAGGGAGCAGCCGTTCCCATTGTGGAAACTCCAAACATACACGGGAAACATGCTTTAAGTTACATGGCTATCCCGATTGGTGGCATGAACTTAAGGCTCGAAAACAAAGAGAATCAAACGAGTCCAAGCAAAGGTACAGCACGGGTAGCAATGGCGTGTGCAGAACCACAATTGTCACTAGCTTCACTTGTGGAACATGAACTTCAACTTACTTCGGACATTAGGGATTCAGGTACCAAAAGTGGTAACGCTCTAGTAGTTCCTAATGAACAGAAACAAGATGCCTGGATAGTGGATTCCGGTACAACGGATCATATGACATTCTGCCCAAATGACTTTACTACAAATACAAACGCACGAAGGATAAGTATTACAAATGCAAATGGAGTCATGTATCTAGTCACTGGTGCTGGAACAGTAGAGCTATCACCCATAATATCATTATCTAACACTCTTTTAGTCCCATCTCTTTCAAATAAATTATTGTCCGTAGGACAAGCCACCGAGGAATTGAATTGTGTGGCACTAATGTATCCAAATTTTTATCTTTTTCGGGATATTCTCACGAAGGAGATCGTTGGGCGTGGTACTAAGAGAGAGGGTTATATTATATGGATGATTTCAGCTCCGGTAAAGTTAATCATGTGAACCACTCGATCAATTCAAAGGAAAAGCAAATCTGGTTATGGCATTCTCGTTTGGGACATCCATCTTTTAGCTATATGAAGCATTTATTTCCAAAACTCGTTTCTCAATATTGATTGCTCGGCTTTCAAATGCGAAACTCGCATCTTAGCAAAAAGTCATCATGTACCTTTTCCTATTAGTAATAATAAAAGTGATGTTCCATTTGCTTTGGTTCATTCGGATGTTTGGGGACCGTCTCCCATTACAACCATTCATGGCATACGATGGTTTGTAACCTTTGTTGATGATTGTACCAAAATGACATGGTTATATCCGATGAAACGCAAGCATGAAGTATTCAATGTGTTTTGTGCATTTCATGCTATGATTCGTAACTAATTTTCAGCCAAAGTCGAGATTCTACGATCCGATAATGGAGGGGAATATACAAATCAAGATTTCATGAATTATTTTCAACAACATGGTCTCATACATGAATATTCTTGTAGTCAAACTCCACAACAGAATGGTGTGGCCGAACGAAAAAATCGTCATATTTTGGAAACTGCTCGTGCTTTGTTAATTGGAGCAAAAGTTCCTCACCGTCACCTGGGATAATGCAATTGTAACTTCAGTTCACTCGATGAATCGCATGCCTTCTAAAGTTTTGGGTTTTAAAACTCCTTTGCGAGTCTTGTCGAGCATGTTACACTACCATCTATACTCCTCATTCCTCCAAGGGTATTTGGTCGTGTAGCATTTGTTCATCTCCATAAAAATCAACGAATAAAATTAGACCCTTGTCTTGTTCGTTGTGTTTTTTAGGATATGGGATAAATAAGAAGGGATATTCGTCTGCTATGATCCCGTCACAAACCATACATACATCACTATGGATGTTACTTTCCTAGAATTAGAAAACTTTTACTCGTTATCGGTATCTACTTCTCCTTTTCGGGGGAGACATGGGTAGAAAAGCGAAGTGGTGTGATGTTGGGTCGAGTGATGGAACCGAAGGTGACATTGTTGAGCTGGGTAATGTAATCGAAGTAAATGAACCAAACACAATAGAGATTCTTCATAATTTCGCCGTTGACACAGCAGAAACTCTTCATGATTCATCCATCGAAGAAGCAGTAAAATTTTCTTCATGATTTCGCTATTGAAGAAACCCCTCTACTCCAAGTACTAAGCAATGATGAGTCTCATGCCGAGGATATTCCCGAGGTAACTTCTCCTCGCTCCATCTTCTAGTCATGATTTGGATACATCTTCTACTTGCTATCACTTACCTTTCGAGCACAATAGAGGCAAGCCTCCAGCTCAATACTCACCTAATATTGAAGGGAAAAGATCAAAGTACCCAATCGCTAATTATGTAACCACTCAAAGGCTAACCGAACCACTCAAGAAATTCAACAACGAGGTGTCTACTTGTCAACTCCCACTGGAATCCTTGAAGCTCTAAATGATCCAAAATGGTTTAAAGCAATAAAAGAAAAGATGGAAGCACTTCGAAGAACAAAACATGGGAATTGGTTTCACTATCGAAAAGAAGAAAACAATTGGATGTAAGTGGGTCTTCGACATCAAATATAATGTCGATGGGTCAATTGAACGATACAAGGCAAGACTTGTGGCTAAAGGGTACACTCAAACATATGGAGTTGACTATCAAGAGACTTTCTCTCCAAGTGGCAAAACTAAATACAATATGGGTTTTATTATCTTTGACGGTAAATTTGGATTGGCCACTTCATCGGCTTGATGTAAAGAATGCTTTTCTTCATGGAGACCTTGAAGAGGAGGTATATATGGACATTCCACCAGGATATGTTTCATCATCCGACATTGGCATGGTGTGCAAACTAAAAAGGGCTCGTATGGATTAAAACAAGTCACCACATGCTTGGTTTGGTCGTTTTAGTATGGCTATAAGAAAATATGGATTCCAATAGAGTAATTCGGATCATACTCTTTTCCTAAAAAGACAACATGGGAAAGTGACTCGCCTTGATAATTTATGTAGATGACATGATAATTACAGGAGATGATAATGAAGAGATTAGCAAGTTACGAAACATCTTACCGTCGAGTTTGAAATGAAGAACTTAGGAGGTCCGAAGTATTTCTTGGGGATTGAAGTAGCTAGATCAAAGGGACGTATCTTTCTTTCACAAAGAAAGTATGTGCTGGACTTGTTGACGAAGTAGGGATGCTTGATTGTAAACCAGCAGACACTCCAACGGTTCAAAATCAAAAGCTAGGAGAATACTCGGACCAAGTACCAATAAATAAGGAGAGGTACCAAAGGTTAGTGGGTAAACCGATTTATCTATCACATACTCGCCCGGATATTTCGTATGCTCGTCGGTAGGGTTAGTCGGTTTATGCATAATCCTAGTGAAGATCATATGAATGCTCGTGATTCGAATAATTCGTTACTTAAAGTCCGCACCGTGGAGAGGACTTATGTTTTCCAAGAATGATCATATGCATGTTGAGGGCTATACGGATGCCGATTGGACGGGCAAGTATATCTAATAGAAAATCTACTTCGGGTACTTCACATTTGTCGGTGGTAACTTAGTTACTCGGAGAAGCAAGAAGCGAAGGTGGTTGCACTCGTCAAGTGCCGAGGCCGAGTTCCGAGGAATGGCAAAAGGGTTGTGCGAACTTCTTTGGATTAAAAGGTTATCGTCGAAATTGGATTTGGTCCTAACTCAAGCAATGATGTTATATTGTGACAACAAGGTCTGTCATTGAAATTTCTCATAACCCCGTTCGGCATGATCGGACGAAGCATATCGAGGTAGATCGACATTTCATCAAACAAAACCTTGAAGAAGGAGTGATTAAATTTTCATTTGTTCGGTCGGAAGATCAACTTGCGGATGTGCTCACAAAGGCGATCTCTAGTAAAGACTTTCATAGCTCACTTGACAAGTTGGGCATCGAAGACATCTTTACACCAACTCGAGGGGAGTGTTGGCATGAGCCGTAAATTAGTTAGAGTATTTTTAGGAAGAGATTTATTCTTTGTTGTATATATCCCGATTGTTATGGGATTTTTATTATTAGACTTCTAAACTAGTTTTACTTCCAACTCTAGGTCCGGAAATTAAGTTTTGCTCTTGTATAAATAGTGTACCGTACATTGAGAAGAAAACAAGAAAAAAAGATATTTCAAAAGTTATCGGTACATATGTACTAGTGTAGCCCTCATCCTATTTCCCGAATTCTCACTTAATTCTCTCGAGACTATAATGAACCGATCGACTATTCGTTCTTTGCTTGATTCAATGAGCCAATCAAGATAGGAAGTCTTCACGGCCGAGATGCAAGTATGAAGTCGGTAATAAAATTTTATCCCGCACTATACCGTAGGCTAGGTAAGGACCGAATATTGTTACTTCCTAACAAATTAAATAAAAATTACAAGCTTGAAAGAATTTCATGAATTATTTTCTATCTTCAAAATGGAAGGTGGACAAATGACATCAATAGAATCACATTATTGCTAGTACTAGCTTCGTCATTCAGTTGTACTATCATACACGTCAAGCAACTCTGTCATGATCATTCTATGCTATAAAAAAAAGTAATTTTTTTCGAACTTCTAATAGCTTAAATCTCTATTGTGTACAACTCTTCAAGAATTTCGTTCAAACGTTTCATTCTTTTGAGATAGTTACCATGTTGTAGTGGAAGAGTTTCGTCGATGGAGGAGGCACCGAGATCCTTCGAAATTCTGTCCAACTCTTCAAGAATTCTATAATAAAAATTCAATGCATCATTAATTACAAACTTTAACGAGTTCTAGTGAGGCTCGGCAAGTGCTTATCCCGCGATACGGATCGAAGTACATACTTTTGACAAGCATCTAAAACTTTGTCTATATGTAGAATCACATCCTCGGTGGTCATTAAAGCAAAGTCGGTATGACGATCAAACAAAGACTCAAGTAAACGAGAACGCCTATGATTAAGGTCCTCAAGAGGGTTTCTATGACGTAGAATCGCACACTTGGTGTGGAGATTGTAGTTACATTGGAAACATTTGTAGTCGACAAATTTTCCCATCTCATGACATGCACAACACTCGTATTCGTAGTTAAATGAGAATGGCATGATGATAAAGTTGAGAGGATGCTCGTGAATTCTATACTTGTATATGGTTGGTAAGTATTCACCTTTGATATTGGCTCGGAGGAGGCAATCGGGACAGACTCGATCTAAATTCATGACAAAATTGGCATCCATCTATCCGTGAGGAGAAATCATATTTCTTGAGTGGATTTTTCATCGAAATCGATGCTGATCTGTTTGAAGAAGCTTTTCCTTAGTTGGTGACTCGGCACAATCTCTCGTGGAGGATGAATTCATCGCATTCCACACAATGATAGGTTGGTCCGGAATCTATCAATTTTTTGCACTTGGTGCATCTCAACTTTTCTTTCTTTGGTTCCATACAAAACTCAAATTCATGAACATGCATATCTCCCAAATCTCTTTCATCACTTTTATTATCATCCGATGGAGGGGCACCTTTAGGTTCGCCATAAGCTATGCTTTCATTCGTTCTCGCCGCTTATAGCACGAGACGAGCCAACTCTTCCACAAGAAATGGTATTGTTGGGTCAACGCCGACTGTAGGAGCATGTTCAACCCCAACATCATGACCACCTTGATCTCTTTCGGTTTTGCCATGGATGATGATGAGGGTAGCCCCAGTGGAATTTGCAAGCCGCTCCAATCGGTTATAGTGAGCGGTGTCGAGAAAGCTCGCATATTCATGACAACATTGAGATTCAAATTGACTTGGGTTGTAGAGATTTGAGAGACAATATCGAATATCAAATCAATATTACTATATCCGGAGAATTTTTTATAAGAAGTGGAAGGAAGAGATTTTTCGATGGTCGGGATGATATCATCTTCGCCGATAAGAGGACATTTAAGAAAACTGGCTAATTTGTGGGCTATGTTGCTATGATGAGAACTTGAATGGCCCTTCATTGCTATGATCATCTGTTTCGACATAGCACTCTCCGACTCCATTTCCTTCTTATATATTGTGTCTTTCTTGATATCACTTTGGATTTTTTTTTCCCTCTCTTTCTTTCTTGATCTCTTATGATGAAGATTAATAGTTAGTTCTCTTATATATATATACATCTCGCTCAATTATTCTTTTCTTGTTTTTCGATTTGGTATTGTTTCTCTCTTTTACTTTTGTTTGCATAAAGCAAAGTATAAAATTTATTTTTTTCATCTTACAAGTAAGGTATAGTTGAATTAATATTCTCCGGCCTCCATTAATTTCTACAAGTTAATCTTTTCTCATTCTCAATCTCTTTCTTTACTTTTGAGAAACAAAGTTTATAGGATTAGTAAGTTCGTCATGTTTCCTTCTTTCTTTTTGCCATGAACAAGTGCTAGTAATTAGAGAATATACATGAATGTTTGGTGGGATTTATGATCCAATAAATCTGCTAATAAAACTATGCATTATATATACTACGATTGCCATGTCAAATGACATTGAATTTATAAGGAATTGAATTAAATAATTTTCTTGAATATTATTTTGTAAGAAATAATGAGGCCAACCAATTTGGCTTTTCTGGTTCAAATGAGGATACATACATACATATGACCTTTTTTAAAAGTTAATTTTGCATCAAAAGTGGGGATCATTTCATAACATGATGACTCAAGCCGTGACGTAGATTCATCTTTGTTTACATTTTGATAATGGCATGCTATCTCATTTTTTTTCCCTTATTTTTTTTTAAATGATTCACAAAGTAAAAGTTCGTTACACGCTAGTCTAATTAGGAACGTATAGAATCTTTTTTTTTCCCATCCCATAAGTAAGAAAAATTATATATATATATATATATATATATATATATATATATATATATATATATATATATATATAATCATTTTGTTCCTTTTTTTTTATTTGATGTTGTTTCTTACGTTACACACAAGTAGTCGAGCATCCTCAAAATACACTTAGGTTTTGATCGATAATTGGATTGTCTTTAGATCAAATTAGTTCAAGTCTAATACTATTAAAGGATAATTATAATTAATTATTCATAAATAGTAAACATTTAATTTAAATTTTGGTGAAACCAAGATATTTCTTTACTGATAAATTACATCTCTTAGTGTTATTGTTTCTTACCTTTACTTTTATTTGAATTGTTCATAAAGAAAAAGTTTGCTGTGCACTTAACCAATAGGAAAGGCATAGAATTTTTTTTTTTTCATGACGCAAGTATGGTATAATTGAATATATATATGACCACATTGTTCGTTTTTTTATTTTCTGAAATTTAATATTGTTTATTTTCTTTGCAAGGTTCGTAAAGCAAAAATTCGTTGCACGCTTATCTAATGGGAAATGCATTGAATCTTTTTTTTTTTTTTTTTTTTGTTATCTCACAAGTAAGGTATAATTAAACATATATACATCTAATCACTTTGTTCTTTTTTTATTTTCTGAATTTGACATTTACTTTTCTTTTCATGATTCATAAAGTAAAAGTTCACTGCGTGCTTATCTACCAAAAAAATACATAGAATCCTTTTTTTCACCCCAGAAATACAGTATACTTGAATGTATTGTGTCCTGATTTATATGTTGTGTCTTGTGGCCTTAAAAAAGTTACAAGTCGGAGGGGCCGAAAACAAGCATGTCTTGGCCTGAAATGCCAATGCAGCATGCTTGGTTTCTAGTAAAAATTCAAGTCCGAAAATAAGATATCTTGGGCTGAGACGAAAGGCTTGGGTAGGATATATTATTTTCCTTTGCTTTTCTTTGCATGCATGGTTGATAGAATAAAAATTTTGTTACCTGTTTATCTATCGAAGAACAAACATAATATTTTTTTCATCCCCACAAGTAAGATATAATTGAATATATATTCAATTATACTTTACTTGTGCAATATATATCAGATTTTTTATTTTTTTTTCAATTTCTTATTCTTTTCTTCTTTTATTTTTCTTTGCATATTTCATAACTCAAAAGTTTGCTGCGCACTTGTTCAACGAGAAATGCATAGAATTTCGTTCGTTTTTTTTTTTTTCTTTTTTCCAATCCTACAAATAAAGTATAATTGAATATATAAACATTCGATCAATTGTTTTTTTTTTCTCAATTTTGTGTTATTTATTTCTTTTTTTTATATATAGTTCATAAATGAAAATTTTGTTGCACGCTTATCCAATAGGGAACATATAAAATGTCTTTTTTTCATCAAATAAATAAGGTATAATAAAATTAATTTTCTCCCCTATTAATTTCTACCAGGTAATCTTTTCTCTCTTTATCTATATCTTTCTTTTCTTTTTAAAATAAAGTTTACTATTAAGAAATAAAGATCACATAATTCGAATTCTCATTAGGGGAGTGGAATTTGAATTTGAAACTTTCATTCAGAAACCTAAAACTCTTACTACTGAAACATTCTTTATGACAATTTTAAAAGAAAAAAATAAAAAATCTTTACTTTTATTATGCATATTTTACACTATAAAACACGATGCCATTTGTTTTTAATAAAATTTAACAGAAAATGCGAATGTACATGAAAATGAGGTTGACCTAATTTAAATCTTTTTTAAAAAATTTAGGGACCTAATTGAAAATAATATTTGTTTTGGAATGAAATTTGAGAATTGGATAATTTTTAGTGGTTAATTTCAAGTTTACTTATGGAGCATTTGTTTTCTTGCCTCTTGAATGGACGTTAACGAACTGTGTATAGCTTTAGAACTTAAAATTTTTCCCTCATTTTCTTGGATCGGTCAGACTATTATTTAACTAGCCTTTTTTTATCTTGAGACTAAAGTCTAAGGTCCCTTTTCCTTTTGAATTCATAGACAAACACTTAAGCTCTGTTGCGAAATAAAATTCACAATATCAAATAAACAGATAATTTGTGAGGTCTAATTTTTTATTTTTTATTTTTATTTTTTTTAATGACAATCCTGAACTCCGAATCACTTTACTAGTTTATGCAGTTCAAACGTATTATCGACTTGTTGATAAATGGAAAGTTAAATTCCAGCAACCCTGCCATGGTGGTTCGTACAACAAAATGCATGTGGCTATGTGAGTGTTAATTTCTGAGGTCTAAAAGTTGAGCTTCAAATGAAAATTTGCAGAAAATTTAATGCTTCAAAAATAAGGGGAAAAAAGCTAGCTATAACATTCTGTACATTGCATCTCTTAAAGGGGGCAGACTTGTTATGACAAATTCTATGACTTGCTTCAGGAACACTGATCAGTGAACTACATCTCCTAAGCTTACCCTTTTAGTCATGGTTTTGTCTATAGTTAGTTTTATATGATGCCTGGCGATTCGGATCATTTTCATTTTTCCAGGGACATGTACAAACTGGGACAATTCTCAGGAACTATGTAGCATGACAATTTCTAGGCAATGAGGCCGACTAAAACTGTCAAAATGGATATAGAATTACCATCAGTGAGGGTATCTTAACAACTATCAGTGATTTAATGAGAACGATAAATACATGTTTTGGAGTTCTGAAATTTGTAAAGTTGAGACCTAAGTAGCCTTATCTTGACTGGAATAGGGAAAAATTTATTTAACCATAGGCAAAATAACCAGAAATGAGAAATGTCTAGCTGCCTTGCTTCATTTTTAGCAGGTCTTCTCTTTCTCTCAGGATCAGCCATGCCTCGGGAACTATGGGACTTCTCTAAAGAATGTATGGATGTGGTACCAAACTTCAAGCCATGCTTGGGATTTATCCAGGGTCTATTAGAAGAACCAACTCATGAATGTTGCATGGGTTACCTGGAACTCAATGATATATCGAAGCAGAATCATGCTGCACAAAGGATCTGTTTTTGCATTGAGGAGATCGCGGCAACGGATGATCCTCCTTTCCTTGTTTCCAGAATCAATGCTATACTGGACATGTGCTATGCGCGTAATAGCTTCCCAATTTCTGTTGGAATGAATTGCTCCAAGCAAAATTATTTGTCTTTCTGCTTCTTAGTGTGAAATGTGGTAATTGACTTATTTTTTTTCTGTCTTGTTTTTGCAGTCTAAATTGAAAGACTTTACTATGCAGATGACCTCTCGATCGAGATTTGAGGCCTCGGTGCAAAGCCAGTAAAATGTTTTGTAGGTGGCTAATGACTTCGACCATTGCTCACACCTCTAACACTTCTTTCGCTGGCTACAATCCACTGTCAGTAGCTACTTGAGTTTGGCAATCACAGCCCAAGTTCATGAGAGGCAGAGTGCATGAACTTAACTAGTCTAAAACAATCATTTCTGGATCTACCCTCAAAAGTTTTCAGAGATTCCAAGTAACTGAAAAGTACAGTTTTCATGAACTTAATTTTTAGTTTCAAACAACATTCATCATTTACGGCCACAGGCACTTTTTATATATGGTTGTCAATGTAACTTAAAAAACGTTTGAGTTGAGGAGTGCAGAGAAAACTCATTAAAACATCACTCTCCAAAAAAGTTGCTGGGAGTATAAACTGGTTTAGCCCTCATCCTTTTCCTGAATTCTCACTTAACTCTCTCAGGACTAGTTATACCCAGACTCGAAGTTAAAACATCCAAGTTTATGTTCTGCAAATCAGTTAGCTTGCAGCAAAATTTCTGGTCAGTTAGTACTCCTGGTTTCTTCACAAGCTATGACTCAGTTGGATGTGGATCCCAGTAAACGAAAGGAAAATGTGATTTTTGGTATACCTTCAACATTTAGTGAAGGTGCCATGGATCATTTAATTTGCACGGTCAGCTTTTGAGAAACAAAGTTCATAGGATTTTAGTTAGTGAAATAAGTACATACTTTTTCATACTATTAAAAAAAAAAAAAAACTATTGTCTTTAGGAGGACGTATAAAAACAATGAACACCGAAATAGTCTTATTAGACTATACTATTATTAATCATTTATATAGAATCTAGAAACTATATATATATATATATATATATATATATTTCGTATATAAGAAGCTAGCATTAAAAAATCAGTTTTGAAATTCAAGGAGAAGCCTCATTAATCTTGTCCGTTCTCAAGTTCATCCCAAACAAAAACACTTTATCAATTGGGTCCCAACATTTTATGTAAATCTCATGAGTCCCTTTGCCCGTGTCCGCTATTATCTTACATTTAATATGCATATTTTTTTGCTGCAGAAACACTGCTATTTTTTAATAAAATTTGAAGGAAAATGCTAATGGACATGGACGTAAGGTTGCCCCAATTTAAAATTTTTAAAACACTTTAGGGATCCAATTGAAGATAATTTTTGGTTTGGAATGAAATTGAGAATTAATTGGATAACTTCTAGTGGTTAATTTGAGGTTTTCTTATGAAGCATTTGTTTTCTTCAACCTGTCAGACAATTATGTGACTATATATTATGCAATCACTATAGTTTAAATTGACCTCATGTCAAGAAATAAAATTCTCATGAATTTTTTAATTTCAATATCGATAACTTGCCTTTAATAAAAGTATTAGGACAACCATTTAAGAGTTTATACAGTTGTACACGGAACACCATGTTACAGAAACAAACTAAATTTAGCAAAAGTAACTAGTTTTCTAGAAAATAAAAGTATTAGGACAACCCAATCACATCATTGAAAAATTCGATTCGGGTTTTGGGATAGTTAGCATGTTGTAGTGGAAGAGTTTCGTTGATGGAGTAGGCATTGAGATCCTCCGAAATTATGTCCAACTCTTCATGAATCCTAGCATAAATCTTCAAACAATTACCGATAACAATCCTTTCTTGTTCCGTGAGGCAAACAAAGACTAACGACTTATCCAGAAAATTGTAATTTTGTTTAGCCTCTGTTCTAAGGCGGTTTACTTCTTGTAGAATTCCATCCTTGGTGATCACTGAAGCAAACTCGATACGACGATCCCTCCAAAACCCAAGAGAATCAGAACTGTTAAGAACTTTCTTTAAAAGGTTTATACGATGTAGAATCACATCCTTGGTGATCACTAAAGCACACTTGGTGTGGAGGTCGTAGTTACATTGGAAACATTTGTAGCTAACAAATTTTCCCATCCCATCACATGCACAACACTTGTATTGGAAGTTAAATGAGAATGGCATGATGATAAAGTTGAGAGGATGCTCGTGATCACTATACTTATATATTGTTGGTAAGTATGCACCTTTGACATTGGCTCGGAGGAGGCAATCAGGATAGCTCGATCTGAATTCATGACAAAATTGGCATCCATCTATCCGTGAGGAGAAATCATATTTATTGGGTGGATTTTTCATCGAAAATCGATGCTCCTTAAGGTTTAACAAAGTTGGAGACTCGGTACAATCTTTATGAAGGATGAAGTCATCGCACTCTACATAATGATAGGTCGGTCCTGAAATGATCAAGTTTTCGCACTTGGTGCAGGTCAGCTTTTCTTTCTTTGGCTCCTTAGACAACTCAAATTCATGGACATGCATGTCTCCCAAATCCCTTTCATCCCTTTTATTATGATCTGATGGAGGAGCAACAATCTCATCACCTTTGGGCTCGAGATCAACATCTATGCTTTCATTCCTTCTTGCTGCTTGTAGGATGAGACTAACCAAGTCTTCCACAATAAACGGTTTTGTAGTGTCAATGCTGACTGTAGGAACATGTCCAACCCCAACATCATGACCACCTTGATCGTTTTCAGTTTTCCCATGGATGATGATCAAGGTAGCCCCAGTGGAATTTGCTAGCTTCACCAATCGGTCGTAATGAGTAGGTTGAGAAAACTCCATATTGATGATAACATTAAGATTCAAATTGAGCTGGGTTGTAGAGATTTGAGAGACAATATCGATTATCAAATCGATATTGCTATATTTGGAGAATCTTCTATAGGAAGTGGAAGGAAGAGATTTTTGGATGGCCGGGATGATATCATCTCCGTTGATAAAAGGACATTTAAGAAAATTGGCTAGGTTTTGAGCCAACTTGCTGTTATAAAAACTTGAATGGCCTTTCATTGCTATGTTCATCTGTTTTGACATAGCACTCTCTGACTCCATTTTATCTCTATATATTGTGTCTTGCGTCTTTTTTGATATCTCTCTCTTTTTTTTTTTTTTTTTAACTTCTTTCTTTCTTGATCTCTTATGACTAACATAACAGTTAGTTTTCTTACATATGTATACATCTGATCATCAGCTGTTCTTTTTCTTCTTTTTTCCAATTTGATATTGCTTCTCTCTTTTACTTTTCTTTGCATAAAGCAATGAATATTTTTTTTTTTCCTTTTTCATCTTACATGTAAGGTATGATTGAATTAATATTCTCCTCCATTAATTTATACAAATTTGTCTCTCACTATATATCTTTCTTTCTTTTTTTTTTTTTCCTTCTTCTGAGAAACAAAGTTCATAGGATTCTTGTTAGTGAAGGAATTATTATTTTTTTTTTCATGAAAGACTAATTGGATACATCTTCGTTTACATTTTGATGATTGTATGCTATTTCATATATTCTGTTCTCCCTATGCTTCTTTCATGATTCATAAAGTAAAAGTTCGTTACATGTAGGGCAGGTTAACAACTTCCGCATCAAATCTACAAACTAAAATTGCTTTCGTTGATTCAGTCTCCAAGGCTGATCAACAGGATTCCAGCAGAGAATAAAGGTATGCATGTCGTTAGGCCCATTTTCAAGCTTAATTAAGATTGCAAATCATTTGATTTGTGATCCTGATATGAGATCTAACGATGGATTTTAATAATTTAATAGCCCGTGTGTATTTTTAATTAAATAATAATAATAAAAAAAAGCAATTCTTAATTTTTACAACTTTGAAAAAAAAATCCTTAATAAATGTGTAAATATCTGTAGGCCCTGCGATGGCTTTCTATCTCTACTTTTGGCACAAAAAACAGTACTTCAAGGTAACATTGGCAAGAGAGATATTCCTAAGCAGTTTATAACGTGGGAAAAAAAAAAAAAAACAGCAATGGCTGTGCTAAAATATTGTTTATTAGTGTTCTTCAGTCCGTGGCTCCGGTCAGCACCTTCAAGTTCTGCTGCTGTCTTCAGCCAAGGACAAAATGCTATCATGCTTGGGAAGGGAAGAAACAAGAAATTTGGTAGGAGTACATACTGGTGTAGCCCTCGTCCTTTTTCCTGAATTCTCACTTAACTCTCTCAGGACTATAATTAACCGATCGCATGTCTGTTCTTTGCTTGACTCAGCGAGCCAATCAAGATAGGCTTCACGGCTGAGATGCAAGTATGAAATCAGTAATAAATGTTTATCCTGCACTGTATTGTAGGCTATCTTCAGATTGGAAGTTGGCCTAATGACCTCGGTAGAATCACATTACTGCCAGTACTAGCTTCTGTCATTCAGTTGTGCTATCATATTCGTCGAGCAACTCTGTCATGAAAATTCTATGCTACAAACAGAAGTCTTTTTTTCTTTTTTTCCAGACATAATTCTTACTTAACTCCTTTTGTACTAAGTTGTCTTTCATAAACTTTTTTAATATGACTCGAAAAAAATAAAAAAATTGTTTTTCGTAAGTCGTGCCAAACAGACTCTTTAGTCTTCAGTAAACTATCCACGTTTGTATTAATACATTCAATTCAGCTCAATATCTAAGAGTTCATACAGTTGCACACGGAACATTGTATTACAGAAGAAAAAAATAAGGGAAAGTAATTAGTTTTTCTAGAAAATAAAAGTATTAGTACAACCCAACGCATAATAGAAAAGTTCGATTCGGGTTTTGAGATAGTTTGCATGTTGTAGTGGAAGAGTTTCGTTGGAGTAGGCATTGAGATCCTCCGAAATTATGTCCAACTCTTCACGAATCCTAATATGAATCTGCAAACTGTCATGGATAACAATCTTTTGTCGTTTCGTGAGGTCCCTAGTGTTGACTAACATAAGAGGTTGAAAAAATTTTCCAACGCGGTTTACTTCGTGTAGAATCACATCCTTGGGGATCCCTAAAGCAAACTCAGGGTGACTATCCTTGAAAACCATGGACAAATTGCCTGGAAAATCCTTAAATTCATGATAATGACTGGGAAAAGCTGCCTTAAAGAGCTTTATATTATCTAGAATCACATCCTTCGTGATCACCAAAGCACACTTGGTATGAAGATCGTAGTTACATTGGAAACATTTGTCGCTAACAAATTTTCCCATCTCACCACATGCACAACACTTGTATTGGAAGTTAAATGAGAATGGCATGATGGTAAAGTTGAGAGGATGCTCGTGATCACTATACTTATATATGGTTGGTAAGTATGCACCTTTGATATTGGCTCGGAGGAGGCAATCGAGATAACTTGATCCGAATTCATGACAAAATTGACATCCATCTATCTCGTGAGGAGAAATCATATTTCTCGAGTGGATTTTTCATCGAAATCGATGCTCCTTAAGGTTTAACAAAGTTGGAGACTCGGCACAATCTTTATTAAGGATGAAGTCATCGCACTCTACACAATGATAGGTCGGTCCCGAAATGATCAAGTTTTCGCACTTGGTGCAAGTCGGCTTTTTTTCTTTGGCTCCTTAGACAACTCAAATTCATGGACATGCATGTCTCCCAAATCTCTTTCATCCCTTTTATTATGATCTGATGGAGGAGCAACAATCTTATCACCTTTGGGCTCGAGATCAATATCTATGCTTTCATTCCTTCTTGCTGCTTGTAGCATGACACTAATCAAGTCTTCAACAATAAACGGTTTTGTAGTGTCAACGCCGACCGTAGGAACATGTCCAACCCCAACATCATGACCACCTTGATCATTTTCAGTTTTGCCATGGATGATGATCAAGGTAGCCCCAGTGGAATTTGCTAGATTCACCAATCGGTCGTAATGAGTAGGTTGAGAAAGCTCCATATTGATGATAACATTAAGATTCAAATTGAGCCGGGTTGTAGAGATTTGAGAGACAATATCAATTATCAAATCGATATTACTATATTTGGAGAATCTTCTATAGGAAGTGAAAGGAATAGATTTTTGGATGGTCGGGATGATATCATCTTCGTTGATAAAAGGACATTTAAAAAACTGGCTAAGCTTTGAGCTATATTGTCGTTATAAGAACTTGAATGGCCTTTCATTGCTATGATCATCCGTTTTGGCATAGCACTCTCTCGACTCCAATTTTATACCTCGTATATGTGTCTTTCTTGACATCTCTTCTTTTTCTTTTTTCTTTTTTTCTTTTTTTAACTTCTTTCTCTCTTGATCTCTTATGACTAACTCAACAATTAGTTTTCTTAAATATATATACATCTGATCAACTGTTCTTTTCTTCTTTTTTTCAATTTGATGATGTTTCACTCTTTTACTTTTCTAAAGCAATGCACTCTTTTTTTTTTCATCTTACGTGTAAGGTATGATTGAATTAGTATTCTCCTCCGTTAATTTATACAAATTAATCTCTCACTCCATATCTCTTTTTTTATCTTCTTTTGAGAAACAAAGTTCATAGGATTCTTGTTAGTGAAGGAATTACATTACTCTCTTTTTTTTTTCGTTCGTTTTTTTATGAAACACTTGGATATATACATCTTTGTTTACATTTTGATGATTGTATGCTATATCGTATATTCTGTTTTTCCTATGCTTCTTTCATGATTCATAAAGTAAAAGTTCATTATATTACTAATAATCTAAAACCGAAGACATTTTTACTGTGCTTTTTATTATTCATTTCACCGTTTAATGAACAATGTTTTCTCGCTTTTGCTCTTTTTTTTTCTTTTTTTCTTTTTTGAACCTAGCACCCTAGCAGCTAGGCTTGCCCGGCCTTATGTTTTTTTCTCCCTTCATATACGCCCGGGCTGTTTTTTTTTTTTTTTTCTCCTTCTATATATATATATATATATATATATATATACTTTAAATTACTCTAAAATACTAATCACTTTCACCGTACAACTATTGTTCCTTTCGCTCATTAATGAACAAGTGTTTTCTCGATTGCTCTTCTTTTTTTTCCTCGGGGTTGCTTAGCTGAGCTTTTAGAGAATTTTTTTGTCCCTGTTTTATAATATTTTTTTATTTTAATCATTAAAAATTTATTGTGTTTGATTTTCGTCACAATAATAAATATTAAAATTTTATGTTACCGAGACTTAAAGTTAAAACATCCAAAGTTTATGTTCTAGGCTGGCCTCTGGAGGACCACAAATCAGTTAGCTTACGACAAAATTTCTTGCCAGTTAGTACTCCTGGTTTCTTGCCAATGTCAGACCATATTTGATAAATTTCCTTACTGTTTGGATTTTCTCATATGTTCATAGTATTTGCCCTCAAATTAATGTTGTCAGCGTTTAGATGATTCAATGAGTTAATTAGCTAAGCATGAAATGGGGCCAAGAGCTACCTGTCATTGCATCAAAACAGGGACAAGGATGCTTCCAAAGAGGTTAAGGTCTGACCAGGTCAGTGATCTTCCTCTCAAGTACTGCAACAAACATATGAGATTTGCCATTTCTCAATATATATATATATATATATATATATATATGGACTGCAACTGCTTGGTAAAGCCTCCATTTCCTCTCCCCATCACCACCTAAATGTCTGTAACCGATCGACTATCTTTCCGTTGCGTGATTGATCAGCGAGCCAATCAAGATAGGAAGTCTTCACGGCTGAGATGCAAGCATGAAGTCAATACTAAAGGTTTATCCTGCAATATATTAATAGTAGGCAGCCACTAAAATAGAACACAAAGAGAGCAAAAACTTGCTCTAGCTCAATCTTCCCTGCTACGCACCCATCGCAAAGTCCGTTCATATATATAAAGCAAAAGGTGTGGTGGGCAGACACCAAAATAAATAGATTCAACAAAGCAGAAAAAAAAAGCAGTATATTCCAAACATGTAGGTCATGTTTATAGTGACATGTAGGGAAGGTTAACAACTTTGGCATCAAATCTACAAACTAAAATTACTTTCGTTGATTGAGTCCTGAAGGTTGATCAATAGGATTCCAGCAGAGAATCAAAAATTATCAAACTTCTGTAGATTAGACTACACTTAGAAAGAGAGTGATTCAGCTACATAGTTCTTTTCTATTGTCATGAAATGGTTAAGACATGAAATTGGAATGATAACACTGAATAATGAAAAACTATGCTTCTTCCATTTGTTTAGCCTCCCAAACTACAATCAAGTAATGTTTCCGTAGTGTTCTTCAGTCGTGGCTCCTGCATCCATCCCTCAAGTTCAGCCTCTGTCTTCATCCAAGGAGAAAATTTTATCATACAGGGACAGGGCAGAAACTGCTTCAGACAGCCTTTCAAAAAAAGAGGGTTCGTTTACGCTAACATTGATATGGGAATTGAGATAGTCAATATATTGTAGCGTAAGGGGTTTGTTGAGGGGAATTACGTTGAGAAACCCTGAAAACTGGTCGTGCAATTTAAGAAGCTCATCACAATTCTTCAATTCATTGCTGAAAGCAATCTGTTCTTGTTCCGTGAGTTTCCCATCGGCTAAGGACTTTCCCAAATCGGTGGAACGCATTTGAACACCTTTTATACCGAGCTCCATTTGACGTAGAATCACATCCTTGGTGACCGCTAAAGCACACTTGGTATGAAGATCGTAGTTACATTGGAAACATTTGTAGCTAACAAATTTTTCCATCTCATCACATGCACAACACTTGTATTGGTAGTTAAATGAGAATGGCATGATGATAAAGTTGAGAGGATGCCTGTGATCTATATAGTTGTGTATAGTTGGTAAGTATTCACCTTTGATATTGGCTCGAAGGAGGCAATCAGGACAGCTGGATCTAAATTCATGATAAAATTGACATCCGTCTATCGTCGAGGAGAAATCATATTTCTCGGATGGAATTTTCATCGAAATCGATTCTGCGTTTTTAGCATAAGAATTTCCATGGGTGGTGATTCGGCACAATCCTTATGAAGGATGAAGTCATCACATTCTACACAATGATAGACACAAAAAAAAGAAAAGAAACAAGAGATAGAAAATAAAAAAATTTGAACGTACGTGAAAATCTTCTTATCACTTTTTATGTGTATATATGTAATTTCACTATTTTTTTTTTTTTGTGTCTATCTCTCTCCTCAAAGTAGGCTCATGAAGTAACTATTGTACATGACACTAGTTACTTCTTGTATATTATAAAATTTCTCTCTCTCTCTCTCTCTCTCTCTCTCTCGCTCTATATATATATATATATATATATATATATATGATCAGTTTGTTCTTTTTTAAAAAAAAATTTCTCAATTTGGTAGTGTTTCTTTTATTTTCTTTTTTTTTTCCCTCACTTTTCTTTACATGATTGATAAAGTAAAAGATCGTTGCATGCTTATCCTACGAGAAACGCATAGAATTTTGTTTAGGTGTAACTGAATTAATATTCTCCCTCAATGATTTCAACAAGTTAATATTTTCTCTATCTATTTAAATTTTTTTTTTCTTTTGAGAAACAAAGTTTATAGGATTCTAGTTAGTGAAGTGAGTAAAAATTTTTGCATGCTCGTATTTACAAATTAAAATAATTAAAAAAAAATTGTTTTTGAGAATATTTTTTACCGTCGAATAAATTAGAAAATTAAAATATTGGCTTTAGGAGTAAGGATAAAAGCAATGACTCGAAATAGTGCTATTAGGCTAGAGTATTATTAATTATTTATATGAAATATGGCAACTATTTTTCCCTATATAAGAAGCATTAAAATTTTCAGTTTTAAAATTCTACATTTTGTCTTCAAATGGTTTGATGTCATTAAGGAAGAGCCTAAATCTTGTCGATCCCTAATATATCTTCAATTCTCAAGCTCATCCCAAACAAAACACTTTATCAATCGGGTCCCAACATGTTATGTAGATCTCATGGTAATATAAAATGTATATCTTACACTGCAAAACACGACGCCATTTTTTAGTAAAATTTGAAGGAAAATGCTAATGGACATGAACATAAGCTTGACCTAATTTAATTTTTCAAAAACTTTAGGGACCCAATTGAAAATAATTTTTTTTTGGAATGAAATTGAGAATTTGTATAATTTTTAGCAGTTAATTTGAGGTTTACTTATGAAGCATTTGTTTTATTGGCTCTTGAATGGATGTTGACGAACTCTATAGCTTTAAAAAGTTAAAAATTTTCCCTTATTTTCTTCAGTCGGTGAGATTATTATTTGACTACCTTTTTTTTATCTTGAGATCACTTATGTCCTGATTTATACTTTGTGTTTTGTGGGCTTAGAAAAATTACAAGTCCGAAGGACCAAAAACAAGCATGTCTTGGGCTGAAATGACAATGTAGCATGTTTGGTTTCTAGGAAAAGTTCAAGCCAGAAAACAAGACATCTTGGGCTGAGACGACAATTTAGCAGGCTTGGATAAGGTACTTCTTGTAAGAAGAACATCTCTAGCATGGTTCTTGAGCGCGTCAAGGGCGTCTCGGCCATTGAAATGGGAAATTTTCTGACACAATTTAGAAGTCCATTGTGACAACTTTGGAAGATGAAAGTAGCAATTACTGTTTTAATTAATCACATTGTGTGCCTTCATTGTCATTACACTTTTTTCTTGCTCCAAGAATGTAGGAAACCCAAAAACAACCCATACTTAGATTTTTTTTTGCAAAAAAAGTCTAAAATATCAATAAATGGGTCACTTGTGAAATTTAGATTTTTTAGATGGAACCCTAATTTAATATATCAATAGAATTTTTCCAAAATTCAATAGTTCAATGGTAATTCTACACTTCAAATACTTAACGATTTCAAATGATATAATATCTTCTCTAATATTAGGTTTTTTTTAAAATTTCTATTTCATAATGTCATCCATGTTAAACTTGACGCATCTAAGTAATTGGATAATATAGAATTTTCGATGAAATTTATGATCCTATAATTTACTATAGAACTTTATAATATTTGACACACACACACACATATATAGACCTTGCAGCCAACTCAATTATTAGGCATTAAGAGATTAACGTTAATAATTAACGAAAAAAAGAAAATGTCATATAACCACGATGAAGTAAATTTGAACTTGTGACCTTTTACAAATTAAAAAGTTCATTAGCACTAGACTAAAAGTCTATTGATGGCATAGACATAATTTAATTAATCACTAATTTGTTAATTAAATTGGATTTTGTGGACTCCATACATGACGACTACTAATTAATTTTATATTCCTCAGAAAATGATTCGACAAATAAAATTTTGCATTGTATTTACGAGGATTGCCATGTCAAATGAATGAATTTATAAGTAATTGACAGAAGTAAGCAGTGTTTGAATTAAATAATTTTCTTGAATACTATTTTTTAAGATAATCTAACTGGATACATCATGAACCAAAAATCACATAAAAATAATGAGGCCAGACAATTTTGCTTTTCTGGTCCAAATGGGTAGGCTACAAAATTGCCCACATCATTTTCAACAGATCATGACATCCATTTGACCCTTTCTAGAGTTGATTTTGCAAAAGAAATGGGGATCATTTCGTACCTTGATGACTCAAGATGGAACCAAAATTGATCTTTGTTCACATTTTGATGATCGTATGCTATCTCATGTATTTTCTTTATGGTTATTTGTTTTTGGCCTATTCAAGTCAGTTTTTTCTATATATTGATCTCTTCTATCCAGTGAAAAACGGATTGTTCATGGTAAGATTGAGGAACTATAAATTATTTTTTTATCGTCTTCCTAAAATTCAATTTTTTTTATTATTATTATAATAAAATTTCTTACAAATTGATATGTGAACTACTAAGGCTAAAACAGTCAAACCTCTCCTGAATTTTAATTTGAAAATCAAATTTTCAACTTTTAATTTACGTTTTTACCTTCTAGAATTTTTTTTTTCAATTTAGTCCATATTATAATTTTCAGCTATCACTCCTTTATCCAAAAAAAATTCAATTTTTGGTACTTTAATTTGAAATTTTGCACACACGTTGATAGAATTCAATCTATTTTTCAAAAAAAATCTAGAATTTTTTAAAATAAAAAATTATATTTGTTCATTTTTTAATATTAAAAATAAAAAAATAGAAAATAATATGAAGTGATCTTAATTTTTTTTGGAGAGTCAAGATAAATTTCACTGAATGATTCATTCACAAAACTATTTATATAAAAATTATTTTTTATGAGATAAATGACAAAAAAAAAAAAAAAAACAGAAGTCATAACACAAATTAAAATTTTTAAAAATTAATTTTCAAATATTCTAAAATTTAGGGAAATTTTGACTTTTTTTAGCCCGGTGTCAATTACAAAACTATTAGTCTTGTGAATTTTTTATATTTTGTTAATTTGTTTGAATAGCAAATTGAGTGATGAACTTTTCTCCACCGTTATGATAGCTTCCTCCCCCAAGATCAGATACATGTCTTGTCATGTACCTAACTCATGATATGCAAACAGTTTCTTTCCCTATTTGTAGCCAAGCAAAAACCTCATCTACCATCCGAAGATGGAAATTCAACTTGCCAAATTGGCCTTGTTTGACTTAAGATATATGGAATAAAAATTGAATGGTCCTAATTAAATACCCTCCCAAACGATTTTATAATATTGTATTTTTTAAAATAAAAAAATACATATAAAAAATATAAAATAAGTAAAAGACTATTCTGACCTCGAACGGAACTTATTATAATTTTGTTATTCTTTATAAGTATAAAGAGTTCATTATCATTAAATGAGAAAACGGTTGGTATTCGAATCATAATTAATGGGGTAATGCTTTGTAAAATGATTTTATTTTTACAAATAAAGGCATAAAATAAAAAATCGTAAATTGAATTAAATTACCATTTATGTCTTTCTGTCTATCAAAACAAATTTGCTATTTTTTTTGGTTAAAATGAATAGTGTTAATTAAAAAATTATGTGAACTAATTTTGTTAACAACAAGAAAATCATATTTTCTCGTATTTTATTTTTTTAATTTAATCTTCTTCTTTTTTTTTTACAAACAAAATTTAGTTATATATATAAAAGAGGATGTTTTCAAATCAATTTTTATTCATCTCAAGATTAATCGACCATTGAACATGGTTAAAGGATACTCCTCAACACACGACTTCGAATATTATAAAAATAAATTTTTAAAAATGCTAGCTTCAAGAATTAAACTTTAAACCCGACCTATAAATCAATGCTTATTTTCAGTCACATTATCATTTTGTGATTAAAATTGATATATTTTAACAGAAAAAGAAAGAAATCATGCAGCCTAAAAATTAAAAAATAAAAATAAAAAAAGGCCGTGGGCAAGACCGCGTACTTAGAAGGAGAAGAGTGAATTATAAATTAATCATTTTAGTTTTGATAAATAAATAAATAAATCCTTTTTTCAAAAACTAATTATTTAGTATTTTTTATCCATTTTATTTTTTTATATAAAGTTTAGAAAAATAAATAGGAATAAGAAAATTTTGATGATAAATTAAGATATGTTTTAGGATAAAATTATATTAAATTAAGTATGATCAATAATGATTAAAAGATTAAATAGTTATATTTAAAAAAAAAAAGAAGAACTAATTAGCTCATTTTTACATATTATAGGGACTAATTTATAATTTACTTGAAGAAGAACGCGGCAAAAGAAAGTAACCAGCAGGTCACGTGGCGATTACTTAGTCAAACCTCAACTGTATATATTTATGCTTACAGCCATCTCTCTTCTTCGAAAAACCTTAACAGGAAGAAAGTCATCCATCTCTCTCTCTCTCTCTAAAGAGCACACCATCATGCCTGGTACAGGCAAAGAAATTCTCAACAAGATGAAGGTCAGTGGAAGCCTTTTCTTTTGATGCTATTACTACCTTCTGCTGTTATTTTTAGTGGTTAAAGAAATGATCGTGGTGTTGTTTTGTTCATTAATATCCAGTTCATGTCAGTATTCAAATTTTGAGCTGTTTTGGAAATTGGGTTTGTAGTTTTTTTCATTTTGAAGAAAAGGGTTGTTCAATAAGTTTGAAAGTTTCTTGCCTGGAATCTTGATGTGTTAGTATGATTCTCGTGGAAAATGAGAACTTTGACCGATGAAAATTATTGGCTGTTCATAATTTGCTTCAATATTAACTTATGGGATGTGATTCATAGTGGAATGACAAATTTGATGAGCCTTGGCTGCGGTGGTGAATGCATTAAAAAGTGCTTTTCAAAGTGTGTTCCGGATTATGCCTTTTCGGGTGCTTTTGGATGGCTTTGATTCGAAAAGCAGCAGCAAAAAAAAAAAAAAAGTCAAACCGATGCTTTTCAATCCAAACTTGCATTACCGAACACACACTTCAACGTATGAAAGTTATGGTTGTTCATGAGTGCCTATACTATTTTAACAAAATTTGAAAGTTGCTGACTTGGAATTTTTATGGGGTGGGATTCAAATTGGAAAATGATAACTTTGATTAGTGAAAAGTATGGTAATTTTTATGGGTGTGATTCAAATTGGAATCTTTGTGTAGTATAGTATGATTTGTAGTGGAAAATGAGAACTTTGACTAATGAAAATTATTGGCTGTTCATAATTTTCTTCAAGACTAACTTATGGGATGTGATTCATATTGGAATGACAATCTTGGCTGCAGTGGTTAATGTATTTAAAAGTGCTTTCAAAGTGTGTTTGGGATGATGACTTTTCGGGTGCTTTTGGATGGTTTTGATATGAAGATGTCAAAACCATCGAAAAGCACCCAAAAAACATCAAATTGATGCATTTCAATCCAAACTTGCATTACCAAACACGCACACTTCAACTGATGAAAGTTATTGGTTGTTCACGAGTACTATACTATTGTAACAAAATCATAGAAGTTACTGACTTGGAATTTTTATGCGGTGTGATTCAAATTGGAAAATGATAATCCTGATTAATGAAAAGTATGGTAATTGTTCACACGTAGCTAGCAAAGCCTCCAATTATGAAATTCCCAGAAATTGTAGTTGGTTAGTAGACCAATCATGACGATGTAATATATTTTCATTGATTATTGTTCTTCTATTAGGTGAAGGCTGGGTTTTTTTCATCTGCATCCAGTGACACAGGAAAAGGCAAAAGCAAAATGTCAAAGCATCTTACACATGGTTATCATTCGGTTGAGGGAAAATCAAATCATGTGATGGAAGATTATATAGTTTCTGATTTCAAGCACATGAATGAAACCGAGTTGGGTTTATTTGCAATATTTGATGGCCATTTGGGACATGATGTTGCAAATTACTTACAGACACATTTGTTTGATAATATCTTGAAAGAGGTAATTATGTCGTATGATTTTGGTTCTATTTTCTTGTATTTGGTTAATACATATGCAGGCTACAGCCAGCTAGTAGGAGCAAATTTTTAATTTTCCCCCTCAAGCAGCATGACTTCTGGACCGATACAGAGAGTGCAATAAGGAGAGCTTACCGTACAACAGATGCTGAAATATTGGAGAAAGTGTTGGTCTTAGGAAAAGGTGGATCGACTGCTGTTACAGCAATATTGATCAATGGCGAGAAGCTGGTAGTAGCAAATGTGGGAGATTCTCGGGCTGTTATATGCAAGAATGGTGTGGCCGAACAGCTATCAGTTGATCATGAGCCAAGCATGGAAAAAGGAATGATCGAGAGTCGAGGTGGTTTTGTCTCATATATTCCTGGTTAGTAGCTATCCACAAATTAGTGGTTTCTTTTTCAAACTAAAAAAATTTGAATAAACAGCTATCAATTGATTCGTGGATTGTTGTCCAGCAGCCAAACTATTTGGGAAATCTTTATTAATAAGTAATTTGAACTTTTAATAATTATATTTTACCAACCAGGTTCTGAGTTTTCAATAAACATCATTGTGACTGAAACTTGAAGGTACATGTGGGGACAGAGAATAAACTTATGTGTCTGGCTAGTGGATATAGGTCATAGAATAAACTTCTCGAATTGTGTTGCTTGCAGGGGATGTCCCACGTGTTGATGGACAGCTTGCTGTAGCAAGGGCATTTGGTGATAAGAGTCTGAAGATACACCTTAGTTCAGAACCTGATGTGGTCAAGCAGACGATTCATGATCACACAGAGTTTCTCATTCTGGCAAGTGATGGCATATGGAAGGTTGGTCAGTTGCTCTTTAATGTGTTGCTTTCATATTCTTTCTGTTTAACTTTCTAAGGAAGATGAGAGAATAGACTTGTGAATTATGGAAATTCTTTATGCACATTTGAAGACGATCTTTGATTTTGGTATTACCAAATGACTTATATCTGGGTTTATATTTCTAATGCCTTCTCAAAATCCAAGCAGGTGATGTCAAACCAAGAAGCAGTAGACTCTATAAAGCACATTAAGGATGCTCATTCAGCAGCAAAGCACTTGATAGAAGTGGCACTTTCTAGAAAGAGTAAGGATGACATATCTTGTATAGTTGTAAGGTTTCGATGATAAGTATGTATCTTTGGGAAAGGAGAGTTTGAGATTTCCGTTCATGGTGCAACTCCAGCTAATATGTGTGTATACTATACATACATAGACTTTTTCCCCTTTTTAGCAGTAGAGAATGTTGGAATCATTGTTGCATGTACAATTGAGAAAATAAAATTCACTTATTACTTGAAATTCTTCCGAAGTCATAATATTGTTTAAGGTGCTGTGTTGACAAGAAATAGTTGGATTGCCTGGAGAGTGGAATCTGTGAAACTAAGCCTGTATTATTGTTTTATTCATATTATTTATCTCACAACTTATGCTAACATAATCTGCCAGAGTGAAAGTGGTCACAGTAGCAATGCTTAGGTTGGGATTGGTATTGCTTGTGCAGAAATGAAATGTTATTGGGAGGGGTGAGGATTGATAATGAACTCTTTTAAGTTTCATCTTCGTAGGAATATCATGTATCGACAGGAGGGAATCTAATAAGAACTACCCCTTTTCTGTTCTTTTCTTCTAAGTAGAATCAGTAGAGATGATTTCCATTTACCAAATTGGAGAACAGAAACTAGAGAATATTCTATTCCCACTCTGTTACCCTGGCCTTAGCTCAGGTCGTAAAGAGCTGAGATTGCCAGGTTCAAGTTGGTCGATAGCTTTGTATCTTGGTTGTTTGGGGCAGGGGGGTATTCATCTTCTTCAACTGCATTAGGAAAATCCATGATTGGCAATTCTCAACTTAATTGCTTTGGTCTGGCAACTTCATGAAATACTGTTGGTTACTAGTACTGCTGTTAATAGTATTGCATATTATTCACTGGGAGAAAAGAACTGTTCTTGGATTATTACGCTCAAAACAGTCATGGTCATATGCTTCTCTGGTTTTCATCTTTGCTAAAGCAACTTCCTTAGCACAACATATTAAGCAGCTGCACGGGAAATTCTTACGGGTGTTGCCCAGACATCAGTGATCTAATGCTGCAGAAAGGGAAATAGAAATCAATACTGTCGTCTGTTTTATGCATGCGTATTTGTGATGAACTTAGCTTGCTTCATCAGCAGCTATGTCTTCGATGCAACTTATTAAGGTCCTTGAGCTGACTGCAACAAGCTAGTGAGGTTGTCAGATCTTTCTCATGAAGAAAGTTCAAGCATGGAAATCAGTCTCATACCACATCTTCACATTCAGGATTTTCCCATGTGGGAAGGTCAGTTGATTCAGAAACTAGAATCAAAGGTGCGAGAAGCAGAACCTCTTACTACTCATTGCCATTCTGTGCATGACAATCAGCACTTGCTAGTTGCTAAGGTGAGAATGCATAGAAGGCTGACTGTTATTGCTGCTCCTTACTAATTTTTCTTTAATAGTCCTTAGCTGCTAACTAAAATCATCTCATGCGTTTATCATGCCCATGAATCACTGAGTATTGTTGAGCATGGTGACTTCATTGTTAATACAGTGAACCTTTTTGCAGCATTGTGTGAACTATTAAGCCTGGAGGTTTGGTTGGTTTTCTGCTCAAGTTGTAGGTGGTTCCTTGATCTCATGGGACCATAGTTTTAAACGGTGGATGGTTGAAAAAATGATTGCTGCTTACTATAATACGAAAATAACGATAACGGGATATTTCGAAACCGTTACATAACGACCGTTATATAATGTAACGGCCGTTATTTAAAACTATGCATGGGATTGTCTGGTAGGAGTTTGGCATGTTGCCCTGTCCAGTTTTAAGTGACAATTCAGTTACCTGAAAGGGAACTAAGCTATCCTTGTTAGAGTACCCTGACGGGACAACATGGATAACTGGGTTCACATGTTTGATGTGTGAATGTTGAATTTCATTAGAGGCTCGACATGATTCTTGAAAATGTGGAAACAGTTCTTGAATCCCAAGCTGAGTTTTGCTTTAGGATTGAAAGGAAGCAAATAGAGAGGTCAACTTCCACTAGAATGAGAACCTTGTGGTGCATTAGCTTATAGCATTTTGAAGCTGCAACAGGCCTTGGCAATATCTGGTTATCAGAGGTGGGCACGTGATGGTTTGCATCTGAGTCTGGTACTTGTGTTTTTATGGCAAAGAGTGGTTCCCATCTAAGGCCGGTGCCTGTGTTTTTGAGGCAGATTTCTGAGATGTAGACCTCTAATCCTCTAACTTGGATAAAGGAAATCGTTGTGGAGGAGTAAATTATAAATTAGTCTCTCTATTTTTCAGAAACAAACTAATTAGTCTCTCGTGTTTTAATAACTAATTATTTAATCTCTCAACATGTGACGTTTAATTTAATGTTATTTTATTTTAAAAAATTATTTTTTTTCATCAATCTTTTTTTACTTGTTTGTTTCCTTATTTTATTTCTTAAAACAAAAAATCAAGATAATTGGAAGGAAAAAAAAAAACAAAAAGAGCCAAGCTAAAAGAAAATTTTAAAAAATTAAAAATTAAATAATTAGTTTTTAAAATTAGAAAAATTAATTAATTTGTGGGGACTAATTTATAATTTACTTATTTAAGAGGAACATATGAAAGCTCTTATATTCAACTATTTTATCTTCCGTCGATTATTCGTCCTCATATTTCGTAAAAAGTAAACCATTTATATCAAAATTAGAAAATTGGTAACAAATTTTGTTTTTCACTGTCTAATCGGATAGCCTATTCGAAGAAAAGCAACGAATCTCATAAACCATAAATAGATTTGAAATAATGTCTTCTTATTATTTTTATTTATCCGAGATTTATCGTATATTTTTTAGGGATAGATCATAAAAGAGGTATTCATGCGTCAGTTACTTGCCCTAGTCATAATGTGACCTCTAAATTAGTTAAAAGTTCATGTGTAAATTTATTATATAGCTTAATGACCTTTGTCCATAAGCCAAAAATGTCCACACACAGACACTATAAAATCAAATGAGACAGTTTCAAGTGTTTTGTTTTTTGTAATTATTGACAGTTTCTTCATCTTTTTCTCTTCTTCTTTTTAGGACCAAAACCTAATATCTTGTCATTGTTAGGAAAAGATTTGTCCAGTTTGGTTAAGACATCAAATTTCTTAGCTATTCCATTAAAATTCCTGTGACATTTTTATCTTTTCCAAATTAACTGTTGCTTATGACATATAACAAGACAATGAAGATAACTGCATCGCTTGTCTTTTTTAGAATCTTACTTTATCATAATAAAATTTCTGAACAAATCTTTCCTTATTTAGCTTCATCAGCCTGAAATAAGTTTTGGGGCGGGGATGTTAATAGGTTGGATATCCGGTCCCTTAATTCAATCTCTTAACCTATTTTTTTAAAAAAATATTTTATCCATACCTACTAAAAATTACTTTTTAAACTCATAACTAGTTCACATCCGTTTTATCTGTCTATTTAATAATAATTTAACATTAGCTAAAAATAATTTATCAAAAAGTTCCATTTTAGTTCTTGTAATTTTTTTACAAAGTTATTTTGATTTTTAAAATTAATTTTTTTTTTATAATTTGATCCCTTATTTATAAGTTTTTTTGGCTCTTAAAGCTTACATAAAAGCATTTTGATCTATGCTTTATAAAGTTTTTGCACAATCGGATCCTTGCATTTTTTTTTTAATTTTTTTAATTTTTTTTATTTTTTGTATTAATAAGATAGAAAGTGGATATCTATATTTCAAAGCATATTAACAAATATGTGATTTTTTTTTTTTTAACTCTTATCTATCTCAATATCTATTAGATATTTTTAATAGATATTATTAGATTAAATAAAACAGATATCCGGTTTATATCTAATCAATTGACGTCCTTCCAATTCTAGGTTTGGTTTCTCACGTTAATTACGTGTTATTAGATCAAGAAAATGACAATGAGCATTAAATTCCTTTTGTTTGATAGGATGGGCTTGGCACTAATCGAATGGGCTTTAGGCCTGTTGTGACCAATGAAGCAAAAGGAAGTTTCATGGTTCCTCTTGAAACAAACTAGCATGGACATTTTTTGGCACTTGGGAAAGAGACCAAAACAGCACAATTTTGCACACCAATGAAAGAAGTTTCAATGTTGCAGGCAACCGAACATAATTTGCTTGGCAACATCTACATTAATTATTAACCTTAAACAGTTAAAACTTCAATCCGACCAGGCAAATAGGTAGGCTTTCTACTCTGGTTTTGGTTTTGCCTATTCAACATGGTTGAGCTCGAAAAGAAATAGTTGCATTATAAACATATTAATTTTTAATATTTTTTCGATTGAGAATATAGATATATATATCAATTTTTTTAATATTGTTAATTAATTATTTCCGTTTAACTTCGGTTAATTATTCTGTTGTTATTTGATGATATGTTCTTCGTTCTAGATTATTAAATTATGATTTTACTTTTTTTTCATTGAGAAAACTTTCTTTTTTCATTTTTTGTTTTTTGGATATAAGGATAATTTGTGTATTTAATATACAAAAAATTGAAAAAGGCAAATTGATTTGGGATGAAAAATTTTCTCGGAGAGTTAAAGAGCAAAATCATAATTTAATAGCATAAGAAAAAGAATATATCATTAGATAACAAAATAATTAATAAAAGTTGAACGAAAAATACTTCATTAGCATTATTTTGAAAAAAATTAATATAGTCAGATGAAAAAAAATAAAAGAAATAAATCCATATCAATTTATTGAAATTGATAGGTGTCCGGAAGCCATTAATCATACCAAAACTGTGTTTGAGACGGTTGTAACAAGTTTTCAGTACAAGTCTTGTGAGCAATTAGCCTTCTAAGTAAATAATTAAAAGGATTATCAATTTAGTTAAACAAAAACTGAAGAGGATTTGTGAGATTCCTACATGCCAATAGCAATCTAAACAATGGCTATCTTTTTTGCATATTAGGCCAAGAATTACTGCCGTTCGAGGAGACAAAAAGAGGGAGGAAGAAACTTTTTGGCCTTATGGAGAAATCTATACTTGCTCAATGTATGAAGTCGGTTTATAATTAATTAAACTTTTTTTATTCTAGAACCAAAAAAATATAAATTAATCCCTTTAGTTTCAAGAATCAAAATAGTTAATCCCTTGGTTTAAAAATTAATTTTTTTAATTTTATAACTAGTATTGATCACGTTTTATTTAATATTTTTTGTTTTTCAAAAAACGCTTTTCTTCTCATCAATCTTTCCATAATATCTATTCATTTTTTCCTTTCAATATTTTTGTTAAACAAATTAAAAAAAAAACATAAGATATATAAAATGACCAAATAATTAAAAATAAAAAAATTAATTAATTATAAATTAAATTTTTTTATTATAGAACTAAAACATAAAAATTAGTCTTTTTAATTTTGAGAAATGAATTAATCAATTTTTTATTTTAAAAATTAATCATTTAATATTTTAATTAATCAATGTTGATCCTATTTAATTTAACATTAGTTTTTGTTTTTTTAAGCCTTTTTTCCTTATCAACTAATCCATAATATCTGTCTTTTTTTTTCTTTTTTATATATATATTTTTTTAAATAACACGATACACCTACATCTAAAAATACTAATTAATTGGTTTCTCAAAATTAAAGATAATGATAAATAATTTACTCAAAATTTTTGCCATTCATTTGGCATCTAGTTTAGTGGACTTTTACCCTATATATCTAATTAAAAGCAATACAAACACAACAATCAAGCCCCTCAAATCCATCTGACCAAAACATGACCAAAAGAAAGTCCAAAACTTGGTATTGATAATGAATTATTTTTCTGATAACAAATCCTAGTGGACACACATAGCAAGGCATTGTGTGCTATGAGCTGTGAGAGGTTGCCACCTATTCGTTTTTGCATGATGAACCCTAATACTATGAAGCCACGCATTTGTTTTCCCATACCTTACCTCCATCCTTGTCATCCTTCAATTCTCTCTCTGACCACCTATAAATCTTGCCCCACCATTTGTTTCCTTCTCCCTCAACATCTTCTTCTTGGTCTCCTTTCTTCCTTTCTTTTACCACTCTCTTCAATATTTCATTAACTTCTATATAGTTCTAAAGTCCTATACCTAGCTAGCCAAAAAAATGAGCACTATTTGTGCCGAGCAACACAAGCTCTACCCCTCTCACCAGCTTCTTTCTCCCAAGAAACCCTTCAAAGATCTTGAAATTCCCCCAAGAAAACTTCTTACGAAGAGATTAACCCATCAAGAAAGCCTAGACATGTCCCCATATGAGACTAATCTCCGAAAATTCCTTCCTTACAATGACTACAGCAATGACAAGTATGAAAAAGATATAGATGATGAGTTAGATCCATACTCTTCTGACCATTTCCGCATGTATGAGTTCAAAGTTCGTCGATGCACGCGTAGCCGTAGCCATGACTGGACCGACTGCCCCTTTGCTCATCCGGGCGAAAAGGCTCGTCGGAGAGACCCTCGTAAGTTTCACTACTCCGGAACTGTTTGCCCTGAATTTAGACGTGGAGGGTGTAACCGTGGAGAGAATTGTGAGTTTGCTCATGGTGTTTTTGAGTGTTGGCTGCATCCTTCTCGTTATCGAACTGAGGCTTGCAAAGATGGCAAGAATTGTAAGCGAAAGGTTTGTTTCTTCGCTCACTCACCTCGCCAGCTTCGCATTTTGCCTGAGGTTTCTTCACAAAACATTAATAGCTTAGGCAATTCACCCTGTTCATCTCTCAACCATAGCCCTTGTTGTTGTGTTGTTTGCCATTCACTGACTTCCTCACCAACTTCCACTCTCCTTGGTATGTGCCACATGTCGCCGCCATTGTCACCATCACTATCACCACCTCTCTCACCGGTAAAACACCGATCCTTATCCGGGTTTTCGCCGATTTCCCGATACACCGAGAGCCTAAGCAAGTTTAGGGCTGGAGTTGGGAGTTACCAAGATGTGCTTACTGAGCTTATGAATTCTTTAGAAGCCATGAATTTCAATGAAGGCGCAGGTGTTTCTTCACCTCTGTCCTTACCTCCTAATCACAACGGGAATGTTAGCAATCCTCCATGGAATCTTGATGTCTCTTACGATTTAGAAGATCAGCCACAATTCATTCTTTCACCCTCAACTCCAACCCCTTCATCAAATTTTTTCAATGGAGATCGTTCAAGCAATAAGGGATTCTTCATTGATCATGATAATGGTGCTGGTTTGGCAAGTACTCCTGATCCTGATCTTGGATGGGTCAATGATCTCTTGACGTAGAGATCTCGATGATGATGATGATGATGAAAAATGGACAGGATTGGATGTGGAAATGTGTACATACAAACCAGTCCTGCAGCACCAGCCGTATGTGTCCAGCTTTATATATATATATATATATGTGGATTTGGTGTAAATTGTTGTTATTATTGTTTCCTCGTTGAGTTCTTGATTTCATCTAATCGTGTTTTAATATTGTTAATTAAGTTTGTATTTTGAAGTTTAAGCACTTGTGTTCAAGAAGAGAATGTTAATTATCTTTGCTAATTAATGTTTGATGATGTATTGAAATTTAATCAACTTTTCAAGTGGAATGAAACATTAATTTCTTGTTTCTCTCTTTTTTTTTTTTTTTTTTTTTGGGGGGGGGGGGGGATGATAAGCTATAAGCTAAATCTTCAAGGGTTTTTTTTTCCCCTCATGATTTGTGGTTTTGCATGTAGAGGTATAATAATTTACGTGTTAAACCTAATAATGATTTGTGGTGAAGATTAAAAGTCAATTTAGTGATTAAAAGATATTTTTTTGGAGATAACTATTGCTTAGGTGGCATAGTAAATATTTGATACGTGGCAAACATGCAGGGAGGGAAGGTGATGAGTAGATCGTACGATCTTGAGTATTTTCAGGCTAAGCTATATGGTGATCTAATCTATCAGATATTTTCTTGGCACTTTCTAGATGTCTGAAGATGCTTGTCTAAGGCTGGATTATTCTTCAAAGAATATTTCTTAAGTTGTTATAACCAGAAAAAGAAAACTACTCCTATAGCTAGTTTGCAATTCACATTAAACAAGTTTTCTAAGAACAATGATAATAGCTCCATTGCTTAATTCTAATCAGTTCTTTAATTGTTTAGTAAATTTCTTAGTTGTTATAACCAACAAAACAAAAACAACTACTATAGTTGTAATTAACATTGAACAAGTTTTTTAAGAAACTTGTTTAGCGTGAAAAAAAAAATTAGTTTCGATTTTAAAGGAATACAATTATTTTATTTCGAAATTAGAAGTTGATTTGAGGGTATGATTTTTTTTGGAATACAATTTGTTCAAAAATAGAAGTTGATCTGAGGATACAAGTTTTCCGAAGATGGAAGAAAGAGTATAGTGAATGGATCCTGCTAAATTCATTCTCACTTTTTGATTTTCTTAACTAATATTTTTTTTATTAATATTTATTACATTTTAATTAAAAAATTCTCTTTTCATTTGTATTGCATTAAGAAATTACGGTAATCATTACTTGAGATGATTAACTTGAGCGAAATAGGTTTTAGTAGCTTAAACAAGTAATTTTAAATAATTTTTAATTTTAATTTTTATGTACGTAAAAAAATTATTGGGTAGCTATATCCATCTTGTGTTCGATCAAATAGCGAAGAATTAGTCCAGAATGTCCTAGAGATAAAAAAAAATTTTAAAAATAATTTTAAAAATAAAATAATAGAAATAACAATTTGTATCTTAATGGTTTTCTCACTTTTCTAAAAACTTGGAGCTAGATGTACTTTCTTTTCTAAACGCTTGGAAGCTTTTGATGAAGAAAAGGGCAATTTCCATCTTGCATGGTAGAAAGCATAAAGAGAAAGTAGGTCTTGAGTTTATCAACATAGATAAAGCTTCAATGCAACCAATTTCATAAAAGACATATGTGTTTCCTGAGTAAAAGCATTGATGCATCTTTGTCCTTGATTAATATTAGTAAGTGGAGACAATAAATTAGAGAGCAGACATTATGACTTCCTCATTAATTTATGCACCAAACTATCTAATCTATAATGCTGGGTACATCGCCTTCTTTATTGCAGCGCAGGTTTGAGATATAATTTGAATGCAAAATTCAAAATTTTGAACTTAGAGTATTCCCTAATAGGTTCTTTCATAGAATCTTGATTTCACTTATATCGGTTTTTAAACAAATCACTTACAATTGAATTCATGAATTTAATAGAAATTTCATTTTTTTAATTTAGATTTATTAGAACACATATATCAAATTGAATAATTAAATAAAAATGATTAACAAATAAGATTGAGAAGAGACCACCTACCATAAAACTTAAATATTTTGAATGAATTAAATCTCAACTATCTAACTCTATATGGTATCGGAGTCCTAATAATCAAACAAGTCGCCCAAAGTCTTTAACTCGTGGGGATGTAGTATGAGAGTCTTAATGATCAAACAATCGCGAGTTTGAATCTCACTATCCCTATTACTCTTCTAATTAATCAAGTACAAGGTAGTGTGGATCTATACAAATTTCAAGTCCAAAAAGCTTTCATTTAAGGAGGTGTGTTAGAGAATAACATAAATCGTATCCCGGGATCTCACCTAAAAGTTCAAGTTTTTGAATGAGATGATTCTTTGACATGGTATCGAGCCAAAGACACCCAACGACCTAGTAAAAATCCCGAAACCGAAGCCACTTAACGAACATCAAAAAATAGGCTCCAACCGAAGAGGAGTATTAGAATATATATTCCACATTGAATAATTAAACCAAATATGATTAAGAGAGAGCTATATATCATAAGGTTTAACTCTTTTGAATGGAACTTAATCTCAACTATCTAACTCTATAAGATTCAAATCCGAAATAATAATTTGTTATTCACATTCATATAAATCTATTTTTTCACTTAAGCAAATTAAAATTTTAAGTTCTTGTTAAGTATTATGTTAATATTAGTCTACAATACATCAAGTTAAAGTTCACATAGAATACGTATTTAAAATTTAATTTCAGTTGAAATACAATAAAATCATCTAATTTTTTTTTCAAAAAAAAAAAGTTAATACATGTATAATGATTACTCTTTAAATATTATAAAATTTCTCTCTCTCTTTTTTTTCTCTTTTTTTTTTTTTTTTCAAGATAGGGTACTTTGCAAAAGATGCTCTATCAATTAAATTCCAACTACCATGGAATCGAGCTACGCATATATAGAACCTAGAAAACGTTCTCTTTTCGTGATAATGGTAAATTTAATGCCATTAATAACCCTTATCAATGGCAGCACGAAGCCACCAAAATTTTGCAACCATTTAATTTTGGAGGATTAGTACACAAATAAAATATAAGATAATTGAAGACCATGCACACTCTATGACGATGGCATATATTATTGGTTTCCTAGGAGGGGTACTTATCTGAAAAGACAGCTATGGTGGTAGGGAAAGGGAGCATAAGGCAGTGTTTGGAATGATTCTTATTTTGGGGTAGGGTTTGTTGTCTTGGTGCATTGTTGGTGTTAGGTGGTGATGTTCATAGAGTCACAAGAAATGGTGGAGCAGCCCATACTAAAATGACTAGTGATAATGTTTTAGGGTCCCCCACCTGCCTTGATCTTTGGGGTCACAAGTTTCCTTTCCTTTATGGGAAAATATTGAATGCAATTTGTAGGACAACGTGCCCATACTTAGCAATGCTCGTTCACTTCACCTAAGGTATGGCTGAGACCTGTGAAAATGATCAGTACGTTTTTAGATTCTTGTTTTTGCTTGCAGATCTGTTTCTGCTCGGTCTGTGCAAGATTCACCATTTTCCCTGAAGCTCTCTCTCTCACTGGGACAAATTGCTGTGTTTAAACTTTGTGATGAGGACCATACTTAGTGCAAATTGGGAAGCATCATCTGTGAAAAAGTGAACGAATCCAAGGCAGTGGAAGAACACCTGACCATAGCCGGATCGCGCAAAGAATATCCGATCATTCTTCCAGCGCTTATATATATATATATATATATATATATATATGTATATAAAGAAAAAGGTGGCAAATTAAAAAAAGGAGAAAAACAGTAAAATAAATTTTAAAAATAATGTTAATATTGGGAAAAACGGTAAAATAACATTTAAAAATAATGTTAATATTGCATCAGCTCAGCATCAAAATAGATTTTAAAAAATTCCTTATTTCGAAAAAATTTCCATCATTCATCTAGCTTAATAACAATCAGCTTCATGCAAGAATTCATGGCATTCTGTAACTTTTCTTGATAAAAATATAATCCACCAACCTTACGATCTATTATTTTACACCCGGCTTCAAGCGATCTTTGAAGGCATGTATATATATATATATTGTTTTTTTTCTTCTTTGTTCTCAATAATATATATATATATATATATTTTTTTTTTTTTTCCTCAAAAATTTTGACCAGGTCTCACTTTTTGCTAAAAAAAAATAAAAATAAAAAAAGCATGTACCGATTGATACTGACTGCATCAACATATAACTCAAATAGATAAAATAAAATATCAAGCATTTAAACAAAAACAAAAATTAGACTCTAAAGTAGCAGTTTTCTCTAATTTCAAATGAGATTTATTTTTGATAATGTGTCAATTGAAATCAATTTCAAGTGACAATGCATTTAAATAGGTAAAGTAAAAAAATGAGGCAGTCAAATAGAATAAAAATAAAAAATTGAGTACTTAAATTACAGTATTTTTCCTAATACAAATTGATTAGACCCACCAAAGAACAGTTACATCTAATAATTTCTCAATCTTTACAGCTTAAAGTTCAGAAATGTTTTCCCATGAAGCATTCTTCCACTCTAGAAGTATCGATTCATTCATTTAAAATTAGCTTCAAGACGAGTTCTAATCATTTAGTGAAGATAAATTGTTCGTACTATGCAAAAATGTGGAAAAATGAGCAACTGAAATATGTAAGAAGAGGGAAATGTAACCTTCACAATCTAGGATCTACATGGAATGCCGGTAGACCCCCTACAAATAGGTTTGGTTTTGCAGCTCAACTATGCTATCCATCTGCGTGTTTGTCGCAATGAACATATCGTTAAAACTCAATTGTCCTTTCTTGAGTAGATCAAAGACAACCTGGATTGTGATTGAAAAAAATCAAAAGAAGTTCCTGATCCCAAAGACCTCCTAGAGCTTGGAGAATCGGACAGGAGAGGTTCGTAAACTGGATTTCTGTTCTTCGACTGAGTAATTGATAATGGAGCTACATCTGTCTCGATCAATCGTTGTTGTGGCTCGATATTCCCAAGAGACAATATTGGTCCACCTAAACGTTCTGCTTGCTGAAGGATGTTGATTTTACTGGATCTGTATGTATAACGGAAATACTTTATAGCTAAAATTGGACCCATCCCTGCCGCAACAATGAGCTGCAAAAAATGAGTCGCTTTCAGTAAAAATATGAAATGCAGTCTGGAAAATAGTTCCCACATGTTTCAAAGCAGCTCCCAGGTTTTCTAGCCACCAAGAGAGTGTCAAATGGGGTGGGGGTAGATCAGTTCAAATCCCTTGTAAGTGTTGCAAAACTAATAAAAACTTGTTTTTTAATAGCAAAATATGCCACCCTCTAATCCTCAATCTGAAAACAACAGCCATAACTGCAGAAAGAATGGAAAATGGTTCTCTCTTTGGAGAACACTTTTGAGAGATGCTGCATTTAGGATCAGCAAGGCTGTCAGGTCAGCATGCCCAAAAAGAGCAGTTACACTAAGATTTTCCTTAAGTATGGCAGCAGCATCCATACAATGGCCTACCATGCCGTAAGGTGCAAGCTGTGCCATGAAATGAGAAATGCATAAAATGGTCTAAAGGTGCCTAGCTCATCAAGTCTCGCAGTTGTTGCCTGGAGATATCTGATCATTTTCATTCACAACCAAAACCCATTTGCATCTGGATTGTGACGGTTAAGGAATAAAGAAGGGCTTGAGGCTTTTGAGTGACCATCTATTGGAACAAAGGGAAGTAAATGAACAAGAATAGTGCAAACAATGGAAGAGACACTTACAAATATAGTAATCCAATAAGATGGTTGCCCACATAACCGGAACATTATTGTGTACATCCCTGAAGCTGGAATGGCACTGACAATCCAATTGATGACGTAAAATGCAACCAAGTTCCCCCATATGGCAAGATGTTGCAATATTGTAAATGAGCTGCATATAAGCAAAACTCAGGACAGTTAAAACAAACTAATACAATCCCTCGATACCTTTCATGATTAACCAAGAAATAGTTGACTTCAAATTAAAGACTGAATTAATTTCATGAGAAACGACAGATATCTCAATTATTTCCTAGGATGACTTGAGTGTTATCCTCCACAATGAGGGGTGAAATGTCGTGATATGCCCTGCAACTCTCTCATATACAGAATCCTAAAGGAAGAGCTACCTTTTCTGTACTCATAAAGAAAGGGGACAAATAGAATTTTGAAAATTTTGTCGCTCTTGTCTATCCATCAATCCAAATCCCTACAAATAGAACAGCTCCAAACAGTCTTAAAATCTTTCTTCCTTACAAATCCCAAAAAAAAACAAGCTAATAACAAATCCTTCACCTTCTATTGGTAGATCTGCTATTCCCTAAAAACACTAATCTAAGAAATGGAACAAGATAACACAAGCATGCCTGTCTTCAACTCTTAAATCATATAACACAGGGCATTCGAGACAAAGAGCCTTGTGTACCCTTTGTACTCTGCTAATTTTGTCTAGGCCACAATTATTTCACTTATCCATAAAACAAAAGAAAAGTTTCAAACGCTAAAAAAGAAAATAGGAGAGAGAAAAGCTTACTTGGTCTCTAATGCTACAACAAAAGCCTGCAACCATATACATCCGGAGAGTGCCACCATTGCAACCTCCTCCATTTCACTTTTCTCAAACGCATAGGCATGTATGCTAATTACAAATACAACAATCGCCTGCAAATCATCCCAGTATCAATATGCAAGTTGCAAGATAAACAAATATTTTAAAGAAAATCTCCACATTACATGGGTTTCTTTCACGAAGTAAACTTATAAAAAAGTTCTTCTAGATAGGAGAAGAAATTTTTTTGAATAGTGTTATAGCATGATCTAACACACTTGTACAAGCTCAATAACTTGTCATTTTGGAACTTCTATAGTCAGAAAATCTGAAGATGTAGAGAGAGAGAGAGTGTGTGTGTGTGTGCGAAACACCTTATCAGCCAAGAAGCAATTATTTTACCATAGATCTACAAACCATATCTCACAGAGTGCTTTCAGTTTCACAAGGAAACTCCTCAAACATTTCCATCCATGACATTTCACTATTTCAACTAGCTCATTAAGATTAGCAAAGGAATCAGTTGTCCCTTGTGCATTAATGTCTCTGAAATTTTCATCACAGAGATGAAGTTTCATCGGTGTCGTTGATGCTAAATGACTTTTTTCTTCGAATCTCAGTTGCAAGCATATGTTTATCCACTTGTCATATGATACTAGCAAAAAGGAAACAAAATGAAATAAAAATGGTACTCACATGAAAAAGGGACCTGCCAAACCATCCTGCAAATGTGCTTGGGTTAAGAAGCCTGCATCAAGAATGATCATAACTCAGTTTAATGAGTATGCACTAACAGGAACTATAATTACCTACAGACTAGTCAACATATCTCGTTTCAACTGGAAAAGGTAACAAATATAACTAAGAGTACCTCCCAGCTTGGCAGTAAAACAGAATTTGTGGATGCTGCATTACAGTCTCTTCACTAAGATCTTTGTCAAGGACACTAACTAGAACAGGTACACTAGTGTAGAAAACATTATAAGCCATCAAGCTAACAGAATTGAAAAGACTGGTCCCAGAGACTCCTGAAATAAAAGAGAAGCTGTATGTACACTAATGTCAGTATGGGAAAACCAAGGCCATAAGATACATCGCACCAAAATTTAACATACTAATCCTTTACTACCAAGATGAAGAAAGCAACAAAAGAAGGCATTGCATGTGGAAAAACTCACAAGATTTGGATGAAACATATCAATAGGGATTTATAGAAAGAATACTGGGACAGGAATGCAGTTCGGTTGTACGAATACCGGCCATGGACAAGTATCAATCTTTTTAGAAACCTGAACTCTGAAACAAATAGCATTGGTCAGAGAAGGCTAAACATTAAAAACTAACAAAAAATTCAAAACATAACTTCCTCTTTTGTTGGTGGTTTGCGTGTCGCATTGTAGTAACATTAAACAATGTTTGCATAAAAGTAATCTAATAATTTTGCAAAATATACAAAACAAGAAGACATGGAATTCCCCGCTTTATGTGATTGATTTAAGGGGGAAAAAAAGGTTCAGGTGATGTCATACATTAATGCAGAGTCGGAATATATTAAGTTGTCATGATTGACTCTTTGGAAAAATTCCTGAATTTTCCATCCCAAGAAAAAATTCAAGTTTAGTTTACAGGTTATTCCTCTACCAAACAAGGAAAAGGGGGAAAAATCAGGCCTGATAAATACACTGGACAAGAAAAATCATAGCTTACAGAACGGCTAACAGTACCTCTCATCTATTCTTTGTTATAACAAAGTCATTTTAAATCTTGTTTCCAGAAACCAGTACAAGTCTTTAATCATGTCTTCATCTAGATCACTGTTTCTCACAATTACAAATTTGAAGTGCCCTAATAGTCAAATCATGTATCTTAAAATATCAACCATTAACCGGCAATTAGTAATTTAATGCTTTTAAGTTTTTGATAAAATCCCTAATTTTCCTAAAATCTAAATAAAATTCATCAATGTCCAACAGCTAGAGAACACTTATTTTGAAAGAATTAGCATAAATAGTAGCATCTAAACATGGTAGAGGATTCAATTTTGACAGCTGGTGCCTGGAAGTATGAGAGTAGTTCCTTTGCAGAAACAAGAGGCAACAATGTACTTAGCTTGGGGCAAGTTTTCAAAATCAAGTCAGTACATTAAGCATCTAACATATAATAACAACATATTGCAACGCAAACATGTATAACAGAGACATGACTTGCACACATTAAAAAAAAAACAACTTACTTCCAATACTATAATCAGCGGCCCTGGCTGCCTGCAGTCCTTCTCTCCCACTAATGCCAACCCCAATGTCAGCTTGTTGTATCATTCTCACATCATTCCCACCATCGCCAATTGCCAAAGTCCTATAGTCACATGATTTTAAGATCTGTACAAGCTGCAAAAACAAGTTTCCATGCGTCAATGGGAGAAAGACACAAATATTATTTACTGATAGCATAGCAAAAGAAGAAACTGGAGCCCAGGTAAACAAAAAAGGAGGATATATTAAGGACTAGCTAAGATCTAGGGTTCCAAGCTAAACAAGAAGAACAGAATACACGATTGAAGTTTTGGTTACACCAATGACAGCAAAGGAGGTTTTGTTGTTTCAATAGAGAAACAATATTTCATACATAAAATCTGCCATACAAGGGGGCCTAGAGAATGATGTCACCCATGTAATCCAAGAGAAGGGTTTGAAATAGAGAAGTAAGAAAGGAGTGCCATATGATCATAAAACTCCTACTACATTGATGAAAAGATTTGAAAGAGAGGAAAGGCAAGGAAAGGAAAATGGCTGTAGCTGGGGGTACTTTTATCAGAGGGAAAAGGATTTTAGGGGATTCGGAGGAGGTTCCTTACTCACATCAAACACATTTCAAGTTCCCCATATTGGGAGAATTTAAAGGGGTAAGGCATTAATGAATTGTCTTTGTACTTCCCACAAAACACCTTTTCCATTTCTTAATTATACATCATTTCAGAACAAATAGGAGAATGATTATCAACAAGATAGAGAACAACTATTTGTTCTCCTTTAAGCCTCATCCCTCTTCTTCCTTCAAACTCCCAAACGAAGTGTTCATCTACCCATCTCCATCTTTTTCTATACTCCTTTGGTGATGCATGGCTTGTGTCTCTTGAAAAAGTGAAATTCATTCAACAGCTTGAGCCCTTCAGGTAGGAGCAAGACCAGAATAGATCTAATTATGCCATTAACGCTCACCATTATTAACAGACAGATCATTCATCTTCATAAGCCTATTTTCCTCCACTAAAGACTTTTGGACCAATTCCTTCTTTTTTCCAAATTAATGAAGTTGCATCCTTCTCCAATAGAGCTTAGGATGCTATTCGATAGACCTGATTTTTATTAGGTTGATGGAAGATGGCAACATCAAAACTATAGTATAAGAAAGATTAAAGGATCTAACCAAGCAAAAAAGGACTTAATTGAGTAACCTTCAAAGCCCCAGTTTAATTTTACACTACAAGTCAGATATGCAAATAAGTGCCAAAAGCCTGCCAAGAATTACCTGTGCTTTTTGAGATGGTGTCACACGGCAACAGATAGCAGTTCTTGTTAATATTGCTAATTCAGTAAATGCTTTCCAGTAATGCTTGAGTGCAATTTCAAGAGCCCAGCCATCAACAACAAATGCAACATCCTGTAAGGAAAAGTAAGTATTTTTAAAAAATTACTCAAAGCATGCACCATTGAGGATGATGTTAAAAGTAATACCGGAGTGCAGCTGCCTAGTTTCCCTAGAAACGCAGCATACCAAAATCATCATAATATTTATGGCCAAACAAGGCACTTTGACTATTATATCCAAGAGTAAATATGCAAATGTGAATAGGATGAGTGCATGGCTCTATCAACAATAGCATTAATTACTGCAGCAGTTACCATTCAAGTGGCTATAGCTCTTAGTTAGCTATTCACGTGACAATCTTTAGCGTGAAGTGAGCTGTTAATATGAAATCTACCCAACTAAACCTAATATTTTTCTAGAGAGAGAGAGGTCCAAAAATAAGTCTGTAAGGGACTTTTGAATTTGAGTACAAATGAAGGGAAGGAACTCAACACTGAATTTGAAACTGCAAATGGAGTGTTTTGGATGTACCTTTGGTTCTGATGCTGTTGTCCTCATTGTAAGTAAAACTCTCTCTAAGCTTCTACCAACTTCCTGTTCAGTTTTTCCATCAATTAACAGAAGCTGACCTTTTGGCTCTGTCGAGAAGTAAAGACAAAATAAATGCTGGTACACATAATTCGATTATGGAAAAAAAATGCCATGTAGATTGATGAAATAATAGAAATAATGAACCAGCAATGGAAACATAAAGAGTGCTAATGGATATTTAGCACAATGAAAGAAGATCGCATAAATCTGTGTGAACAAGCAGGTAGAACATGAACAGGTGGATGGTTGCTGAAGAATGCATCAGATATGTCTCAGCTTTTTGGAACAAATGCATCTATAATGACATTAAACTACTGAGAAAATTAAAAAAAAAAAACGATTTCCACATGACAAGGCAATGCACTAGAATGAATTTCAATCAACCTGGTGAAATAAAGTTGCATGAGAGAGCAATTTGTATGGCTGTATTCTGCTTGTCTCCAGTAAGCATCCAAAAATTTATTCCTGCTTTTCTTAGAGTGTAAATAGTTTCTGGGACATCATCCTGAAAAATTATTGCAAAAAATAGAGATGAAATATGTCTGTATCTAAAAGCAAAAGGTGTGATTTCACTGCCATGAGTATGAAAAATTTTCACCTGTAGACGATCCTCTATGGCAGTAACTCCAAGAACGTCAAGATCATGTTCTAATCTTTGGCAGACCTCAGCTATTCTCCACTGTAGGAAATAGTAATATATGAGACCCAGCTCTTTTGTGTTGATTATTGAATTAGCAGACTCCTCTAAGAAAATAAGTAAGAACAGAAAGATTAGTGAGATGCACCCTTTACCTCCCTATCAACCAAAGTACTACTGGCCTCTCTAAACATAAAAGACCACTCCTCATATTCATCTTCTTTTAATTCCCGCCAAGCCAGGCATAACGTGCGCAGCCCCAATTGAGAATATTGTTCCACGGCCTCATTAAATATCCTTGTTTGTTGTCCTGAAATCAATTTGTGCATTATCAAATGAACAAGCAACCAATGAAATAGCTTCATTATATTTCATCATTGTCCCTGTCCTGTTTTCTCTCTTAAAGATGCAATATGGATCCTACACCCCCAATTACGACATAATTGAAATAGCTGAATAGCAACTACCACTATCAATGTCCATTAAAGCAAACTACTTTCTTTATAGATGATAGCATCATCCCTGGGGTTATATCAGGAAACAGCAACAGTGCTATGGATGTATACAATCTTATCAATGATAACTATTAGCAAATATAATACAAACATAACAAAGCTTTCAATATGAGCAAACGCAGCTCATAAGCCTTGAAACAATCCTAAGCAATTTAAAAAATATATCCAAAAGAAAAAAGGTTATCCTTTGATCGAAAAGCTAGGAAGATGCCAACTGATTGCCTGAAAAGATAGGCCAAAACTTAAGAATGACAAAGAAAGCAGTCACATAGTAAGCAATAACATTTCAAAGCCTTGGTGGCAAGGAGTTAGGTAGCTATAGAGTTCTTAGCTTGAATGAGATCTGAACATGGATCTTAAAAAACAACGCATGAGAAAGAGAGGTGCTTGGGTTTCATCGGGAAGCGGGTCTAAAGTTGTAAATTATGGACCTTATTTAAGAGTGTACAGTAGGGACACTTTAAAGACCTTTTCTAAGGCAAATGGCAAATCACAATAAACCCATGCAAAGACACGACTCAAAAAGTTCCCAAACACCCAAGTAAACAGAAAAACCACATCTGGAACACATTATAGAGCAGCTGCACGGTACCTAGCAGGACATGACATGGTGCCAGATTACCATCACGCCTGAAGTCAAAATCTAATTGCTCAAAAGATAATATGGCTCTAATGAGAGGCAGTAAAGACTGTAAAACAAGGTCATGCTTAGATGTGCATTTTCAGCCTAAGTGAGTTCTGCATTAACAACATTTAATACAGACAATCAAGAGGGTCCACAATCACGGAGAAAATTATATGCATGGGAAGGCATCATAATCCATCAAATGGAAGATATGTATGTGGAAGAATAATTTTATCCAAGACTTTAAAATGTTTTCTTGAAATCCTACTGAACAATCAATCGGCAGCTCCTTTATATAAAATTACCAGCAGAAGCATAAGGAAGAATTGCTTCATCAGCTCCCTTTGACAAAAGCAAAATCTTTCCATTCTGGCAATCTCTCACCACTACTGACATTCTTTTCCTATCAGAAGTGAACTCCAGAGTTTCCAGTACTTCATACTGAATTACTGAAGTATTGAATCTAAGCTCTGCAAAACATTAAAATAGTTGAACTTGCGTTATCATATCCAGTATTGGAGCCATCCCAACAGCCAAATGCATATGAGTTTTACCAAGATTATTTCCATTTTTATTGACAAAAACCATGTTTAGCTTAGCAGCAGCATGAACAAGAGCATCCTCATCCTGAGATTGTGCTTTGTACAAGATAGCTCCAGTTTTGCTAGAAACACGAAGAAGCCAAGAAGAAATATTTAAGAACGACGTGATAATGTTGCTATCAAGCACATTGCTGGGTTTGCACTTGAGGATAAAACCTCAATATAATGAAAAGAACTTCAAAGAAGTCACCTTTGGACAGGTACAACAGTATTGCATATCGCCATGACTGTAAGAGACCGAACAACATCAGGAGATCCACTAGAAATGGCATTTAGCAGTTGCTTATCTGTGCAACATGATGGAAACAGTTAGAATCCAAAATCTAAGATTCTCTAAACTCAGAAAAAAAAAATGGATGCAAGAGAAAATCCATGTATTAAAAAAAAAATTATAAATTAGCAATAAAGAATCTAAAATATCTGCTGTTGTTTCTGATTTATTAGCAACATAAGTTCAGAATTCAAAAGAAGTAAGCACACTCAACCAAAAACAAAAACAATAAATAACCATATTTTCTTAAACAAGCTAAATGATGTCCAAGAAACTAGAGGAATAAACATCAATTATTGATCATACAAAATTTTAAAAACTTTCGAGTTGAAGCAAGAAATTTATGAAACTGATGATGATGGGCCACTGGTAATGCACTTGAGCATGACAGTACCCTGATAGATTACAGCAGAAATCTATTTTCAAACAAATCAAAATTGAAGTAGCGTGACAAAGTCAAGGATTGGAAGTACATTGCATTCCCTATAGATGCTAAAATGCACAATACTCAGACATGTTCAGAGCATGACTTACTGAAACAGCTACCAGCATGATGACAGTTATATAGGCCTTTGTGTGCCTTTTCCTATTTTAATGATTTTCTTGTCTTGTCAAAAAAAAAAAGTTACCAGCATGATGGTCACATTGTGCTCCAAAGAATTTCAAGAGCTTAGGTTTTCATTCTTTAGGTTGCACAGGCATAAGGATTATTATAAAGACAAACTATGTACAAGGATAAAAAGATTGAAACAAGTGTATGTGTATTTAAGCTTTATTTATTTCCAATTTATGAAAACTCAAAGTCATGCACACATCTACATGTAGATCTTGAAAACAAATTACCTTTCTCAGAAGTACAGTCAGTTTCCCAGTGACAATTAGAGTTAAGAATACATAAGCATTCTCCAAAACAAAATCACTCTTTACATAGCCAGAAATCCAAATGGAAATATGGCGAGAGGATGATTCTACAGATTAAACAAACGTACGTCTTGAATATATGGAGATAACATAATTAAAATTAACCGGTTGTGGACAAGGTATGTTTTGAAACAACTAATCTCAGCTCTTCAAGAAACATACATGTAGAAGAATTTCAACGGTAAATGCCTATGGAAGTAAGTGGTCTATAGGACATGTATGCAGGCACAAAATTGACTTAGCAGCTTCTATAACCTGATTCCAATTGCACTGAACATAAAACGGTACATTCAAAACAACAGTAGGCATTCAAAGTACAGGAACTACAAGTGAAGAAAGCGTAAGGAAATGATTAAGTCTGAATTTGAGGGGGGGGAAAAAAAGATGAGTTTAAAAAATCATGAGAAAGAGATAGAGAAACCTTTCAAAGCATCTCCAGTCTCATTCCCATAAAAATTGCCACCGATGCAGCATCTTCTAAAAACCATTTTATTTTCAGTGAGGGTTCCAGTTTTGTCAGTCAAAATGTACTCAACTTGTCCAAGATCCTCACTTATTGCTGTGCTGCCACACAAAACAAATATTACTTCAATTAAGTGTCAGAATAACTGGATTTGCATATCTAGTTCAAAACCAGCGCTTTATTTTCAGTCTGACTTACTTTGCAGCATGGGATGGAGTACCAGTTTCTAGGTCAATCATCTCCCAGTCCCAATCAATGAACTTTGCATATAAACTCTTCACAAGATCCAGAGATACCTGTTGCAGAAAAGAAGTTCTATTGTCACACACTGACCTAGATGACGATCTTAAAAAATCCACAAATTCATCATCAAAGTGCACCAGAAAAATGATAGATGATTAGTGTCAACACATAACAGAGCAAAATTTGCAAACTAAAATTACACAGAAATTATCATTGTAATTTCTTCAGGCTTGTATATTGCATACCAGTGATAGAAAATTTAGACTGATATGAGCACAAAAATAAACTCTGCCTTCACATTTCCACCAGTCATACAAGATCAATTGCCAAAGGCCTCCAAATAATCAAAACCTTTTTCATGAATAAAAATGAATCTGCCATAACAATTTATAGCTTCTCTAGGTTCATAGATGGGATAATACAGAAGTCTTCAACCTTCTAGTTGAAAGGAACAGCAAAATCGGTTAGGTTTTTTAAGTTTTCTCCCTCTAAGATCTCATCCTTCCTTGTCAGGGGACTAAACAGGCCCATAATGTCCTTCGTTGCTCCAATTAGACTATGATTCTTCTAACACTCATGAGGCACGAATGAAATAGAACATGCATTCCCCATTCTAAGCCAAACCATTGAAACGACAATAATATGGATACTCTCATAATCACCATTTTATGCAAATTTACCTTAATTGATATGGGTATCATGATGGAACAGAGAAGCTCAAACCGTAGAGGGATCACTAGTAGTTCATACCAAGGACCCTCATCTGGATATAAAACATACCATTGCTGCAAAGGAAGCAAAATCACATAGTGAGTATGTGTTTGAAAGCAAACATTTTCATACACAAGAAACGTAGGGAAAAAAAATACGTGATGGGATGAAATTATGAGGCAAATTGAGCGATCATTATGAACAAGTATGTTTCCTGATTAACATGACTAGATTCAGTATTTTTTTCTATAGAAGTAACATTATCCAAATTTAACATGCTTAAGAGATGCAAACAACTGACAGAGATCTCAAGTTCAGCTCAATAATTATAAAGCATACATTATTTGGCTATGGTAGTAAATCTGAGGAAATGCAAATACAATGGCAGATCGTATGCTGACCTCATGTGGGATTTGGGAGAAGGAAGGACTGTAAGGATTTAAGAAAACGTGCAGTCAGTGCAATTTTAGGTGCAATTGGTTAAGGAAAAATGCAGGAGTTTTTAAGAACCAATATACTTCAAAAAATTTGATGTGGTATCCTTATGGTGCCACGCTTTTTGTCACCTCTAATGGTTCCACATTCAATGGAATTAGGCTGCCCTGTTTATAATGTGCTCTGTTTTGTTATTGTGCTCCCATGAAGAATGAGTAATGCATCATTTCGTCTTTCTACTCTTTTGCATTTTCATTAATATACCATTTTCTTTTATCTAAAAAAATTATAATAGAGCACAATAATTTGGCAAGTACAACAACGTTACCTTTCTAGCTTCTGTGTCCTTCCAGACATTCCCAGCCACGCCTAGAACCAGAACAACCACTATTTGAAAAACAAATATAGCTCCTGTCAACTTGTCAATCATGGCATCCATAGCTGTCAGCTTAGGTTCAGGTATACCCCTACTCATACCGAGCTTAGTCTCATTGCCTGAAAAGGAAAAATTAATTTAAGAAATTGCATAATTTAACTCTGCTGCAATTGATATTTAATAAATTCACTGAGACAATTGGAAATGCATCAATAATCTCCAGCAAAACAAAGCATTGATGAGGAAAAAAGGGGAGGCTCATAATAAGAGAACAATATTAATAGTGTAAAAGCTTATGCAAGTTCAGAATAACAAACTAGTAACATAAAATAGTTAAACTCGCTATATTTCAATAAGTAGGAGCTTACCTGTGTAGACAGCAACTCCACAAGCCCACTCAGTGTTGCGCAAGTAGCATGACTGAAGAATTGTGTTTTTTATGGTCAATGGGCATACATCATTATCAATAAATGGAGGAAACAAGCGTAAATTTGCATCAAATCGTCGGATATCCTTATCTGGATTGGGGCATTCAATAACACCCTGAGGATAAATGAGAAAACAATGAATGATTGACCAATGAAATACAAACCAACAAAATTTACATGACAGCCGTAGGGAGGAAAAAAAAAACAAAAAAAAGCTTGCCTTAATTTTGTGAAGTAATTCAAAATCTATCCCCATGCAAGCTGCGGGTATTACCCTCGTCTTCAAATCAGTTTCACCATCTAGAGCAGCTGTCTGCAAAGTATGTTATATTGTCAGGATCCTGAAATGTTCGGAAAAAGAACACTCTTCAAAAGCCATACTACAATCTTTCACAATATATGAACATTACAGTTACCATTTCGATAAGGGAAGAGAGTATTTGATTTTGTAATCAAAGTTCAGGTCTAAATATTTGGATAAGAAAAAAAAAGCGCGGGTGTGCTATAGGAAATTGGATGCTAGTCCACAGGCTAGGCTAGGATGGGCAACGATAATTGATCATGGTTACTTTCCTGAATTTGGTTTGGATTAACATCATATTTTCATCTCTCAAGCTCATTGATCGTAAAGTATCTTTCAGTCATCATGTACGTGCTCGGGGTCAAGTCACTTTATATAGATAAAAACTGAAATCTCGCACTATAGATGAATTATGGGAATATATATACATTAAACAATTGTTAGGATCCTGAAATGTTCGGAAAAAGGACCCTCTTCAAAAGCCATACTACAATCTTTCACCACATAGAACATTTTGGATAGGGGTGGAGAATATTTTGAGTTTCTAATCAAAGTTCAGGTCTAAATATTTGGAGAAGGAGCAAAAAAAAAAGAGTACAAGTGAGCTATAGGAAATTGGATACTAGTCCACAGGCTGAACTAGAATGGGCAAGGATATTTGATCACAGTTACTTTCCTGAATTTTGATGGATTAACATCATATTTTCATCTCTCAAGCGCTTTGGTCATAAAGTATCTTTTAGTCATCATGTGCATGCTTGGGGTCAAGTCCCTTTATATAGATAAAAACTGAAACCTCACACTATAGATGAACTACGGAATATATTTACATTAAAAAATTTCTAACAATGGGTGTGAAAGAACCTTCATACAGAAAAAGATATCTCTCCAACAATGGAACATCCACCCATCACTCCAATGTAAACAAAAGAACCTTTAACATCTACATTAATGATAATGCTAGAGGAAAAGAAATCAATTCAAGAAAAGTGACAAACAAACAACTTTGGTACGTTGTTACTCCTACTCAGGGAGAAAGATGGTTTCATGACTTGAGTACATCCATCCCACAGCTGTTTAGAAGGCTTAATCACAAGAATTTTCTAAAATATGAAGAAAACCATATTTCTACGAAGTTGTTGTTATTATAGACAAATTCATCATTCTCAAATTTATGTCGCCAAACTATTTCAATCTTAAAAGAGACCAAAAGCTGTATGCAGTCTAACATAAAAGAAGTGTATCTCTCTCTCTCGCTCTCTGAAGCTGTGCTCAATCAAATATGCATATCACAGCATTTGTTAACCTGTGCTTTCCATACTTACTGCGGGCAAGCAACTACACAGCAACGAATACAGAATTCTAACAATGATACAAAGAGGAAAATTAAACTCTTAAAAATAACAACCTACGGTTACAACTCCAACGCTGATTAACAGAAACACATATTTACCTCTACATAACAAATGCCTTGAGGATCCGAGGTACCGATCAAAACAAGATCACACGGCACTTCATCGTTCTCACGAAGCCACACTGTATTACCAACACAGATATCTTGCGCTTGAATCTACAAATCACACAGAACAAACACGTCAAAGACCCAAATCCACAATCACAAAAACATCAATCTTAAAACCCAAACCAACCAAATATGAACATTTCCATACATGTTTCTTGATCCCGTTCTTAACAACCCAAACTTCTTTCTCATTTGCCTTCTTATCAGACAAATATCTATTATAATCATCCCAAGCTTCTTTCGTTGCAGAGACTGCAAATATAAAAATCAACGGACCCCACGTGCTTGCTGGACTCACCGGAGTAATTAGCGACCATAATTGTAGACACGCAATTAACAAGAAATACTGGTTCATAAACCGACTGCAAAACACAACCAAAAAACCAAAAATTCAGAGACCAACCATTAAAAATTGAAAAAATAACACAAATTCCACATTAAACATCTGCTACACAGCTTTTTTTTTTTTCTAATTTTCATTTTTCAGCAAAAATCTTCCAATAGCGGGACCCACATTTCTCTTTCGGTGAGATTAGCTCAGACCAACCATCAAAAATTGCAAAAATAACACAAATTTCACATTAAACATCTGCTACACAGCTATTTTTTTCCTTCTAATTTTCATTTTTCAGCAAAATTCTTCCAATAGTCGGACCCACATTTCTCTTTCGGTGAGATTAGCAAGCTAACAAAATTAACTGCTAGGTAAATTAACAGATAATTCCAAAACTGATTAAATGCTTGAAAAGAAAAGAAAATGAGAAGAAAAGGAAAGAAAAAAAGCGAACCTGAACTGCTCCATTAGATTTTTAGGGAGGAAATTCAAGAGAGTGTATTTCCGATTCGATATACGATTATCACAGAAAATATCATTTGTCGGCGATTCATCATCGCTGATGTAGACGAACCGCTTCATTTTCGTTGACTCGCTTTGCACAATCGATTGATTGATTCACATAATCAACAAAAGCAGCAGCACATTTCCTCTCGTAAAAACTCCTCTTATGCTGGTGTTCAATACATTTTTTTAATAGCAGGTTAGGTATCTGTTCTTCGAAGGAGGAAGAAGACGAAGACGAGAGAACGGTGGTTGGGTTGTGTACGTTAACAGTGTTTTGACTTGGGAAGGTGCAGACTAAGCCGTGAGGAAATTTCCTAATTAGTAAAGAGTTAAATTATAAATTAGCTCCTCTCGATTAGAGAAACGAATTAATTTAGTCCCTTTATTTTCAAACATTAATCATTTAGTGCTTCATAGTTTAATTCCCTCAATAACCTCATTGTTTCATTAATTTTTCATTAGATTAGTGATTTTTATTTTTAAATTTCTTTTTGCAATAATTTTTTCTCTTCTTCAACTATTTTCTTTTTTATCAAAAAAAAAAGTCACTAATCTAAAAAAATTATAAAAATACTAAATTATTGACGAAATTAAAATATAAAAAACTTAATGATTAATTTTTAAAATAAAAAGGATTAATTAATTTATTATCAAAAAAAAGGGACTAATTTATAATTTACTCCTTGGTAAATGCAGATCTGGAAGAAAAGAAAAAAATGTCAAGGGCAAGCCCACCTGTACTCTCGGGTTCGGTTATTGGGCCGATATGAAGGAAGTTTGAATGCGCATGGGAATTTGGTCCGATTCAGGAGAATATTCGCCTGCAAGGTTTCGGGACCGGAACATGTCATCGAAACATCTCTCAATTAATACGAATTTTAGTATGAGAATAGAATTTACCATTGAATAAAATAACAAATTAATAATGTTTGATTATTGTGCTATGATTATCCAAGTTGATTTGGTTCCAAGCAAAACAAAATTTTGTCCTCTACTTCAACTATTATCGAACCATATCTTTAATACATCATAAGATTGTCACTACTCACAAATATAGATTTAAATAACAATAATTACGTTATATAATAGTTGTTATATAGCAATTTTAGAATACTCTATTATCATTATTTAATGCTATATAATGATTGCATCATGATCGTTATTGCGATTGTATTTTTAATTGCATTTTCGATTTAAAACTATATTCACAATCCTACCTATCTTGCTTTTATATAATGATTGCACCATGATCATTATTTACATTATGTTATGTAATGATTACTATATAAAGATTTTAGAATACTCTATTATCATTATTTAACGTTATATAATGATTATGATTATTATTTTATTACTGTAGTAAGTTGTAACCTATGATCATTATTACAACTCTTATTTTGACTGCATTTACGATTTAAAACTATGCTCACAAGGCTACCTGCCCTGCTTCTAGGACATCTCCAGCAATTCAACTGGACAAAGCTAACCATCATCTTTATGTTGGAGTTGTGACTTTGCACCAGAACCACAGCCTGCCAAATACATTCAATCACTGCAAAGACAAAGTTTGCCTTTGCCCATCTATTTGTACCATTGGCAACAACAAAAAGCTTGCAAAAAAAGAGTTTGTAAAGTGTTTTTGATATCAGTTCTGTTCAAATGACGATGGAGTGTTACAGAAAAAGCTCTTCGATTTGCCAGAGGATCATGCTCTTTTCATGTAATGCAATTGCTCTTAGTTACTACAGCCTCGTTACCAAAGAGCATCCAGAGATCAGAAATTGGTAAACCTACATGTCATAAACCTTCTGCCACTAATTATGCTTCTTGTTTGATCATTGCTTTTGAGAAATTTAGCATCAAACTCACGAAATCCGATTTACAAGGCGTGAGATTAAATTCCCTACAATTACTTCTCTGGTCTACCTTCAACAGCTTGCTCTCATCTTTCTGGCTAACTAGTAACACACTCATGGTCAGACAAAGAAATCTCAACCTATGTTCACCACCTTTTTTTCCCTTTCTTGTTTTACCCATCTTTTAAAATCCTTAGGCAAAATAAAAGCTATGATTCAAGCAAAAAGATATATATTTTGAGGTATCAAACGAGGTTTGAGTTTTCTTCATTTTAGCAAAGGAATAAGCGAGTTGATGAAATCAAGAGAAATAATTGAAATACAAATTTTGGAACAAGTAGAGTAGAACAGTGATGCTTAAGGACCACCTTTGAGCTAGACTTTCTCCGATTAAATTAAATAAAAAAGGGAGGGTTGTGCTTGAAACAAATAGTTCTTGTGGCATAGGGTCCAATCTGAATCAAGTGAACGACCAAGACCATCTTCATTGGTGCTTATGGACTCTGCACATGAACATGGTGACTGAAAAGGGAGGACCCCCTTGGTTTTGTCATCTGTTCCATGTTCCTTCATTACAGATTCAGTAGATCCAAAACCATTAATTGAAACGTGATCAGTCACTGCATCAACATTGAGCTCAGAATTCTTACTAGATTTTGACCAATCAATGTTGCAGATTTCAGCATCCCTCTTCGTCGGACAAGTATCTACAATAATATGACGCATCCATCCCAAACATAAAACTAAGCAATCCTCCCTCCAAGATATTCACATCTGAGATTGAGATTGAGATTCATTTCGGATTGTAGAAATAGAAAACCAAGAAGCCTAAGCATCCAAAGTTTTGTGAAACTTGGAAAGATAGACAGAATCAAACCGAAAACTTGAATTGGTCGAATCACATATTGACAATAGCTCTTGGGAGCTAAACCAATCATCTGAAGATGCTAAGCCACTGAATTAAGTTCAGAATCAAAGCTACATTTCTTTCTATTACCATCAACTTGTAGCCAAGATGCACCAGCTTGTCTATCGAAGCTAGAATCGAGTTGGGGAGTTAGAATTACATCTCCACTACCCAACGAGCCTATGGAGAATGGAGAGTTCACTCCATCTAGGCCATGGCAATGCTTTGTCTTTTCTTCTAACGATGAAACAGCAGAGTCATCAGATAAAGGAGTTCCCTGAAATCCATGAAACTCGAGGAGCTCACTAGAAAGAAGGAAAACACTCCTACTTCTCCTCCTCCTCCCAGCACTAACAGTAGAACTACTTTTGTTAGTACTGGTAATGCACAAATCCGGTGAAAAGCCACAAAAGACAGATGAAGGTGAACAGGAGAATTGTTCACGACACACTCCTCCAGACTAGGAGAACGGCATGACCTGTTTCAAGAATTCTTCTTTTGATCCTCATCCTCCTCGTCAGGTGGTGATAAAAACCAATGCACTGAAGCCTCAATAGGCAAAGGCAATATAGAAACATCAGAATTTTCAACAAGACCTATCTCATTCTCTTGTTGGGTATTATCATCTGTATCAAAACTACCACTAGCTTTGGCTTTCCCTTCACTGAGCAGCATCCCTCTGGGCTTACACTTCCTCTTGTCAGTGACCCCAGAAAAAACATGACCAGCACCATAACAAGTAGGAGGAGTGACCATTTTTTCTGTCATTAGCTTCATAGATGATCCACATTGTATCTCTGGTGATGCTGAGGGCTGAATTGGAGGTGTCTTGGTATTGCTACTTGTTGAGTTTGTGTCAGTTTTACAACTCCCATCAACTCCGAAATTTAAACCAGACCCACTTGCCACTTTACACAGAGTCAAATTTGCTTCATTACCTTCACAAACTCCATCAATTATCACCTTTTCAAACTCTCCAGACCCAGATTTCAGATTATTACTTACAAGACTACCATTGGATTCCAAAAAGAAACAAACTTTAGAACTATCATGAATTCCTTTCCTATATGATGTGAGTTTCTTACCAGATTGCCACTGATACAGACATGGAGGATGCTTTCTCTTCCCCTTCTCCACCTCTTTTGAAATGGGTTTATCAAAAAGTTTCTTCCTTGGTGATTTCTCCTTACTGGGTCTCATGCTAGGTGCTGACTTAGGGGTTTTGGAGGAGAAGGGCTTTACTTTAACCTGTCTTTGAGTATTATTACCACCATTTTTTAATGGGGCTTTTGTAGTCTTAGAGGAAGAAGCGTGAGAGAGGAAGAACCTGAGATAACCCTTTGAAGATTCAGTGTAGGATAAAGAAGAAGCATTGCTGGTGTTATCAATGCCGGTGCTTGCAATGCCACCATTATTGAGATCTTGAAGTGGGTTTCTGAGGCTTGGCTGTTGCTGTTGTTCTTTCTTTCTACTTCGGATCGTGGAATGTTCTGGTAATGCTGCTTCAGTTGCGTATTTTCGCTTCCTGGTTTCTGATGATGATTGTTCCATTTGGGCCTTGCAAGATTAGTGCATGTGAAAGAACAGAACATAGAGAGTACAGGCAAAGATCTAACTAGAACGAATTAAGACATGAGTGAGGTCTTTTATTTTTTTTATTTTTTAATCATCCTTTGTGTCTAAAGAGAAGTAAATTATAAATTAATCCCTCTAGTTTTAAGAAATAAATTAATTGACCTCTTTCATTTAAAAAATTATTATTTAATCTTTTAATCAATATTGAATATGCTTATTTTAATGTTATTTTTATTCCATCAAATCTGTTATGAATTTTTTTATTTCTTTCTTTTTTCATTTCTTGAAATAAAAAATAAATTATAAGTAGCTTTCAAAATATAAAAATTTAATAATTAGCTTTTGGAACAAGAAGAATTTATTTATTTATTTTTCAAAATGAGAGAGAATAATTTTTAATTTACTCATTTAAAGTGACTTAAAAAAAAAAAAAAGAGTGAAAGTAGGTTAGCTTGCTAATTTGTTTATAGGAGATTTTCTTTTTTCTTTTTTTTTTTTTTTATGAACCGGCCAACATAAAAGCACCAAGGAAAGTGTTTTTTCAACCAATCAAATCAAAATAGAAGAAACATTGAAAGTATTTTAAAAGAAAATTAAAAATTTTTTAATTGATGTGTAAATTACTTAAAAGATAACTATGATACAGACATTTTCGAAGAAAAAAATATTATGAAAAAGAAAACCAGTCGTAAATCTAGCATATTATTAATCATGACCATAATTTTAAATTGTAGTTGTGATTACTATTTAACACCACTTATCTCATTGGATATTATATAATTAATTACTCGGTCTTAAAATGAGTGTCATGGAGAGTTTTTTAAAAGGCTCAGGTAGGCCGTTAGCTTGTGGGCCACGTACCCAGAGAAAGCAACGAGGGAGGTAGAGTTTTGTGGGCCACTTCGACATAATTTGCTCAGATGCTTACGCTGCTGCTGGCGTGGAAGTGGAGGTGGCGTGCAAAGAGAAGAGAGATCGGAGAAGTATGTTTCCGACAGAGAGCGGCGAAAATGATTTTATTTTAGAGAGAGAGAGAGAGAGAGAAAGGGTGGTTTTGGTGTTAGGTACGTTAGTTTTTCAAATTTTTGTTAGGTTAGTTTTATTTTTTATTTTGTTATTATTTGCAAAATATTAATTAATGGTTTAATTGTTTTTTATTGAAACTTTTTGTTTGTCGTGGGACCTACAATATATATATATATTGTCGTGGGACCTACAATAGCATGTCAATTAAATATAGTATCATAATTTGGTAAGTATCTGTTTTAGCTATGTTTGTTGTGATGCAAACATAAATGATTTTATGTTGTGATGCAAACATAAATGATATGTTAGGTAGAAGTATTGCCGGCTTGAAATGATTGTCCGTACTTGATTTTTGGGATAAACCATATCCGGCCCATTAGCTTTTAGGTAAGGCATTACCTTTTAAACGTTACCATAGTTTGGGTTTTCTTTTACAAAATCCAGCCCAACTCAAAGCTCACCCATACTATGGATAATAGCCCAAAATGATCTAACCAAAGTTTGTCTTTGCATTTCTTGCGCGAGTAACAGTGAAATTTGTAGATTCAAACTTCCAGAGAATCAAAACGGAAAGAAAGACACGGAGACAGAGAGGCATGCTGCTTTGAATTCACTGCCGCCATGTGCGAAGTTTTCTCTCTTTAACAAATGCTCTTTGAAGTCCATGGACAAAACTCTAGCCGTCAATCATCGTCTGCTTCCCTTAAGTCTCTGCTTGCCTGCAACTTCCTCCGCTAATTTCAAGCTCCAGGTCTCGCGCTCTTGTTGGTTCGTGCTTGTGTGGATGTACACTCAAATGTTCAGCTTCAACACTGGCCACTTAATTCACTCAATTCTGTTCGAGAAATAGTTCTTCAAGATTCATTCAATTTTCCATGGCTACAAAAATTAAAAGTTCCCATTGAAACCAAGAGTAGAGGCCAACTCATCAAAGAGCTCATTCAATTGCTCACGCCTCAGTTTCTCCCTCTCGATCAGCCTTTTCGGAACTTTCCTCTTACTCTTCTCAGCAGGTAAGCAATTGTGCCACATCACAAACACCATTAATTTCATTTACCAAAAAAATGAAAATTTTCAAAAATTGACTGTGATTTGCATTACACTACAAATTCACCAAAACCTACCCCCTATTGTCACCTCCCCCACTCCTACATTCAGCCCAGAACTCATGCTTATCTTAGTAAACAAATTCTACATGTTATACCCGACCCACGGCATAGCGTAAGTAACAATCTAATAAAAACTATAAAATTATTTTCAATAAAATTTGATTATATAAATAATAAAAAAATACATATATTCTATTTTTAAAATTTGATTATATAAGAATTAAGCAAATAAAAATTGATATAAAAAAAAAAAAAAAAACCTTATTCGAATCCATACATAGAAAAAAAATCATATTTATTAATAAATAAAATTATATATAAAAATAAGAATAAAATTTAACTTCATGAGAATTTTTATAATAAATCGAAAAGATCAATTTTAAACAATAAAAGTAGTATATATTTATTCTAAAATATAAAAATATATCTTATATATTATATAATTGTCGGCTTGTGTAAAAAAAATAACGATTGATTTTTAAAAATTTTAACACCCAATTAAATAAAAAAAGAACATAAATTGATAAAAAAAAAAAAAAGCATGTAGTGCATGAGCTAGGGATTAAATTTTGGGATTAAATTTTTAAAAAATTTTAGGGACCAAAACAAAATAATTTAAAAATTACCAAAAAAAAAACTAAGAGTGAATAGTACATTATGAGGGTAACATCCAATTCAATTAAAAAAATAAAGAACATAAATTGATGAAAAAAGTAAAGGGAAAAAAAAAAACAAAAGGCATGTAGTGCATCAATTAAGGATTAAAATTTTAGGAGAAAAAAATAGTACATTGTGAGGGGGTGAACAAGTGTTACCACCGATAAAAAACCCCATGTGTTTTAGTTTATTAGCAATAATATATACATACTTGTGTTGTGCATAGGAACCATGGTTGCAACAATTTAAAAATTACAAGAGTCCATTTTATAAATTATATAAATTATATTATTTTTTTAAAAAAAAAAGAGTAACTATGTTTCTAAATATTATGTTTCAAAATCCAGATATAGAGAAAAATATATTGTATTTGTTAATAAATAAAATTTTATAAAATTAACTAAATGAGAATTTCTATAAAAAAAATAAAAAATTAGAAAATAAATTTTAAATCATAAGAATAATATAATTTATAGTTTTCCTTGCAATCACCATGTTTTCCATCACCATTGGTTACTTGGATAATCTTTGTAATTTCATTGCTCCGTAGTGCAGTTGGTGCTACTAGATAAGAACATACATGCCCTTTGTTCTTATAACGTACAATATATATCCTTATATGTGCCTAAGTAAGAACCATCATTACAAAAATTAGTAACTAATGGATGTAGTCTAAGAGCAAAGGAATTGTTTTGATTTGACCAAGACCAAAGTTTAATTTTCATTATTTATTGATAACTAATCATAATTATCTTTTAATGGTATCAAGCTTAGGCTGATTTGGTTTAAGAGTAAGCTCGGTAGTCGACCAAAACATAAGCGTGTTCCGATGCTATGTTAGCCTAGAAAGTGGGTGACTTAGTCTTGGTTGATGCTCAAGCTAATTCGAAAATACTCCACCACCTTAAATATCAAAAAAAAAAAACAACAATTAGGAGATGCAATGATGTTGGCAATAACGAGACATTCACATCCGATCAAGCTTTCCCGACGTTGTATATATACCTACGAACTTGTCCGAATAGTTAGTTCTTGATATTGATAATTGTGTCTATCTTTCATGTCCTCTTTTTTACCACAAATTCTCAAGAACTCATTGGTTTCCAAACCTCAGCTCATAATATTCCCTGACCTCGATAACATCGGTGATTTCACCTAACGTGGCTCTTTGATCCCTTGAAAAGCACCGGCAAAAAAATTGCTCTCGAACAAAGCAAAAGGCATCCAAAAATAGCATAGAAAAAATGGTAAGGTAGTGATAAATACCTCGGGATGAAGTCAAGGTGATGCATTGCTCAGTAAATTCATAGTCCGCAAACAATTGGGTTGATACAGTAGTTTAGTATACCCTTGTGCATAAAATTTGATTGCACAATACAATAATTTTGGAGTGTAGTTAATACAATTATCAAAAAGGAATTCCTTATGAGCTCTAATCAGTAAATGTCAAGTAGTTATAAACCAAGATACTCGCTTTCATAATCATAGATATTTAAAGCTTGAAGACTCGTTCCACTTCAAAAACACTAGCAAACCAATAAGGTTACTTTCAACTCCTCATTTTTTACCTAACTTAACTACCGCTCCTAATAATAACTTCACTATAAATTTTCAAGGTTATCTCAAAATTAAATTGATTGAAAAAAATACTAATGAAAACAAACTCGAAGAGCCTCGAAAACTTTTTTCATCTCAAAATCAAAATCATGCTTCTTTATCATGTTCATAATTTCCAGCACACCATAGAAAGACAAGCCGTGAGAATCAAAGACCAAAAATGTAATAGTACTCTCTAATCTAAAAAATTAGCAATCGGTGTTCGATTGTATTCGAATCTTTTGTTGAAGTCAAAACTTGAATTTCTTTATAATAAAGTATCTTTCAAGTCCATTCTGGAACTTTATCACTAAAAACCCGACTAATAAGGTCTTCATCTTCAAAATACATATACAACGTGAAAATACCACGATATGCTTGTTGAGAATGTGGGAAAAGCAAGAAAGGTTGAAATGCAGTTATCGGTCGTATCCGCCATCAACCATTTCTAGAATCCAAAATTATGCTAAAAGACCATTCCCTAAATAATCTTTCAACGAAAGATAACACCCCGTCCATCCTTAGAAAGAGATCCAATTCCAATTCCAATTCCATTCGTGGGAGAAGGGAGAAAAGAGAGAGGGTTGAAAAGAGAAGCATAAAGATTAGAAAGAGAGAGAAGAATTTTTAAAATTCCGTTATGCTTCCTTTCTTCATTTCTTGTGTTTTATACTATACTATAACGAAACAATGGAATAGTTGGAATAGTTTGTTACCAATTAGCACTTCGCAACCCACGCTTCGGAGTTTTTTCCCAAGCAATACATTTTCAAATTTTTATTCCTTGATTGGAGTATTTTTAAACTTAAATATTTTTTTACCACGTAAGATTTTTTCACCCACATCAATTTTTTATTAATTATTAAAAAATAATTTTATTATATTAAATTACCAAAATGCCAAGAAAGTCACTTTGAGATAGACAAACTACAATATATATCATAATTCAACACGAGATGAACAATTATGAGATGGGTGTGATGGAGCATCAAGAACCAATAATAGATACAACGGCTCGAGATTCACATACCCAAGAAAGGCAATACTACTCTCTAAGTCTAAAAAATTAGCAATCGATCGTCGATCGTATTCGAATCTTTTGTTGAAGTCAAAACTTGAATTTCTTTATAATAAAGTATCTTTGAAGTCCATTCGGAACTTTATCACTAAAAACCCGATCAATAAGGTCTTCATCTTCAAAATACTTCTACAACGTGGAAATACCGGGATATGCTTGTTGAGAATGTGGGAAAAGCGTAAAGGTTGAAATACGGTTGTCGACTCATATCTACCATCAACCATTTCTGGAATCCAAAATTGTGCTAAAAGACCATTTCCTAAAGAATCTTTCAACAAGGATAACACCCTGTCCATCCTTAAAAAAAGATCTAATTCCAATTCCTATTCCATTTGTGGGAGAAGGGAAAAGAGAGAGAGGGTTGAAAATAGAGAAACGAGAAAGATTAGAAAGACAAAGAATAATTTTTTAAATTTCGTTATGCTTCCTTTCTTCATTTCTTGTGTTTTATACTATACTCTAACGAAACAATGAAATAGTTGGAATAGTTTGTTACCGAGTTAGCACTTCGCAACCAGTAGCTCGGAGGTTTTTCCCAAACAATACATTTTCAAATTTTTATTCCTTGATTGAAGTATTTTTAAACTTAAATATATTTTTTACCACTTAAGATTTTTTCACCCACATCAATTTTTTATTAATTATTAAAAAAATAATTTTATTATATTAAATTACCAAAATGCCAAGCAAAGTCATTTGGAGATAGACAAACCGCAATATATATCATAATTCAACAAAGATGAACAATTATGAGATGGGTGTGATGGAGCATTAAGAACCAATAATAGATACAATGGCTCGAGATTCACATACCCGGGAATCGATGGTCACCCACCGCTCGGGTCTAAACCGTGGATCGATGACTTCTCTCTCACCCTCAATTCCGGTGATCGATGCCTTTTTGTTGGATCCAACGGAGCTGATTCATTCTTTCTATATTTTCAAAAAATGATAGTAAGAATAATTATGCAAAAAAGGAAATAGTAATTGGAAAATGGGTTTGGCTTGTTTTGTTGTGTTGTAAAGGGGAAAACTACAATACCGAAAATATTAGGAGGAAAACATGTGGTGGAACCCCAAATGGTTCGTGTGCTAGGAAGGTCCGTTTTTCACGACGGTGCTTTAACTTCTTTTGGTCCTCTTTCTTACCTTTGAGGAGATGTTAAAAGTCATTCATGGCTTTTCCAAGTGAATTATGACTCGAGACTCGAAGAAATATGTTCTTGTTCCCTTCATCGAAGCTTTTTCAAATCTCGGATGTCCTTCATCGTTTATTTTTAGTATATGTGATGAACTTACCTTCATCATTTGGAACGAGTTCGATAGATTCAGTCGTAGCATTTTGTTCTCCGAGTTCTCGTCATAAGATTATCGAAAAGAGTAAGGTAATTGACCATTTAAAAGCCCTTTCGAACTAAAAAATAGTATGTATTCTATAGCTAAATCATCTATTTTTCACTTCCATATAGCACATTCATCGAAATCAAGGGGCATGACCAAACACATATGGCAAGCACACAATATCTTGAACCAACAAAGGAGGGCCAAAAAAGGGTGGACTCGAATCAATAATATCTACAATAGAAAACAACATAAATTTTTAGTAATTTCAATCACATAATCAATTTGTCGCTTTGCCCATTACTTATCCACATGAGCAAAGGGAGGAACCTTAATGATTACACAATGCCGGGAGGATGGTTTGATTTTTGAAAGAGTTCAACTACGAGGGACAAAATTATAAAAAGATTTATGAAAACTCCTTATCCATAAGGACAATCCGAATCCACACCAACATTTTCCGAACCACATACATGAAGAAGAGTCGCGTCAATCAAGTTCAAGTCCCCTTCAAACAATGTAATTTGTACATGTGGGATGCTTTGATTTGGTCCTTTCTCAAATCCAATTTTGGAACTCGTTTCCCCCACTAATTCTTCATCCGAAACCATTCTCAAACACGGACTAATTTCTTGTACTATAGTCGACGGTTTTCTAACCAAGTCTTCCTATTCTAAACTCGTCCATCATGAGTCACGGGAGTAAGAACTCTAATATATAGTTATCACTAGAAAAGGTGCTCCTCATCCGGATTATGACTGCAGGCATTCAAATTATACTTGTGTGCATAAAGAACAAGAGGATACTCGGTTATATGATATTCCTTCACATCGGTTTCAAAGAAAGTAAGATTTGATGAAAGTGTTTTTCCAACAACACCTTGCCCCTCCTCAAATATATCGTTGCTCGCAAGTATGCACAAAGCCTTACATCTCCTCAACCGCACAACAAGCCGACAACTCTATGCACAAGTACACTTTCCCCACTCAACCTTGAATTGCCTACTTTGACATGTAATTTTGAAATTTCATCAACAACTTCATCATTATAATCACAAGGAATCCGAAGTGAGGGCTAGTGACAATCCATATTTTTGGCACACGACCTTGATAACATCAACGATTTCACCTAACGTCGCTCTTTGATCCCTCGAAAAGCACTCGGTAAAAAAATTGCTCTCAAACAAAGCAAAAGGCATCCAAAAATAGCATAGAAAAAATGATAAGGTAGTGATAAATACCTCGGGATGAAGTCAAGGTGATGCATTGCTCCATAAATTCATAGCCTGCAAACAGATTGGGTTGATACAGAGTTTAGTATACCCTTGCGCATATAATTTGATTGCACAATAAAATAATTTTGGAGTGTAATTAATGCAATTGTCAAAAAAGAATTCCTTATGAGCTCTAATCAAGTAAATGTCAAGCGCTTATAAACCAAGATACTCGCGGTCGAATCATAGATATTTAAAGCTGAAGACTTGTTTCACTTCAAAAACACCAACAAACCAATAAGGTTACTTTCAACTCCTCCTTTTTCACCTAACTTAACTACCGCTCCTATTAATAACTTTACTAGAAATTTTCAAGGTTATCCCAAAATTAAATTGATCGAAAAAAATACTAATGAAAACAAACCCGGAGAGCCTTGAAAACTTTTTCCGTCTCAAAATCAAAATCATGTTTCTCTATCATGGTCATAATTTCCAAGACACCACGGCAAGACGAGTCGTGAGAATCAAAGATCGAAAAGGCAATAGTACTCTCCAAGTCTAAAAAATTAGCAATCGCTTGCCGATTGTATTTAGAATCTTTTGTTGAAGTCAAAACTTGAATGTCTTTATAATAAAGTATATTTGAAGTCCATTTTGGAACTTTACCACTAAAAACCCGATCAACAAGGTCTTCGTCTTCAAAATATTTATGCAACGTGGAAATACCACGATATGCTTGTTGAGAATGTGGGAAAAGCAAGAAAGGTTGAAATGCAGTTGTCATGTCGTATCTCGCTATCAACCATTTCTGGAATCCAAAATTGTGCTAAAAGACCATTTCCTAAAGAATCTTTCAAGCAAGGATAACACCTCGTCCATCCTTAGAAAGAGATCCAATTCCAATTCCAATTTTATTTGTGGGAGAAGGGAGAAGAGAGAGAGGATTGAAAATAAAGAAGCGTAAAGATTAGAAAGACGAGAGAAGAATTTTTTAAATTATGTTATGCTTCCTTTCTTCATTTCTTGTGTTTTATACTATACTATAACGTAAACAATGGAATAGCTGGAATAGTTTGTTACCGATTAGCACTTCGCAACCCGCGCTTTGGAGTTTTTTTCCAAACAATACATTTTAAAATTTTTATTCCTTGATTGGAGTATTTTTAAACTTAAATATTTTTTTTACCACGTAAGATTTTTTCACCCACATCGAAATATATGACACACATTGTAGTTTTTAAACTAGACCAATCGAAATAATTTCATCAATTTTTAGAGAGCGTAAATAATTTTGTTGAAAAAAATGATCAGATATTCATCTCTATTGAATTATGACACACGTTGTAGTTTGTCTATTTCCAAGTAACTTTGTTGGCATTTTGGTAATTTAATGTAATGAAATTATCTTTCAATAATTAATAAAAAAAAATGATGGAGATGAAAAAAATCTTATGTGGCAAAAAAGTATCATTATTAGAGAATTAAGTTTAAAAATACCTAAATTAAGAAATAAAGATTTAAAAATATATTGGTTTAGAAAAAACTCGTCTCGACCAGGTAGTCTCCTGTGTGGAGTAGTACTTTATGGGCCTGTGAGGAGTTTGCTTGGGCTGGTACTTGGACACAATTTGTTTGGACAATTTGAAATTCTCAATCTTGTAGAAATCTAAGGTCCCATCTTATGCTACACAAGTCGTAGCCCGATTGTTAGAGCTATAGGCCTTTTCTTACCTCTTACATTGGACCTTTTCTTTCTTTTCCTATACAATGGGCCAGAGCCTGAAAGATAAACAAAACTGCATTGGAATCAAATGGGCTCAGTAAGTAGCAAACTCTCTTAAGGTAGCAGACCTCAACGCTACAGGAGGCTGACCAAAATAGGCATCTACGTTAAAGCTGCGGCCTAAATCTGTGAGAGAGTAAGGATAAATTAGTCCGTCTCGTTTTTCAAAATAAATTAAGGAATACTTCTTTTACTTTTAAAAAATAATTATTAATTCTATATTATCAAATCGATTTGTAACTTAATTTTTCCGTTCTTTTTTTTTTTTTAAAAAAAACTAAGGTTTGTAGCCCATTTTATTATGCAATATAATAAATTTTTTGTTTTTGATGATTGGAGATTTTTTTGACAGTTTTTGTAAATTAAGACTAATATTATTTATTTACTTTATTTCAAAAAAATATCTTATGTTCCTCATTAAATTTTTTCGTAATATGTATTTATTTTTCTAAATTAAAAACAAAACAAATTAGAAAAAAATATAAAATGAACATGAATACTAAATAATTAGTTTATGAAATAGAAATGAATAATTAATTTGTTTCTTAAAATTAAAATAATTAATTTATAATTTACTCTAAAACAGACTAATTAGGCCATGTTTACCTCATACTAATTTAACTTAACACCACAAAAAGTAAGAAAATGGGATTTTACCCTCCTCTTCTTAATCAAAAACTTAAGCACAGAGATTAGTCAAATTAAACTATTAGACGCCCCTAATTTTAGCCAAAAAGAGGAGACAAAAGGGATATTTAAAAAGGGCGATAGTCATTAGGCCACTAAGTCAAAGAAAACCTTTCACTAGGGTAGGGCCTAGGATGATGTTTGCTTTAGGAAGAAATAACGTGACACGTGTTGACAAAATTCCTGGCTAGTGAGGGTGGTAGGTCCCACGGCAGGACAAAAAGAAAATCAACGCCAAAACAGTGGCGGCGTTCTAGTAGTGGTTTTCCTTGTCGCGGGATTTTCGACACGTCACAATTTCCTCGCGGCTTCTCTGCGCCGTAAGTCGCCGCTTCACGTGCTGTCGTGGCTCCACGTTGTCCCCTCGCACCTGACTTTTGAATTTCCCACACGTTAACACTGTTAACAGGACATAAAAAAAGATAACAATCTAAGGATGAAAGCATTCAGACGTATGTACTTTTTTTGCCTATGAGTTAAGCACAAGTGGACCGTAACAATTCATGGAATATCTCCCATACTATTTGTTAGCGTATCTTTTTTATATTTGTTTGCATTCGTTTTGGCGTTTGTGGGTTGTGCATCCGAAAAATACTATTCTATTATTGGCACCAAAAACTATATATATATATATATATATATATATATATATATATATATATATATATATATATATATATATATATATATATATATAACACATTCAGTTATCAGAAGATACATAATTAATATTAATAGTTAATAGTTAGTAAAATAGTAAAAAAAATCATATTATCATTATGAATTGAATTAATTATCATTAAAAAAAATAAAGTTATTCAGTTATTAGACGTTACAGGATTAACATCAATAATTAGTAATTAGCGAAACAATAGAAGAAAGCATATTATGACGATGAATTGAATTTACTATTGCTAGAAAAATAAAAGGCTATTCAGATCTCGTTTTATAACGAGGTTCTTTTATATCTAAATAATTAAAAAAAAAAGAATTTGCAAGAAACTCACTATTATTAGCTAGTGTAATAATTTATAAAACTAATGATTAATTGATTAATGATAGATTTAGGTAGTAAGAGATTTTAAAGGAGAAATATGCAATACTAATAAGATATAAGTAAAGTGGAAGATAGGTTGTCAAAATTCAATAGAATTTTAGATGGTATTTTTTATTGAATGAGTAAATTTTGTGAAGAATTCAAATATTTTGTTAAAGATAAAAAAACAATTGGAGCATTTTATAATTATTGCGAGATTAGTATTTGTAATGAAATTATTTTATTCAAATCAAATAACTATTTTTTATAGTTTAATATGAAAAGTTTATAAAAAAAAAACTTAATGTATATTTAAGAATAATATTTACTCAACAAAATATATAACAACAAATCTTTAATATATAATAATATAGTAATACTTTAACTTTTTTTTAAGTGTAATAATTAAATATGCCACTTCATCTATCTCTTTTTTTTATAAGCAAAATTCTCTAAACAATGAACTGGTTAAGTCGCCAAGGACTTCAAGGTGTGCTAAATCATTTCCATATATATACACTATGACTAAATCAACCATGCAATGATACATACATGCATGTATTAGGCGATATCCACTCCACATATTCCGTTGGAAGCAGATATCTGACCCCACCGAAAGAGACAGAGGCGGCAACAGCGACGCTCTAAAATTTATTGGTAGGTCCACCGGACCTAAAACCTGTCTCCTCTCACTCTACTCTACGCTTTCCTTTCCTTGCCACGAAAACTACGTTAATGATTAAAGTTTCTTTAATAAAGTAGTTGTTGTAATAAAAGGTTTGGTAAACTACGTTTTGCCCCCTATTATTTACACAAAATTTCACTTAAGCTCCAGTCCTTTTATATTAGGAAATTTACAAGATTAAGGATAGTATTGAAATCATGAACCAATCGGAATATCATTCTCATCTCCATCTCCAGTCCTTTAATTTGTCTATATATGTTTATTTATTTTATCATTAAAATGTGTTTTCAAGTGGTATCTAAAGTATGAATTCAAAAACTATTGCTAGAAAATAAATTTCTATGGATTAATTTTTTAGATATAATTGGAAAAAGATTTAAATTTTAGATAGAGTGAAATTCATCTAGTATCTTTGTACTACTGAATATTATCTCGTTTTAACTTATGTATCTAGATGTGGCATAAAATAAATTCCGTATTGTTGACTATTGAAACAAATTAACCATTTAATTTAATTTCATTAATCACTTGTCATCATATGATTGGTTAGGTGTAAGATTGATGTATATATAGAGTTTAAATTAAAAAAAGAACTAAAAAATAATAATTTTATGGACTAATTTTTTAGATCTAATTAGAAAAAATATTTTATTTCTAGACACATTAGTTATCAAAATCAAAACAAAGGTAGAAAAGGTAGATATTTTGCCATTATTCAATACATTGAAACATTTTAGATACTATAGATTAATATTGAAAACAATTCAAAATATAAGGATTGAATTGAGGTACTAAAAATTATAAAGCTGTTTGGCGTTGATTGAATTAAAATTGGACGGTGAAAGTACACGTGCCGTCATTATACTCCAGATTTGTACATAGTACCTCCCGTCCACACGGAATTCCTGGTTCGGGCCCCACTAGTATAATTTATTTCCGTCGGTGCTTCTGCCCTATTGCTGCCGTTAATTTATGGCTACTAATCTGTCTTCGTAATCTTATTTGTTTATTTTTTTTAATAATTTTAAAGGATTTGTTTGGTAGTTAAAAAAGATTTTCCAATTCCTTGATTTTTTTTTATTTTAAATGGTGAAGCCACCTTTCAACACATTAAGATGATATGAAAAATAAAAATACATTCTTACGATTATTCAAAAAAAAAAGGTTTTATGAATTTTTGATTTCAAAATAAAATATAATTTTTTAATTATTTTTTTAACAAATTTTATTAATTAAAAAAAAATACAAGCAAAGAATCCAAATCTTATCTAAACAAATTACGGAGACAAGAAAATTTAAATTCCTTAAAAACAAACTTCAGATGAAAAAAAAAGCTACCTCAACTTTTATACATATTTTATGTGAATTAAATTATTTTAGTAGATTGAAAATTGAAAATATCAATTTATTCTTAATATGGATAGTTTAATTTTGACATTAGATATAAATATTTGGCGTGAATAACTTATTTTTGTGGATTGAAATGATGAAATTATTCTTTAACGTACAAAAGCTAATATAAAGAAAACCCTAACCACAAAGCTTTATATAAAAAAGGAAAGGTAAGAACATGAATATTGCAAGCTGAAAGGTAAGAAGAAGATATAAAAAAATGGTTGTAAAGGGATTGTTGTTTTACTTTATTTTATTAAATTTACCAAAATTCAATTCATGAAAAACCAAGAGTGAGATTCAAATTCCTATAATCAAGATGTGCAATTTTAATTTTTTATAAATAATAAAGGGATTCCTTCCAAAAAGATAAAATTCCATCTTTAGACAATAGAAATTCCACCTCTAATTATCTAAATTGGTTCTGTTTTCCCTTTCAGCTTTGGTCCACAATCTTTTTTTTTTTTTTTAGAGAATTTAATTCCATCTCACGTGTTGCAATTCAAGACAAATAAATCCATTTTAATGCTCTAATCATTGAGCCACTTCATGCATCCAAAAACAAGAACAAAAGAACTTGAAAAGGAAAAGAACAAAAAAAAGAACTGAAAATGAAAATTGCCAGCAATTGCTATTTCTTCATTAAATAAAAATAAATATGTGAGCTTACAACCCAAAAAAAAAAAAAACAACTAAAAAAAAGAGAGAATTCAGATTATTCCTCTTAATTAAGTTGCAAAATCATGGTCCTAAGAGCTTATTTACATTAGATTATGATGAGCCAAAATCATCATTTCTTTTCAGCCTTTTTAAAATTAAAAATTAGCTACAAAAATTAAAAAGGTTATTCCCCTTAATAATCTCGAAAAAAATTTAAATAATTAATCATCAAGCATCCAACGGTGGAGGCAGGTTAAGGTCAAGGTCAAGAACTACCCTCGGCGTGCAATCAATCACAGATGATGAATCAGAGTCGCTCTGGGCCCCACCAGAAACCTCAAGACCAACCGGTTCAAACCGGACAGGTAATCGCTGAGTCACAAACTCAGGCCTCACCCTATCTACAAACCAGACAGGACCAACAACGTTAACATTCGGCAGCTGCTGCTGGTACACAAAGGGAAACCTCCCCACCCCACCAACCTGACGCGTCACCTCACGCGCCGCCGCAGAAACCGCCGGAGAGCTCGACGACTCCACGGTGCTGCCCTGGCTAGAACTCTGCTTCTCATCATCGTAATTAACCACCTCCCCCACCACCGGAAAGTTGGTCTTCGCCTTAGCACCGCGATACTCACGCGCCGCCTTGTCATAGGCCCTCGCAGCCTCCTCCGCCGTATCAAACGTGCCCAACCAAACCCGGGTTTTCTTCCCGGGATCCCTTATCTCGGCAGCATACCTTCCCCATGGCCTCTTCCTCACTCCCCTGTAATGCATTTCCTTCTTATCGTGATCCCCACTTGCTTTCTTGGAAAAACCATTGGTATCATTGTTAACCTTCTTAGGTGCCATTTTCTTGAAACCTCACTTAAAAAAATCAGAACAATATATTTTGGATAAACACCGCAAGCAGAGACTAAGAACTTGAGAAGCAAAGCTTTCCCTGAAAATACAGAGTGACGATTAGGGTTTTAATATTTTGATGATGGAAGGGCGTGTTTTGGAGAGAAAAGGAAAGGAAGGGGGTGTGCTTTTATAGAGAGGATAGTCAATGAAGGATTTGACTGAAGGGATGGCGCCGCCCAAAAGAGAGAGAGAGAGGGAGGAGACACAAAAAAAAATGATAATGTTGCAGGGGTTACGTGGCACACGGGAATTTCGAGATGAGGGGGCGTTTTGTGAGAGTTGTGCCGGCTTTTGATAACGGAGGCCGTTATCACGGCTTGAATTTGGCGGGCGTGTGGGTGTCGATTGTTTCACGCTTGGTCTTGAGCGCGTGCATTTAAAATACTGTGTAGATAATCATTATCTAATAAATTAAATGCATTATCTTTACGTAAATTGGTAATAAAGTTAGTGAAGTTTAAAAGATTATATTCTTTCACTTCTTGTAACAAAGAGAATATCTACCCTAAATATTTATGTAAAAAGACAGATTTTTTTTTAAATTTTTCATTAGAAATATTGCTAATTGTTATGCATTATCAAAATTTTTTATTTCTATTTTCTTAAAAAAATTAAAATTATATTTTAATAATATTTTATGAAATAAATTTTAAATTATTGATATTTTAAGAAAGTATATCATTGTGATTTTTTTAGATAAATGTTTGAGAGACATATAAATATAAAGATAAATAGTTTTTTTAAATAGAGAAAGTGCTAGCCAATGAGTCTCAATTGTACTCGTATCTTTCTTTTTATTTTTTCATGCATTTTAGCTTTGATTTTTTTCCTTACACTTATTATATATAACTTACCATCCCTTCAAATGAATTGAAATAAACATTTTTTTTTTCATACACAAAATGCTATAAAAATTATTTTAGTCATATTGTTTATTGCGACTTGAGCTTTCAATAAATGAAAATAGTATTAGTTGTTTCACTCTTCTATATAATATTTTGTAAAATTAGTTATTTGCCCCTGTTTTTTTTCTCTTACCTAATTCCCTTTCCTTCCAATCTTTCAATCATTAAAATATTATTATATATTTTTTAATCTAGACTTTTTTATGAGAAAATTCGTGTACATAAATTATATTAAAGTGAGAAACACTAAAAACTATTCAATTATATTTGTTGAACTATTTTATCCGTTATTATCATGTAAATTAATATGCATCATCAATAAATTTTTAAATTTTCTAAATAAAGTAAATTAAAAATATAGAAAAAAATATTCTTCATTAAATTATTTTTCACAAAAAAAAAACAAACTATTATAAAATGGTTTAAAATAGGAATTTTTTTCGGAATTTAGATAGGTTTGCGAATAAATGTTAACAATGCCAAGAATTTTGGTAAAAGAGTTATTAATTAAAGGAATATAAAGCGAAGCAAATAACGGAACGTGTATCACACTTTCTCCTTACAAGATTGGGCATATGAAAAGGATTGAAGTGGATTAGATAATGACCAAGTCTAAATTCTAACTGAGACAGTATATCCACCGCACCGCCGTCTCTCACAGTAGCACAGCCTTTTGAATCGCTCTTTTGACCGACAGTTAAGTGAGAGTACACACCCACCATTAGAATATCGACACGCGTCCTTGTCTTCTGCTTAACGCGTCCCACAAATATCCATCAACAAAGTAGCCGCGTTGTTGTCAGCATTTGCTACGGTGCAGTCACTTATTTACGTAACCCTATTTTCCAATCGGATGCTTCCAAATATTCCCTTATAAGCGTGTGAGCCTTTTAAAAATATGATTCCAATGTTTTAAGTGAGTTTTCTCTCCAAGTTATCATATTGTTCTCGAAATAAAAATAAAAAATGGTAAAAATTATTTTGAAATATAAATAATATGTTTAGAACTCAAATAAAAATATTGTTATTTTTAGTCTACATAAACACTTTTTATAAATTAAAACGTTAATGAATCTCAAAAATTCAATAATTGAAACTTTTTATACAATGGAATAAAAAAGTTTTTATTATTAGTTATTTGAAATATAAATAATATGTTTAAAAATCGAATAAAAATATAAATAAAGTTATTTTTAGTGTACATAAACACTTTTTATAAATTAAAACTTTAATAAATCTCGAAAATTCAATAATTGGAACTTTTATAAAATGGAATATTTTTTATTTTTATTTTTTTGTGTGGCAAAATTAGCATGCCATTGCTCTTGTTGGTGATATGGGAGGTTAATGATGCATTTCTCCTCCTTATTCTCAATTGTTTCTTGATTTATTAAACTTGATTCTTCATTTCTCATGACGCTAAAATCTAATATACATCGACTTGCTATGAAAAGAAATTTTTTGACGATTAACAGATTAGATATGCCAATAAATGCTACATGTTCTTTATAAATTAACATTGTGCATGGTAATCATCTACTGCGCTTAGTGGTAGGAGATACAATGTCGTTAACAAGAGCAAGAGGACAACATTAAGGTTAAAAAAAGTAATGAGACCAAAATATAATAAAAAAAGAATAGGAGGACTCAATGCACCCCAAACTCATAACTTTTGAATCAAAGAGTCTGGTCAAAGAGCGCGTAAGCATTAGATGTTAGCATGCAATCTTCTCATAATTTGACTAATGAAAGAGTGTAAATTGTGTCAATATGAAGAAAATATTATAAGTTGTGAATGGAAGTGCGCTTTTATGCATTTTATTTTTTGTAAATATATTTATTTATTTTTATACAGTGTTCAAAATTTTTTTATATATTTTTAGATTTCTAATTGTCTATTATTTATCGTTAAAAATATTTAAAAAGTTAATTCTATCTTTTTAATCAATTTTTTCAGTTAAATGAATTTTTTTAACTGAATTTTTCTTGCTTGAAATGCAAAGAAAAAAATCTAATAACTTCAAAAATAAAATATGTAGTTCATACTATTTTAACTGTCTTTTTTTTCGCATTTTAATAAAGAATATTTTGATAAAAAAAATAGAATATGTAGTTCATTCTGTTAAGTGAATTTTTTTTGATTGAAATGCAAAGAAAAAAACTTCTAATAACTTCAAAAATAGAATATGTAGTTCATATGATTTTAACTGTTTTTTTCGCATTTTAATAAAGAATATTTTGATAAAAAAATTATAGTAAAAAATTTAATTAGAATGACAGATTCAGTATTTTAAAAATTTTTAAAAATAAATAAGATATAATTAAAATTTTTTTTGAATATATATCCTTTTATTTTAGGTAATAAAAAAGCTTTCCATGCTCAAACAATAATTGAATCGAGAACACTGTAATAAAATTCCGCATTCATGCAAAGTCGAGTTTAGAAACCAGAAAATGATGCTTGCTCTTGTCCTTTGGGTCGGTTTGGGCCACACTTAAAAAGCAATAAAGAAGAAAAAGACCCATTCAATAATTCATTGCATGCAAAGTTTAGTTGACTTATTTCAAGTTTCTTGTTTCTTATTATACTCGAACTTTTTGTTACAATAATTTTCAAACCATCCTCGTTGTTATAAAATATGCTTTTAAGATTTTTTTTTTTTTTAAGGCGGGAAAGCGTTCGAATTTTATTATTAGTTATTTGAATAAGTAATACATTTACGTTCAATTAGCTTTAAATAATATATATATATATATATATATATATATATATATAACTAATGGTGCGGGGTATGAAATGGAAGATGTATGAAATGCAGATTGATAGATGGGCGGCAGAGCTGACCACGAGAGATGCAGATGAACAAAACAAAGAAATAAATGAACTTTAAATTAAAATGAAAATAAAGAAATAAATGAACTTTAAATTAAAATGAAATTAAATACATGGGCGGCAGAGCCGACCACCGAAAATTGATAGAAGAAAGGTACGTGGCGTTGTTTTACCACAGTTCAGCTCGATAGTACTGAGTACCGTTATTGAGCCGAGTCGTGGTATTCCGACCGATATACCTCAAGAGAGAGAGAGCGATAAACATAAAAGAAAGAAACTTTTATTTATTTACAAAGGAAAGTAACTTACAGGAGAGGTTTTCGAATCTCGAAGTTGGAAAAGAGAAATCTTTCTTAGAGAATGTCCGAAAACTAGAGAGAAAATTCTTCCAAAAGAAAAATTCTTTTTACAACCGAAATGAGCTCTCTTTATATAGAGAAAGTCGTCATGAACAAGTACATGTGAACAGCTCCTATGAATAGTAAAAATGTACAAGAAAAGTAAATAGTAACTTGCTACGTTGTCTTCACGTGTTGATGAACAAGAAGACGCCGAAAGCAATTTTGTCTTCTTGTGTCACGTGGGATGAACAAGTGATGAGTCTTGTGAATTTTTTGTCTCCGGAGAGAACCGTTTTTGTCGGCAGATAGGAAGATGCCCGGAATGTGCAATTTTTGTCAAAGTTCACAGTGTGATGAACTTGGGAGAAGATGTCATAGGATTCGTCTTCGTCATCATTTCCCAAATGTATCATGGGTTCGACTCGGAATCCGAATCGCTGTATGTGAAGAATTGGATCGGCTTTGAACCATCTCGCACATGATGGCGAAGTATTCTTCTTCTGATTTTGTCGCTTCGAGTCCGGCATTCACAACGATTTTTGTGCAAGGAAATTGGTTGTTGAGGATGATGGCTTGAGAAATCCTTGTTTTGTAAGCCATTCTTCAATACCTGTTTTGGAAATGGATGATGGAATCTGGAAGGAATCCCACCATTTGACTTTGAACCTTCGAACGAGGATTAAGGCCTCGTCGTGATTTTGTGTTTCATAATACCGGAACAAACCCAAGGAAGGAAGAATTTTGTGCAGTAAAAGAAAAAGAGAGGTAAATCTTTTTTCTTTTTCCGAGGGTTTGTAATGGGTTTTGAAGAGAGTGTAACTCTCAGTGATTGCCGGAGTAAGTATGTCGGAGTAGGACCAAAGTAGT